AAAAATTTCGAATTCGGACCCCCTAGGACCCCCCTATACCACTTTTGAGACGTTCGAGTAACATTTTCTGAAATACCAGACCACTAGGATCATTTTCCGAAATTTTCAAAAATTTCGAATTCGGACCCCCCTAGGACCCCCCATAACACCTTTGACACGTTTTAGTAATATTTTCTGAAATATCAGACCACTAGGATCATTTTCCGAAATTTTCAAAATTTCGAATTCGGACCCCCTAGGACCCCCTATACCACTTTTGAGACGTTCGAGTAACATTTTCTGAAATACCAGACCACTAGGATCATTTTCCGAAATTTTCAAAAATTTCGAATTCGGACCCTCCTAGGACCCCACTATACCACTTTTGAGACGTTCGAGTAACATTTTCTGAAATACCAGACCACTAGCATCATTTTCCGAAATTTTCAAAAATTTCGAATTCGGACCCCCTAGGACCCCCTATACCACTTTTGAGACGTTCGAGTAACATTTTCTGAAATACCAGACCACTAGGATCATTTTCCGAAATTTTCAAAAATTTCGAATTCGGACCCCCTAGGACCCCCTATACCACTTTTGAGACGTTCGAGTAACATTTTCTGAAATACCAGACCACTAGGATCATTTTCCGAAATTTTCAAAAATTTCGAATTCGGACCCTCCTAGGACCCCACTATACCACTTTTGAGACGTTCGAGTAACATTTTCTGAAATACCAGACCACTAGCATCATTTTCCGAAATTTTCAAAAATTTCGAATTCGGACCCCCTAGGACCCCCTATACCACTTTTGAGACGTTCGAGTAACATTTTCTGAAATACCAGACCACTAGGATCATTTTCCGAAATTTTCAAAAATTTCGAATTCGGACCCCCTAGGACCCCCTATACCACTTTTGAGACGTTCGAGTAACATTTTCTGAAATACCAGACCACTAGGATCATTTTCCGAAATTTTCAAAAATTTCGAATTCGGACCCTCCTAGGACCCCACTATACCACTTTTGAGACGTTCGAGTAACATTTTCTGAAATACCAGACCACTAGCATCATTTTCCGAAATTTTCAAAAATTTCGAATTCGGACCCCCTAGGACCCCCTATACCACTTTTGAGACGTTCGAGTAACATTTTCTGAAATACCAGACCACTAGGATCATTTTCCGAAATTTTCGAAAATTTCGAATTCGGACCCTCCTAGGACCCCACTATACCACTTTTGAGACGTTCGAGTAACATTTTCTGAAATACCAGACCACTAGCATCATTTTCCGAAATTTTCAAAAATTTCGAATTCGGACCCCCTAGGACCCCCTATACCACTTTTGAGACGTTCGAGTAACATTTTCTGAAATACCAGACCACTAGGATCATTTTCCGAAATTTTCAAAAATTTCGAATTCGGACCCCCTAGGACCCCCTATACCACTTTTGAGACGTTCGAGTAACATTTTCTGAAATACCAGACCACTAGGATCATTTTCCGAAATTTTCAAAAATTTCGAATTCGGACCCTCCTAGGACCCCACTATACCACTTTTGAGACGTTCGAGTAACATTTTCTGAAATACCAGACCACTAGCATCATTTTCCGAAATTTTCAAAAATTTCGAATTCGGACCCCCTAGGACCCCCTATACCACTTTTGAGACGTTCGAGTAACATTTTCTGAAATACCAGACCACTAGGATCATTTTCCGAAATTTTCAAAAATTTCGAATTCGGACCCCCTAGGACCCCCCTATACCACTTTTGAGACGTTCGAGTAACATTTCCTGAAATACCAGACCACTAGGATCATTTTCCGAAATTTTCAAAAATTTCGAATTCGGACCCCCTAGGACCCCCTATACCACTTTTGAGACGTTCGAGTAACATTTTCTGAAATACCAGACCACTAGGATCATTTTCCGAAATTTTCAAAAATTTCGAATTCGGACCCCCTAGGACCCCCCTATACCACTTTTGAGACGTTCGAGTAACATTTTCTGAAATACCAGACCACTAGGATCATTTTCCGAAATTTTCAAAAATTTCGAATTCGGACCCTCCTAGGACCCCACTATACCACTTTTGAGACGTTCGAGTAACATTTTCTGAAATACCAGACCACTAGGATCATTTTCCGAAATTTTCAAAAATTTCGAATTCGGACCCCCTAGGACCCCCTATACCACCTTTGAGACGTTCGAGTAACATTTTCTGAAATACCAGACCACTAGGATCATTTTCCGAAATTTTCAAAAATTTCGAATTCGGACCCCCTAGGACCCCCTATACCACTTTTGAGACGTTCGAGTAACATTTTCTGAAATACCAGACCACTAGGATCATTTTCCGAAATTTTCAAAAATTTCGAATTCGGACCCTCCTAGGACCTCACTATACCACTTTTGAGACGTTCGAGTAACATTTTCTGAAATACCAGACCACTAGCATCATTTTCCGAAATTTTCAAAAATTTCGAATTCGGACCCCCTAGGACCCCCCATAACACCTTTGACACGTTTTAGTAATATTTTCTGAAATATCAGACCACTAGGATCATTTTCCGAAATTTTCAAAAATTTCGAATTCGGACACCCCTAGGACCACCCTATACCACTTTTGAGACGTTCGAGTAACATTTCCTGAAATACCAGACCACTAGGATCATTTTCCGAAATTTTCAAAAATTTCGAATTCGGACCCTCCTAGGACCCCACTATACCACTTTTGAGACGTTCGAGTAACATTTTCTGAAATACCAGACCACTAGCATCATTTTCCGAAATTTTCAAAAATTTCGAATTCGGACCCCCTAGGACCCCCCATAACACCTTTGACACGTTTTAGTAATATTTTCTGAAATATCAGACCACTAGGATCATTTTCCGAAATTTTCAAAAATTTCGAATTCGGACCCCCCTAGGACCCCCTATACCACTTTTGAGACGTTCGAGTAACATTTTCTGAAATACCAGACCACTAGGATCATTTTCCGAAATTTTCAAAAATTTCGAATTCGGACCCCCTAGGACCCCCTATACCACTTTTGAGACGTTCGAGTAACATTTTCTGAAATACCAGACCACTAGGATCATTTTCCGAAATTTTCAAAAATTTCGAATTCGGACCCCCTAGGACCCCCTATACCACTTTTGAGACGTTCGAGTAACATTTTCTGAAATACCAGACCACTAGGATCATTTTCCGAAATTTTCAAAAATTTCGAATTCGGACCCCCTAGGACCCCCCTATACCACTTTTGAGACGTTCGAGTAACATTTTCTGAAATACCAGACCACTAGGATCATTTTCCGAAATTTTCAAAAATTTCGAATTCGGACCCCCTAGGACCCCCTATACCACTTTTGAGACGTTCGAGTAACATTTTCTGAAATACCAGACCACTAGGATCATTTTCCGAAATTTTCAAAAATTTCGAATTCGGACCCCCTAGGACCCCCTATACCACTTTTGAGACGTTCGAGTAACATTTTCTGAAATACCAGACCACTAGGATCATTTTCCGAAATTTTCAAAAATTTCGAATTCGGACCCCCTAGGACCCCCATAACACCTTTGACACGTTTTAGTAATATTTTCTGAAATATCAGACCACTAGGATCATTTTCCGAAATTTTCAAAAATTTCGAATTCGGACCCCCTACGACCCCCCTATACCACTTTTGACCAGTTTTAGTAACACTTCCTGAAATACCAGACCACTAGGATCATTTTCCGAAATTTTCAAAAATTTCGAATTCGGACCCCCCTAGGACCCCCCTATGCACTTTCGGCCTAAAATTTTGCTGTGGGCCTTCCTGACACAATTAACAACCATTTCCTAATTTTTCACAATTGCAAAAAAAAATTTTGCGCAAGCGGGACTCGAACCCGCGACCCCAAGTGTACAGAAAGTGGGGACCAAAAAGGCAAAAGGTCCCTCAGTCGTCCCCCTTCGAATTTGATTCTTGATTATCGCTTCATATGTACATGTTGGTGTGCCACGTTACCACCTCTTGGCCCGAGGACTCATCCATCATTGGGACGTGCCGGTGTAGATGTCCACAATCCACGATCAATGATCGCACATTTCAACCACTACACCACACCGGCACATTTCGCCAAGGCTGAAATCGCATATAAGAATTCGAGAATTTTCAGAGTGGTGGTGAGCTATGTGAGAGCTGTAACTTTTTTGTTTCTGAATCAAATTCGATGATCCAAAAAAAGTGAATGGTCAGAATTTCATGCTTTACAACGTGGAAACAACCAATTTGCCTGAAATGCGATACAAAATGAGTTACGCACAAAATTTCACTTCCTCAATAATCCCCTTCATGAAATCTATTCCATTGCTTCTTGGTGGTCGAAATTCAAAGATATCGACTAGAAAAAATCCTTGAATTGGTTGACATGATTCAAATGTGTAATTGTTTTGGAGATTATCTAGTCCTAATATGCAGTATTGGTTTTAAATTGCTCATTTTGTTCACATATTCATATTTATGATATAACTTTACACTGAGTTTTTCGTAATCAGAAGATCATATTTTTCAATCCTGTCATCAATCTACATATTCAGTGAACTATCTAACATTAATTTTTGGAACAAGAGCCGCTAGCGCAACAAATTTCTATACCTATGAATTTCAGCCACAATATTTTCACGTCCAACGCTGACGCAACGAGAACTTAACTAAACGTTTGCAGTGTCAGCTTGGAAAAATAAATGTTTATTGTTTATGATTTAGTGTAATTTATTCTTGCATCAATAGCAAATAGTTAGATATCAGGAGTTATATGTAACAAAATAGTTTGTCTAAAATTTTGTTTTAAGAGTTTTATCAATAATTGGTAGACATGCTCATTTTTGGAATGTTCCCGATGATCGGTGCACCTAGTATGTACTGATAACCATTTTATGCAAATTTTGACAGAAGAAAGTGAGGGCAACGTATAATCTGATATATACAGGAAATAACAATACTGTACAATTCTTAAATGTGTTCACAATTAATTAGAAGCTTCCGAACTGCTGTCACTGCATGTTGAACGGGTTCGTCGATATGTGTCCAATCCATTAAGCGATTTCAGATTTTTCAGATTCTCAATTATAGCAGCTCTTAAAATCCTTGAAATATTCAAATGGTAGAAGTATGTGATACCGGAATTTTAGAAGATTCTGCACATCTGTCTTCGTTGGCCACGCAGGATTGTTCTCAATGATCAATTCTTCAAGAGCCGGACAATTTTTTCGAATGTTTACCAAAAACGTCGCATCGGATCTGAATAGCTCAATAGTCAATAATTTCTTATCAATCGTCAAATGTTTTTTTTGTCGAACCTTGTTATTCCGAACCGAGAGAAATTTGAGGTGCGGGAAGATTGGCATATTGAACGCATTTTCATTCAAAAAGTTATTGCTTAAATCCAGTTGCTCAATGTGCAATCGTTCTCTGATGATTGAATCTGGAAGAAGCCTAAAGAATGAATATTAAATATACTTTTGCAATAATTACTTTAAGCCTCCCGATGACGCATTAACAACTTTTGCCTTTGAAGAAACTCGAAACGATTTGAATTTGTCAGCTATATGTGGTTCTTGAAGCGACTGATGTGCAATGCAAGCATGTACAAGCTTAAAGCTAACAATTAAGGGGGCAATTATGAAGTATTGATGCTCACCACCATTCTCAACTTGTTTAGAAAGGAGGGAATGAAAATATGGCGCGTTATCAGTTCTAATTTAGAATGTTAGAGTTACACCCATTCGCCTACCAATTTCAAACGGTCATTTTGGGTTATCGGAGTGACCTGAGCTGTTATCAGAAAATAAAATCGAGTTCATGTGATAGAACTATGAATTCAAATTAGTCAGCAACAGTTTAGCTGAACAAAAAAATAGACACATAATATTTAAAATTTTGGCAACAACAATTATTCATTTTATACAGTATTATTCATTTTATCTGTTGTATCCTTTCATGACCATTTTTTTTCTAAAAGCAACCCCAATCATCCAATTTTTGACCTACCTGACTAAATAAGCTTGTTCAGCATGTAATAATCCAGGCCGACAGAGAAAATAAAGCAATGCCAGGTCAAAATCCTACCTTTTCAAATTTATTTTTTACCCGCTCTAAAGATTTCAGAATTTTTAAAAAATTCATTAATATGTAATGTGTTTGTTTCGATTGATCTCAAAAGTAGTCGCGGCCTTCCAGGGCCAAGCCAATAACCAGGATAGTTTTTCCCATGCAAGTCACCTTAATCAATAATTGTAAAGCGGAAATTCTCAATTGAAAATCACATTTCCTGAAACTTCATAAATCTCTCATAGCTTAAAAAATGTACACATTAAAATATGTATTTATATTCCAAATAAATCAAAGCTTAATTATTATTCTTTTGATTATAAACATTTTTGGTGGTTGATGATGTTACATTTCCTGATAATAGAATGATATGCAATGAAGCCTCAATGAATTCCACATCACTTCAATTCGATGCTGTAGGAAAAGAAGGGATCGGTGATAAAGGTAACCGACTTGGAGACATCAATAAGCTTCTAAAAATTCAAAAACTTTTTGAAAATAATAAGAGAGGTTGCTTCCGAATTTCGGAGTTTCCGTGCTACGTAAAGAGTCATGAATTTACCAACTTACATTATGGAATGCATTCAAAACCATTGTTGAAATGCCCAATGCGCAATTGCGGAACTGAACACAGCGCGGATGACTGGCATTACGGCGAGTCCAGTGCTGGAACAAGGCGTCTGTAATCGCCGTCAGTCTGACCAGAATGTTTTCGTTGTAAATGCGAAATTGCTTAAGAAGGGGCATGCCGATGAATAGCTAAAAAAATTGATTGAAAAAACTGTTTAGCAAAACGCGATATTTCAATACTCGATCAGATATGATGGACGGATTGAATGTTGTATCCTCGAGATCGAGTGTGTGCAATTTCATTGATTTTGCAAAGTTGAAGAATTGAGCTTCGTTGAGTTCCACATTGCACAAAACGAGACTGAGCACTTCGATTAAACTGCAACAAAAATTATTTGACAAATTTCAGACAATTCGATTTCAACCTCAAGTCAAAAACATTGTTGATCATCCCATTGATGAACTGATGATTTATAGTGACGTAATTGAATTTAAGCATATAATTAAGCTTATACTGAAATTCGCTGATCATTGGATTAAATTATGAATTGAAACAAGCCTTGCAAAGCTCGTCAATGATCGTCTCATTGATCTGAATATCAATGTCGGAAAGATTGGCGGGAGTCAATATAACTGTTTTGACCAGCTGTAGATAGTTTGAAGTTCTGCCATGTTGTCTGCGGAACTCGCGCTCAAAAATGATTTCAACTTTCTGAACATTTTTAACAACCGACACTCTGCAATTTTTCTTTAAGAAATATTAATAAACTACAACCAACGTCAGATTCGTGAATAATTTCATTTCGTCAACTTCTAGCGCTTCAACAACATCGTTGAATTCGGTGTCCATTGAATAGTCGGAACCAATGTCGAGTTCCGACATGGCTATTGCCTAGAAATGATTAATAATGATACTAGAAGCGATGAATGAGAATGGGCAATGCGCTGATCTTGCTTTTTCTTTCATGGTGACTCATTTAAGAAGCGTATTGGAAAAAAAACACTATTGATTGTTGAGAAATCATGAAACATTCAGCGTTTCTTCGATAAAATTCTGACATTTGTTCTCCCTAAACTTAAAAAATGTGAGCAAATTCTCAATGTACAATCTCAAAATGATTTTCTTCTGATTTGAACAAAATTAGATAAAGTCTCACAAGTTTTCATGTGAATCGCGCTTTTTCAAAATCAATATGCAAGGAAGACGAAAAGAAGCCTATTCGAAGCGTACAAATGCCAAAGAAATATCAAAATCAATACGCTACCATTTGGGCGGGGGGAAGCGGGAGAGGGGTAATGGGGAAGCAAGTGGGCATCAATCCTAATTTCATCAAATATTTGCTACAAGAAAAGGAAACCATTAAAAATGATGGCGTTTATTTCGCACATACAACGCATGTTTTCATATTAAAATAATAATGTGCCGATTTTTTTCGGCAACATTTCCAAGAAAAAATACAGTGGATCGATTTTGAAGATGTGCTGAAGTGGCTCTTATTACTGACTACAAAAAATGCTCCAATAGCCACCAGGGGGTCTTCGTAAAAAAAATGAAATCAGTGCCCAACGAAAAATAAAAGTTATGAAGCTGGAAGGCGTATCGTCCTGGCTTATATAGTCTCTCCGTTCCGAAAATAAAAATTGCGAAATCGTATCCGAGTGGGGCGGGACTCAATGGTAAGATATGACTTCTAAGACATCAAAAAAACATTTTCGTGTTTCATTGAACTCGATGGTTGAAGAAGCTTTTTTGAGCATAAAGTTAAATTCCTGATAAAAATACAATAAAAAACCTACCTCCATTCTCAATTTTATAATATAATCCATGAAAAATGTAAATTCATCGAAATGTTTTTTGCTTTTCTGATGATTCTCATTCTCATAATTCAAATTTTCAATATTCATTTTCAATTGTTTTGAAAATAAAAAGCTCAAACTATGAAAGTAAGAATTGCAATTCTTCTATAAAAAAGGTGTAGCACCCTTTAAAAAGGTGTAGCACCAAATCATGTTAAAAAAATTGCGCCTTCCGCTACCAGTGTCAACATTCACATAATTTTTTTGAATCTATTTGAAGTCGATCATCGCGGTGGGAATATTTGAAAATACCATTTCGATATTTTACGTTGATCAAAATGCTAGTTGTTCGAAAACGTTTTTGATATTGATTTTTAATTAATAAAATTCACTATTGATTCTATTAAATGCTTGAAAGCATACAATGTTCATATGTATCTCCGAGGTAGTTCCTTACTGGTTGATAGGTTTGTCTCCTTTGCGCATACTTATCTCCTATATTTTTCGGGTTTCTTTTATTTTCAGCATATTCTAACAGGTAGATTGAGTATTAATTAAAAATTTATTTCTAGTTCAATTTATAGAATCTCGAGTCAATATCCAGCCAGTTCCATGAATATTACCGGTATGAGCAATAAAATTATTAAAATTAAGTGCTGCCTCATTTTTTAATTTTTTAATTTTTCAATAAAATTTCAATTTTTTATATTCCTTCTGAAATTTGAAGAAGTGGGTTGGTAAATTAGTTGGACATAGCTTCAGAAACATTGTCAAAAAATTTTACTTCAATCGGCCAACTTTGAAAAAAGTTATGACTGAAAATGCGGTTTTTGATAGAATTATGGCCAGCACTGTGTGCCTAGTTGTAAGCATTCCCTTGTTTTGCCCCTCTCAAAAATACTCCGATTGACCAGTTCACATTAAAATCCTAGGAACTCAGATTCCTCGTCGCACCTTTGGTTTCAAATTATTCTAAGCATCTCGTATTTGTTTTCTATTATTTATGCAAAACACAGAAAATTTTAAAAATTATAAAGCTTCTCAAAATTGCTACAAAGTGATTTATCAAAAGATGAATGTATAGCTTCTGAAAATTCAGGATGAAAATACGATAGGGATTGTTATATCAAATAAGTACAATGGAGCAATCCCTTCTTTTTTCTAGCAGTCACCAGTAGCTGTAAAAAATATGTGCTTAAAGCTCCCAATTATACGCCAGGAACATGTTTCAAATTCAAATGTTTTGTCAACATTGAAGATTCCTTCTAATCCTGTTGATCGACGGGTGCCTTCAATCTGGGAATCTCCACAGCGATTAAGGCGAGACCACCGAGTGCCAGCGATTTCTGTAAATTGAATTTTTTTTAAGGAGAACATGTCTTTTTCAAACCTTCCCCAGTTCTAAAAATTTATCCTCAGCTTCCGTCGAAATTTTGCAATTATAGAAAACGAGATAGCGGGGAAAATTTGACGGCTCGCAGTCAATCCATTTTTGGATGAGCTTCTCGGTGAGACGATTGCAAAGTGTGTATCTCAATAAGCGAACCGTCACCGCCTCAATATATTTCAATCCTTCAAACAACTGAAATAGAATATCAGAATAAAACGGCAATTTCGAACAATTACTTCATCTGATATGAGATCGGTGCTCATTTCACAGTGTTGAATGATCAATGTCGAAATTTTGCTGCCATGAAGCAGCTTGTTGAATTCCGCTGGTGTGATCTCCAGTTTGCATTGGGTAAAGTCCATCGTAGTCACGATTCTTGAATCAAATTTAAAAAAAAATAAATTACAATAATTTTATGGCAAATTAATACCCCAAATCAACACATTTGGCTGTTAAATTCTTATAAAACATTGAGTCCAAACGCAACTTCGCCAATCGGAGTTTACCATAAATTGTTACCTAAAATTTCAGCATAATAATTGTAACAGCTTTATTTGATTTTGTACTTCACGAAGTTGCTCAAACGCGAATTTTGCGAGCTCTTCTTCCTCCGTCTCGCCTTCAACAGGATTGTGAATCTCAATCAGAATCGTCCCATTCAATGTTAGGGTTTTTCGCAGAACCGCAATTTGATGAGTTGATTGCAGTATCGAATCATACTCCAAACTTCAATATTGGAATGATTCTTTCGAAATAATATAACAAGGCTCACTCGAATGAATAAATGTGCTGTTTGAATGTCTTAGTTCTGACAAGTTGCTGACTGATTAATTTGGCGGTCTCACGAAGATTCGCGATATCACGACGCGATAAATACTCGCAGACGTTTGGGAGAGCATCAAGGATTTTAATAAACGACATTCCTGTGGATCTAAAAATAATTTATAGGTTTAAAAGGCATACAACCTAGAAAAAATAATGATTACAGCATTTACAGACAATTTTTAAGTCAAACAAAAAAACTAATGAGCACAATAGCAGGCAATGTTTCAAATGTTTGGATGGGGAAAGTTTGGGCTTCATTTTGAAAAAAAACCTAATTTGGAATAAAAAATATTTGTCTTGAAATAGATCAAACAAAATTCAAATGCCCTATCATTCCAAAAACAAATTTACTATATGAACTGATTCATACCTAAAATCAATTTTATGCTTATTTTCGATAATAGGTGCACACAAGATAAAGTAAAAAGGAACACTGGGTTTTTTTTTGTATGATAAAATGTTCAGAGTATTGTGTGAAGGGGTTAGGAAAAGAAAATGGGCATGAAAGCAAGTACGAACAGATTTTATGTCCTCTCTTCTCAATGACAAATAATTATAAAGAATTAAATGATGTAAGGGGTGAAGAAATTGAAAGAAGGGTATTGTTATTTTTTACTTTTTAGGTTTCCAATTAGGGAAAAGATTGTACACACTTTTGGATGAAAAAATTCGCAATATTCCCCCTACCTAAGGAAAAATAGTTGACCATTTTTCTAACGTTGAATGCGGTCATAAAAGGAGAATCAATTTTGAATGCCAATTTAGAAATTTTTTAAAACTGTTCCACAAAATCTGGAAAATAGTGATCTAGAAAAAATCAACTATCACCGTTGTAATTATTTATACAGACATAAAATGTAGAGCACGAATGAAGGATTATGAAGGCACTGGGACTGGTCCGGCCCGAACTGGCTGGAATATGCCGATGGAGAGACGCTAGACATGAACGGGCGAATAGAGGGCGCGCGCGCGCACGCGCACAAATGTTCGACCAGATGTGAGAATTTGAATTGGCAAAAAAAAATTTCTGCGTTTTGAAGAAAACCGCAACAAGAGAAAAAAGGGAGCGTCAAATAGTAATAAACATTTTTTTTCCCAAAGAATTGGAAGAAGGAAATTCAGACGAGCCTTAAAAATTCTGTTGAATTTTCAATTTCGGTCCACTTACTCTTCTTTTGGCTGCTCGCCAGCAGAATTGTGACATTCAGTTTTCACAGCCCCTTAGAGAAAAATGAAATTTGTCTTGACCAAATTCGCACAAAGATTTACTGACGATAAACGTGCGGTATTTGAAACAAAGAAATGATGTTTGGATGTGAGAGCGGGCGGCATCGTGCACCTGTCGCAGGGCATTAACTTAACCCACAAAAGTTTTTTTTGTAAAATAAATTTTTTTATTTGATTGCCAAAACGCAATTAAAAATCAATTTAGTGTTCATAACGGAACACCGAAAGTGCATTATTATTCCACTTGAAAACAGTTTAAAAAAAACATTACTAGAAAATTAGTCCAAGTAGAAATGAGATCTCTTTTAATTCAGTAGAGGTCGCATCATTGGAATAGTGTTTTATTTTCAGGCTTTAATTCCAGAATGAAAATTGTCAATATATTCCAAAAATAAAAAAATCTTTCAGCGCTTTTTAAATTTAATTAAAGTTATTGAATGACTAAAACCCATCATTAGAGATTTAATTTAATAATAAATAAAATTTTGCATAAGCATATAATTAGCATCTTGGCATTGCTCAAAATGAGCAGATGGATTTAGTGGCACCAAGAAAAGCACTTATTAAGCAGTATTCGCGTGATGACCCGGAGTCACATCAAATCTCTTTTTTATTAAGAAATATGTTTGGAGACAAATTGCTTATAACATCCGGCTTGTTTGTTTACATTTAAAAAAAAAGGAAAGCAAATTTTTTTTGAAATCTGATCCGTCAATTTTCAATTCTGAAGAAGCCGAAGAACATATGTGAAAAGAAGGCACACACACTGCAATTTTATGCCAAAACGATAAACAAAAATCAAAAAACTGTGTGATGTTCTTCATTTTCTTATCAAAACGAACAAATGTCTGAAAAATTGCTAAACCGGTATGCGAAAAGGGGCATGTTTACTAGCGATAAGAGACATGATGGAATGATTATTGGCAAAGAATGGCTCAGCCGACGCATGATAAATCGTGTGATTATGCCGGTATTATAACGACAAACAAGAAATTTAATTAAGTTTATTGAAATCTCCTAGTGTATCTGATCAAAGTTCGTCACCTACAGTATCTATTCCAATATAATCAAGCCTAAGATTTTTGAATAGGAAAAAAAAATTTGCAATACAAAATTGTTTATATAACATATATATTTTGGTTCAAAAATGCGCTGTCTGCTCGGTGAACGCATTTTCATAAATACACTCGGGGGAGAGTGTTGTTCTCTTCTCATTTCTCGGTGTTTGGAGAGTTTTCGTGAATAAAACCATCCACAAGAAAATTTTCACAGTAATTCGAAGGTGTTAGCAAAAAAACAATTTAAAGTCTGTAAAAAATAGTGTTTGCGAACGTTTTTTTGGGTTCTCGCAGATTCCCATATAAACGACAAAGAAAGCGAAGAAAAAAAGCATGGGCGGTTGTCGGCAAAATGAACGAAATATAACAATTTCGGCAGATGGCGTCGACGCGGAATACGTGCAGGCCACTTTTTTTATCGCGATAAGACATCACATGAACGCTGATGAAAAGAAAATTGGAAATTGTATGCGATTTATCATTGACGATCAAAAATGTTTCGAGAATTGATTGGTTCGGAATTGCGTTTTCGTGTGTTTTTTTAAATAATTTTTTAAAGCACACCTCATTTCAGAATAATTTTTTCGACGTTTTTTTAAGGGAATCCCGTTTTGGGGAATATATAAAGCTTATTCGATATTTATGAACTCTCTTGATTCCACATGGAACGGAACCCCCTCTTGAACTGAATTCATAGTCTAAAAATTTGTAAAAATTGATAGCCTGAAATCCAGATATAGATTGAGCATATTTATAACGATAGATCATCTTTCTCATTATGGGATTTTGTTGAAAGGAATTACTTCATGTGAAAAACATATTAATATAGGTTTGCTATACTCCTGAATTTGAAATTTTAATTGTCGTATTATCAATTTTTGTGATTTTCTCGAAAGTGATTTGAGAAGGGGTATGCGAATCGCACTATAACTTTACACACAAGTTAATTCCTCATAAAAATTATATCCATCATCAAATATAAATCTGCACTAGTGCAAATTGTTCACCTGTGATCAGATATCGCAAGCCTGACATTAAAACAAATAAAAATCGATCTAAGAAATTGGATTCTAGCTTTTTAACAGATCATATGTAGCAAAACAAGTCACAGTAGCTATATAAGTATGGTTTTTTTGTATTTGTGAAAATTTAATTTTCAAAAATTTTGTTTAGATTAGAATTTCAGCGATATCAATAATCCAAAATCTGTCTATTTAATTAATTAAATTTACAAATCGCTTACAATGATTATAAAATTTTGATTAAGATTAGAAATGAAAAAAAGACGACTGGAACACAGCCAGCGAAATTCGAAAAATATGATTCAAGTGTAAAGTAGTTGCACATGTGTTCGTCGAGTCCCACACATCATTTATTTAGCTGCTTATTGATCAGTTATTTTCAATTGGCTCAGTAATTTTCAGTAAAAATGAAATGCCAATGGCAAACTTGAAAAATTGCTTCAATTTCTAGGATTATGAGAGACCCCATCAACAATATCAAATATATTAAAAATTTATTCTTGTTGAAGTTATACTTTTTCACATTATGATAGCTAGACAATGCCATCACCGCTCATAAGAGGTTCATGTAAGATCCAAGACGATAACTAAAAATAATTTCGAAAATTTTGCAAAATCACCAGTTGATTCGTCATTTGTCCTATATATTGATCTCATTAAATTTTTGTTTAAATTTTGATACGAGAATCAGTAACTCTGAACCATTTTCATTTCTTTTTGACTCAAATATTGGTTCATTTCACAAAATAAATGAACGTGGATTTTGCAATTTTTTCGAGAAATATGGAAATTCAGCAATTATTCGATTTGTATCCTACGCGGAAGCTCCAATTTTTTCAAGAATACGTGCCAATTAATCCGTTTTTAATTTGAAAATTCTTTTATTTACGAAGCGAAATATGAAATTTATTTACTTTCTTCCGCATCCGCAAGATGGTGGTGAAGTGGTTGTGGGTGAGTAAAAAAAATCACAAACTACTCATCATCCACACCTTCGGCTCCTCCAGCAGAAGGAAACAAAAATACAGAAACAGCAGCCAACATTGAAGATGATGATGAATTGCATGATTGGATTCAGTTGTTGTCTTGGAATCCCATGCAAAATCGTTATACAGGGTTTAGTTGGAACCTACTTTGACTCGTTTCTTTTAATATGATCTGCTCAGCCATTTTTTTAAATCAGTTGTTCAGTTTTTTTTGGAATTTTTTGCGGTTCTAATGGGTTGAATGCAAAAAATTCATTTTTGTATTTTTTTTTTCGTATTTAGGCAAATTATGGTCGTGGTTCGAAAGCGACTAGATATCCTTGAAAATCGACATTTCAAGAAAAACACAAATTGACCATCAATTTTTAAAAATTATAGGAATCTTCCAAAGGAGTTAATTTTTGAAATATGGTCTAAATTTCAGAATTACCTTTCCCTAAAAAGAGTTAAATCTCATATACTAAACTACCAATTTTTGAATATTAGGACCCGTAGAATTTCAATCATTATTTATTGAATAACTCAGCTCCAGTTTATTTCCCGTATTAGCAATTTTTCGCCTTTCCTTCCACTAGGCCATCCATTGCATTAACATTAGAAAGAAACCATTGTTTTGCATCTGCTTAGATGAAAAAAAAACAATTGTCCAAGCTTCACCTAAAAAAAGAAAAATGTTTATGAAGTAACATCGGAAATGTCGTGTCCCGGAAAAAATGTTGTTGAAAGGTGGGGGGATGTGTATGTTTAATCGAGTGGAACCAAGCAAATTCACTGGCGACCTCTCGTTTCCAAATTCCAATAATTGCAGGCCTTGTGGAAACCAAAAATTACACGTTCCTCGAATTTCGTTTGTGGAATCATTTTTTTTTAGCACCTTTCCTCATATTGCATACTTGAACGCCTTAGATACAAAGGACTCTATATATATTAAGAAAGTGGAAATCTATTTTTTTTTTGATTGCCTAAAAATTATTCGAGCCATATGACGAAATTTTGCTTAATTTATTCTATTTAATATATAGTCGCAATTATTGTCATGTATTACGAGATATATATGTAATTTACTGGGTTACTTCGTAGTCCCATATCTCCCAATTAAAAGTAATTTTCAATGCATATATTGTGCCAAATATCCGTTTTCCCCTTTTTCGTTCTAACAATACGTTTTTGTGTTACATGAATATAGGGATAATTAGTGAAATTACATTTGGCATATCGTAGTATATATATATATACATATATGTAGAAGTTCGTTAAGCAGATTGGAATGGATGGTAAGTTTAATGCATAAAGCAAATGTTCCTATTTTCGTTTCTCACCATATATAATATAGAGCTGTTGGATTACGGTAGCCTAGCATTTTGTAAGCAGCAATATGCATAATGTAGCACAATTAACCAAAATGTTGTTTGTCTGAAACTCGATTTTTGCTGATATTTTTTTGGCAAGAATTTTGCCAAAATTGAAAATATTTTTGATGATCATATTCAAGTTTCACATGGAATATGAATTTATAATGCTAGCCGCCGTGTGAAAATGTATATTTGGAAAACGCTCAATTTGAATTTTTTATTGGAGTCGCATCGGATTTGTGGTCTATAGTAATGATTTCAAATGTTCGCTTTTTGTCCCAATACTTATTCATGTCACCCTTAACAACCCTACATGAAACATGTTACGAATAAAATATGGTGTCTAGCATAAAAAAATGAAAAAAGTTGTTTTTTAGAAAAACTATTGTAATCCAGGTGAGGGCAATCGAAAAAATATCGACTCAACCAGACATTTGAACGATCGGTTCTTTGCTAGTTGATGAACCAGAGATTTCTCGAGTTTTTTTCAATTTGCTCGTAAAGGCCAGTGCACACTTATAGATCCATCTCAGTTGTTCTTCCCTGGTGCATTTTTACTGAGAGAAAATATCCAAGAAAGCATGCAACTTTTTTTTCCTTGAATTAAATTGCATTTTTTTTTGATATATGAAATAATTTTTCTGAAAAAATCATATGTCTCATTTTTGAAGAATCAAGTACAAAACCAATTCGTAAACGTGATACTTTTGAAAAAAAATTTTGCGGCTTCTTGTTGGTTGTTTTTCTTCCCAAAAATACGACATAAATTTCAAGTGTTTCGGAATTTATTCCAAAAATTTGTTATCCTTGTTTTCCTCTTTTTTTGTCTGCCCTTTTTCTTCTTTTTTCAAGTTTGTGAAAACGAGAGGAAACGATTCATCTAACTCAAAGTTTTCCAAATGATTAATCTGTAGCACGCTCGACTATTTCTGGACTCTTTTTTTCTTCGCCGAATTTCGCCCACTTTAACGGGGGGAAAAATGGGGAGGAGGTCCATTGAAGAATTAGCTCACAGTTGAATGAGCATCACATTTTTTTTTGCCGCAAACACATGTTTGAATGTGGGCCCACGGTGCAGAAAAGAGCAATCGAACAACAGCGGTCAGAATTTTGCATGAAATTCCAAATTTTTTTTTAGTTTGTATAATATGCAGTTAAATTAAATACCATTCAATATAGAAAATAGGCCAAACACTCATAATTAGGATTACTGTAGACTAGAACCCTATTTGAAAATCCAATAATCCTATGATATTTTCAACATCACTTTACTTTTATGAAAATTTTCTTCCACCCACTTCTACGTCACAAAGCTATATCCACCATTAAGTGCCTATCAAGCTCTTGAAGGGAATTCTTCAATATGACGGAATTGGAAAAAAAATCGTCTCATCTCCTCCTCTCTTTTCCTTCCTTCGAAATGTATTTTATTTCAAACCCAATTTTCCAACAAAAAAAAATTCGCACCTTATTCAGTCGAATTTAAGTTTTTCGTGTTGACAGATATTTTCAACTGGAAAGAAAATACGAGGCGCGTACACACAAAAAAAACATGCTGCTGTTTTCGACCCAAATTATGTTAGATTCGTTTTCCTATAACGAACCACTATTCTTTTTCTGGTTTGGAACACTTTCTTTCCGGCCATAAATAATATTTTATTGTAGCAAAACATTTTGTTATGATCCATTCGCCTGAAAGCTTCCGATTTAATTTTGATTAAATGCCTATGAAAACAAAAATCAAGCCCAAGCGTTTTTTTTTAATTTTCCTAAATGGATATTTCCTGCACTTATCTAACATCTTTCATTTTTTTCATAGTTACAGTAACCCAATGACACAATTTTCTATTTTTTAGACACCAAGGAGATAATTATTTCATTTGAGGTTTTTTTCTGTCTTTTTATGACCGTAATTCTAGAAAATGATTCCTTCTTTCTCCATTTGATATAGAAAAATATTCTAAATTTTCAATGTAAGGGAAGGGATTACTGTAGTTGAGAGGACAACCGCAGGCAATGTTTTATCTCTAAATATGGATTATTCGAAGGCTAATAAATAATAGGATAATAAAGATTTTCCTAAAAACTTTTGAATATCTATGTATTTCAAATTTCATTCGTTAAAATTGTTTTTGTCATTTATCACATATGTTTTTTCGCTGTCCTACAGTAACCCATAAGATATTTGTTTTATATATTGAATGAATACCTATGGTGTCATACGGTAATTGCCGCGTTGTCCATCTTATTTTTCGTCGATGCCAATGGCTCGCCAATTATTCATTTTCACATAGTAAAATTTGATATTTCTTCTCTCCAATTTCCATGTCTTTGAAATAGTATCCACGTGCATTCACTTATTTTTGAGTTATTTCAAACCATCGCGTTCTTTAGAAGAAGTGACAAAATTTATATCGTATAGACAATCAGATCATTTTGTCGCATGCGCCTTTAATATTACGATGTCAGAATTTCAATCATCGACAATATTAAATATTCTATAGCAAAAATCAAATATTCCTGGATATTTTTCTTCGAATCGGAAATCAGCTTTTGTCTGTTTTTTTTCTATTTCTTTTAATATCAAAAATAATGTGTACATAAGACGCAAAAATCGTTAATTGTCTTGAAAGATATATGAATTATTTATGTAAAATGGAGCGGAGAAAATAAAATAATGAAGAGAAAAAACGAACACGCAATACATTCAGCTTTAATTATTTGCAGTTGGCTTCTACGATTTCTTCCCCCCCAAAAAAAACGAATGTTAAGAAAAATTCACTCCAATACTGACGTAGGCGGAAGTTTTTGTTCTGCTGTTGCTGGGGGGGGGGGGTTGGGAAGCCACTTCTCCCAAATTTTTTCCACACACTAAATTCATTTGTCCTTATCCGTGCTTGCAATTTCTGGCGTTTTCAAACGAGTGCTTCACGTTTTCCCACAATTTCATTGCTTTCGGCTAATTTGCGAGTTAAGACTCATCCATCATTTTCCTTGGCTTTGCTCTTTTAAACATGCAACATCACTATAAATTATGGTTGAAGTATGTTCAAAAGTTCATGTCAGCAGTGACTTAAGAAGAAAAACTTTGCTTTTATAAACATTGCAATCATATTAGAAAAATTTCAGAAACTTTGTTCCACAAAACTTTCTATATTATAAAAAAAATTTTTATATTATAAAAAAAATTTCTATATTATAAAAAATGTGAACTTTTATAGATTTCATGAAAAAAAATAAATATCAAAGAAAACTTCCATAACAAGCTTTTAAAATTTATTTTGTTCTTAACTTTTCCGAACAATATCGATATGTATCTTTGTCGGTGCCACGCGTCTTCGCAAATTCGGCTAGATTCTTAAGAACGTGGTCTTGACGCGATGTGCCAAGCTTAGCACGTAAATCCACAAAAATATTTTATGTTTTAGTCGAGTTCATTTGTCATGGCTAACTTTACGAAGAAACCGACAATAGTTTTCTATTTTAAATGGAAAACTTTTCCTAAAAGAAAACTTCAGCCGAATTTTCCAAAAAAAAGCACTACCTCTCGCTTCTCATTCTCATCTTTTCATAAATATTCATAATATATGAATCCAACTTATAATTTGTGATCTCCACTGTTTTATTTACATCATATTAGTAGGCGTAATTTGTATTTTTATAAGCATCATTTCATTTAAATATTTTCAACTTCTTACGAAAAACTGTGATGAGCCGAAAAACTGGCCCAACCTGCTCAAATTTCAAGTCTCAATGTTCACTAAATAGATTATTCATATTTCCTGTTCTTACAACACCATAATTAAGTAAATTGCGATTCGATTATAAGAAATCTTGGCTTCCTTTAAATTTTGAAAGCTCCTTTTCATCATGATCGTCAATTAATATAACTTATTGAAACTATTCATTAGATTAGGAATCAAACCACATCCAAAAGGATTATCCTATTATTTTTGGGAATATAAGTATGTATGCATCTCAACATTCTTTCATATATGTAATTGAATGTTTCATTCCACCAATATTATTATTCCGATCGTCGTTCAAAATTCAATTAAGTGTCATCCAGCATTTTTTCGTATTCATATGTATAGAGTTGTCACATGTGCTCATTAACAGAAACTTTCGTTCATTCTTGAGCAAAAAAAAAATTAAATCGATTATTCAATTTTGTTTTCAGAGCTGCCTCCCGATTTGGAAATGTCGGTTGTCGATGCTGCCAAGAATACTGTGAACGAGTTGCGACTCAACGTGACAAGCTTCTATCAAGATCCTGAAGCTCGCAATTTGCTTCAGTCGGAGGAAGCGGCGAGAACGCTAGCGGACTCGGATGTTGAAGATTATTTGCGTAATGAGAGAGTCTATGAGGTTAGTTATCGTCATCATCAGCATTTCTCAGAAAGAAAATTTGCAAAAAAATAAGCTTCAACTTTAAAGTTTTGCAAAAAAGAAACGCTTGCTGCTCTTCTTTTCCTGCTCAGCGTGATCACATGAGTTAATTGGATGAGTAACCACTAATTGGAAGAAAACTAATTGTTGACATGAATGACTCAAATTTTTAAAACGACTTTCACAGAAAATCATGTTGTGAAATATAAAGACTTCAGAAAACTGTTAGGATTCTGTGATATTTCTCGATCAAAATAATTAAACAGATATTAAGGGCACCCAATCTTTTTTAGAAAATATTTTCTGAGGTCGATTCGGCTTGCTCTGAGCAGCAATCAGCACAATGAAAAAAATAACGATAGTCATTATACAGAATAACTGAAGCATTTTTCCTGCCTTAAGAATTAGCTGAGCTCAGAGAACAGTTGTAGAATGCTTCCTTTAAGACATTGACCCCTAAGAGCCCTTGAGTATCGGCTAATTTCTGATGAAACCTTGATTGAATTTTTCAGTGCGTCATCGGAAGCTCGGTATGCCGTTTGGCTCGCTCGTCAATGCTGGCACTTTCTCTCTTCTGCACTATTGCCATCGCTGTTGTTATCATTACCATCGTTCTTCTTTGCACGTTCTACACATTGGCAACTCCATCGCAAGTAAAAACAATCGCTTCGTTCGATGCGAATCGTTTCCTTCTACTTGATTGAATTCAGGTCCCCGACGACATTAGCAACGAGGATGTGATTGGCGTCATCAACTGGTTGCACTACCCAATCGGTGATCTCGCCCTTCGCCGTCTCAATCATACCAAATACCATTGATGGAGCCGTCAAATAACAAGAAAAACAATAAATGAGCAACATTGTTGTATAGAGAATTTCTCCCCCCCCCCATAATAATATTATCTGAGTACTCCAGTATTAATGCAACATGTTAATAATAAAGTGAATTGTAATAGAAGTGATGTTGATCTACTTATCAAGACAGTGATGCAAGGGAAGTATCTACAAAATTATTTGGCGAATTTGTATGCTTTGACCTACAAGTACGAAGTGATTTTTGATACCGACCTGTATCAAACAATCATTCACACGTCATTTTCAAAAAAAAAACAAGTGATCTGATTTTGATCCGAAGTTATTGGCCTGGTTTTCATTAAAGGAAACCATGGTTAGCTGGAAAATATTTTATAGATATTGCTTAGTTAAAAAAAGCCATTTGATCAGGCAGTAAGGTATTTAAAAGCATATCAATAGGGGGATAATAGTGGCAATGATTCCAATGTCAAGATCGAATTACAATCCAGTCACAACTTTTTTGTTCTCTCGCCCCACTCTCACCAGCTCCCCCCATCAGCCATGTCTCCCGCTTTCCGATTCTTTCATTGCACTTTCTGTTGACATTGGTCATTTTCTGAAAGGAACTCATTCTTATCTATCTCTCACATATTGCTCAAACAAGCCACGTCCAAAGGGTTGATGAAGGCGATTGAAATCAACACAATCAAGCACCGTAGCACGATGTTGAAGAACTGTTATTTTTTGGGTGGCCCACCATCGTGTGTCTGTCACTTCTTTTGTTAATTGGTCAAATTACATGTAGTTTGACAAATTTGTCTGGCTAGAAAAAAGATCAGAGGGGAACAAAATCGTTAACTGTGTTTTTAATGTACCCATTTCATGTTTTATTGTTTCAAAAAAAAAACATGATAAAAGATGATCGCCAAAATTTTTACCGATACATGGTGATCATCATAATCTGCACAAATCATAAAATGTACAAACTTCCACGCGCTTAGGTCAAATAGAAAAATTGTGATTTTCAATGTCCGAGATTAGTTACATTTCGTTGATCAATAGTTTTGGCCAAACGACTATGGGTCCAAGACCAAATCACGAAAGTATCGAAGGATGAAAAATTTTTACCCATGTAGTATTCATACAGCCGGGCACAATCTCAAAAATTGGACTTGAAACATTAGTAAAGATTGTTTCGTTCAAAAAAAGTCCAATTTCGAAAATCCTTCGCATATATTTGAGAATATTGTGAGAAATCGTCGATATTTGGCAATTCCATGTGTGCAATTTTTAAGTGTTCCAAGCTGTTTCCTGAACTTCAAAATTTTCTCAAAAACTTTTTTTCTTTCAACGCATGAATTCAAATTTGGATTCCGAAACAAGAACTGAATTGGTCTCGTTATTTTTTCTCGCAATACATAATATTAAAAATTCCTTCCAACATTTTGATTCCAGCATTTTTTTATTGCCCATTTTCAATTTCCTGCCAAAACGCAAACATATATAAATATGTATAATCAATGTTTGAAATTTTTCTCGCTACTCGAAGCAAACGCAAATAAATTGCAACAAAGAGAGCGATCTGAGTCACATGGTGACGAATTGATCGAAACGAAGAACACCTCGGCAGTGCTTAGGCCTGTTATTTTATTTGTGTACATGCCAACAAAAAAAACGAATGTTCTAGAAACTGGCTGGTGTTTTTCATAGTATGAATCCTGCCTACGTCACTGATAATTCAGAGGAATGATCAGCGTGTCAGAAAATTTGTTGGGGAAGATTGAACCAACATGTTGAAAAGCTTGTAGCTGATGTCACACATTGGTACACATCACACAAAATAAACAGTTTGAGTCATTTTACAGCAAATATTAATATGATCAATGGCAAATCATTTTGAATGCGAAAATGTTTCGAATATATGCGAAATTTTTGAATTGCAAACTATGCGAAATTGGAAAAAAAATGATCAGTTGAGCCTCAGAATTGTTTTCGAATTTCACTGAAAACCTGTTCTACCGCTATTATTCTCTCAAGACGCTCAATAGTCGTTTTCGGCATTCAAACATTCGGTTTGTTAAGTTCAAGTTCTCACAATTCTAACCAATTGCCACATTGAAATTTTGAATATGACATATATAAATAGTGGCGTGCTCATTGTTTCGATGATCATTTCAAAATTTGGTATTGACTACATGTGTATAGAATATACTACAACGAAAATCAAAACGATATCATCGCCGCTTAATTTTTTCTGTGCCGATATCGATTTCTCTCAAGAACACTACTACCATCCTTCCCCCCCAGGCGGTTGAAGGAGGGCTTGGCAAACAATGACGTCATTTTCTGATCATTTCAGCCGTGTTGAAACAGTGGTACATTTCATCATAACCATCATTTCACCTCCTCGGAGTTGTTACTGCTGATGGGTTGCTCCATCCGAAAACAAAACATATTTCGAAATCCACTGTGACTTATCACCGCAATGATAATGTTTAAATGAGTGGCTGATAAATTGACCGCTAGCCGTCGCTCCATTCTCCAATTTTTTTCAATGGTTGTTCACCACCGCCTCAAATTAAAAAAAAAAATTGAAAATTGCAATATTTTTTGAGAATGTGGGCGGCGCTTTCACTTCACCCAACCGAATGACTCATGCATTTGTATAAAAGCCGAGCCTACAGCGCACAATTCCATACAATTTTCCTCCTCCCCCTTCCCCACCCAATCTCGCCCTCCACATTTGAATGTTCGCCTAGAGGAACAAGGTCACGGGAAAGTGGAGGAAAGAAGGGGGGGGGCGGTGGGTGTTTTTGATGTCTGATCATTTCACATGCAGCTTGCTCTTGTAAACCAGATAGGCATTTTTCTAGCACATGTGAATCTCATTTGTTTCGAATTTCGCAACAATTTTTCTTCACCTCGACGAAAATTTTCGAAAAAAAAAATTGGGCGGCGCTTGATTGTTCGGAGCGTTCAGGCGCGGTGTGTGCGCGCACCCGCCTCGCCTCGCTCGTCCTTCTTCTCGATTATTTCGATTCCTTGTACTCTTTTATAGGAAATTATTCCAGCCCCCCGTTTTCCTATTTCTAATATTCTGCTGGCGTTTTGCGAGTTTTGTACTATGCAAAGGTGCTGGGCTAAATATGGTGTGCCAGAACCTATGCTAGTGCAAGCCCCGCTTAACGCTGGTCATTTTTATTTCTCCAGGGTAAGTTTAAAATAAATATATATTTTTTTAATATTAGAAGTTAGGCGAGCTTTGTACTAGACAAATGCACTGGAACACTGAATATCAGCGCATTTGATAGTGCAAAACTCGCTGACTTTCTAACTCATTTTTTTTAATTTCAATTTTGACAGGCAATATATTATTCATTTCTGTATTTTCTCAATAGTTATCAGGTCAAGGTGAGTCAAACCCATAATTTTTTTAAAAATTATATTGCGAAACTAACTAAGATTTCAACATAGGGCGTGCACCTTGTATGGGATTCATTACGAAATATGCAAAAACATCTTGAAATCATAAACATGGAGTGTCGAGTTGGTTAAAATACTTATTGCATAAAAAAATATTACGAAAAAAAATTAACAAATTTGTTTTTAATAAATTATTGAAAAAAAATTAATTAAAAATCAAATTTTTGAGAAATTTTATCTATTCTTCTCAGGCGATATGCGCTTCCGACCAACTCTCATCGAAAGGGTTCAAAATTTTCATCGAACAATTTGAAAATAAGCTTCAAAGTAAGCCCAATAAACGGGCATTTTTTTCTTATTTTTTCTTATTTTGTCTTCATATTCTTTCTATGTCGATCACTAGGAAAAACCGTGAGATTTTCAGTTTTTCATATTTCGCGTGTCAAAGCAAACCTACTAGGTGCTCCGTGACATTTCCTACATTTTTTTTTGCATTGCCAAAACTCCTCGAAAAAATGTTTGTATTAGATAAACAGCCAAACTTGAAATATCTTTTAATTTGCAGCCCAAAACAGGATTAAATTACGCGATTCTTTTTCTTGCAATCCTGTTCTTCTCCGGTTCTCAGGGTTCATCAAAAGAATTGTGCCAAATAACAATTTTGAATGTATTAAACTTCCGGTCAGCCAATTCTTATCAATCGCGTTTTTGATTAAAACATTTCAAACTCAATATTCATCAAAATTAGTTTTTGTTCATGATAAGTGGAGGGATTTGCGTCACGGGCGCGGTTTCCTGTTGCAACACGTTGACTATGATTACTATCGATATGACGTTACTCGCAGGAAGTACCAGCGATTGTTTGAAATTTGAATATAATATAAAAGAGACTGAAAATAGTATTAAACTTAACATTTCTAGCATTCTAATTATATATTACTTAAAACTAGAGAATTGGAAGCTATAACGGGGTATGATTAATGAGTTTTATAGAAAAAAGCCTAATGATTCATTTATATTCTGGTTTATCATTCATTTTTGAACAGAACTAGTTCTGCATTTTTTTTCAAATACTTTACGATGAAAAAAAAATGCGTTTTCGGAATTGAAGGATTCGAAAAAAAAATGTTGAAAATTCTCACGTTTTGAAATTTCCTTCTCGTCAAACTCAAAATTCTCATCCAATTAAATTGCAAATCACACAAATTAAACATTTCTAATAGGATTATGGTAGCCTATTTCACTTCTCCATCATTATCGACAGCCAAATTTGATAAATCAGCAGTTAAGTATCAATGGGATGTTGAAAATGGTAATAATTTCAGTTTTTTAAAAAATAGAGAAGTACGAGCAGGCGATTCAAGCTTTTAGTAGCATAACTTCCAAATGTCTTCATAATTCTCAAATTTAACAATTTGAGAAAATTGCAAAGAAAAAATTGAATTAGTAATGTATTGAGCTTTTTCTTAAGATTTAAATCGAAAATCAATAATTTGTGAAACACAAGAAAACATTTTCTTTTGGTTTCATTATACTTAAGTTTGGCCATATTTTGATTCAAAACCTATGCTGATTATAATATTTGGTTGATGCTATCAAAATTAGAAAAAAAAGTTTTTTCTCTAGAAATAAAGAAAAAAAAAACAGAAAATTGGTTGATTATTTCTAAAAGAAGAAGTAACTACAAATCAGTTATTGAAATTTTTGGAAGATATGTATTTATATTTTGTAGCATTATGATGGTGTTCAGATTTTGAAGAAAAAAAACTCAAAAAACCGGTTAAAACGAGTTTTTCTTTTGCATAATCTGCATAGTTGTTTTGAAAATATAAATATGCATAGTACCACTGTATTTGACTTTTGGCAATTAAAAAAAATCTGCCTGTTACATTTCACATTACGTCCACAAAAGGCACAAGTAATACTCCCTATCTATAAAAATACACAAGCTTTAATTTTTCTACTACTTTTTCTACTCTGATTTCATTACTAGATATAGCAATAAAAAATTGAAGTAGTGAGGCTACGCGTTCTAAAAGAATTTAATGAGATTGGAAATGGAAATGTGATTTTTCTAAAGTACAAATAATAATTTTAAAAAAATTCCAAAATATAGTAAGAAGCCTTGGCATTTGATAACAATGGTTGAAAAAAGAATTTTATAACTGAAAATCAATGGAGACTTTAAGGACAGCAATGAACATCAAACATTTATACGTAAATGTGGAAATGAATACTTTGAAAACAAGTTTTTTTTCACAATCATTAAAAATTCGGTTGAATTAACGCGCAAGAGAGTTATTCGCGCATCGTTCCAGTAAACGGCTTCTAAAGCTTATCAGTAACCATAATTGAAGCGACAACCATTGAAAAAATTAAGAGGGGATCGGTAAATAAAGCAATCAAATTGAATTCGAAACATACAAATAATTGTGCACATTCTCTCTCAAACTTGCTACTTATTTGAACAAATTGCAGGATTCGATGATTGAAACCAGAAGATATCTGAGAATTTGATTTTGCTAAAACTTCATTTGATTCTACCAATATAATGAGGAAAGTAAATAATAATTGATAAGCTATTTTCGCTAGAATTTGTTTTTTAATTCGGATATGAGCAAAAAAACGGAATGCTCAATTCGAACGCGCAGATAATCCACAAGACCAGGGCTCTTGAAAAATCAATCAACTTAATTAAAATCATTGGTACAATTCGGATTAACGATTCTGAGCATCTGCAAAACATTGTCGTTTCTGTCAGAAACTTTTTTTTTTTAATCCAGACCTCATTCAGAATCTTGTCGGGGTATCAAGAAAGCAGTGGGGAAAGAACAATGGACACTTTTGGTTTGGGATAACAAGAAAAGCATTGAGAGAAAAATTCATAAGCAAAACTGGTCCACGGCTCAAACTTGTCCAGTATTCTTAATTTATGGCAATGAGTAATGGGGGTGTCGTATTGGTACTTTTAAAAACAGTTTTTACACGACAGCAGAAGCTTTTGGGAATTCCCGATATTCTATCGTGTTCATTGCAGAATCAACCGTGATTTGTCGTTAACGGATTTATGAGCTACCCAATAATTTTTTTTTCTGAGTTAAATTACAAATATGTTTGCAATATTCAAATAAAAATTCAACTGTGTGATCGCTGCAAAATTTTCGAACAACGAGTTCCATAAAAACACAACACTATTTCAAATTTTATTCGCGACTCCAAGCGTCGCCCAGGAAAAAATTGTCTTCGCCTACATATATTGGAAATAAGATTAATCGGTACCCCTTGCCAAATGTTCTGGACTATTCCAAGCTCATCGCCCTTCGTTTCTGCGCTTGCTCCACATTGACAATTAATCATTTATCTTCTATTCTAGGTGCATCGCATGCGGGCAAATCCTAATCTCAAAAACCATCTGAAAACATCTCGCTAAGAAATTCAGGAAAATAGCGTTGATCCTTTTCAAATCATAATTAAAAAATTACTTTTAAATGTTTCCCCAATCAATATAGAATTCACATCCGTATTGAATGACAAATGCACCACACTTGGCTTCAAAGGCTGAAAGAAACCACCTGCATTCACTATTTTACGCTTTTGTGTGGTGAAAAAAAAACTAGAATTGTCGGGACTAGTTTCTTTCCTTCCACATGAAGCCCTTCAAATCAACCTTTACATATGCATTCTACTCAAATTTAGCCGAACAACTGTGTCAAAACCATATTTTCCTTTTATTAGTACTATTAAATGCGTCTCATCGCTCGGCAATTCACAAAAACTATGGCAATTTAGGCCGTATATATATAACACTTATTTTTTGTTTCTCCAGAATCCTACTATGTGATCATAAAATTATTAAATGTTATTCAAACTTCGAAATAAGCAATGTTCATGCGTCATTGCAAGCAAGACTATCCCTCTCGCCTCAATTGCCAATGTTGTCAGTGGAGCGCGTTTGTCGCGTTGGTGTTGGCACTACGTTGATTTCCTTGCCTATTTGTTCCGATTATTGCATATTGATCGATCGATTCGCGGCGTTTCGCTGCCTTCCACGTTGCATTTGCGCTCGTTTTATTGATTTCTTTCCCGTTTTCATTATGATTTTCAACTCGATTTCTCTTTTTTCTTCTAGTTTGGCGGCGATGTCGGACTTATTCTCCGGTATAACAAGCTCGATAAAAAGTGCAGCAACGGCAATTTCGCGAAATGAGCATGTTCGAAAGATAACGGAAGTTGTGTGAGTCTTTGCTTCTTCCTCATTTCAATATTAAAAACGATAACCATTGTTTTTTTTTTCTAGGAATGATCAAATAATGGGTTACACAGAGGTCGAATTGGCGGTGAGAGAAGCGACAAATGAAGACCCCTGGGGACCAACTGGTCCGCAAATGAAGCAAATTTCGAATTATTTACGTCGTGGAAGCTCGGAGGAATATCGAACGGTTTTTGAATTGATATTCAATCGTATGCTTCAGAATAACAAAGACGCATGGAGAAGAGTTTACAAGGTAATTTTCATTTAATTAATTTGTCAGAGTTGTCCGCCAAAAATTAGAAATAAGCAAGAAAACAAAACGGAAAATATTTAGAAAGGGAAATTTGCCGAAAAATCTAGAAATTTTTTAATTCTTGACAAAATGACACCGATTTTAGCAATAAAATTAATTAAATTATTTTCTAAAAGCAAAATAAAAGGCTTCGCTGAGATTTTAAGCTGTTGGCAAAAGTGTTACTTTAAAAATTTTTTTAAAAAGTAGTTTTGACAAATTATCATATTTGACCAATTTGCCTTTTGAGGCAAATTCAGTAAAAATTGTAAAAAAGAGAGAAAATTAAAAATTGCTAGTTTTTTTTCCATCAAAAAAAATTTACTGCATTATTAAAATTGAAGAAAATAATAAAAACCTCTTTTCAAATATTTTAATTTTGTTGCTATTAAAATTAAAAAGGCATGAAAAAATACAAACATGAAATATAAAATAAAAAAAAATCAGATTCGAAAGTCGAAATGCTGAAAAAAAAACTGAAAAAAATATATTTTTATTTTAAATATTATTTCTTCTAAAATTGTGATTTTAAATTATTATGTGCAAAATATTCTCATATTTATTAAATTTCTCTATTTGAGAAATATTTATAACATTATATTCCTGTTATTTCTTTTGAGAAATTTTTTGATCCCTAATTGTTCCCTTAAAATGATAATTAATTAATGTCTTTTTTGGTTTTCCAAATTCTCTTCTCAACAAAATGCCCCTTCGAATAATGCATATAATATAACTTCCGCGAAATCAAACTTTCCCGACGAGACCTATTAGAAATGAATACAAATTTCGTTTTAAATTTGGCTCAATTTTCGTAAACGTTCTCCAATAGGGAATTGAAATAATTGATTGCAATTTACAATGAAAATTACCCTAAATCATATAACAAGAATTGGCTCATATTTGAAAAACCTAATCGCGTCTAATTATTTTCAAAAAAAAAAAATAGAAAGAATTGAGAATTTTTCTTTAATATTATATTTTTCTGAGTAATGAACAACAAATAGTAATGTTTTTCTCGAGAATGTTAGTTTTTGAACGGAAAGCACTAAGGAAAATAGAGAAAAAACGTTAAAAAGGCTGCATAAAATGAATTATTCGGGAATATTCAAAATCCCGTTAATTAGTTAGCGTCAATTGTCATGGCAACACGAAAATTTCAATTAAATCATTTCAATGATACTCAAATTGAATACTATAGTATTATCGGATAAATATAAAATACTTTTCAAAGAGGAATAGTTTGAGAGATGCTTCTGAGAGGAATAAATGAGATGAATTTAATTGAAAATTTTTGATAGAGAAATTCTCAACTCATCAAAATTTATTTCTGCAGAGTTTGGTGCTTCTCGACTACTTGCTGAAAAATGGAAGCGAGCGTTTCGTCAGCGATGCTCGCGACAAGAGCTACGAAATTCGACGTCTGGAAAGCTACAAGTATATCGACGAGAAAGGAAAAGATCAAGGAATCAACAGTAACGCAATTTTTTTTTAATTAAATACCACTTTGCCTTACTATTTAGTTCGCCACCGTGCCAAGCTTGTGCTCCAGCTTCTCAATGATGACGATCTCTTGAAAGCGGAGCGCCAGAAAGCAATGTCGGATGACAAGAGCAAATATCGAGGATTTGACAAGTACGACATGATAAATGAATCGTCGTTCCGCTCGTCATCCTCATTCAATGGATCTGGTAACTGGTCGGGTAGTGGTACCAGCAATTATGACTACGACAAGAAATCCATTGAGAACAAGGAGGTCTCCAACTTTTCCTTTGACAAATCGCCAAATAAATTGGATGTCGAACCGACGAAGGTAATTTTGTTTGACCAACGAAAAAAAAATATGTGAAGGAAAATTTCAAACAATTTAAGCTAATATTTTCTGAAGTTAATCAATGAAGCTATGCGCAGTATTATTCAATAAATATAAGTCCATAATTCTTCGAACAATCTTGTTCGAAAGATTGACTTTGTTCAATAAAATATAATTCTAAATGGATTTCACGTGCAAAACCTTTAATTTCAACATTTCCCATCTTTTTGAAAATGAAATGAATCGCATTAATAATTTTTTGATATTTCATATTTCAGATAATTGGAGACGATGATGATGATGGTTTTGGAGACTTTGTGAGCTCCAGATCAGCACACTCAACTCCATCAGCGACCAAGGCGAATACAGCTAGTGCTACACGTAAGATCAATTACCTCATTGAAATTCAAAAAGTGCAGACCTCCCCCTTTCAAAAGGCTGTTTCGGCAATAAAGGAAAGAGAGAAGACATTTTACCGCTGCTAACCTTGCAGACGAGCGCATCTTAGCCGTCTGCTCCTTGCCTTGATCGAAATTAAAATATGAACGACGATTGAGGCATGAGAGATAACAAGTAGTTTTGGAATTCGAAAAAAATATTAGTCCAAAAATCGGATAAATCATTGACATGATTATGAAATCTTTCCGATATTGCTAATCAACGAATTTAATTATTAAATGAAAAGAATGAAGAAATAAATAATTCCTGAAATAAAATGATTACCTTGATACCTCAAGATCTTATGTTTTAAAGAATACTTTGATAACCTAATGAAATATCAGAATATTTGCATTATCAGGCGTCGATGATCTTTTTGCCGCCGCCATTCCGCCACCAATCGCTCCACCACCGGCTGCTTCTCAACCCGCCGCACTTCCACGAAAGCCATCACTCACCAATGAAGTCTCCAATGTGGATCTTCTTGGTGGATTTGATGCTCCGACAATTCCAACTATTGAGGCTAACCGTCCATCACGCCCGGCTCCTGTTGATCCGGTCATCGATTTATTCGCAGTAAACTTTTCCGAAATGATCCAAACATTTGAACTCCAATTTTCCAGCAAATATCCTCGACACCTGTGGCTTCTGCACCAGCCGCTGCACCAGCGCAAAACAATATCGATTTATTTGGTTTCGGTGCCGCTCCAATCGCCGCCACCACCACGCCGACGTCCAATTTCGATGCTCTCGGAAGCTTGTCATTCACCCCAGTTGCTCCAACCCCGGTTATCACTTCTCCAAGTCTCACTGCAGTTCCAAAGCCTGCTCCAGCCCCTGCTCAAACCAAGAAGGTGAAACTTCGTAATATAATTGGTGCAAACAAAAAAAATTGATTTTAGGTTGGAAGCTCCTTCCAAGGATTGGACGATTTTATGAATCTCTCATTAGGATCGTCATCAAATTCTGCCCCAAAGGCAAAGACGCTGAACGAAATGCGCAATAGTCAGAAATAGACGTATCTAGTTAGCTCATAATAGATTCAATTGGCCTTATATTTCTATCAGCCATACGAGGACAGTCCCAGTTTTCATGTACTGAAATTATGGTTTATTGCTGTTTAATTTAATCTAATTATCTATTTTTTTTTCTGTCTCATATCAGTTATTTTCTGGAAGTGTGTACACTTTAAGTGCCTTTCTATGATATTTCTTATGTCTGATATTATGTTATTACTTGTGATATTGTTGTGAAGTCGTCAATTAACGTGATTTTAGAAAACAAAATGGTTCGGTTCTTGATAAAAATTGCAATAAATTATTGGTTTCGCATTGTGTTTTGTTCGCCTCGTTTCACGTGATGCCGGTTGGCGTCGATAGAGAGGATTCTATGATATTTCTTATGTCTTATATTATTTTTTTTTAATTATCAAATTCCCCTTCAAAGGCGAAGACGTTAGCTAGGTCATCATAGATTCAAGTGCCTTTATATTATATTTCTTATGTCTGATATTATGTTATTACTTGTGATATTGTTGTGAAGCCGGTTGGCGTCGATGGAGAAAGAGACACTCGTCGCGGTTGTCTACCATTCGGCAATGTCGATCGGATCATAGGAATGCAGCTAATTCAGCTCAAACTAATTGACAAAGAATTCTGAATATTAACCTTTTCTTAAAGCAATCTGAAATAAAGATAATCTCATCATCGTTTCACTTTAGCCCAACTCGTTTGCGTGCCCTCTTAAACTGGTACAAATCTCACAGAAGAGGCTCATTTGATTATTTCTAAATAAGCAATTTTTAGAAAGCTTGCATATTTCAATATTTTGATCATAGACATGTTATCTGTTTTTAAAAGATCCCTAGCAAAAAAATGCAGCAGAACAGACGGCGTTAAAGAGAGTAGACGAAGTACTTCGTGCCTTGAACGATGTGAACCTATCCATCTTCATCTATCGACGGTTCTGCTACGGAGGTAAACTGACTGTCTTTTTTCTAATTGTCAAAGGACCGTTCAGTACAAAATTGTCATTTTTCTGATATGACCAATTTCCGACAAGTCTTTTGATGTTTTTGCGCATTGAAATAGCAAAATATTTATTTATAACATTTCCTTGTGATTCTTCATAATAAAGTTATTGGAATTTGCTGGTGGGAATGAGAAGCTTCGACAGAAACATATCTCATGTGTCTTGTTGCATTTCCTTTAAGAATCGACACCCATTTTTGGTACCGTATGCCATTAATCATTAATTTGTCATTAGCATCTCAAGGTCTTTTGGCGAAAACCGTTTATATGATATATTCATTGTGATGAACAATTTAACGCGTGACAATCGAAAAAAAAGTCCGATCGGAACAGTGCATAGCTTGCAGTTAACTATGCTGAATGATGACGTATCTGGTCGATGTTCGCAATGAACTCTTGAAGGTTAAACGGTTTGTAAAATCGGCGCCAACCATCGTGGCCTACAAAATAAAACCTAGGCCACGATTTTCTATTTCCGCATTCCATCGCTGTCAAATATTCTACAAACCCGATTTATCTTTATTTCAGATTAATAAAAGTATATTTTAATCTTCAGAATTATTTTTCAATTAGTTTGAGATGATTAAGCAGCGTTTTTGCATTCCTATGATCCGATCGACATTGCCGAATAGAGGTAGACAACCGCGACTAGTGTCTCTTTCTCTATCGACGCCAACCGGCATCACGTGAAACGAGGCGAACAAAACACAATGCGAAACCTAATTTATTGTAATTTTTATTAAGAACCAAACCATTTTCTTTTCTAAAATCACGTTAATTGACGACTTCACAACAATATCACAAGTAATAACATAATATCAGACATAAGAAATATCATATAAAGGCACTTGAATCTATGATGACCTAGCTAACGTCTTCGCCTTTGAAGGGGAATTTGATAATTAGCAACTGGGGTGAATGACAAGCTTCCGAGAGCATCGAAATTGGACGTCGGCGTGGTGGTGGCGGCGATTGGAGCGGCACCAAAACCAAATAAATCGATATTGTTTTGCGCTGGTGCAGCGGCTGGTGCAGAAGCCACAGGTGTCGAGGATATTTGCTGGAAAATTGGAGTTCAAATGTTTGGATCATTTCGGAAAAGTTTACTGCGAATAAATCGATGACCGGATCAACAGGAGCCGGGCGTGATGGACGGTTAGCCTCAATAGTTGGAATTGTCGGAGCATCAAATCCACCAAGAAGATCCACATTGGAGACTTCATTGGTGAGTGATGGCTTTCGTGGAAGTGCGGCGGGTTGAGAAGCAGCCGGTGGTGGAGCGATTGGTGGCGGAATGGCGGCGGCAAAAAGATCATCGACGCCTGATAATGCAAATATTCTGATATTTCTTTAGGTTATCAAAGTATTCTTTAAAACATAAGATCTTGAGGTATCAAGGTAATCATTTTATTTCAGGAATTATTTATTTCTTCATTCTTTTCATTTAATAATTAAATTCGTTGATTAGCAATATCGGAAAGATTTCATAATCATGTCAATGATTTATCCGATTTTTGGACTAATATTTTTTTCGAATTCCAAAACTACTTGTTATCTCTCATGCCTCAATCGTCGTTCATATTTTAATTTCGATCGTCGTCGAATGACCTTTACCAAACATGGTATTGCTTTTATATTTGCCTTTCAGAATTAGGCATTAATGCCGATCAGATAAAAATAAATTTACTCAAACACTAAACGATGGAATCTATCAAGGCAAGGAGCAGACGGCTAAGATGCGCTCGTCTGCAAGCTTAGCAGCGATGAAATGTCTATACTCACAGAAAGCTCCCAGATCCAAATAAAACGACAACCGAACTCAAATAATTTTAAAACATTTTTATTGGGAAATACAATATACATTATAGTCGCCTTGCTATTTAACCCTCAAAAAGCTAATTTCCATTCATTGTTATGCAATATTCATTTGATGACAATGATCTGAAGTCTGAAGGATGGTCGTTTTCGGAGTTGTTCAATGCCACTTCGTTTCTATCTGATGTCTAGCGATTGCGTTATTTTTGAGAAAAAAAACGGTGGCCACCTTGCTTTCCTCGCACGGCGATATCTTCTTACCTTGAAGTGGATGTTGAGCGAGAAATTCTTTGATGAAAATCACAACTGTCGGGTTCAAATCTTCCCTAAGATATTTCAAATTCTTTAAATAGTAAACCTATCAGAAACCAAGCATTTCATAAATCCTTCGTTTCAAAACTTTTTACGGGATTTTTAAAACAATAATTACATTAATAGTCCGTTTCTCTCCATTGATTTCTTAATCTAGCGCGTGTTTCCTTATATAAAATTGAATTGAGCTAATTTTGGCAAAACAATTTAACCACCCAGCATCTTTCCCAATGCTTTAAACTTCTCTCAAGGTGCGTTTCACATTGCTAGTGACATTAATTTCTTTCTTGTTTGTCACCGCCGTTGCCGTCATTGTCATCGGATGAATTTTAAACGATTGAGATCGACACGCCTTCATCAGCAATGTCCGACCTTCAGCTTTGTCGAGGAACGTTGAAGCGTAAAAGAGACCACCCATATTTATCATATATCGGCATACGTCAAATCAAATTCGCCGATTTGCTTTTGATCGACTCGTTGCGAGTTTTTGAATCATTGTCGAGTTCCTAATTATTTGTATAGTCAATAAGGCCCCGCCCAATTCTCGTTTGTTTTTGGCCGCCTTTATCGCGTGCTCTATGTCTCTCGCAAAACATTCCCGCCCAATTTGTGAATGCACTGTATATAAGTGACCGCAGACTACCGAAACGCAACCAATCGAGCTAATCGTCTGCTAACCCAGACACTGTTCGATTTGCAACACTCCTCAGCCATTGTATTTGCAGAATGCAGGTGCCTCAATGCCATTTCGACGTCGCTTCCTATCCAACCGTGCTGAAATATATGCAACCACAAACCACATCAAGAAAGAGATGCCATGACGGTCGAGATTATGCAAGCAATATAAGAATGGCACTGATCCCACCAGCAAATCGACATTATTCTCCCGAATTCGACAAGTACATACTTGGGTCATACTCTCTGTGTAAGGCGTAGGTAATAAGGAAATTAGAAAAATTTGAATTACAGATGACCCAGAGTACAAGCTGTTTATTCGGGAAATGCTGGCATCAGAAGATAGAGATTTGTTAATTAAACGCTTTAATGAAGTCAGGAGAGAGCAGGAAGGTAATCCTCACAAAGGCATATATTTTTAGTCATTTATTTTGATTTTACAGACATATTTGTAAGGAATGTCAACAGATGTTCAACTAGTGCCGACCAGAATTTATCCAAAGAAAGCGCGCATGGCATTTTGGCACCCAACACCTATGAAACATTTCGAGAAAAAGAGCCGGTCAAATCGCGTGATATGACTCCGGAGGAACGTGAGCAAATGATGAAAACAAAGCTCTGGTCAATGCTGGAAGTTTGAGAAAGGATTTTACAATTTCTAATGCTTTATATTGTATTTTTGAAGCTTTAATTACCTGCTAGTATTATAAATTCATTCAAATAAAACTGATTATGAATCGAAAGTTGTTGTGCAGTAAAAATAAAACGTTATCTGGGGAAAATAAAACGTTATCTGGGGAAAATGGTTCCGTTTTTCATTCAACTTGGTTGCCTTTAGCTTCAAACATTCTTCCCTTATATGAATACTGAAAATACTTCGAAACGACATCTTTTATTATATCAACCATCGGAGACTTGAGGTATTAGCGTGTATAATATTCAAATAATGGAATTTTATGGATTATTCAAGAAATATAATGAGTATTTCGCTCCATCGCAACTTCTTGGTGGCATTTTTTTGGAAAGACGGGTAGTATTCGATGGAGACGCGGTTAACATGATTCTGTAAATGGCTGGTTACACCGACGAAATTGCAGGTCGACGCTGAACTAACAGAACATCACGTCGCATTGGTTTGGAAGCGGATAGATGATGCAGTGAGCGAACATTTTTGTTTGAATATGTTCAGAATGATTCGGCAATGAGTCGAACGCTTCTTTTATACAAAATTGGACGTCAGAATAATGGGTGAAGTGGTCACAGATGGCGAACCGGTTCTGAAATTGGTCGCCACGAAAAAAATTGGCGATCCAGACAAACCCACCCACCAATGATCGCTCTGGAATGAAAGACATTGCGCGAACCCATAGAGTACGGACGATTTACAAATTATCAATGAGTGTTGCAGAACGAATAATTCGTCGAAATATGGGGGTTGGACTTCTCATTATCGTTACGACTAGTTTCCAGTTCTCGTCCTGAAATCGAAACCAAGAATCGAAAACCGATGTTGTTGACGTGATAACTAAACGGAAAGACAATCGGAGAAAATGTATTCTGTAATCGATGGGAGTTGATAAGGGTTCGAGAAACAACCAAAAAGTAATGAAAACCTTGCAACCAGAATTATATTTTTAAAGCTCAATTTGTTTGATACTTATAAATTTTAGAAATAATGAAAAGACCTCAATTTTGTTGGATAAAATGAAGTTTAAAACTTTTGGTGCAAAAAGACTTTAAAACTATATTTTTAGAAATTCTCAAATAACTTTCAGATTTTTCCAGACGTCCTCATTTATATGTTTCTTATCAATACATCCTTTTGGAAATCGTCTTAACATTTCAATGCAATTCATTTTTCTACCAAAAACTTTACTAATATTTGCGACAACTAATTTGGTCAATTTTTTCAATTTTTTTCCTATATTTGTTGCGAATGTTGCACTTTCTTCGATAACCCCAATTATACGAAAATTTGCACTTTAAAATCGAAGCCAATTCATTCCAAATTGCATTTGTCGCAATTGCATCTAAATAATTAGTAATTGATATTCACGGAAAAAGAGAAAATTTATTTGTGGCAAAAAATGTATTTTCTACCATTTTTTTTTCGAACATTTTCCATCATTCAATTTCATAATATTCGAGCTTATGCTCAATCCCCCCCCCCACTCCCTACATCCCCCATCCCAATGTTCTTTTCTTCGCGTGTCCTCGGTTTTTTAATTAGTATGCATTAAGGAAATTGAAACGGGATATCTTGGATGCGCACATATTCCTCCATTCATCTCGGGGGCCTTCTTCTATAACATGATAGAGCAACGAAATGCATATTAATAATTTATTGTCGTTGAGATTATAAGCTCCAATTTTTTTCTCCTTCAATTTCCGTTCTGGAATGAGCGTCATTCCTTCGAAAATCTGATTAAAGGATTTTCCGGAAATAAGCAAATACAATTTTTATTAGGAAAAATTCGAATACATACACATTGTAGGGTTGAGAAATTTTTGTGCTCGAACAGGTGGTATCTACATAAACATTTTGATGTAATGGAATCTGAACAATCGGCGGCGCAAACTCAATTTTTTTCCGCGTGTTCTCGCCAGATGCTTCTTTAGCTTCAAACTTCTGCCAATTCGATCTTTGAAAGCCAATTTCGGCACCAACTGTCATCCAAAGATTCATGAATGAAGAATTGCACACATTTAATTGGATCGATGGAGGCCAATTTCGAAAAAAAAATGAGAGCATCTCCACCATAGTGACAAATTGCAAGTCATCAATTTCTCGATAGTTGACGCCTTCTCCAAACGTACTCAAGCACACATACACCATTTTTCTTTCATTCTAATGTATTTTGAAAGCCGAAAAAAAGAAAAGGGGAAAAGCTGAGCAGAACGGAAAAAAAACGCTAAACCAAAAATGTACACATACATTTGTTTAGTTTTCACACTTTCTCACAAAACATGCAAAATTAGTATGTCTAGAAAAAAATGTTGTTTTGGTTTCATACAGAATGTGCTAATGAGTCCACGGCAATCAAATTCCTCATTGATATTCTCAAAACAAACATTTTACAATGTATACAAAATAGTCAAATTGTTTATATATACATATATATATATATCCATGAAAGTGTTTGTGTGTGTGTAACATTAGACTTCCTGCAGTGCACTTTTTTCTGAGCAACATAACTTCGTGTAAGGGCGACAAAATGGAATTTAGAAATTGAGAGGGAAAATGTAATACTGGCTCATGTTTCACTGCAGAAGGAATTGCAAAAAAAAGAAAGAAAGAGGGCGCCGGAATTCAAGTGCCTTCTCGCTCCATTAGCTTCCATGTTCATTTAATTTCCAACCCAATATTTTGTGCCTGATTCCATTATTCATATCATGTTCTCCCTCACTTCACTTCTTCCACCATGAAAAAAAAGCCAAATGATGTCAGGTCCAATATTAACACTAGCGATTCACTTACAACTACTATGATTTCGTTGTAGATATGAATCGTTAGCATTAATACTGGCCCGCTCTGTGGGGGCGAATATCAGTGATCACAGCAAATCGCGCCAGCGTTCCGCTACAGGTCCCATTAAACCTTCACTTACAACCATAACGATTTGGTGTACAGGGAAGGTTAATGGACCAGTAGCGGGGATAGCGGCAGGAATATTGAAGAGGGTACTTTGGGAGGGGGGCACGGCGAATCGGTCGCGGCTCCGCCGAGCACACTGAACATTCTTCAACGTCGTCCCGAATGCCGGGTTGAAAGTGGGCGTGGCGTTGGGGCGCGGCACGGGGGGATGCTCGAATGTGTGTATGACGGCGGCATCGCCTTTTCCTTTCGCTCCCGTTTCTCTGCTCTGACTGATTTTGGCCGACTGCGTCGTCATCGTCGTTCTTCTCGAGAAAAAAATTAACGACAAAGAAGCATTAGGGAAGAAACGTCTAATTAGGAGAGTGAAAATTGAAAATGATCGCATATCAAATGCGGTGTGTCGTCTATATATTAATGAAATAAACATCTGCAACATCTGGTGTTCCATTGAGCCGCTCGGCTTCTCGACGATTCCAATCGCCATGGAAAATATTGGTCCCGCCAAAATAAACGTTATTCACCAGAAATGCTGGAAAAAAATTATAGTTGTTTACTATCAAGAAGGCTACAAATTATTATATCAGTTTCATGTACAAATAATTGAATTTTACTACACAAATATCTAGATTACTGTAATCTTCTTAACTACCAAATCAATCAGAGATTACGTATAGCGTTTCATTTTCTTAATTGCGTCACAAAAAATCAATCATGAAGAGTAGTACGCTCCCCAGCAATAAAGAAATTGATTGTATTTTTTTCAGGTTTCCCATGATGCACGATTTGCCATAATTTTTCCCATATTAAGGTGCATCACAACGACACGACTTCCATCATTTTTTTGATTCGCTTTTGGTTCACTATGGAAGCGTTCGAAACGGAAATGCCGCCATTGTTTCAAATATTGTTCGTCTCATTTGCATTCATTTCGGCTCACCGCAAGTCTTACACATTCTCACTCACTTGAAGCCATTCTCACTTTCTCAATTTTTATGATTACTTTTTCTCTGTGTAATTCCCACAACCAACACCTTGCATCGTCCGATTACACATAAATATACTAAGCCAACTCTGTAGTTAACATATTATGTCTTTTTCGCGACCAACCAAAATAATTGAATTTGTTTCAATGTTCTCATATGTGTACATATTTCTGTGTGTATGTGTGTTTGAATGAGCAACATGGAGGGGTGTCGAACAAGAACAAAAGTGGAGCAACATTCGTACAAAGTGCATTGAATTCAGGTGTGAAATTTGCAAAACAAAATTTCACAAGTCTCTTATGAATAATTTTATATAAAGCTTTTCTTCCAAAAAAAACACCCCGTTAAATTTCTTGCACAAAAATGTTACTGGATTTATAGTAATAGTAATCTCTACTTCACATAAGTTGGTTCAGGTTCATTATCATCTCACAACGACAAATTCTGGTAGCCGCTTCGTTTCCGGAAAACGGTATAGCTGCTTGTAAACAGTTTTCCGTCTCAAGACATTTTCAACACAGTTTAATTTCGCTGCCAAAAAAAACAAACTCGACCTTTGATATATTATTAATACTATATATTCACAAGGGAAAATCAAACTATGAAGAAGTATAGCATTTCAGTTACTTGAAACCTTAAAAACCAGAAAAAAAATAATTTCTCAAAATTTGGCGTAATGAAAATGTGTTCATTAGCAGTCTACTAAAATAATGGTGTTCTTTCAAAATGTTCAGAGTTTATTTTTAAAAATCACTTATTCTTTTTTAATCTTCTCATTTTATTGTTCTCAATCTATTAGATCAGATAACAGAAGGGAACTGCGTCGATTCGACCATTCAATCTCGCCCTTTTCTCGTTTTTTGCAATTGGTTAGATATAACACACATTAAGTTATTTAATATTTGTGGCTGCCACTGTCTTAAAGATAACGTTTATTGAATGGTTTAAAACCAATGAGTCAATATGTACTATGCATTTGAAAATTTCATTTGGCTGGGCGGCGAGGGATGGCCTTTATGATGAAAATTGATATTTAAAAAATTTCAAAATTTGCTAATTAAATAATTGTAGTTTAAAGGTGCTTTAAATTACAAATCAGTGGAATTTTCCTTTCAAGATATATAAATTATTCTTCGAGCTGAACCAAAAACAAAAATGCGCATTCAGGTCAAATCTCATTTTCTCATTGTCACGCTTGCTGCAAATACCCATTAGTTGCATTTTTCCCCCCGTCGTTCTCATTTGTATGTGCAAACATGTGCTTGAGACAAAGAGGGCAAAAATGAGCAAAAAAGAATGCATTTTCGGGCAGATTGATTCTCAATTGGAGTCGGCGTCTAAAAAGGAGCCAAAATTGCTTTACGTTGAGGGAGGGATGCGTACCCAAAATTGGAAGCGGAAGGTTCGCCGCTGCTCAAGCAGTAAACATAAACTTTAGAGATGATATGCATTTATAAATCAGAAAAATAATGATTCAAACTAAATTTTCTTGTTGGTTGAAATTTATAACCTGGCAACCTAATCGCTTGTGGAATAATGCTCAAGATACACCATTCATGCTTTTTCTTTTCAATTGTATATTTTAAAACGATATAAATACAATGCTTTCTCATAATACTATTTATTCTGACATTGGCCGCATAGTTTCATACACCTATTGCGCGAATTGCATCTACCATCTCTCTCTCTCTCTCTTTCTCGCTCACATTCTATCTCTCCACTGCATTCGCATCGTTGTCTACGCGATCACCTCCCGCGTTGTCAGCTGGGGGTATAGCTCAGTGGTAGAGCGCTCCCTTAGCATGGGAGAGGGCTGGGGTTCAATTCCCCATACCTCCATGAACGTTTTGCAAGATTTTATTTGGAATAATCAACACGTAACATTCTACTCAATATCGAAATAAAGAATCGTGGTTTCTCCGAGGATCACACTTCTTACTTATAATGAAAAAGCCGCAGTCTGACATAAAATAACTAAGAAAACATGTTTTAAATTCACATAAATTATGATCATAATTTTTAGATTAAGGTGTCACATTTTGTGACGTCATATTCAATCTCAATCCATTTTTTTTGGGGAAAAAATGTGTTAAGCTTTTTTTTGTTTGATTTTATCACACAAAAATGCGTGGGTGGACGGCTATTAATGACAACGTTGCTTATTTTGAGATCAAGTGATGTCGTGTCAGTAAACCGCCTAAAATTATACTCATTGGGTAATTTTTATTCTAAATTCTTGTACCTTTCGATCAATTATGATAAATTTATCGAATTCGAAATTCCGTAGAAAATTTCTTTCAAACCTCCGTTATGTAGTTTCAGTGGGGTTTATTAATTTTGGATTCTAATTTCGCTTTCAGCTAATTTTTCTCTCTCATTCTCTTTATAGTAGACTAATCTAGGCGCGCTTTAGATGGCGCCAGGCACTGCATCTGCACGTCAAGCTTATCCCTCAACATTTCAGTGTCGAGAAAGAAAAAAATAAAACTCCGCCTATTCTCAAAACAAACCTATTTTTTTTTGCATAACGGCTAAGCGCTCGCATATTACCGTAATACTTTCATGGAAACATTTTAAGAAGAATCAAACATCTCGACCAATTTTACCAAAATTCTGACCAATTTTGTCTACCAACCTTTGCTAAATAGTGAAAATGAACAATTAACTAACGCTCAATTAAGCATAAATGCACCTGGCAGAAATTGAGATTAGCCGAATTAATAAATAGACACTTCTACCAAATAGCACGCATATGGCTAGCCATCCTCCAATTATTCGTCTTCAACTCTTTCACCAATTCCCAAATGTTTGGTGTTAAAATCTCTTATTATCTTATCAGCTGTCAACACGATCTCTGGAATTGAAGACGTTGACTACTCTAGTTATATATTCATCTAGATTCAACAAATTTTTGCAAAACGAAAAGGCTCGTTTCGATAATTTTCGCGCTCTGTTTCAATCACTTTCGATAGTAGACCGAAAAACAGCAAAAAATGGCATCTGTCAAAAATGCACAATATTATAGATGTCGAGCAACATATAATTTTGTAGAATGTAAACAATCCGCCTCATATCACTCATAAAATTCTCTTGTTTTACACGTATATGGTTTGGACTCAAAAGCTTTCATTCAGAAGGAAGTTGTAAGCTGTTGAGATGCCGTGCGTCAAGTTACCAATGTGTGTTCGGAGCCCATTCTCGGTATGCCATTTTCAATTTCTAAGCGCCACGCATAATTGCCCATATTTGACTTCAAATGATAGAAGAGGAGAATGTATTCTAGTATTAATTAGCCAAATTATTTCAGAATTTTCGTCGACGCATCTTCAGACGCAACATTGCACAAGCAGGTAACGAATTTGTGACTACTCTGAGGTTCAAACCTCAAAATAGAATTAGAAAATATTTTTTTTTAGAAAATGCTGTTTTCATTTATGAGAAAAATTGATGAGCTTCAGGTGCCACCTTTGAAGAGAAAGTGCTTGTGGACGAGCAAGATGAAATCTCTGCTGGACATAAGAATGAAGCTGCTGCTGAAATCATTCAAGGCCAGAAGATCGAAGGCGAGTCGGACTCGAGCGAGAAGCTGCACGAAATTGTAAAATCGAAGGTGGAGTTGAAGTCACAAGCTGACTTGAATTCCAATTTGGATTCGAAGATTGAATCGATGACGAAGTTGAAGTCGGAGACAAAGGTGGAAGGCGATTCGGATGCAGATTCGGAGAGAGAGTCTGGAAACGAATCCGAAGGAGAATCGGTTTACGATTGCCCATTGAGTACCATCAAGATATTTGCCACCGACGAGCCAATCCCGCGGCCAGCATTGGCGATCGGATTCGATGCTCAAATGTCGCCGGCGCAATGGCGAAATAAGCTTCTTCAATTGCAATTGTTTGAAAAGGATTTCGAGAAGAGCATTTTGGATGCAAACGCTGACCACACCGACGAAGTTGGCTTTGAACTACCATAATAATATGTGCATTCAATGTTAATTTCCAGAAATTGAAATATCGAGCTTCTGCTCTTTATCCTCTTATTATTCCCGAGGATCCGCACTTGGCGACGGAATTGATCGTTCTGCACGACGTCTTCGAACACGTTCGCAAGGCTCGATTGGAATTTCTTCAATTGGAAAATCCTGTCAAAGCGGCGGTACAAAAAAAATAATCCTATTTTAAACACGTTTTCAAATACCGTTTAGATAGAGGAAAACAATAATTCGGAACCTCCGCCATTTGTTGAGGAAACTAAGCAGGTGTTGAACACCCTTGATCGGATTGATAAACACATGTACTACAACAAGTGCGTTACCCAAGATGGTGGAATGAATGATTACGATAGCATGCGCTCTTCAATTGAGTAATCCGAATTCAATTAAAACTATAATATGACCGAACTTAAATTCTAGGGCTGATGGACTCAATGATGCCATTCTGCGGGCCTTCGCTGAGCGCTTCGAGAGCTATTGCGAGAATCTCCTCAAAAAAATGAGAGGTCAGAAGACTGAAGAAGAATGCTCGCTCGATTTGGAGTATGGCGATGAGCTGAACGCCGAAACTCCGGAGACCTTGTATAACTTCAGCCCGAGCGCATTCAGCGATGCCATGAGACTACTCGCTCAGCTTGAAAGCACTGATGACGAAGAAGACTAGTTCTAATTATAAGAAATTGTTATCTATGTTATTTTTCGGCACCCTCCCTTACCCCTTTTTTCCAAAATGATTTTATGAACCATTTATTTTTTTAACATATTTAATCGAATAAACAATTATTTATTTTTGAGCTCTAAAACAAGAAAATAGTGTCAAGAGAATAAATCTGAACACAATACGTGTCTGATCTAAGCTATTCAACTTCTTAATGAAGGGGGCGGGGTCTCAGATAATTATTTTAAAATTGCAGAAATTAATTCTTTAATGCAGAGTTTCACTTCCCTTCGCCCCTTGGAACATAGTTTGTTCAAATTTAAATTAATCGTCTGCTTTCAACAATATACATTATATTGTCACGAAAGAAATCGCGGTTTTCGATTTTGTTGTATATTGTACTTTATTGCTACAATTCTTCATATTAGTCAGACCTGGGGCCCAGTGATTACTTTTTTTTCAGCCATTTAGAAGCTCGACACCCTGAAACCGTGCTCCGCATAATATTATTTGTTCCACCATGTTTAAACGGAGAAATGACTAATTGATTATTTAACCACAGATAATTGGCACTCATTATATGTATTCAACGTTTAGTAAATTGCTTTACAAAACAATCTGACATTTTTCGTTCAAGGTATTAACTTTTTTGGTTTTCATATTCAAATGTTGTCACATTTCTTCGGTTTTCTGTCCATTAACAAAATTTATTGGTTGAAATGGCTTATAACATGTCATTGTAGGTTAAATAAGAATCGATATGCGGCGATTTAAGCTTCCTCCATTTTTTGAGCCTCGAGGTAGTACTCCTTGTATTGAGCCGGATTGGCCCACCAGGTCTTCAAGTCTTCAACCGACTAAATCGCCATAATTGCTTCTTACAAATTTTTTTGATAAAATGTTACCCCGTATTCAAACGCAATGGCGACGGCGTTGACGAGCTCCGGCGGCCAATTGATTCCAGACGTCTCACCGGGATCGAGGCACATCGAGCAGAAATTGACGACATTGCTCTTATTAGACAGCTTATCCTTGAGAATGAGACCGCCAATGATTGTCTCCTTATGATCATGGCAAATGTACGAGAAACTGTAGTATTTGGTGAGCGACACAAAACTGAAGCATTTATCAATTGTTCGATCTTCAACGGGAATCGACTCGAGGCTTATAATCGGCTGCAAGAAGCTTATTTCTATTTAATTATTGAATTTTTTTGTTTTCGCAATATTCAATTACCGCAATTTCATCTGGAATGACAATCGCTGGCATGGGTTTCGGAGGCCCCACATTCACCATATCCCACTTGTGAATGCGAATTTTGTTTTTGCGCAATGTCTTTATATGAAGCTCCACCTCAATCGCCTTATTCCAAATATTATGGATTATCACTTCCGCATCATTCTGAAAACAAATTCGAGATTGCTATCGGCATCATTTAAATTGTTTTGCACCGTGATGAACGGGAATGTCGCTCTCACCGCATCGGTGATGCAACTATTAAACGCATTGCGACGACCGAACACGTTGTCGTCTTTTGCGCATTTGTCGCATAGCGGCACACAGACATTTTCCAACGTCTCAATGTCGCGAAGAATGAGCCCGGCGCGCACCGATTGATTGTAATGATGGCAACACTCCATAGTAGGCAGCATTCTGGCAGTTCCGACAAAGGAGTACGCATAGAACATTGGGAAGTTGTTCTAGAAAAATTGAGTGTATGTTAAAGTCTGAATTACAGCAATCCTGATTAACGCTGCTTTTCAGGACGGTATACTGTAGAAACTAGTGTAAGACAATCTCATTTCAAGATTGAAAAAAAATTTTTTTTAAGCGGTCGCCTTAGTTCTTCCCCTTCCCCCTTTCTTATAGACGACACAAGCTTTTGGATGAGTTCATGGCCAAGAAACATGTGCAAATTCGGACCAGATGTTATTGAGTCGTTCGCTTTGTCTCGCGCACTCTCAATTTTTACGCCATTTTATATATCGCGAAAATTTACAACGACGCGCGAGCGCGCGCAAGATGATAGATCGCGCCTTCCACAAAATTCCACAAGCTAGTCGTCATTTCATGAATTGATGGAGCATCGCGAAAAAAACAAACAGTGGAATGAGATTGATGTTTTTTTGCAGTAAATTTGAGCCAATTTCAGCCTGATCGAACATGCTCAAACAAGACGTCATGACTATTTTTGGCCACGTTTTTGAATACACCTGGCCCCGTGATGATTAACAAGCCCGTTGGCGCAGAGAACTTGTACTTTTGAAATATGAAATTTTCCCTTTATAATTCACAAAGCGCTTATGTTTTCATAAGCGGCTAAGTTTGAAAATCGCCCTGAGCCACTATATACTTATAATGCCTAGAACTTCAAAGAAAGACGTACCTTTAGAATTCGATTTTTGATGTCAATTGGGGACGGCGCATTGATGGGATACTCCTCCTCGCGATGGTTCGTCTTTCGGCATCGTTTCTTCGCCTTTTTCGGCTTCTTCGGCTTGTTGTCGTTGGTCGCCGCGCGTTTCGACGAACGCTTTCTCGACTTGTCGAGAATTGTCATATTTTGGCGAAGAATTGCGGCGTGTGGTGTCGTCGTTGGGCAATGAGGTGGTGCGAGCCGAGTGGCGCGCTTTTGTGGCGAAGAATGCGGAGCGGGAGAGAGGGTGCGGTGGGCGGAGTGTTGATATGTTGATGGCGTAATTGCGCTCCGAATCGATAACCCTAGAAAAAAAAAACGCGAAACAATTATTTTCGCTCGCCTCCCCCGTCGATATTAATGAGGAAATATGTTAATATCTGAGGCGCCATAAATGGAACCCATCAATGACTCCTTAAATCAAACATATTGGGGAAAAGGGAACAGCGAAAGCATGATTGTAGAAAAACTTAACAGTTATGGTTGTTGCAGTTCAACGGGAAAAAAATTTTTGTAAAAATTGTGGGTTAAGCTTCATTAAAATTCGATTTAAAATTCCGAAATTTGCCCCTCCCCCCCCTCCCCACCCCCGCTCAGTTTTTATACACATAATGTTATGGGAAGCAAGACCCGAAATGGAGTGGAGGCGGAATGGAACGAAACGTGATTTTGAATTAATTCGCGAGCATGTAGGTTTTTGCAACAACACAGCGGTTGCCTGGAGACCAAGTGAATTCGAAGAAATGAAATACTCCCATATAATAATTGCTGAGGTGTGGAAATTAAGGGGACAAATGTTCAATAAACATTATCAGGAATCACGTTATCGCTTGAGATGTGGCAATCGGTGACAACTGGTTTTTAAATCGTTCAGTTCCATGTTTCACATGGCCGAGTCAAACATTTTTAATAGGGGAGGGGAGGGGGGGGGGTGGTGGTGAGCGGCGAGTGGGCATGAAAGTAAGATGAAGCAGGCTAAATGGCCGACCGACGCGTGATATAAAGTACAATAAAAATGGCAAACCCCCATTGGTGAAACTGATTAGGTTTTCCATATTTCCAACCGTTTTCTTCCATACATATTCCTTATCTTATCGGAAGACCTGTCATTATTGCGTTCATGCGGTGTTTCAAATTTAAAAAGTTCGTATAGTTGATGATGGAAGTTGCTGGAAAGTGAAAGAGACGATCGCGATGGTTTGGATAGGTTGTTCATCAAATGTATCTTGGATGCTGATGCGATCATTATTAGATGTGTTGAGTTCCGACAACCATATGTTCAATTTTAGAACATTGCCACTAGTTGGCGGATTTTTTTGATGGAGAGCGCAGGCGATGAGGCAAACGGGCCGCCAACGTTTATTTCTCAACATAAGCCCCGCTTATGTGAGCGTTCGTGGTGTAATGGTCAGCATGGATGCCTTCCAAGCATTCGACGGGGGTTCGATTCCCCCCGAACGCAGACATTTTTGCGCGACGTTTAAAGTTGTAGCTTTTTAGAAGAGCAACAAGCAATTGAGAGTTTGAAAGAGAGCGATGAACGAAATTGTTTTAACAAAATTAATTTCATCAGGCTGGGAAATGATAAAGTGTTAAAAACGATTGCGGCAAGGTTGTAACATTGACCGAACATTTGATGGGAATAGGAGAGCATAAAAAAAACACCATGCGTCGCCGAGAAGATCGATATTTCACGATGAAAACCTATCACATCAATCGAATTGGTATCAAAATGTTGAATGGAATCGAAGGCATTTATCTGAGAAAAGCGTCGTTCAACGTTAGATTGTATCAAATTAAAGGGAGGAGTGTTGACACTCAGGTTGCATATAGTGGAAGTATTTTTCGTTGTAACGTCGACATTTTGAAAATGGCTTCTAATTCGTCAACGCCTCATTTGAAATTTATTGCATCGCGAGAGACTTGCTGGCGAGGGGACAAACAAAGATCAGTGATTTTATTTTTTTTATTAAAAAAAAGAACAAAAATCTAGAGTTTGATACCACACTATCGATTATTGAATGGAGTAGAAAACGAAAATCACAGAAATGAATCGTAGATGGAGGCTTGCAAGGTCATTGCCTGGAAAAAAATAAACAAATGTTGTGGAAAGCAAATCGATGACGATTACCCGCTCACGGGAAATATTCAAAACGCTGTGTCGCTTGTGCGTCATTGTCTGCGACTGGAAAAAAACACACACATAATTGATTTTTTTTTAAAATTTTTTAATGACAAAAAAGCACATACGCGTTTTCTAAGAAGCGGCGTATTTTCCATACAAATCGACGATGCTCGAGATGAAACCGCGTTGTCGAAATCGCTGACAATGTCCGCGATTGGTTTGGCTTTGGTTTCGGGCAAGTAACTGTAATTCATCATTCTCTTCCCTTATTGTTAGAATCATTTACCGATATAGGTAAATGATAATGATCGGCTGGATGACAATGATTGGAATATAGAATGCCGGTGGGAAAACGACATTAATTATTGGGAATATCAAGGTCAGTGGTGCCGTCGACACAATTCCTGCGATCATGTAAAGCTGCAATAGTCAAAACTTTCGTTAACCTTGAAAATCGAAATCGAAAATGCCTTGAAAACCGCTGTTCTTGCTGAAGGAGGGAAAAGCTCGGAAATCAGAAGAGCCGCAATTGCAATAGTCATAATTGAGGCATAAATTTCAGACAAGGACTCACTGAGATATACTGAAATAATTCAGTTGAAAATTGAAATTTGAATCAAAACTACCCAAAAGTTTTGTCAGAAGGCTTCCGCCAAAGAAGAATGCTAGAGTTTGAGCGACGAGCATCACGAACAATTTGAAATACCTGGAATGCTATCAGAATGGCATATACCATAAAATCTTATATTATAGTATCATTTAATAGACTCGTGTTTGGCGGAACATTAAAAAGATCGAAGGACCATTGACACTCAACGCGTTTACCGTAACCGCCAGATGGACACAACCGTCTCGAGCAAATTGTACCTTAATTGTAGCGGCACTTATTTCAACTTGACTCAATTGAAGGGAGTCATTATTATTTGCTAATCCTATTATTTTTAGGAATTGTCCATCATTTCCAATGAGTATTGAAAATGGAAATTCCTGACATTTTTTGAAAAAAAAATTCTTACATAATGAGAGCCGCAAAAAAGAGCAATGCTCTTCTTCCAATCTTGTCGATGAGTAGCGGGGCAATGAATCTGGCTGGAAACATGGCGATTACAATCAGCAAATTGAGATTGAGGGCCTAAAATATCGAAATCAAAATTTTTATTTTATTGATAATTGTCACCTCTTGAATAGTCAATCCTAATGATGTCTGAAGGAGTATTGTATAACTTCTCTCAACTACTATTGGGCTTGTGCTATTATATATTTGGAATACTATAATTAATTTGAGCGCCTGAAACTAGATTGCAAATTGCAGAAAAAGACTATCATCAGACTTCTCTCAATGTATCATCATTCCAAATTTGTCGCAGAGTCAATTGATTCGCTCGTGTCAAATTTTTCTCGCGAATCATTGAAACTAACACCTCATCTGTAATACCGTTCAATTTCAACGTGTGCATTATCAGCAAACCAATATCGCAATCTGTCCCATGATAGAAGCGAATCGCTTGTCTTGCCGTTTCATTATTTCCGACTCTCACTAGCCATTTCGGGGATTCCGGCAAGCCAACAGTGGTAACGAATAACGCAATCGATCTGAAAATTGAATGAGATGATTTATTGGAATTGGCGTTTACCCAAGAAAGCAGACGAACGGATAAACGAACCACGTGTCTGGTGCACCAAGAAGACTTGGTGAAGACGTCGAATACCTGAAAATTTTTTAAACTTTTATTTTCAAGGTTCACCTTTTTTTCAATTCTACTTGAGCTTTTAAAATCGATTTTTAGTATTTTAAAATATTTTACTCAAATTTAAATATTTCGCTTCGAAATTATGTTAATTGAGTATACTGTTGCCACGTGGCAGTTCAAAAATTTTTGTACTGACATCAAGAGATGAGCCACGACACCACAGACAGCCAATGAAGTTGAGGCAAATCCTGCAATGATCAATTTGATCATTTCATACCGCCAACTGACCTCGCTTCGCATCAGGAGCACATTCGCCAATGTAGACAAAGGTGACATAGACAATTGGCACCATTACGGTAGCAAATATTTCGCCGATCATGTAGAGCTCGGAAGCTTGGATTATCGATGCCACAAGCATGAGAAAGTTTGTGAAGAAGCCGACAAAAAATCTGAACGTCTATTGTCTATTTTTTTCTCATAAAAGAATTTGATGATAACCGTAGGTAAACACAAACAAATTTCCGTCCTTTGGTCTCCGCAATTGGCAGAATGGTGAAGATTGAAATAAGAAGCACTATTCCCGATCCAAGCATCATGGAGCTGTTCATGAAAGAAACGCTAAAAAAGTTTTGTCAAAACGTCACCCATGTCGAAATTTTACAGTTGTTTAGTGGGCTCAATCCCATAATGATATTTCAGGGTATGATTGTGCATTGCCTCGAGGCATTGCGGTACTGTTGGAAAGATCAAGTTTTGAATCTGCAAGTAAAGCCCAAGGACCGAATAGATGGTTATAATATAGAGTAGGTTAAGGGAAATTCCAAGTTTGGCCATCGCTGCAAACATCAATGCTATTAGTCGATGATCCTTCCGCTAATGTGAATGCACAGATTGACATCTGAATGAAAGAGAGCATTGCGTTCCGAAGAGAAAGTGTCACATAAAACTGAAACATTAAGTGATCAAGTCACACCCCTCTCAAATGCAAACTCATCAATTTTTTATTCATCAAAAATGATTGAGATATCAAGCTAGAATGAGTATTTCGGAAGATTTCAGAGAATAAATTAACTTGAAAATTTGAAAAATTTCCACGCACTTCCGGAAAATTCTCATTAATCCAACTTATGATTTTATCGCATTGAAGTTTTTTATTCATTGGGAGAATAATTTGCTCTTTTGATTCATTTCGGGCAAACTATATGTCGTTCAAACGAACTATCATTATTGGTGATAAGAAATTTAGCGTAAACATTTGCAACCAACAAAATGTTTATTTCAATGTGATCGAAATGGTCGGAATATTTCTCTAACAATTTTGAATAAAAAAAATTACCATAATAAACAAGCTTATCAAAAAATTACAGGTCTCTGACTAACGTTCAGAATCATCAAGAATTTCTAAGGTATTTTTAAGAAATTTATTTTGTAGGATGAACTAGAAAAAATTAACAAATAATTAAGCATCATACAAATTTTCTCCACCTTTTAGTTGAAATTGATAAGTGAATTAATTTGTTGAGTTATACCAGTAAAAACAAAAAATTTGAAAAAAAAAAAAAATACTTTGTCCAATATACAAAATAAAACACACACAATCACAAACAAAAAATGGAAACCTCTTCAGTAATTTGAAATAATTGTATCAGTATCCGATTCTACGACCGACGCAGCCGGCGATATGTTCTTGAATCGGTTGCGGAGCGTATCCTTAGCACTACATTGGCTTCGACGTTGTTTGGGGCTGTACTTGAAATAATGAATATATATACTTTTTGAAATTTCAAAATTTCAAACTATCAATTTTTTGACATATTGCGCCCATAGATTTTCACAGCGTAAATTGAAAAATGAGGCTATTGGAGATAGCAGGTAGTCGCAAAAATTGGTGTTTGACGGCGTCAAACCTTCACAAAATGTATGAAAGCATAACTACATTTTTCTCGACCATTGATGAACGCTAAAATTAGCGCTAACCTCCGGTGATAAGAGTGGACTGGCAGCCCCAAGCGTGCGAAACAAAAAAGTCGAAATTCCAAAAATCTGAAAATCCAGACGCGAATTTCACGAAAGACAGTCATTTCATATTGGGGTCCCGAATGTTTGTTAAAAAAGGATTATCTTTGATGGCTCACTTAGCTGTAATTCTAAGAAAAATCCGGAATTTTTGCCAAACGTAATTAATATATATAATCCATGACATCAAATTCGTACAATACCATGTCAGAAAAAATTACAGCAGCGAAAACCTGAAATTAATAGGTCAAAATTAAATTTCATTTGCCAAGTAGTCGAGACATTTGGCTTCAGTCTACCAGAAAACAATTATCACCAATTATCTACGTAGCAAAATTCTCGTGAAATTTTTAAAATTTCTTTTTAAACCAGGGCTCGTTAAAAACTGTTATATATTTTAATACATCCACAATTTATAAATATGTGTCCATAAAACCAGAAGTGCTATTCTTGCATATTAATTTTGTAGCTTACTTTCAACATGGCGCACCAAATTCCAAATAAGGCCTTCCAGATAGATGTGAAGAGAACAGATGACAAATTTGGAAATTAGCAGTTAGTAGGTCAGAAGGATGAACCACAACCCGGGCAATCCAGCGCCCAGCAGCAGCCAGTGCCATCTTGTATTCAAACGCAACCAGGACTAAGAAGGGTTAAACAAAAACCGGCGCCTCGTTGAGTTCCAAATGCCATGACTGTGATTATGACGATGATTCTGTCGAATTTTTAAACTCGACGAAACCACTCGATGCAGAGATTCAAGCAGGGAAAAACCACATTTCTAGAACAAGATATTTTTAAAAAATATTTCATAAATTTGTCGAGTTCCCAAAAAGAGCCCAACGAAAAGATCACACTCATCAACAGAGTCGGAAAAAACCAATAAACTTATGTTGACACTGTTATCAATTTTCAAATATAACGTTTCGCAATATTTCAGGAGCTTCTATGACAGCTAAGAAGGCTGATGCTACTACTGATTCTGATGCTGATGACAAAGAAGAAGATGATGATATTGGAGCCAGGAATCAAGTTTCAGCGATGAGCAAATAGAACTTGCCTTTTTGGGTGGCATTTCTAATACTCACGATTTTTTGTTGAAAATGCTTAAAGAGCAGTTGTACTACTTTTAAATTAGAAAAGGCTAATGAGGTCATTATTGTAGGCAATAAGCTTCTTCAATTAATTTAATGAACGGAATTATGTAAATAATTAAAAAAAATTAATTGCGACGAAAATAATTTTAAAACATACCAAAAGATTCAAGCTGTATTGAAAATTCACCGAACATTCTTTATGAATTTTCTTTTCTCAATATCTTTGTAATCATTTCCCGAGGAACAAGACAATATTGACCTTGTGCGAATGAAGGACAAGCGTTTTAGTTTATCGCGACAACTATTCTCCATTGACACAGGGGCCGCATTTTTCAATTTAATTTAACGCGAAAACCACTGTGTTGGTTTTTTCCAAAATTTTTCTATAAAATCTATAAAGTGAAATTCAATTTCTAACAAAATGGGGACCTTCGAGAATTAACTATTAACAGGTTATCAAATAATGGCGAATAACAAGAACAAAGTTGTCAAAAAAAAACTTAAATATTTTTTAAAGCCTTAAATAACGATTTTGGGATGAACGAATCAAAAACATTACATTAGAAAAAATCTGATGACATTTGCGGGGTGTGAAAACGAGAAATAGTGACTTAGACATGTCAATTAGAATGGAACTTGCTATACATTTCTAGCGGGTGTTGTTTCCTTGGCACTTAATTATATTTTTCTTGAAATGTTTGAAATGAATGTTCTAAGTATAATTAACTATTTAAATTGAGCCATACAATCAAAGTCGCATTATAATTGGTAGTTATATTAGAATTGAAACAAAACGCAAACTAAAAACTTTTATTTTTTTATTTTTGATTAATTGGGAATAAGAAAAATAATAATGAAATTTTGTAAATAACTGTCACAATAAAAATCAAGTTATTCACTTCATTGCCCAAAAATATTTTCAATTTTTGATAATGCTTATTTATTTTACTATGCTCAATAGAAGGCGTGTAAATTTCAGAAAGTGTCTGAAACTTTCCTAAAAAATACAAATTTTAATTTAAATTTAAAGGTGAAATATAAACTTCCAATATTTAATTTTAACTTTGTTTTTTTTCTAGTTTATAAAATGTTGGGAGCCATTCACCAAGTATACATTTTTAGGAAACCCTATATTTTAATATTGGCTTTGAGTATATCCAATGAGCATGCCCAATATTATAAATGTGTTGCTAATAAGGCGTTGTTTAGTTGAAACAGGTGCCGCGCGACTACTGTACAAGGTGTCCAATTTGACAGCACCTGCCGAATTGAGTATTCTTCTTGATTTGCATCTGAGAGGTATTTTGGCGTGTTTGCTACGATGAGTTGTACCTTTGAACATAAAATGAGAGTCTAGTGTCAATTGCATATGATATAACAGAAGCTTAACCCAAGGAAATCCGTCAAATAGTTCTTACTGTTTAAATTAAAATTTGAATTGCCGCGCTAAAAACATATCTGAAAAAAAACCCAAGGTGATGATTTTTCATATACTGTTCCTCTTTTAACAAATTTAAAATGCGAATTGCGCATTTGTTCCTTAGCTTGGTTGTACGGTATTTTTTTTACACACAAAGGGCAACTATCGACTATAGATGCATGTCTCATTCCTAATATGAAGGTCGGTTATTTGGTATTTCCATCCTTTTATGCGTCTTCATTAACTAACTCACAAGTAAATCGCAATGCCTCCTACAATGTGTGAATTTCGAGTTAAATTTAATTATGTGTAATCAATGTTCACAGTCCTCACGGTTTACCAAAACTTTGTCGCACAAATGTGCCAATTTGCACATTCATATAATCCTGGGTGGATTGTGGGACCACGAACCCATAAATATGCCTTCTCTTCAGTGTTTAATCCATTCTATTGGTTTTCGCTAGGAAAAGGAATCTCCAGCCATTTTCCACCAACTCTTAAAAATGAAACAGAAGAAGAATGACGTCACATGCGTTCTCGCGTTGCCATCATTCAAATTTGACTCGTCTTATATTTACGAATTGCCATTATTTAGGCTAGATTTTCTTAAAATAAGCGCAAAAACTGTATTTCATGAATAGTTCACTTAATTAAAAGATTTATGGACTTTCTTTATTTTTTTTGTTCCAATATTCGCTAAAGCTTAGTGACGAACGGAAACTACCAAATTTGTTTATATTTCATTTTTTGCCCCAATCGATCAAACATTTTTGGCACATTGCTTTTTTGATTTTGCTGAAAGTTGACTTTAAAATGTCACCAAATTATAATAATACACATTATTATTATTACACTCCTTATAATTTCTTAATTTAGAAATCTCGAAGAGTTTAGTTTTCCCCAATATTCAAGGATTTGCGATTTCTTTTTCGAACATTTCTAACTTAGAAACTTAAAGATATTAGAGATCATTGCAAATTTCATGTTAAACTTAATTTTTATAGCCAAAGTAACGCGATCTACTTAAAATTGGCTGGAAGTGTTAGCGCAAACTGAGAGTCGAATAAAAAAGGCAAACATTTTTAGTTGTAAAATTTTTTGAATTTTTGAATTTTTTCACGTATCATTGGCATTCAATTAAATCTCACAAGGAATCCCCGTATAATTCAGTTAAAAAAATTGCTAACTTTTCGAATTGTTCTTAACCGACCTTCAACATTTTTTTCTAAATTTTTTATTTTTCAAAAATTTGCATTTAAACCGTATATAGGCTTTTCGAACAAAATCTATCAAAAACTTTTATTGCCTCTGTTTTTTTTTCTCTGATGTCGAAAATCTTCACATCCCATCGTGCGCCAAAACCTCAACTCTTAATTTTTTTGGAATCGATCTAATTTTTTTTGTTAGGCCAAGTTAAAGAAAAAACCCAAAATAACAATTTTCCCCATTAAATGGCCAATGCTTATCAAGAAAAATTTTATTGCGCGAAAAAAAAAATCGTTGCTCAAACGCTTATCAACAATTGATTCTTAGTATCAGCCCTCTCTCTCTTCTTGCAACTTTTATTTTTCTTATATTGCATATCTCGCAGCGCATCAATAACACGCTATTTGTATTTTCACCAGGTTGCTCGTTTGATCGATAATAATCGGCGCAATGTGCGAAAAAAGTATTGCGCGTCATCACACCCCGTCGCCCCTATCCACAACACACACCGACGAATTGCACATGTTGATTAACGTCCTCTTCATTCTCACAGCGTTTTTTCTAGGAAGTTGCAATTCGTTTTTTTTTTTTCTCATTTCCGTTTGCGTATTTATTTCCAGCTGATAACTAGCAGTTTGGAAATGCGACAAAAAAAAAAACGATTTGCACGAACTCAATTTTTGTAGAGAAATGAATTGCCTAAAAATGGAATAATACAATTCCTTATATGATATGAAATCGATCTAGAGTTTTGCTTCTTGACAATATTCTACTTAGTCACGCTAATTAAGTGCTCTACATTTTTTTTGGATTCCATTTAATGACTGAAATGGACTTATTAAAAATCACAATCAACTTTCATCAAAAATTGAATTTCCAGCAAATTTGAATTTATTTTCATCAAATCTGTTCAAACCAGAATATAGTGCTGTATTTTACGAGATCAACAATCACCGCACCTGCATTTGTTGCCGTTTATGGCATGCTCGTATCAAACCCCCCCCCCTTTGCTCCGTGTTTTGCTCACCGCGCATTGCGGCCAATCATACTTACCGCCCTATCTTCCAATTTAAATAGCCTTTATTGTTGTTTCAGATCATCCTCGAAAATTTCAACTAAACTATGTCGCGTATGGATATTGACGAGGAGGATGTTGATTTGGTAATTTCTAAAGAATTTTCAAAAATTTTTGAGCAATTTCAATTAATTCGATTTCCCCCTGCGAGAAACTCAATAATAATTTCAAAAAACAGCAAAAAAATTGATTTTTACTTCAGGAACAGATGGATATTTCCGATCCTGTTGAGGAACCAAACAGAAAAGTAAGAGTAATTATATTGGCTTTAATTATTTACAATTTTTAGTATGTGCATCCATTGTGTTTGGCTCATTCGTTCATCTCAACTGCCAAAATAGTATCCGGAATGAAGTGTGCAACCCACTTGCAGCCAGTTCATGGCGCACTTCTTCTTCGCGACGATGAAAACGGTCATTCGGTGGCATTTCCAAGCTGCCAGGAATGCATTCGTCTTGCCGAAATCAACGAGAACGATTGCAAGTTCAACAAGGATATGACGCGAACGTTGAAAATTGCGTATCCTTACAACGCGGTTAGTTGATTGATCATTGGTTTACATTTAAAAACAAGTTGAAGCACGCAAAAATAATGAAATAGCTGTGATCCCATTTGATTTTGCAATTTTTCTTTTCCAGGAACTCACCAACAATATAATCCAGGAAATCTGGAACAATGGTCGCAACACTTTGTTCAGCACGCATCGGATAACAGGTGAATCTCAAATTAATAGAATCGATATTAAACAAGATCTTAAACAATTCTTGCTGGATTTTCAGCAGCTCACACAAATGAGTATAACTGGGAGTCTGTGCGTAACGTTCTCGATGCTCAATCGGCCGAGTTTAATCGAAATGCACCCGAGGTTTGCCGAAAAAAATAAAACATTCAATATCTTGCATGTGATTTTTTTTAGAAAGAATTGGAGAGATATCTTGAAGCTGGTCTTAGCCATGAACTTCCAGCCCATTTCAGCTATGTGGGAACGACATTGTTCATTATCTCACCATGTCTTTGTCCAACTCACTTTTCCTTGATCACCACTGGAATCGTCCTATCTGTGAAGACGACAAATCGAAAATATGTGTATCCCGCTTGCTATACATGTTTGTCCGATGAAAATGATACACGATTCCCTGAGGACATTCTCTTTGCGATTAGTCGAATCTGGAGAGACTCTGTAAGTCCAAACGTCTGCTAACAAATATTACAAATATGCGTTAAGACGGAGGAGCATCTTCGGTTCTATTTCGAGCAACCGCAAGAGTATCAACGTCAATATGCTGAGTACACAAGAAACCGAATGATATACTAATCTGCACGCTTGTCCACGTATACCGATCGAAATATTCCTCACCGCTTACTCAATTACCACTTCATTTCTAGGTGTATTCTTTGGTAGATTACCAGAAATGCTGAAATTATACAGAGTGAATCTGAAAAGCCTCCGGGTTGATACCAAATATCAATATATGTGTCATTTCAAATCATCAATTTGAATTATACAGATCTCGCTTTGAAAAAGTTTACTCTGCTTGTACAAAAAAATCCCACTTCAATTTTTCCCACTGATGCTTCATATCTCCTGTTTAACCATGTGATTGGCAAAATTCTACGTGTGTTTTATGAATTACTTTATTCAGATGTGAAATGAATTGTATGAGTTGTGAATGCATTAATTGAACTGCTTCAAAATAAATTGTTGACATCAAATTCTTGAATGTTATGTTCTTTAGACGTCGCCCTAATTATGATTGCTTGGCGAGCAAAAATATGTGATTACATTAATAGTTAGAGCCACAATATTCAGAATGAGCACCTGAAACCCGTGATGATCCGCCATATTTTCTTTTTTTTTCATATTCTGGACAACATATTTGAAAGCGATTGAGTCAAAAAATGTTTAGATACTTCAGTTTGCTGGAAATAATTCTTGTCTGAAATACTAACCAGTAGTGAAATTGCATCGACTTTCAGGAGTCATCTGGATTACTCATTAGGTACTCACGGTATCATCATTTGCAGTCATTTGTCGCTTCGTGACATAACGCGTTTACTATGCGATTTATATGAATTGCGCATAACTTCAATTAGTACCACTTTTACACATATTTAATTTGATTTCATTCATAATACATATAAATGAAATAATAAAATAAATAAAAAGTTATAACCAACAAAATTATTAAACGATAAAAATTATTTTTCAATGAATTTTATTAAAATTATTATGACAACTTTTTTCCATTATGTATTTGTTCCATTAAATCGAGGGACTATTTGCAGCTTTCAAACGATGCACCACATATACAAATAAAAATGTGTTTTTCTTTTCCTCTCTTCAATACTAAATTTGAATTTTTTGGAGGATCGCGCGAATTTTGATAAAGTTATTTTTTAATCGAAAATGGCTCACACAGCGGTTTGCTATTTAATTTGATTTTATTTAATTTATTATTATTATTTCAGACCACCTACGGAGTTGTGGTGGATTTCACCCATAAAAAGGATGCGCGCCTTGTAGTAAAAGGCGAGCAAATTGTAGTGCCGATGTGTGAAACCGTTGAAATTGGAGAGATACTTCTGAAAGACCCTGAAGGCAATTGGAAGAAATGCAACAATCTTAATTATCAGATACCGGAAGGCGCGAGCACTAACGAACTGCGTGTATGTTTTTTTTTTCGTTGAGTTTCATCTAGCTGAAAACTACTGGTGTAATATTTCAGCTATCATTCAAACAAGTCAATATTGACAAAAACTGTCTGAGTTGCGGTGGCAGATTTTTGAGACATCAATTACTTGGAGATATTCAAGTTGGCGACCATTACCCTTTAGAATTAAGAAGGTTCTCTTATTTAATCATTTCAATAACGCTTATTGATGTCCAGGTATCGAGAAATAAAAATCAAGGCGACAAAGGATGAGGGATATAAATGGAAAATATGTTATATGGCAAAACCAAAGGTTTTATTAATATCCAATTGAAATATTCATTTTGTTTGAGGACAAACTACCTAGAGACCAAGTGTGGTTGAAAATTGGCAAAATAGCGTATATTTGTGAACGAAACGGTCATAAAATTTTCAAGGCAATGGATTGGATATCAAAAAGGCAATTCAGAAATCTCTACAGAGGTCGGTTGAAAAAAAAAAGTTATATCAAATATGATATTCTTGCAGTCTATGAAGAAGCAAACATTTATGATTCGGCGAAATTTTTGGCTACTGGAAAAATTCGAATTTATATGAACGATGAAGAGATAAATCTGGCGGAGGCAATTCATTTCATTCCGCATGAGAAATACAGAAATGTCGAATTCGATCTTTCCGACGCGTATACGTTCGAAATGTTGGAAAAACAGGATAAGGATGATGTGTTTTTGAGAGATTTGGACCCTATTATAAAGAACCTTCAACAATTCAAGTAAGTTTATATTTATTAAAAGGGAGCTCGAAACGTGCTCATTTTTTGCCTCAAATCAACGCAACGACGACCAGCTTAACCTAGATAAAATTTTCAGTAGAAACGATGCTTCAACTTCATCTCTGGATAGGAATGGCAAAAGAGCATCTTCGATGGCTTCAGATGTTAAAGCTCCGGTTAAAAAGGCAACTTCATCGAAGTATTCTGATTCATGAGAAGAACGATTAAGTATATGCCATAATTATTTGTATAATTAATTTATGGGTTTGAGAAATTTAATATGGTTGTTTTTTTCGCTTTTTTGATGAAGTCTCGCCAAAAATAAAAATAAAATTGTGGGAAATCATAAAATAATCAAAGATTTTTTTCTATAATCCACGTTTTTCACTTTTGCAAAAACCGTGTATCTGAATTTGCAAAAAAGAACTTGAAATAATCAAATTTGGTTCCATAACAATTTGGAGAATGATTAAGAATCATCTTTCTTATCAAGAATTACACGAGAGGAGTATGGTAATCACACAGCAAAAAATTTTGGTGGCATTCAATTTTATTAAACGAAATTCTTGATGAATCATTATAATAAATTGAAAACTTAGACGTTGCTGGTGTTTTCTTGTAGCAGCGCGGGAATTTCAGAATCATTATTGACGCTGAAAATAAGAAAAATCAATTTTACCAAACAAATCAATAAGGGGTTTCAAGACTATTTTGTCTCTTGATTATTCTTTTTCTCGACTTACTTGAAATTTTCGAGTTGGCTGCTAATACTGTCCATCGCGTTCGAAAATTCATCCTCGCGCTTCCTATTTCGAAACCATTTGAACGTATATACAATGCCTGGGCCGAATTCCACCGGTTTACATTTATTATGAGGTATAAAATGCACCATCATTTGATGGTCCGATTTTTTGTTTTCGGTTCGAATCATAACTTCGCCAATCGATAATAGGAAACGCTTACAAAGAACAAATGCACCATTATTCACTGAAAATCTGCATTATTTATCATAATAATTTTAGTATTTTTCAGTGAACCTTTTAAGAATTTTTTGAAAATTTTTGCTGGAATTGGGTTCTTCGGCGCAAAAATGCTCGCATTGTTATAATTACCAAGGAAAAACATTTTCTCACTCGACGCGATTTTATAAGGTCTTGAAATTTTTTCCTAAAATACAAATTCCCTCGAGTTGGATTTTTTTTTGGTCATTTTTCACACCAATAACTTTGCGCCCTTCGCCTCCAATAAATATGAAATTTTCCATTGATAGCCAAATTTCTCAGACGCGACGATCCTCATTTTTTTTGTATCTGAAATGATTGAGATAGAAAAAATGAAATCGAATATGGAGTTGTTCCTACGTTCCATATTTCAATGGGAAAAATGCGCCGACGCGAATTTTTCCAAAAACAGCGTCTTTCAAAATTTTTCCCTTTGATATTAAGCCTTGTGGCGCGATTTTGACGTTACGAAATGTCAACTGAAATATTTTTTTCTTTTTTTCTCATTATCTCGACATTCTATATTAGGTAAAGACAAACCCAAATACAATTAAGCTTCGAATTTGTCTTCGTTTTGAAACGACCGTCTTTGCATATTGTCCAGCTTCCATCTTTTTTCATCTCGATCAACTCGCCAACATTCGAATCATGGCAATTTTCCAGTGGGAACAGATTATTTTTCACCAGTGCTTGAACCCCGCTTTGAGTTTTCACGACAATCCCGTAAGAAATCTGAAAAATTTCAATTTTTCAGCTTCTAGATTATTTCTGTTAAGTAACGTTTCAATGAGTTATAGAGACCTAATATAAAATAAAATGTGTTTTATTAATGATTTCTGGCAATTCTTAATAATTTGGCTGTTCAGGATAAAATCGAAGCACTCGATGGTCTAAAGGACAGCAATTTGAAGAATATGAGACATCAAATTATGAACTTACACTATCCCGTGACATTTCAAGTTAATGCGATGTTTTGAGCAGAACGACTACAATAATTCATCCACGTTTCGATCGAAGAAGGAATCGTTGAAGTGAGGGGGCAGAAGGGCAGACAGATTTGATTTGCAAACGTGGTGTGTCGTTCGTAATATGCAAATCGTCCTTGGTTTAGTGTAAATAAGACACCTAAGAATAATGAATTTTCCTCAAAAAAAATGAAAATCAATGAACGTTTGTTATGATTCGTGTTCTTTCTTATCACGAGTGTGTCGCCGACAAAGATAAGAGATCGATATCGAATGATAAGAGATTTCATGGGAATCAGTTAGAAATACTTAAATGTCCCTGGAAAAAAAACATTTGAAAATTACAATAGCAAAAAAAAATGAGCACTTTTCAGACGGTTAAATCTCGATTTGAACTTTGGGTGCTCAGGTACCGTACTACGGATAACCAGTGAATCAATCATCACAGTATGATCATTCTTTGCAATTTTAATATATACATATGAGCATATGATATCAAATTTTGTTCAGATGCGTTGATTCCGAAGTGTTTTTACTTATCTGAGTGCCGCGACGTTGCCGGCTGTTTTTTAATACCTTGGAAAGGACAAGGTTTGAATTTTAAGTTGTATTGGAAGATTGAACAATACAGTCTAAAAAAATTTAATAGTCGTTGTATCCTTGAGTTCCGCGTGTATGGTGCCGAAGCGTGGGGATCGAAGTGAACAGTGATGTAGCGTTGGATAGCTTTATTATATCCATAGATGAACACTACAATGTATGATGGCCGGGTATTTATACTAGTGGGGATGTGCTTCTAGAATGTTCTACAATGCACGTGTGGGGATATTTACGTGAGGCTTCTAGAATGTTCTACAATGCACGTGTGGGGATATTTACGTGAGGCTTCTAGAATGTTCTACAATGTGCGTGTGGGGATGTTTACGTGAGGGACTGGGTTCTAGAATATTCCATAACCTACGAGATTACAATAGTTTACGTGAGCGTGCTCACAACAGTCTAACTTTGGTATATGACTTAATACAGAAAAAAAGAAAAAATTGTTTTTATTAGGAAGTACAGGGTGTCATTTAAGTTCCCGCACAACTTTGAAGACGTATATTTCTGAAACTAAAAGTCCAAATCAAACGAGACTCGAAATATTTTTTATCTATAGTACAACAAATAATTATCTATTAACTCTTTTCGATTCGGCCTCTTTTCGCAGCTATGACTTCGCGGAGACGCTTCGGGTAGGATGTGACTGTGGTACGCAGGTATTCGATGGAAAGATTGTCCCATTCCGCCAGTAATGTCTTCTTCAGAGCCTCTACACTTGAGTGGGGTTTTGCGTTGACCTTCTCCTGCAAGACCCCATCACGGAGAAGTCAAGCGGGTTCAGGTCTGGGGAGCAAGCAGGCTATTCGGATGACTTGATGAAGTCGGGAAAATGGGTCTGGCACCACTCCTGAGTAGTTTTGGCAGTAGGGGCGGGTGCTCCGTCCTGTTGAAAGACTCATATCTTCCCACCGAAATGCGTTTGGGCCCAGGGCATCATATGCTTCCCCAAAATGTCCCGAACGTAGACTTCTTTGTTCACTTTCACCACCTGATCCACGAAAACCAGGGGCACTTCCCGGTTGAGCAGATGGCACCGAAAACAATCACACTGGCAGGATGTGAGGCTGGATAAATTGTTATTCCTTTCTCTGAAGCTTGCTGGGATGTCTGGGCAAGTACTCAATGGTTTTGTGAGTTGAATGCCGCCTCCACAGTGAATAGCTTCTCGTCGGAGAAGACAGTGGCGAGGTGTTCTCCAGACCGCGTGCGAGCAAAAAGTTGTTTTGCTTTTTCGAAGCGTCTCTGCTTGTTGACGGCCGATAGAATTGCCACTTTTTGGACACGATATGGGGTCAGTACAAGCTTTGTTTTGACGATTTGTTCCATAGCGAAGATGCTCATTCCCATGTCTGACGCCATCTTTCTTATGCTCCTGTGCGGTTTTCGCCTGATCCTCGTTTTGACGGCCTTGATCTTCTGAGGAGTGGTTACTGAGACGAGTCTTCCTTGTCTGGGAAGGTCACTGGTCGTATTTAGCTCCTTGAATCGTTTGTTGGTGTCTTAAACCGTTCTACGAGGCACACCGAGGCGTTGAATGATCTCTGTCGGGCGCTCATTTCGCTTATGAAGTTCGATAATGGAAGCGCGATGAATGTTAGCCTTCGCCATTTCTCGGAAACACATCCGAATGAAGTGAAACTTGAAAAGTAAGTAAAATACACCTTATTTAACAAAAATAAATTGTATTGGTGCACGAAAAGTGCGACAGCCAAGCTTTTCATGGCGTCTAACTTTTGTGCGGGAACTTAAATGACACCCTGTAATCATAATTTGAAAAAAAAAAAGGAAAAATTTTTTTTGATTAAATTTTTATCATATAATGTTTCACTCCTGCTGACGGATTCTATAGAATATAAAGAATTTTCGTTATAGCAAAAAAAATGTTTTTTTCTAAAATTTTAGCAAAATAGTTTGGATTTAATTTACGGAGATATATTTGGACACTATCACAATTGTATGAAGATTCAAGAAATTCGAAAAAATCGGATCCTGGAAATAAAAAAATTCGTATTAATTGACGGCTTTTTCTTGTGGCTTATTAATTTTCTGAAAAATTCTAAAAATTATAATTAACGATAATGCAATAATTGTAATTCAAATCCCATGTCAATTTATAACAGCAACTGATATATCTTCTCAAATTTCATGAAGAAGCGAAATTATTATTTCTATCATCGCTGTGCTAAATTATACATTTCCATTAAAAAAACGTCCTATTTTCCCAGGATTTTACTTATCCAGACTCAATTTTTATAAAATGTTTGCATTCTTGAAATTCGAGCCCTCCTCCATTTCAAACTTTTTTTTTTCTTCTAGTGGTTCCGCATTTCTTAACGACATTACTTCCAGCCCATCACCCCAACAATCCTAATTAGCGATAATCCGGTGTTATTTAACGGTCGAGTGTCTAGATAATATCGACAAATGACAATCAATGCAAATGAGGTAGGTGGTAGTCCAACAGGCGATGAGATGAGATTCGCGCGTGTCACACTTAGATTACATCCAATCGAATTTGAGGCGAATGACTAATGCACTTTCAATGAGATCGTGGATCAACAAGACAAAACAGGTGTAATGCCCACGATTACACGAGGTCCAGCCGGGTGTGATCCATCATGTTCCGTGTTCTCGCCAACTTGTCAGGTTTTCGCGGACTCTATTGATTTCATTTGCATACTAACTCCTTTTACAAGAAACTTTGTATTCTTCTTCTTTTTTTTTTTGAAAAACTCGTTGTTTGAGCTTCTCCTTCAGCATTTTACGTGAGAATATTGTCCAGCGAAGTTTTTGTTCAATGAGGTTTTGCAATACCTGGAAATACTACTTCGACATCGAACCTGAGTAGAAGAAATACCGGTTCAAACAAGCCTATAATTTTCTCATAAAAACTACTATAAATAACACACATATTTCCGCATATTCATCTCTCCATTGCTGCTGTCAAAATCAGATAAAGAGTGGACAACATTTGAAAAGGTCTCTCATAGTAGCTTTTTATTTGAAAAACTTGAAAATCGAGCTCGTATTTTTAAATATTTATAAAATCCCATTCCTTAATTTCAAGAAATTTGTTCGAAAATTAGTATATATCGTACTATTTCACGTAATGTCAGTTCTTTTAAAAATCCTATGTTTATTGTAATTTGAAATTTGGCGTCCAATTTCTTTAGAACATTTGACGTATTGTAAAAATGCACACTAACAATACATAAGTAATCGGCTTATACAATTCTAATCAAATTCGACTGCACTATATTGTGTAAATAACTAATGTTTAAATCAAAAAAATGGGGCAATAAGTAAAAATAATTAAATTAATTGTTTGAAATTCAAAATTTGAAATTTCCAGAAATTTCAATTTTAAATAGTCGGGAAAATTGTTCTTTTCATATAAAATTTTTTCAGCACAATTTTCATCCCAAAATTAAACAAATTTATTAAGAAATTTAAAGCACATTGATATAAAAAAAAGTTGTTAAAAATTAATTTTTAGGTGAATTTGCAAAGATAATTTTATTCAGCGTTCTAGAGCTTGTCTGATTGCCATAAGCCAGACATTTTGAACAACATGTTCTTGAGCTCTTCAAGTTATGGCCAATTGAAAACTCCATCTTAATGAAAAGATCCTTAAAATTTTAATTGGCCCCACTTCAGGCAATCTTGTCGTACGACAAAAGGTGCGAGCTCCTTGAGCAACCCTATTAATCATCATAACAAGGAGCCATCAAATGGCTGAGCTCCCAATTGGGAATTCGCGCAAAACTACGTCCACATTTCTTTTCACGCCGCTATTGTTCGATCGCACTCCCCCCATTCCCTCCACCCATATTCAACAAGGTGCAACAGTTTTTGCAAGGCGCTAATTGTGGGCCTTGCTTCTCTAATAAAAGGCTGTGCAATTTGTTCAACCCCAGTAGTAGACGTCAATTACAACCAGCCAGATGCCACGACAATACGCTGTATGTGCCACTCCCCCCCTCCCCTCCAATTTTTTATTGTATTGTTTTGGAGTTTCAAGGTCCCAATTATTATAATTAGCATAGTTGGATGTCTTCAAGAAAAAAAAGCGGCTCTTTGAGACCAAACAATTTAAAAAAAAAGCATATGGAATAAAACAACTTGCACACCGCTATTCTAATATTTGTTGGTTTGTTGCCTAGGTGTGCCTTAGGGATTGGATCAGTCGTAATAAACAGTTATGTTGTATGTACACAGCTGGATTACATTTCGATTAAACTGAACCATTTATGGGTGCATGCATAATTTTCCACCATTAGTTATTTTTTCTTTCCCATCGGTGTTGTCCGACCTTTGCTTTTTTTCCAGTTTCCTTTAATTTGAATCAAAATCCAAGGTTATTGAAAAACTTGGGCACCGTGTATGGCGACAACGCGAAAACATATGGTGTGCCGCGCATGCCTTTTGTTTTCCGCTCATATCTGCATATTAAAATCTACCGTACTCGCAACATATCATTTTATTAGGTCAAACAGGTGGCTTCAGGTTTTTTCTTTCCATCGTTGGTGCCGGTCATGCCATCAAATTTTTTTGCGTTTAAAACAACCAGATGTTGGTAAAAAAAATGCATGAATGCTCATCAATAGTTAATTTTGAGCAGTTTAATTTAATGTTTGTTGAATTTAGAGCCATAACAAATAATTCAATATGATTTCTTCGCAATGTCAAAAACCACATTTGACATTTAACATAGTCAAATCCTTAAATACAATAAGCATTTCCTAATTCCTAAAAATTATATATTTATTTTGGAATATACCCTATTATTTTAGACATTTTCTGCAATTTCTTTTCCTGTCCCATATAATTGAATTTTGGCGCCATTTTCCCACAACAATATCAATTGTGAAAGCAAATTTGTAAAAGATCCACAATCCGCATCAAAATGTCAATCAATGTTATGCCTGTCAAGAATATTATGATACTACTCTGTATAGCGTTTCGTTTTTTATTTATTATGATAGGGGCATTCCAACACATGAGCCAATACATTTCATTTCAATATTTTGGGCGTCATTTCTCCGCTCGAGCTCAAAAATTCTCAATAACGATTCGTGTGGTCACTAAGCATTATCCCAGGAGGATTCAATTCGTCTTGGCACTTCTTTTTTTTTCTCGTCGTGATCACACTTTCAAATTCCTTTCGTCACTACATAGTTTCTCGACAAGATTGGATTTACCTGATAGGATTAGTTGAGAAGGTTTCGACCGCCCTCTCCTTCCTCTCCTCCAACCACCAGCCGTCATTTTTGGCAACCGAACACGTCCAATGATTGTTTGTTTTCGTGGCTGCGTGGCACGCGTTGTGAATACTCCTATCTCGAAATTGATAAGTTTTAATGTTATTGCACTTTTATGGTTTGTTCCACCATCACCATTCCCCCTCTTCTTTCACCAACATTGTTCGGTTCGATTGTTGACGTTTGAGCACAGCTTTATGATCACTATCAAAACAATTCTCCACAAAATTTTCAAATCTCAATCACAACAGTAGATACAATAGCACATCGAACCCTGACGCAACTCTATTGGTGTCATTGAGTGTGAGAAAAAAAATTTCATGGTTCCGCGCCATTGCGCAACGCCACAATACAGAAACTTGGAATTTGAATCTGTCTGTCACTCACTCCGCATTTGAGCTTTTCATTTTCATATCTTCGCTCTTTATAATTGGAAGCTAATTGTCCAGCTCAAGATTCTCCACCCCTCCTCCCCCGTCCATCTCTCATAGGTACTTTCGCGACAAATCTCGCTACGATCACTTACGAAAATCGGATGATCGTTTTGTGCTCGAATTGCATATGTATTGTTTCTTGTCGGACACGCTGGGGGGATATATCAAGAAGCACTTGGGCAAACACATGTACCGCGCGTGTTTCGATAGGTGGAGAGCGACTGGAGGGGAGGTGGGGGTGGGGGAGAAAATATGGCTTCCGGATAGGTTCGTACATGCCATTCTGCTAATTTCGCGCGATATCGGTTTTCAATGTTGTTTGGTTGACTCTCGAGTTGCCCTCCCGAGAGTCCCAATTCAATTCATTAAATCATTTTAAAATTGTTGATAATTCTTCAAAACAGAAATGGGTCATATTCAGAGTCATACGCCAACTATTCTGTTTGCTGCTTCTCTGATTCATCCTCCTCTTATTTAAACTGTAATGATGACTACGCAATGGCATCAAACAGAATGAAAAAAAGCTGACGAACTGAAATGTCGCTAATATTTGCTCTTGCGAATAGGCTTCACCTTTTATGAAGAAACATCATTCACACAATTTAGGGTCGGTCGCATGCCACTTTTTTTAGGTTCCATGCGAACGGAAGTATTGCGTTTTCTCAAAAGCTTACATCGTTTCGTTTTTTGAGGCTTTTAGATGTTCGTCGTACAACTTCTCATTTTTTTTTCTAGGGAAAGGTCAGCAGGTCGCATGGCCAATTGTTTTAATTTCCATAATTTATTCATAAAATGCCTGGTTGCGCTCTCATTATTATTGTTTTATTGGTTTCTTGGTGAAAAGGCATGCGGGTTTTGTCATCCATTCCTCGGTCTTGCCAAAACTATGCCCATGCTAATTATTTTGCAGCAATGTGCTTGGAGTAGGTGCCATCGTCCGCCCAACATGATACCGATTCAAAATGAGATACATGGGTTCCTGCCGGAGCTGAAAGAGGCGGATGAGATTAGTAATAGTCCATCAAGAACATCGGAAAATGAGCATCTCCTCCATAAAAGGTTAGTTGCTCTTCAGCTTTTTCTCTCACCAATACCCACTTGCCACTATAAGAGGGATTACCAACGAAAAAAATAAACAAAATTGACCACACTTGAATCAATGGCCCCTCGCATTTGTTTTTTCAAGCAAACGAGCTTCAGCTCATTCAAAATGTCAATTCTCCACATTTTCTATTATAAAAAGTTTGTAGAAATCTTACAGGCGATTGTTTAAAGACGACATTTTACAGAATCAGCGCATCGGAGAAAATCAGCAATATACAGAAGTACATATGCATCGCCTTCATACTATTATTGGTCATCCTTTCATCAATCATATTCTGTGGAATGTATTATGTTGTCAGTGATTGCTCATCAAAAACGTTGGGCCACAATTTTTGGGACCAAGAGGTCAAGGAGGATATCGAAAAGGTTGGCGAATTTCTTCTAGCCGAAATTTCTAATAATCGAATATCATTCAGTTGAACGCCATTTCTCGCCAATTGAGTTTTGAAATAAAAGCCGACAATATTCGTCGAAATATGGATACTCTTGCCAAATCTGCACATATCGCTGGCACGCGTGAGCAATCACACATAATGCACTATTTGGCTCAACAGGTTGATTCTCATATATATCAACACCTCGTCCATGTTCATTTTTTTATTGCAGTACGCGAATCTTGGTCTCTCAGTGAAAGTTTACAACTACACCGTCCTCCTCAATTACCCGCAGATCAGTGTACCGAACATCGTTGAGGTTCGCGATGGTGATGGCGAATGGGCGACAATGAGTTTCGGTCGTGGTACGCCGCTAGGGGCCGAGATGGCGATAAACGAGGTTGGTGTGGGTTTTGTTCGGAGTGAAAACGAGCGAAGCGAACACATTTGATTTGATTGTATTATGTGCGATGAATTTATTATAGCAGCAAGACGTGCGCTCTCAACAATGGTGGAATGCTTATTCGGCGAATGGGACAGCAGAGGGACAAATTGTTTTTTGCAATTATGGCACCAAGACGGACTATGACCATTTAGCACAGGTGGATGCCATAACGAAACTTGAGGGAAAATATTCTGGAAATTTCAGTTAGGTGTTGTCGTTCGCGGTAGAATTGCCCTTATTCGCTACGGTGGAATTAAGCGAAGCGAGAAGGTCCGACTCGCTCAGAATCATGGTATGACGGCGGTCATCTTTTTCAGCGATCCCACACATTACACAACGATTAATCAAACAAATGTGAGATGTTCGGTGTTTTTTTTTTCAACGAAATCCAATCCGAACAATTTTAGGTGTTCCCGGAGAGTGTGTATTTGCCTGGCGACGATGCCCAACGCGGTTCCGTTTTGGCTTCACCTGGCGATCCGCTGACACCGCTACTACCATCGCTTATTTACACACATCGCGAGGAAACTGAAGCGTCGGCAAGGGTGAAAGGGGTTTTGCCGAGCATTCCGGTGACACCGATTGGGTATAATGATGCCAAACGGATTATGGATTTGATGGATGGGGATCCTGTACCGGTAGGATATCGCAAAAATCGTTTGAATTGATAATACCTTTTTGACTACATATAAACTAAATTGAGATTAACAATATAAATTTCCAATAATGATTGAAGAGAAGAGATCAAAAAGCCATTTTCAGAACTTTGAATGGCGCGGTGGATTGAACAGCGTGTACCGTGTAACCGGAGAAAAGCATTTTCGTGTAACCGTCAACTCCCGATTTCTGCACCGAACAATTTCCAATGTTATCGCAACCCTTCGGGGGTCCGAAGAGCCTGATAAATGGATAATAGTCGGAAATCATGTGGATGCTTGGGGAAACGTAAAAAAAAGCGCGCTCAAGGTGAAATTCTCGAAAATATAATGCTTCAGGGAGCCGTGGATCCAATTTCTGGAACCTCTACTCAATTGGAAATGGCCAGAGCAATCACAAAAATTTTCAAGGAGGTTGCTCCCAAACGAACAATAGTGTTTTGCCATTGGGATGCTGAAGAATATGGACTCATCGGATCAACCGAATGGGTCGAGGAAATGCAACACGTGCTTCATCGAAGGTCAGAATGATTCAAATTTTCAATAAGTGTGATTTATATTAAGGGCGGTGGCGTATATAAACGTCGATCATGTCGCCGGCACCGTAACTCCCGATGTGAAATCAGTGCCTCTCCTTTATCGGGCAATTGTGAGCGCTGCGAAGAGGTAGGGATTAAATTTTTTCAGCTTCAGACTTGAAACACTTCTTTCTAGAACTAAGCAATTGAATACGCTTGAGAGAACTCTAGGTCGAACAAAATTATTTGATTCGTGGAGACACTATCGTGGCAAGGTTTCTTGAATCCTAGAGCAATACAATAATGGAACCTGAAATAAATTTAAGGGCCCAATTCTCGGCGATCGTGGTGTTCCTGATATCGGCCTTCCCACTTCTGGTTCCGACTATCAACGCTTTATTTCATTCCTCGGAATTCCAGCGGCAGATCTCAAAATGGAGAACAGACCCGGAACTTCTTATCCACTATATCATACCATGTATGAGACACCGTGGATGGTCAACACATTAATGGACCCTTCATTCGAATCGTTTGTGACTGTTGGCAATTTTTGGATGGAATTGGTACATCGGTTGGCGAATTCTCTAATTATTCCATTTGATGTGGTGGATTATGGAACAGTAATCAGCAGTCTGGTTCAGAGGGTAAAATTTAAATGTAATCTTGACTTTTAAGACATTTTTTATTCCAGACGGAATCTCATTTGAACCATCTTAACTTAACAAGAAGTATTCCAACAATCAATGATCAGCTTGTCTTGCTTAAGGATGCTTTGAAGCGATTACAAATTGTTGCCCACGATTTTCATCAAATAGTCAATGTTCGTCAGAATTCCGGCGTTTCTATCATGATTTATTTATTCTTAGGACATTCAAATCGGTCTGAAAACCTCGACAAGATCTGAAATCGAGGTGTTGAACAACAGACTTCAAGAAATTGAGCGATGCTTCATCGACTGGACCCAGGGAAATCAGCTAAATCGCCATTTGATTTTTGCCCAATCTCAACATTCCCCTCATATCAATTACCTCTCGCAAATTCAAGACTCGGCCAAGGAGTTCTCCCGATTTGGAAGAGCTTCGGATAGTCAGAAGCTTTCTCTTGCCTTCTCCAAATTGCATCTTGCAATTGAGAGTGTCATTAAGGTGTTAACACTTTGAGGTTTACTAGGCCAATGCTTTCATTAATTTTGAATCCCGGGTGAATTTTTCATTATTCTCTGAATAATTCATATTGCCGTACGACGAGTACTTTTTTTTTTCAAATGTCAGTTTATTTACTTAATTTTTTTTTTCAAAAAACTTTTGTGTCACAATAAACTCAGATTTTAATATTGTTTACGTTGGCAAATAAATGTTTACTAGTTCTTTTAGAGCAATTGAAATAATTTTTTAAATGATGGTTTCCTGAATGGTAATCTGATTTCGATGCCGGATGCTTAAATATACAAATATATCCAGGTTCAACAATCATCAGGCCAATCAGATCTAGCCTATGATATGCGAGGTGTCAAACGCTCTGCTATTTTATGCGATCACCCTCGTCGTCTGTTTCTGTTTCTTGCCGCGGCTGCTTTCCATGGACAACGAATAAGAAGAGAAGCTGGTTAGTTGATTATATACGCCTGCGATTCGCTATTCAAATGTGGCCGAATGGTCTAGTGGTATGATTCTCGCTTTGGGTGCGAGAGGTCCCGGGTTCAATCCCCGGTTCGGCCCATCGTTTTGCAATTCCAAAATATGGTCGTAAAATTATAATTTATTTACCGATTTGCAATATGAAATGCAAACAACGAATCGTTGTTTCAAATCATTGCATTTCCTTTTGCAATCGTGACGAGCCCAGACGTTTCTTCAAATTGTGGTATTGATCAATTATTTTTCATAGCGCCCCGAGAAAAATAAGAAATCTCGAAAATGAGTTATTGCCTAATTTTTATTGAAGATGAACGTTGCGAACATTATAAATTAGATGTGGTGCGATGTTGGTGCATCCATGGTTGAGGGTGATGGTGCAGCTCATGTCCTTGTGTACTTTCCTGGCCATGGAGAATCAGCTCGTGGTGGTTTTTCGCGCTCCCGAGCGCGTTCCCTTTCTTTTTCTCTTTCGATCTCCCTTTCTCGCTGGCGTTGTTCCTCTTGGTTTCGATCGGACATGTCGACGGCTTTGCTGAAAAATTTTAACAATGAGAGGAATTTGAATAGGAGGAAGAAAACAAATATGGAAAAGTGAAGAATTATGAATTTTCGTCCTCTTTTATACAAATTTTTGGCCCATTAAACGGTCGTTAAACAAAAAAATTAATTGCCTAATTATTTTTTTGTGATTAATTTTTCGATTCTAATGCAGATTCTGCATTGTATTAATTTCATTTATTTATTTTTTTAAGGAATTTTAAATGACGTTTCTTGGCTTTTGGGAAAAAAAAATTCCATGTTTAATAATAGATTTTCATTTTTTGTATTTTTTCAATTAAACACTATTCGATTACAAAAAAATTAAAAAATAATTAGGCAATTAATTTTTTTGTTTAACGACCGTTTAATGGGCCAAAAATTTGTATAAAAGAGGACGAAAATTCATAATTCTTCACTTTTCCATATTTGTTTTCTTCCTCCTATTCAAAGTCTTCTCATTTTTAAAATTTTCAGCAAAACCATCGATATGTCCGATCGAAACCAAGAGGAACAACGCCAACGAGAAAGAGAGATCGAGAGAGAAAAAAAAAGGGAACGCGCTCGGGAGCGCGAAAAACCACCACGAGCTGATTCTCCATGGTCAGGAAAGTACACAAGGACATGAGCTGCACCAGCACCCTCAACCATGGCTGCACCAACATCGCACCACATCTAATTTATAATGTTCGCAACGTTCATCTTCAATAAAAATTAGGCAATAACTCATCTACGAAATTTCTTATTTCTCACTGAGTACTGGGAAAATCATTGAATATAGAAAACTATTCGAAGTAACGTCTAGGATCGTCACGATTGCAAAAGGTGGAACTATAATGATTTCAAATAGCATATACTAGCAATTAATAGAAATTACTATTTTCAAATACTAAATTTTCAAACTCAAAAAAATTATGAAATTTAAATTGTTGAATTTTTAATTTGCATATTTGCATAATAATATGGATTTATTAAAAAACTCAAAAAAAATTCCTTCTGGAAAATGCACGTTTTTAACTACGTTTTGTTGGCAGCTTTTCGATTATATTTGTTTTATAAAATATTTTTAAGGAAAATTTGGAATGGCTTAAATTTAATAATTAAAGAAAATAGATATGAGATTTGAAAATTTCTTTAAATACAAATTTCCATTTGAATTTAATTTTAGTAAATTAAAACTACCACGAATTAATTGGTTTAAGATACCCTATATCATTTCTGACCAAATAAAAATTCGTTCCATCTCGGGCACATAATGATTTCATTACAATTAATCTGTAATTATGTCTTCCAGCGTTTGTAACATAAATCCCTCAAACACAAGTTTTATCAATTTTCTCCCGATAACATCGACACGCTCGCTCATCGGAACACACCGATTTCATGTGTGTGGTCTATTGGCAAGTGCGATTCGATATCATCGTTGCATCTCATGCCAATTGGTGTGGCGCGATCGCGGACAATTGAGCAACGGTGAGCAGTTGTTCGGTGGCGTTCGTTGGTCAAACTTACGCAACACAACATTCTTGTCAAATTGCTTTGCGTTTTCAATTTTCGTGCAGAAAAAAAAGGACGAGATTTGAAACGACCTTTAGCTTTGACAGCTGCCATCAATTCTTGAAATTTTGCGTATCTCAATGTTGCTTGAAAGTTGACCGACCTTATCATTGTCAAGTTTGTTGACTTTGTTTACGGTCCCCAGAGTTCTATTTATCATTATTAGATTAACAACACAATATTTATTATACGTGCAATCTCATTAGCTATGTCAACACAACATTATTGCCGTCCGATTAGCATACCAATTAGGTGTGTTTAATATATGTATATAATGATTTGTAATTGAGTTTGCACACACAAAGAGATTTCTATCATTAGGATATGGATTATCGCATTTTAATATCCTTAGGATACAGTTAAAAAAAAAGAAAAAATTCAATATTTTTCAAATCTTGTTGCAATCTTATCACCTTCGATTTAACATTACTATTTTTATTACAAATTGGCAAGAGCGCATGGTGTCTTTATCAGAACTGACTATTTCGAAATTTCAGAATAATCCTCAAATACCTTTATGACGCAATATTCCGGTTTCAATTGATTTAAAAAAAAAGCATTATCCTCTCATAATACAGAAGCTTTGAGTTATCCGAAACTTTGCAACTCATAAATTAAAAATTTTTGAAAACATGACATTCAGAATTTATTCAAAATCTGTAGGCTGTCGTCTTCAAGTTGAAAGCGTTTTAGAAGCTACGTTAACTATACAACACATAAATTTCGAATCGGAGAAAACAAAAAAAAACAATAGTCAGAGAAAGCACATTTGTGAAAGTTGAGAATGAAGGAAGATCCCGTTTTGCGCAGGCGATTATCTTCAATTTCACGCGCTGTTGACACCAGATTGTGAAAATTATGTACATATCACGTTTTGCATTCGCCCTCATCCATTCATTCAAGCCGTTCATGTACTATCCCTCGTTTTGATACAAACTTGATAGGCGTTGAGACAAAAAAAAAATAACAACACCAACTTTTTATTGTTTGGAATTTACCTGCGTCAGGCGAAAACGCCCACCGCCGGATTTATTTACATAGTAGTTATAAAGGATATGTGTGGTGCAACATGTCCAGATGGATTCACTCATGCTTGCAATTCATTTCATTTTGAGTGCCCACCCAATACCCTGCCTCCCGTTTAACTCTTTTATTCGCCAATAAACATTATGACCCTGTGTTTGTGTGTTCGTTGTAAGACCCAATTAACGGATTGTCAAAGGGGGGGGGGGGCTCGAGAACACACCAAATTGCAATCGTCATTTTTTCCGTCTTCTTCTTTTTTCTTGTGAAAAACAAATCGAATTCAACATTTTGAAGGAACCTTTTCTTTTCTTTAAATAACTTCAATTATAATTCTCACTATTTTCAAAGAAAAATTCGCGAGGCCAATACTAACGCCTTGTTTTCCATTCTCGACGGCAATTTTAATAACTTGTATAGGATATAAATATCTATTCGGCTCACGTGAGCCAATAAGTGATTGGTCTTTGGTTGGGCAAGGCGTTTGGCGAAAAAAAAATGGCCGGTCATGCGAGAAATAAGAAATTACGTATGCATTTCAACGGTTTCGATTAAGCACCAAATATATATATATATCGAATTGTGAAAACTTTCGCTTCAATTTAAATATGCAAATCGAATGGGTGGCGCGATTCGGGATATTGGTCAACCTTGCAAGGTAAAAACCACTTCATTATTCATTTGTGTCCCCCCCCCTTGAAATTCGATTCATTATAATTGCTGACATATCCGATTTCTCGTTCGACCCCGCTGTCGGACTGACAACAGAAGTTCGAAGGTTATTTATCAGCGTCGACAATCCCCCCTCCCGATCCTTGCCATTTCTTTAATACCGATTATTTGCCCTCGGCTCATTGGGTGGATCTGTCATGAGATCACGATCCCCCTTGTGTTTGTATGCACAATATATATATATGTATATATTGTCAAATATCTGTCCTTTATTATGAATTTTTTAATATTGCTAGAAGACATATGCCATTTAATTGCATTTGCTTTTGTGTGTGGTGTTCCTCGTTTATACGTATTTTTATTGTGGTTCTCAAGGAGCCATAATTATAAATTTTCTGTGCGTTGAGAACTGTAAATCTCATTATCACAGAATTTCGATACTCAAATGTTTGAAATTTTCAAAACAAAATATAGTTTAGCAATGTACAACCTTTGATTTTTTTTGGAAAAAAAATTGCATTTTTCCGTTTTACTCTATTTAACCTTTCTTCAGCAATCTCATTTATTCAAATAGGCACTTAAAAGGTGATGATTATACAAGGGCGAACTCCTCTGCAAAGAAATAGCAAACAAATTGGTAAATAACAGTTTTTACACTGTTTCCAAATGGTGGCAAACAAATGACTCATGATATTTTTGCAAACCAATATTTCGCCCCGCTTCTATTCATATCCTTTTTACCAACATTCATATGATTTTTTGAAAAAACGCATTATAATATTTAATGTGTCTCGCTTGCAGATATTATCGCGCTTCGCGCTCCGATTTTTCCAGATTGTTATCATCATCATATTCCGTTTCAAAATTTGAGTAGCAGCAAAAAAAAAAGCATTGAGTTCTCACCAGCTGTACGAACACAATTTCTCGCATTCGATTCCGAACATCTTGTTGAGAAAACAAACACACACACGCATACACAGAAACCCAATTCTGAATGCGACACAGGTCGTAAATCACACTCATTGGATGAAGCTTCTTGTATTGTTATGACAACAGCACTTAAATTTAGATGATTGTGCTGGAGAAAAAAAATCGTCGAGAAAATGAACAATTTGTTGTCATTGTTTGAAAAATGGGATTTTTTGCAACCATTGTTGAGTGGACCATTTGTTGCTAGGCATTATTTCACGCGCTCGTGCTGAGATTTGTTACAAAACATTACAAGAAAGGTCCCAATTTTAAATGAAAAATCGCCTTCCTCTTTTTTGATTTTTTTTAATCAAGCGTGTTCCTTATATTATAATATATATGAAATTGTTAGAAAATTGTTCAGTTTTCCTTACGTCTTGGCTTGAATTGTCACAGCTGCAAGCAAAACAATACCATGACGAGATTGTCACCAAAATTGGTTTGTACTATACCAATTCGTAAAATCGAAAATTCCTTAGCTTCTCCTTTTCGTGTATAGTCAACTCGCGAATTCCATTTATTTCCTAAAATAAAAATTGATCCCGAAAAAATTTCTACAACACCCATTATTTGGGTTTTTAGTTTCTTGTGAAAAACTCAAAAAAAAAACGTTTTCCTAATAAATAATTTCTTCCCTACAATGCCCAATGTTTTGACTATTCATTCACCAAATTTGTAGTGTGGTTTGTGACAACAGTACGCTAGGAATACGTATATAGAATACTTTGCTTTCTACCCAATTAATTTGATCTGATAACCATTTTGACCTATCATATCTGCGAGCGCAACGCCAATCATTGCTCTCTCATTGTTTCAGCGTTTCTGTTTGCTCGATTGTTCGTTTCATTTTTGAAGCCTCAATTTTTTTTCTGCTCGTTTTTTTATCGAGTTGTTCACACCTATTTGTGTTCCAACATCGTCTCCAAAATTGACATTTCTCTACGCGATTATTTGCACACTGTCAAGAGGAGGTCGCCGATAGTTTTCACACTGCTTCATCATCAGTATTATATGTAAACCAACTGATTGTCTTCCACGATATCTTATCATCCATCGAAAGAAAAAATTGTGTCGTCCAATGGCGGGCCAGGTCGAAAAAAAAATTTTTCAAACATTTTTGCAATTCCTATATTTTTTTTGGTGGGCGCGCTCTCTCTGCCCTTCGCTGTTTTTTTTCGCGGTCAGTTAGACGGCCGTAATTGAGGCAACAAGAAGAAGAATAAGAAAACGAAGAAGAAAAAAACCGAGAGCAATTAAGCGCGTTTGACAATTTTTTCTTTGGTTCTATGTTTTTGGTATTTGTTGTTTTTTTGTTCCTAGCATTTAGCCATATATTCTTGAAATTTCATCCCATCAAATAAGCAATGGCCAATGAATTCTGGGATTTTAAAGTCGGAAAAATTGGATTTGAACCATGCTATCAAATTTCATATTTGTTTTGTATTCCACTCAACATTTTTTTTCTTCGTTCTGTTGAAGCTTAAACCTATTCGGGACGCTTCCGAGTCATTCAATTCCCTAGAAAATTTCAAAAAATCCAGCCCTACTCCATTCTACTAGTGATTGATGATTGCCTTGACTTCCGTTTATGGCTTTCTTCAGAAAAAAATTTTTTTTTGGCGAATAGCCAGATTTTCAAGCGAACACTCATTCCAAATATGAATCAGTGGCGGTTTCCGCAACAAACGCTCATTCAGCCAGGCAATGACAAATGAGAAAAACGATCTAATTACCAGACGGAAATTTTCTAATACCCTTCCCTTTTGCAATTCTCATTGTCTCAAACATATTTCTCTTCTCGTCTTCCTCTGATTTTTTTGTTTCGTTCCAATTGAACCTCGCCCTCATTTCTCATTCCTGTTATATATTTTTTTTTGGAACGAATATTGATTTTCAATTTTTATTGCCGCTTTTTTTTATATTTTTCGAAACCGCCGCCTATTCTGCCATTATATGCATGTTGACGTGTTGCCTATTTTTTATAGATGATGGAAGGCTCAAGCTTGATGAAGAAGCTCTCGGATCTCGAGGCTCAACTACAACATTCACAAGAAAAGGTCGGTTTATTTGTACGCTTAATTGTGGGAAATTATAAAATACCGATTTGCCACAATTATATATGGGATTGACCCAACTGTCAAGTCGGATTCAAGAGAATGCAAATTGTATACTGTTCTCGAAGCTAATTTGTATGACGAGGAGAATTCTCACATTTTTTTTATAGGGGGGCTGTATATGAAATTTGAAGTCCAATTTTAAATCGAGCATTGAAGCATATACAAGAATTTTCAAATTCCTAGCTCTCGTCTGAATTAGTTTACTTTTGATTGGACTGCTCTATAGATGTAATAAAAAACTTTTAACGAAAAATCTGATAAGCGCAAAATGGCAAAAATCCCAATATCTTTTCATTCCGTCACAATAACTGATTTTCAGTTAATCATGCGTGAAAATGTCATTTCTCAACTCGAAGAAGAGATTAAAGGGAAAGAGCGTCTCATATTTGAACAAAACCACCTCATCAGTATTCTCGAAAACGACACGACCACTAGCTCTCATTTGCAGGCCATTGATTGCGACAACAACAACAAATATGATACGGTACGCGATCAATAATTTTCACATGTTTGATAGTTTCGCTAACAGTGTCAATTTGATGCGGCTGAAATTTGAGAAGAATGCTACATTTTTTGAAAATCGATGCTTGTTGAACATTTCTTAAAAATCAATAATCAATTTTTTGAAATTTGTAGCCTCCACTACATGTTATATGTAGTGACCAAATAAGGCGAATAGCAAAATTTTAGTTAACCTAATTAACTGACTATAATGCAATTTGAAAACTTTCACTATTTCCCAGGAATCGATGGCCAGTGAGAGTGAAATTACTGTGATCGAGCGTGAGATTGTGGCATCCAGCAGTTCAACGTCGCCGTGTTCATCGGAGAATAGTGTCGGCTGCCGAATGGCCGATTGCCGGCAAGCATATCGCTCCGAATGCATTAGTCACTGTAATTGCAAAAATAAATACGAGCAGGTAATTAAGTAATTAATCAATTCATGCTTCTTATTTGATGATGATTATAGGCATTGGTGGATCGTGAGAGACTCGAATTGCAGAATGAGCAACTCTTGAAGCAATGGGAAGAAGCTTTGGAGTACGTCTCAAGTGTAAGCGAGGCAAACTTTTTTGGAATACAAAATTGGTGCAATTTCAGGTGCAGCGCCAACTTCAAGAAGAGATCAGCCGAAACAGCGCGATCAAAAAAGAATTGAGTGGCCGCGAGAAGGATGATTCTTTGGTGATCCCTCGAAATGTTGTCAACCTTATTTCATTCATTATCCTGGTTTTCGGTTATTTTTTATATCGCCTTTGATAGAATGTGCCATAAATATGTGCAAATGGTTTACACACATGAGATACTTGAGACATTTTTTTACGACATGTCTGATATTTAACGCTTTTTTTTCGGGGAAGGCGGTCGACGACGCAAAACTCGACTTTTTTTTTTAGTTTGTTTTTCAAGCTTCTCATACCTGCTAGAAAAATGCATGTTTCTATATTTGGCCTATTTCGAAGAGCAATTTGAATTTAGTCACACATCTTCACGAGTTTTTTTCCGCTCATTTCGTCTTCAAAAATCGCCAAATTTAGAATGAATTTCAATCACAATTCGCGTCATTTTTGGGGGTTATCACGTGGAGCGAGAATTCTCGGAAAACGTCTATCCCCCCGTATTATCTGCCTTATAAGTCGACTAGGCATCTCATAATTTATTGTGCCAACCAGCAAAGCTTCGTCTCGTCTACAAATCTTTATTCGTATAGCGAAATTGTTGGAGATATGCATGATTTAATCAGAAATTCATATTACATTTAATTGCGCCGCAGCGTTTTGATCAAATTTATAAAGTTTCCCCAATTTACCCCTTTTGTTCAATTTTTCTCTGAAAATGGAATTCCACTTTCTGGCTATATGTAGTGATCTTAAAGGGGGATTACGGTAATAATTAGTCTTCTATTAACTATATTATTACTCCATTATCAGAATGCTTTTTGATTCCATCGATGGTGTAATATTCTTCTGCACATTATTATTCTTTTCTGTGAACCACATTAAACTTCACGAGCTTCTTCGAATCTATAAAAAACGGCGCCATTTTTCATCTGCTATTGTTAGCTTTAAACTGCCGACATTGAAATATGTGATCAATGTTGAAAACCTAAACGACAATTGTCGTTGAATTCCGACATCCCGATGATCTTTGTGTTTCACTTGTTAATCATGGCACCCACCAATAAAAAAAAGAACAAGAGTTGTGAAGTGCATGCTTCAAACAAGTCGTCTCGAAAAGCTTTCAGAATTTTTTACCACATTTTTCTTTCTGTCGGTTTTTTTCCTTCAACTCTAGCTCATCATCGTGCCATTTCAAATGAAGGCTTCAAAACAAAAATGTTGTAAATTGTAAAAGTTTGCGTGTTGATTTAGAAGCATCGACAACCATTTTATATTTTTGTTTCTCATGCGGCGAGAACAAAGTCACATGGGTTCCATATGCCCAATGTTTCCTTCGAAAATCTCGCAGCAAAATGAATTTGGGCTCCGGCTCCCGAAATAATTCCTTCGGCTTTCGTAGGTTTCTTTTTTCTCCTTTTCTACTTGTGCCCCCCCCCCAAATAACCGGAAGTCTGACGTCCATTTTGAATTTACGCCAATATGGCAAGCAGTTTCCGTTCTGATATTGACGTAGACTAGGCGTATTTTGTACTCCTGTCAGACCAGAAAAATCAAAAGAAAGACAATTGCGACAACCAAGGGTCAGCTCTTTTTTTTGTTGAGAAGTATGCATATCATTCAAAAATTCTTTTCACTTTTTTTTGGTTGAGTATCTTCCAACTTTTTTTTGAGAAATGAAAGTGTTCTTTCAAAAAATTTTTTCAAATTGTACAAAAAAAACGGACGCAGATACATAAACCAATTTTCTTCTGCCAAAGTCAATTAGCGTTTTTTTGCCCCATTTTCATAACCTACCCAGGAGAATTTAAACGTTTCCACTCCACTTCCAATACACCATGGTTAGCTATTCATATTTCAATTTGCACAATGCATATTATAGCGACCAATAATGGGCTTCCGGTGAATTTTCAAAAAGAAATGAAACCAGAATTTTTACATTCCGGCTCATTGATCTACAGCAATAAATTTAATGAGCGCGCCTGATTGACAATAAAACTCTTGTCAGTTGCGGATAATTGCCGCATTTTCTCAAAATTCCACTAAAAAAAATGCAATGCGTTAAAATAAGGAACGGCTTTGTTGAGATTCTCAACAATTCGTCATTTGACGTGGATAAAAAAATGGAAAATTCGATTTTAATTCCGCAAAAAGCGCAAAATCTTTTGAATTCATTCCGCAAATTGCCTCCTTCTGACCATTCCCCGTTCTAGTTTACTTCTTATCCGCCTTCTTCTTCCTCTTCTCTTGGCTTCGCCTGTCTTCAGAATTGTGTTTGTTTACTCATCGAGTATCTCATTTTTTTTTTATTTTCCGAAAAAAAATGTTGTTCATTCACTTGACACAAATAAAAATCCCGCGGAACAGACGTGATGGCTCAGCGAGCCAAGACGAATAAAATGCGTTGAGCAAAAATATATGTAAGTGACATACACGCACACCATTTTGCATATCAAACAGGACAATCTCGCTTTCAAGCGACCCACCCCGCCTCGGGCTTGTGTGCTTGACTCCAATTCTCAATTTTATAATTAAACGGCTTATAGGCGTTGAGTTAATTGTTTGTTTTCTCGAGGCTCACATAAATTGTCAGTGTTCCAATAAGCTAGAATCTTGTTATTTTTCCCTCTCAAAGTGCAATTATCGAAAATGAGCAAAGTTTATTCCCCCTTGGCATTTTGAATTCGCGGCTTGGCTCTTCAAGAACATTCTTTTTTAAAAGAGCAACTTAAGAAGTGGTATGGTAGAGGATTTTTTGAAAAGATATGACATTTTTGAACCAGTAACCAAATTTAAATTTTTCGATTCAAGCTAGTCAGAAAAAATATTGTTTTTATGATCCTATTTAAAATTTTCTTAATTCTCAGAGCCATCTAAAAAAATTGTTAAGAGGACACCTTCAATTCAATTGTCCACTTTTCCCTCTTTTTTCCGATTGTCTCAACTTCTGGGCATTCACAAAACTGGGACCCCAGATTGCCTTCAAATAATAAATATTGTGGTAAATGCAGGTAGCAGCTGAAAATTTTTGTGCTTAGAATTCAATTCATCAAAAGTGTATATGTAGTCTAAATATTAATTTCTGAATATTAATTTCAATAAAGTCCGATGTGTCAAAACAAATAAAGAGCCGACGTTTGTGTGGGCGGTAGACGGAACGCTTCGAAAATGAAAATTCAACTTCTCCAATTTCATGTAATTCTTGAAGAAACGTTTTTATTCAACGCGAAATCTCGACGTTTCGCAAAATTGATGGCTCGAAACCATCGGAAACCACAATTTTTTTCCCTTCTTATGCGCCAATAAATAAATCACCAAGAAAAATTTGGTTGGATTTTTTAGTCCAATTCAAAAATCTTCTTCATTGTTCGGTTTTGGGTAATTGGCCATTGTTTGACGGCAATTGATGACATTCAAGCGCCAAATTTTTGTAGATTCGTTTTGAGATGCCGAATTTGCCCTTTTTTGGGCAGCAAAATCAGAACAACAAAGTTTAACAGTAGACTTATTTTATTCCGTTTGCCTCCCACATTTTTTCTTTTGCCTTTTTTTTCTTGCTTCCCCCCACCCAAATACAAATCAAATTGGCTTCATTTCTTCACTGTCCTTTTTTGTTGTTTTCCGTAAATGGAATTCCAAATAAAGATATCGAAGGATGTCAAAAACGGAAAAAAAACTTTTAATGACATCAGTGCATGTGTTTAATTTGAGTTGCATGAGAGAATGCATTGGCAAGTTGCAAAACCCTCATTATTTCTTCATAAAAAAATTTAATGAACAAAATAATTATTGAAATATTTCATACGCCCATAAAGTGACTCAGCTATCAAGTAAGCTTGAATGATTTTGATTAAAAAAATTTTTTTTTGAATTCCGTGAATCTGACGAGTTATATTTCGGCTCAGCTTCCGAAATTTTTAAACAACGTTGGCCTACTCAATTTTCTGGATATAGCTCGTTATATTTCTCGTGTTCCGAGTCTCCTAAATCTTTTACTTGATTATTTTAATTCGATTTGTTTCTTTGAACTCGCTGAGCCACTGCATTATTATTCAATTATGCAAGCTCGTGCTACCTTCGATGTTGATCTCTGTCAAGTCGGCACTTCCTGACCTCACACGATTCAGAATAGCTAATTAATAGCGGCTAACAAGCTTCATTGAGCTGGTTAGATCTACATTTTGGCAAGGTTACAAGCTTCATATCAATATTAAAGTGAGGCTCAGAAAAAAATTTGAAACATTTTCAAGATTATTCCAGAAGGATACTTTCGAACTAATAATCTCGCGAGATTTTCGGGCCTACAATCATTGCCAGAAATTTCAGCTCCCCTTTCCTTGTTCCATTTACATTATTCTTCTCGATCTTACTGTAGCCTCCTCAAAATCCCTTCCCCGTGGGTGGAGCATCACACAATGTCATTCATAAAATTGAAAAAAATGGCACAACCGAACAAAAAACGGCAATTCTTCAACCGATCACGTTGTCATAGCGAAAATTTCCATAATTCTTGCTAGCGTTTATGGCCGCATTCTTCCCAGGTTTTGCTTTCTTCATATATGGTGACGCCCTTATGGAATATAATAGGATTCATTCATTTTTATGTTTTTTTTTTGCATTTTATCGCATTCGCTTCAAATGAGAATCATTGAGCGTTTTTCATTTTTCCTTTCGTCTATTTTTTTTCAATTCGTGCGCCAAAGCCCACATTTTTCTTATTAGTCGTGTTCATTGACTTTTTGCCAGAATTACTGATCGCAAGTGAGGGTGGCCGGGGGATGTGCGTATTTGTGCTGTGTTTGTGTCTCGACACGACGTACGCTTCTGTGTATGTGTGTGTGTTTTTCCAACTAATAAACGCAACTCTATAAATATTCGAGAATCCTCCTGGTGCAGACATTCATTGGAAAAAAACGCGTAATTGAAATTGTCCTTTCTCTACTTTTTTGTTCATCGAGATTTCCAAGATTTTGTTACGCTATTAAATCCAAATTCTTCTACAGTAATCCAACGACTTCACCTTTTTGATCATCATTTCCCTCGTTCGTATAGCACGCAAAAATCTATAATATTATGCTTCTTTCTTACAGTGAATGACATCCAATGCCCTGCGTTCCTAATCCCGAATCGCGAACCCCAAATGCGTCGTTCAATCCATCACACGCACAATATGCATGCTGTTTTCAGCAAATACACTCCAGGGTGAGTTTTTAGCGCATTTTTTTCCAATTTCCGCTGCTACCGTAGTCACAACAAACGTACATGCGTATGTTTTCAGGTTAAGCCCATAAATAGTAATAGAGTCCCTTTCGCGAACCTTCCGCAGGAAATTTGAACGTCTATTGATATACTGTAGGGGGGGGGCGGAGCTTTTTGAAAAATAAATAAATAGCGATAAGCAATTATTGAAATCGATCACTATATGCTGATATGGTGCACGTTCATGATAACTCCCAAGAAGAGCCGTTTTTAACACGAATCGCGGTTCGACCAAGATTCCCAAAACCGCGTGCATGGAAAACTAGACAGCGCCGCCGCTCGGTGGTGTACAAGGTTGCTTTAGGCATTTCATACAATACCCCCAACAGACAATTTAAGCATCTCGAATTTCAGACAGGAGCCCTGATTATTGCGGTGTTTCACATCGCCTTGTGCAGTTTGGTGTTCACCTGGCTCGTCCATTGTCTCACCACCGACAAATCGCCATTGGAAACCGCTGCCGAGTTCGTATTATCGACGCTCTGCTTCTTCGCTTCGATAGTTCTCATCGTTGGGCTGAAGCTAGAAAATCGACGAATTTTGACTGGTTACATACTTGCTCAAGTAAGCCATTCAATCTTACTCAAAAAATATCGTGTTCCCCATTATTCAGACGGTCCTTATTAGCCTCTTATTTATTTTGTTTCTCGCTTTGATAATGGGTATCAAGCCTGGAATTCTTGATGATCCGGACCAAAATGGTTATAATTCTCTTGGTAACCGCCGTCATCTCCACAGCCTGTCGTATATCGCATTGTTTCAGAGGAGGAGCTAATGATTGTGTTGGAAATTTTCATCTCATTGGGCGTCGTTGCAATCGAAGTCTGGTTCCTCACCGTTGTCTTGAAATCCTACCGGTTCGTCAATGACAAATACAACTTCACCGGAGGAAATCGTGAAGACAACGTATAGGATGATCATGAAGCTATGAAACATTCCAACATGTTGAGACCGTTAAAATAAATCTGTGAATTAATAATATCGACTTGAATATTTTATATTTGGCTGTATTGTATATTATGACTAGTGTGATTAACCATGTATACATGTATTGCAAAGTCTAATAATAAAATGTTATTTCTATCATTGATTATCTAAAAAATCAATCGACTCTATCAAATTATTTTAAATCCGCGACTTACTCAAAATAACAATTCTCAAATTCTCAAAAAAAGTGTTTTTTAATCTCATGAAGAATAGTGCACCGACTCTTCTAAATATTTCTATGGCTTCAGGGAACATCAAAAAAATATTGCATCGAAGAGTTCCCAAATGCCTATATTTGGGCTCCAACCGGAAATTGAAACGATTTCCTATCAAATTTCCGGTATCAATTTGCATTTCAAAAATAGAAAAATGAGGACATTTGCAGAAACGGTTGTATTTCTGAAATTCTGAAAACTTATCGGAACAATGAAATTTCTGGAATTGAATATCGGTTGAACACTTCTACTATAAATTGTTATCTGGTTTTGCTTAATTATCCTAATTATCAATAAATATTTTTAAGCATCGTGTGACGAGCTAGGGCCTGAAAACATGTGTGTCGATTTACGAGCAAGAATTTTTATAACACGTTGTTAAGTGGCACATTGTCCGTGTGGAGTACACACTGGTATTTAGACAATTTGTCGAAGCCGCGTGACTTCGACAATAGAAATCAATTATAAAAGCTTGACAAATTATAGAGATCCAGGCGATCTGTAATTTTGGGAAAATTCCATCGTTGGCTTTACCACAGCATCCATTCAAAATACATATTTATTGTGTTGATTGTTGGGAAAAAAAATATTTAAAAAAAAAGCTAAAACGAATTTTTAAAAAATAATGGTCGATGGGAGGGAAGAGGAGTAAATTTTTTGTGGCAGAAACGAGCTCACGCAAAATGAAACAAAAAAATATATATATTGAATGGGAGAATAGAATGAATTTGAAATGGAATATTGGATTGGAGGGTGAGTATATTATACAAGAATTTCGTCGCTTAGCTGGATGGAACCGGTGGGAGATTCGGCTGGGTGACCGACATGCGTCTCGGGCGGTCAGCCTCCTCCATCGAGCTGTAAAAAAATTACATTTGGATGAGCTTGGTGAATTTGGCGCACCTCGAGAGAGTTCTTTGTCTCTCCATTCCCGGGATGGCGACACCCGAGAGAACACCACATCCCTTGCAGAGAAGGATGAGAGAGCGAGCGAGCTTGTCCGGCTGAAATTATTCAAGTGATTGATTTCAAGATGCTCCATTTCTTACCGCCTCAAGCATAACGTCAGAGACGTTGTCGACGACAAGAAGTGTGGTCTTCTTCTTGTTCATGCTCTTATGAGTGGTGTAGACGGTATGAAGATGTGGCGCCTTGCTTCCGGTGACGAGAAGAGCATCAACGCTAAAAAACAATTCGATTTGCAATCTGATTCTCTACTTTCAATTGCAATATACCTCTCGAGCTTCGTTCCGATGGTCGACGAGAGATCGGTTCTCTTGGTGAACGCGATGAGGTACTTGGCGAGATTCTTCGGGTTCAAGGTGTTCTTGAGCTCGTCGACATACTCCTGGCGCAATTTTCCCTCCTTAATTCGGAATTTTTGAATTTTTTTGCAATTTCCACTTCAGATTTTTCAGATTTTCACAATAAACTATTCGACACACACTGAACAATTTGTTTTGGATGGAAACGCAAGCTACCGGATGATTATATGCCACTATATACAATCACATGCGTACAATCTAGAGAACTAGCATAAATATAATTTCAAGTTGCTCTAAAATCACGCTGCACTATAGCATGTTACCAGTGTTAGATTACTAACTTCCTGTAATTAATGGCGGAGTCATTTTTTTGATAATTAAAGCATTAACTATTAGCATCGAGCTAGAAGTATTTCGAATGCTTACCCCTCCGAACTTGTGAGCGAGAAGGTACTCCCAGGCTCCGTCGCTCATGATTCCATTCTCCAAGCGAAGGTTGATGACCTAAAATAACTCATTTAATTATAAAAATTATAAAAAAGTGTAAGGCACACATTCGACAATTTTTTCACATTTAAAAATGCAATTCTTCAATTTTTTTCTTAAAAAAAATTAAAAATGTTGACAATTGGTCTCAAATTCAAAAAATTTCACAACTAAATGACACTTGCGCAAATTAAAAAACATTTTTCAGGCGTTAAAGCCATTGATAATTTCGAATTGTCTTAATTAAATTAATCATTCTATAACGTAATTTCAAAATATTCGAATAACGTGAATGTCCATTTTTTGGAACCACTATGTTATATATTTAGCGTGGCTAACTGCTTCATAATCACTTCAAACTATTTTCGGAGTTCTCTTTGTGCTTTATTACACTCCTTACACGGAAGTCTCAGAATACCCTCATAGAGGGGAAACAAGGCCAATTTGCAGGCACGTGAAGCCATTAAGCAGCTTTAAAGTAGCTTTATGATATCCTGAGATATTCAACACAATTACTAGAATTTTTGCTATTGGTCTTGCAGAAATAAGCTATATCAATACGTTTTTGTGCCGAACCGGAAATGATGATAGCTGTAAAGTCCACTGGCCACTCGTGCAAAACAAAATGATAATTTCCAGTCACAAGCATCAAATTTCCTGTTTGGCGTCATGTTTGGTACAATTAAAATTTGAAAAAAAAAATTTGAGTTTGTCACGCAATTTTGAATTCTGTTGTTTGGTGCGTTATCGAGAAACTGAAAGTGAGGGGGACAAAATAGGAATTTCACAACATATTAGGTAACTCAATTTTTGGCCCTTGTTGCCACCTAAACGCTTTTTCCTTCTCTCACAATTCTTATGTTTCGTCTACATTCGTCTCTTTTTCAATTTTTTTGTGTGTGTGTGTGCTGTGCTGTGCCGTTGTCAACTACAACAGGAAACATGAGCGAGCGAGTAGACGCAACGCACAATGACGTTGACAAATCATTGAGCCGAACGAGAAAAATTCGATTCCAAAATCAACATATCGTTCATTCTCTCACCTTTTCTTTGCAATACTCGATGATGCCGGCAGTGGTCGAGGTGCAGTGCACCAAAACGATGCCCATGATGCGATTCGGGTGCATCATCTGCAAAATGATTGCATTATGTGATTTCGGTGGGTGCTCGTAGAAAATGTACCGCAAAACGGCAGATGATGTTTGCACCAACGCCTTCGCCGAAAGCGATAGCCGATTTGACTTCGAATTTGTCCAACACAGCAGCCAAATCATCACCAATGTTGTCGAGAGTTGGGAAGCTGAAAATATATGCATATGTCTAATAATCAGAGTTTGAAAATTTCAGAAAGGTGTTGAAGAAATTTTTAGAAATAATTTTAAGATTTGTTTTCTGTTATTATAATTTTCAAAAGAGTATTATATTGGACTGAATTTTATAGCAAATTGCTACTAATAATGTTTCACCGCATTTTTAGACTATTTTCAGTATTTACAATCTTCGTGGAAATCCAAAAGGCTTGCTGCTCAATTTTTTTTCCAGTATTAATCGTTTGATCTCAAATGTTTATCTGCGCCCAATCGCAAACATATTATATCAATTTCGCTAAATTGAGAAGGCACACCGAATTTCTGGCTCGCAAGCTCAACTTTTGGGTCATTGACGTTGTTTGATCAAAGTTGAAAAATAGCAGGGAAATTCCATTAAATAATGGAAACTTGAAAGTAACTCACTCTCCGATGTAATCGGCGGACTTGTCCTCTTGTCCGGGAACGCAGACGTGAAGGAAGATTGCCTTCTCCTTAACGGCAGACATGCTCGGATGGTTGACGAATTTGACAAAGCTCTTGTCTGAAATCGTAACAGTACTTCATGCCCTGATGGAATTATATGGCTTACGGTTAGTTCCGATGTCGTGACAAGTGAGAATGAAGGTCTTTCCACCGCGCTCCTCAATATTTCCTTGCACGTAGACGTGCAAAACGCCGCACGCTGGCGTTTGTACCGCAACCATTGAAAGCTTTTCGTCAGTCATTTCTGAAATCGAACAAAAAAATTTCAAAGTAACTGAAACTTGAAAAAACAAAACGGAATCCAATGGCATTGCCAAGAAAATAAATAACATGGTGTTGAAACATTCCCGAAAATTCTCGATCAAAACATGTTTTCGAATTATTACGGTTCGAAAACATTGCCAACAATTTGTGGAATTGAGCAAATTGGAAAATAGCGATAAGGAGTGGGGCAAATAAAATTACATAGCTTCACACTGTTTTCATATGGTTATAATAAATGTTTGCCGAACCTATTTATGGCTAGACTGGAAGTCACCCAGCAAAACGTAAACATTTCATTGAGATTGGGTACACACGATCTTGGATTCCGAGCCAACATTTTTTTTTTCTGGCCAGAACATTGGCTAGCATTTGAACTTTGGGGTTTCACAAGTGAAGAGTAGCGAACAAATTTCGGGATCAAAATACAGATGATGCTTGGAAGCCACGCCTGACAAATTTTTCAACCTAGAGAATCGAAAATCGTAGAAACCCGTTTCATATGAAAATGGATTCCTTACGATGTGGTTTCCGAGCAACAACTGGCGTTATTTTTTTTATTCATGACATTAAATTCGATTATGAATATTCCCCTCCCCCAAAAATCTGGCAAGAAATTAAAAATCTCACTTTACTGATCCTTTAATAGTTACTGCAATCAGCTAAATGTATTTTCATTATTTTTTAGCATTAATTCGTCATAAGATGACTCAAAGTTCTTAAAAGCCAACGATTTTCTAACAAGATGAAGTTCGACTTCTCCTGAACTAGATTCTAGCTCGAGCTACTGCAATTATTTCTAATAATAAGTTAACTTGAAGCTGAAAATTGTTGTTTGCATCATTATCTAGAAATTGGCGTTTTTGCGTCACCATCATCATCGTCATCAAGTATTTCTCAAGCGACTAATTCTATATGACAATTTATAGCTGATTGTCGCTCCTAAAATGCTCGATGTGAATTCCACAAGGGCAGCTGAATTGGATATTATTTCTCGGAAAGAAATGCGTCCCTATGAATAAGAAATAGATGGCAGTGCAGCGCGTCATTCTTGATCTACTACCAGTATTTTGAAGACGACGAAGAAGAGGCTCCTCAAAAACGCATAAACAAAATGTGGGAGGCGGTGCCAATAAGCACAAAAAAAAACTCGAGCTCCCCACACCCACTTCACTGAGTTCTATTTTTTTGTGCTTACCCTTTCAACTTCAAAGAAGAAAATGCCGCTACCATCATATTCGCACACAATGAAGCGAAAAATATGGACGGTGTTTGATTATTTGCGGGAAAATGATACAGAAATTGTTGACAAAGTGGGAGACAACAGGGGAAAAAAGTGTTTGCGTGCCAATAACAAAATTGGAAGAATAGGGGGCAGGGTTCTAATTAATTTTCTCTTTGTTTAATGGAGTCTGTTGAAGTAACATGATGTTCTTTCATTGTGGTAATCTAGCTTAAAAAGGACACCCCGGAATTAAATTGACTCGAAATAGCAGGTGATATACGGCTTATCCTGATTCCGGCTTCTAAATCTTGTGAATATGAGTTAGTCATAAGGATTCTGGGCGCAATGAGAAATTCGGGATCTATCAGAATATAGAGAGATAGGTTTGAACAACTCCAAACTTCTAATTTTGCAAAATCTTTCAAAATCTCTACACAGCGGCTATTCAAAAGGTCCATACCATTAATTAAACATGATTCGCCTAATGAATTATTTTCATACGGAAACAATAATGTATATTTAGAATGTCTAGGCGCAAAGCAGACAGGAAACCATATTTAAGAGGCAAAATATGGGAGGCTTGACAGAAAAAAAAATTGGATCGAGACAAGCGCAGGAAGGCGAGTTAGAATTTATGAAGAAGCGAGAGCAAAATTGGAGAGAGCGCATGATTTTTTTTTTGCTGGGCCTCCTCCACCCCAGCAACGTGCATCGGAGGTCGCCAAGTGACAACAATATTTCGGCGTACGCGGCGGGCGGAGGGGGCCAACGAAGACGGCGAAACGGAATGGCGAGAGCGGCGTTGAGACACAAAATGCAATAGAATGCCGGGCGGAAAAAAGCTCAGCTTGCATTCGAGCACCACCCCGCCATTCCCGTGTTGCATGTCTGCCGCCTCTTCCTTGGAGTTTCACATTGCTTCAACTCACTCTCTCTCTCTCTTTCTCTCTTACCCTCTGTCTCTTGCGCGAGTGTGTGCGTCGCGATGACCAAGCAACCCAACAGTCCTCGCCAACAAACTCCTCGTCGCGCTTCTTCGTTCGTCTCAAACCAAAAACAAATCGCGTGCCCTCCCTTGTGCACCCGCGCGCGCTCTCTCTCTCGCGCAGCGTTTGTTTGTACCACAAAATGTTTGCGATGGATTCATCAGTTAACGGCGAAGAAACACACACACACACACATAAACAACTAAACTTGAATGAGCATTTAATGTACGAGGAATTTGAAACCAAATCGGCAAAATGGTGAAACTCAATATCCACAAAAAATGGAGAAATGCATTAAATGAATAAGTTGCGAAAGTTTAAAGGCGCTCATTCCCGCGGAATATTTGAGAGCATGTTTTCTCATTGGTAAAAAAGTTGCTGAAATTTTTCTTGGTTGGGTACTGTAAGTATTATCTTCATTCTCACTGACACAGAAAAACGATGCTCATTTATTGGCTAGAATGGAACTTCAGTTCAAATAAATATGTCTAGAAAACCATTTTAAACCAAAAAATTTTGGCTTTGTAAATATAATAAACCTATTCATCCGAAAAATTCGCAGTTTTCCGAATGCAGGTATCTAAACAATGCATATAAAATGTAATTTTTCACATTTTTTTGTAGAAAAAATACATTACATGAATAAATCCATAATATACAATGTTCTCTACCTTTTCTCTGAAGAATCACGCAAATAAACACATTGAAAATATGAAATGCTTACAATAATATTCAATTTCTAAATTGAAATATCCCCCATAGAAAACTGAAAAATTATTTTTTTTTATTCCCAATCTGTAAAAGGATCCTCGTCCTTGCATTAATTTGACACTTTTGCATGAACGTGATTTTTTAATCAAAACGTGTTTACTTAAAATTGCTCAATGCTCGAAAAAAATGTTTGTTATTTCAAGTTTATATATGTCTGACATCTAAAAACAAAATTCATATGCTCCAAACATGCATAATATTTTTGAAACACAAAGTGAGAAAATAACTTTTTTCAAAAACCGATATTTTTAAGTGTTATTAATAGGTGGCCGCAGATGTTAACATATGAGCATCATCTTGAACCACTTGATGTCTGATTTTTTTTTGCAAAAATATTTTCTTCTCACCAGCCATTTTGCAAACGCGATTTATCGCATGGATACCAAAATAAACACGCCAGTGTTTTTCTCTATTAATTTAATTTATTGAATTTGAGATGAAAGCGGTTAATTATACAAAAAATAGACGGAATTTGTGTGACGTTCAATAAAATGATGGTATTAATTTTTGCTCAAAGTATAATACGTCAGCTCAAATAAATTCTATAATTTTTACATAATGAATACGTTGGAAATGCTTTTTTTTCAGAGGCGGAAGGTAGCATCGTTTTTTAATTCTGGAGAAATGCTCTGTGCCCCTCTACGATGTCTGAAAATTTTCAGGACATCCAGAAATCTAGTGTCTGGATATTTCTGATGATTTAGATTAGATTTACTGAGACTTATTCAATAATCTAACCTTGAGCCCAGCAGATTAAGCAATTCCATATTTGAGTGAATTGTAGCACTTCACTATACAATAAAAATGTTCAAACTACATCACAAATATTTCATTCATTCATAGATAAGTTGGATGAATTTCAAAATAAAATCACATTTGATCAAAAAAAAATAAAATTATGATTGAGATCGTTTTCATCGAACATTATTCAGCGGTGATGCGGCGAACCAAATGAAGACCATCGCGCAAGAATGGAGTTCCCAAATGATCATCTGAGTTTTGAACATTAAGGATACAAAATTTATTCATTGCTTTTTGATGAGCTCTTCGCCATTTTTTTTTTGGAATTGGTAAACGATTTTTAATTAAAAAATTTCGTCCTTTCAAAATATCGCCAGATTGAATGGAAGAATAATATAAATTTAGATGGTCATGTGCAATAACATCATCATATGTCTAAATATTACTAAAACATTTTCAAAAAGAAATGTTTAGAAAAGAAAAAGCCTGAATAGCATATGACGATTACCATCATAATGGCAATTTAAAAAATTTTTGCAAGTTTTCAAACGGAAATAACTTACTCATTAACGAGTAGTTCAAGATAGCCACAATACTTCTTCCATCTTTGGTGAATGTAATCTTCTGTCAGAATTGACCATGAGTGTCATTGGTAATCAAATTAGCACGAAACACCGTATCATCTCCTTCTGAAAAATGGCTTCTATATAATGAATCGCCCTAATTTTTCTTGGCTTCTTCCAAATTAAGCTGCTTGAAATAATTGACCAAAAAGCATTAATGAGCCATAGAAGGTAGCAGGAAACCATTTTTTTCGCATTTTTCTGTGATTCATGGGTCTTCGATTCTCTTATTAGAATGCCAAATGGCATTCAGTCTGTTCCTATTTTTTTTTTTGAAATAAATTGCAGGTAGCACAAATCAGTTTGTTTGAGAATCATAGATCTACTTAGGTATTTGCAAAGTCTATAATTTTTGAATAGTCATCTAATTTTTAAGCGGAAGTCTTTATCCGTTGAGTTTTCTTTCACAATAGACTAGTTTTCTAAAAATTTCCATTCACCACAAAAAACTACCTGCGGTGAGCGAGACGTTCGAGATCTGGATCTCTCCTTTCTCAATTTTGTCGAGATTGAAGCTCGTCGCAATCGGGATCTTAAACGAGACAGTGTACTCATGTTCAGCCTGAAAATGGGATATGCTTATTACAATTGTTCTTAATATATATAATAATACCATAAGAATTCCCATCTGCACGTTGAACGTGTTATCATTCTCTTTGTTCACTACAATTTCGCTGCTGCTCTTCTTTTCCTCGACGTTTTTGAAGTGTACATGATTATGCGTCATTTTGCTGGTAGTCGAGCTAAAAATGAAAAAAAGTTCCATTTTTTTTCAATAACTAAAAAAGGCCAAAGGTGCAACGCAATTATTCGTGAGGCACGCATGTATTGAAGGTGTGGGAATTTGAAAATGTCGAGCGTGTGATGAATATCATTTTTCCATCGATAATCCTGATAGGATTAGAACTGCATTAAAAATCTTTTATAGCGCCGAGAAAGATCTTCAATGGCTGGCGAGAATACGCGAAAATCCTCTCGGCGTTTACTCATCCCCCGTTTAAAAACCTTATATGTACTAGGAATGGAAATCGGAGAAGCGTCGTGGCGACGCCGCCGGCAAGATCAACCAGCAAAAAAAAATAATGACAAGGGCAAGCCAATGAAAAAATGCATTAGAATACAAGTGAAACGCGTCTCGATCGTCGCCAAACATTTTAAATAATATATGAAACGAGGTGGAATATTTTAAATAAAAAAAAGACGCTACATTTGATGAAATATTGATAAGGAATTGCATGTGGGGAGAATGTATTCGCATTCAAATCTTGCGCGTTATCCGATTGGCCGTAGAGCGCACATGCGTTTTCGAAACAGTTGCATTTATTTATTTGAACAGCACTACAAACTACGTGTAAACATAACATCGTTTTCGAGAAGGAATTGAATAAAGGAAACAAACATAGAATTCAGACAGCCGACATTTTAATAATAGAATCAAAAACCAAACATTGATTATTCATGAAACAACCCGTCTTTTTTTCTTTCAAAATATTTTTTTTGACGTGTTTTTTCTTGTTTTTATTCGAATTTTAAACATTAGTCAGAGAAGCCTAAAAATTTGATTAATGATCAAAAATGTAAACATACTTGAATCAAACGAAAGAAAAAAAATTTGGTGGAAGCGAAAGTAGGCGAAAAAAATCACGTTTGGTTCCCATGCATAGCAAAATCGGCGCCTCAATTAAACCGTTTCCCTAGTGAGAGAAAATAGATGGAATAAAATTTTGACGTGGAAGATTCCCGAAATGCAGTTCAGTGTATTTTCAAGCGAACAAAGTTTGATTATTAATAAAAACCCCATGACGAAAATGTGATGACGTTTGTGTGTCTTATCATTAAATTTGTAGCCATTCAAAATTGGATGACACTAATAAAATTCCGGTGGCACGTGGCCAAAAAGAAAATCAAGTTGAATGCATAAAAATTATTGACATGAGTGGTCGACGATAAGCGACGCGACGGGGCCAAGTCTCCGTCAGGTGCGCGATCAATAAATCAATGAATTTGTCAGGGACCACCTATGATATAACTGTTACTTGCACGTTTTTCCCAGTTTCAGGGTTTTCATGTGAAAAAAGTGGATGCTTTTTAAGGAAATATGCATATTCTTACAATTAAGGAAATATTATTGCTTAAAGAATGGAAAATAATTTTTGAAAATTGAATATTTCTAAAAAAACATAAATAAGAACTTAAAATTGAAGTCATGGTCTGTTGTTTGAAACAAAGCGAAGCCACAAATGAAATTGATAAGCCTCTTTTCTTTAGAATGTGAATGTAATTGGCCGAAATACTGACAAACTGAGAATTTGCCAGAAATACGAAAAATCGGCGTCGTATCGTTTATTGCAAAAATAGGTTGTCGAAAACAAGATTAAGAAAAAAACAAAAGTCGAGATAAATATGGTGGCGACTGTAAACAATGAAAAAAAAATGTAGTGAATTTGATGAAACCCAAAGTCACAGTTTTTTACCATTTAAATATGTATTATTTGCCAGGTGAGTGTTTTTTGCTCGCACTCAATCGGTTTTCTGACCTTTAAAAACCGGCCTATTTACCGTTCAAAAGTATTCTTGACACATTTTTCGAGGAGCTATAAAAATTCGTATAGGTTGACAATGAAAGTACGGGTATGTAAGGTGTAGACGGGGCGTATAAATAACGAAATGAATTGGCAATCAATTTTATTGAAAGAAGGCGTCTGCGGCTTGAATTCAAGCTAATTTTCGTTTCGAATTGTCCTTTTCAGGAAACGAAAACGTGCCTTCATTTCGATGCAAACGGCGGCTCAAATGTATGAATCTGAGGAAAATAACATTTGGCTAGCAAGTGTTCGATGTATCTCTCTTTCGACACATTCTCACTATTACAAACATGACATAATGAAAAATGACCGATTTGAATATCAATTGGTTTATCAAACAGATGAAAAGAACGCTTTGATTCGTTTTTCTTCACCATTTAAACTTGAAAACTTGCTGAAGAAGATTGCTTGATACATAAATCAAGTATGTATACTTCAACATAGTTAAGAAGCTTCTCAAAAAAAAAAATGTTGCACTTTCTTGAAAATGTATCGCACGTTTTGAAGATATTATAATATGGCGAAAATGTGGCAGAATAAGGCTAATTTTCTTAAAAATAACATGGTTATAATCTGCGATTAGCTGAAAATTGGGATTGAAGCAACCTACTCATTAGAATTTATGTAAACATTTTTTCTTCTCAAAAAATTCATATTCAATTGAGACGTTAAAAAAGCGAACCAAGAGGGAGAGAACTGGAACAACAATCAGATTAAGGTTTCAAATGTTGGGCGAGACAAAACTCAAAACCAAACAAGCACGTTTTGCACGAGGGTGGGGGTATGGACGCGTCCGAAACAATTTCCTGACATTCTTCGAGATTTTCAAACTCAATTCGGTCCATGGCCTTCTTGTTTACGTTAGCAGTTGGGGGGGGGTGGCACAAATGAATGAAAATGACGATTGGCTATAAATTCCCAAACGCTAGTTTTCTCGCCATTCCCCATTTTTTTGGAGGTCGATGCGCTGCACTGCAAAGACATTTAAATGTTGCTATCCGCTGTTTGCCATATCAAAGTTCTTTTAGCGAGTGATAGATCACTAAGCGAACCATCAAAGAAATCAATGATTTGATGCGGTAAACTAGCCTCTAGTTTGCTGATTTTTCTCATTAGGGAAATTAAACGAAAAAGGGCATTAAGGAAATTGATAATGAATTATTCCTTTTGTAGAAAAAAAGCAGTTGTGCACTTTTTCCCATATAAGTTAAACTAACTTTCGAATAATCTTAACCAATAAATATTGCGCAGATGGGTCACATAAATATTATAAAGAAACACTGTAGAATATAAAGGTTCGCGTGTGCTCCCAATTATTATTATTTTTCATTCTTCTTATAAACGTGAAGCTCAAAACTTCGAGAATGTTCTGCGAAAAATTCTGGTAGCCGCTTAATTTTTGAGAAGAGAATTCTATTTTTGAAAAATTGTTCTCAGAAATCTTCATGAAGCTCCTATAAATGCAGACTCTTGTGAATAAAGAATATGAGAAAATGAAGTACGTTGGAACATTATTGTGGGATGAGCAACTTAGACATTAAATTGGAAGCATATGTGAAGAAGAATACGCTTTCCAGCATATTCTATTCTGAACTAGAATTTCATTCAGAATGAAAGGAAGAAGAGAAAAAAATGCAAACATTTTTTCTTGGTAATAGATTTTCATTAGGCAAATAGCCACCCTTAGAAAACAGAATGTCTATTTTTGGGCTGGCATTTGCATTTGTTGATATGCATTTTCCGTTTTTGGGGACAATAGGAGCTCAATAGAGGAGCGCGAATTGGGCGAGAGGGTAAATATCATATCGAGAATTTTGATCAAACAGGCTACTCTGAGAGACGGTTTAATCAACATTATTTTTTTTTTCACAGTGCTCCCTTTGAAAATTTGAAAATGTGTCTCCTAGAAACTATTAAAATTCATTTCAAACGGTGTCAAAAATTGAAGGAAACCTGATTTTCCTAACTGACTAACGTTTTTCTAAAAGATGAAATGTTGATGAATAAAACATTTTTAAAATTTCTAGAGGCAAAGGTTTCGAAATTTAATCCATGTATTATAAAATGAAGGATTTTCAAGAATTCAATATTTTAAATAAACTGCTTGAAGTACACCGGATGTCACGATTATAATTTTTTCAAACGTCATTCTTCCTGGAAAATTTCCCTACAAGATATATGCGAAATGAACTTTGAACAGGTTCACAGTATTTGCATAATTTACGCGTAATTTCAATAAAAAACAGTTTTAAAAAATTGTGTTGAAATACACTATAGCATGTGTGATTTACATAGTTTTATTTCAGAATTTTGGTGAAATATATTGAACAAATAATATGTTATTCACACGGTGTGAAAAATGACGCATTTTTCGCGATAAAAATAATGTAATGTTTAATACCCATTTTAAGCGAGTTGCTTAAAAAATTGTCTAATTAATTCAAAATGAAGTTGAAATAACATAGTTCGCAAATTTTTTGGGTCTTACACCGATTTTCGAATTGAAAATTTTATTAAATGTGGCTAAATGTGGCTAAACTTGCCTGGAAAATTCTATAATAATAACTCTTCAAGAAATTTATAAATTATGAAATTTCTGCAAAATTCGCATAATTTACTAGGCATTTTTCCTCCACATCCATGCCCATAAAAAAAGCTATAATAAGGTGCAGTTGTATTTTATGGCATGCATAATTGTTTGAGCTGTTTCAAAATTGCTTTAAAGAAAAATAAAAGCACATGTCGCTAAATAGTGAACCGCACCATTGCATACATATCTCATGTCACAGCTTTTCTTTTCGAACATTCCCCCAATTTTTCTCGCCTCAGAGGCAAAATCAATCTGAAAATTGTATGTAATCGCACGAGCATTGAGATAAACTAGATGAATATTCCATCAGACTTGGGATAATTATGGCCCGCCTAATCGGCTCATTTTCGTACCATCATGTGCTTATTATTTGTTTCCATAGTAACCTACTTAACGCGTCACGACGCCAACTATTCAAAGAGTGTTCTCGAACAAAACAGTTTTTGGCGATCCATATACGCTGTCGGCACGGTTTCTCCACGCGACGCGCACTGTCTCGTCGTGTTGTTGTCCGTCTCTGTCCCATTTTATTCCAATCGATGACTCACTGGTCTCGCTGGCCGGTTTTGCCCTGTTGTCAGTTTTTTATCTGTTTCAAAGTCGATTTTGCAGTCTCGCAATTCATTCACATCTCTTTCTTTATTTCAAATTTCCAACTTTTTTAGGTAATGAGCGACGAAGAGTATTATCAAGAAGATGATGGCGGTGATTATGGAGGTGGCGGTGAGGATTATGGCGGTGGTGAAGATTATGGCGGTGGTGAAGATTATGACAATACTGACGACAACTATGAGCAGCAGGAGGAGTATGATGATGGTCAGAACAATCAATACCGCGAAGGATACGGACAGAATTATGATCAAGACTATAACGGTGAGTTTTTCAAAATTCAAAATCAAGCAATGAGATATAGTTAATTTTTTTTTGCCATTATAAAAACATCTTATCTTTTAAAGAAAATTTTATCTTTAAAAAATGTATGCCTTTTGAATTCCGCACTCTGAAAATCCACGTTTTAGAGTCATATGAGAACGATGACTATGACCAGAACAACGAGAACAACTACGTCGAAGAGGAGGATGAGCATGATCCGGAACCGGAAGAAATCTCTGATTATGAAGATGACGAGAACCATGATGATGAGAGCAATGACGTTGGAGATGAGCAGAACGAGGATGAGGAGGAAGACGATGGGGTCAGCTATATTCTTTGATTCACTTTAAAACTCTTAAAATTGAATAGGAGGTTGAGGCGGTTTCTGCCTCGGGTACTCATGCTGCTGATGGCGATGGACCGGGAGTTGGAGCTTTGGTGAAAGGAGCAATGGATGGATTTGGCGGCGGCGGATTTGACGGAATTGTTGGTCAAATTGGAAATCTCATTGGTCAAAGCGGTGGTGGCATGGGTGGAGGCCTTTCGAACATTTTTGCCTCTGGAGGAATGGAATCGATGGTTGGAAATCTCATTTCGTCGGCGTCACATCACTTCTTTGGAATCAATCCGGTAAATCGATGATGAGAATTTAGCAGAAATTCAGAAATTTGTTTAGGCTACTGGACAAATCATTGGAGCAATTGCTGGCAATCTCATTTTTCAAATGGGAGGTCAGAATAACTCGTTGAGCAGCATTGGTAAAGTGATTCTCGACAATATCATCAGCGGAAAATTCAAAAGAGACGTAGGAGCTCACAAAGAATGAGCATCTTCCTTCAATCAATTCGTTTCAGATTCAACCATTCGTACCTGGAGGTGGACCGACAAGCTTCACTGAAACCTTCGAGCCGATCGATTTCCAAAAGGAACGTCAACGTTGCCTCGAGCAGCGTGTGCTTTTCGAAGATCCACAGTTTCCAGCAAACGACCGAAGCCTTTACTTTAGCACACCTCCAGATGAGCACGTCGTCTGGAAGAGACCCGGCGAAATTTTCGACAATCCTCAACTAATTGTTGGCGAGAAGTCAAGATTTGATGTGAAACAAGGAGCCTTGGGCGACTGTTGGCTTTTGGCGGCCGTTGCCAATTTGACACTTCGCGATGAGCTTTTCTACCGTGTCGTTCCACCAGACCAATCGTTTACTGAAAATTATGCTGGTAATTCTCAAAATAAACTTTCAATCTAATATTCATACGATTGACAGGAATTTTCCACTTCCAATTTTGGAGATATGGACAATGGGTTGATGTTGTCATTGATGATCGTCTGCCAACGGTTGATGGCAAACTGTATTACATGAGATCGCATGAAAACAATGAGTTTTGGAGTGCTCTTATTGAAAAAGCCTACGCAAAGTAGACAATTTATTTTTCAAGAAAAATGAACCTGACTGAATATTTTTTTACAGATTGTATGGCGGTTATGAGCATCTTGATGGAGGAACCACAGCAGAAGCTCTTGAAGACTTCACTGGCGGTCTTACCGAGTTTTTCGATCTCAAGAAAACCGACAAAGCAACGGTTTTAGCAATGCTTGTCCGTGGAATGCAGATGGGTTCACTCTTCGGATGTTCAATTGATGTACTTCAAAAATATATTATGACATTATAATAGTTTCTCACTTTAGGCTGATGAGAATGTCAAGGAAGCTCAACTAACCAATGGACTTGTTCGCGGCCATGCATACAGTATTACTGCGATTCAGACGGTGAACACGTATTCTGGACAGATTCCGCTTCTGAGAATTCGAAACCCATGGGGTAATAGCAAAGAATGGAATGGGGCTTGGAGTGACAACAGCCATGAATGGAATCAAGTCGATCCTCATCAAATGCAGGAAATGGGTGTCAATTTTGGGAAAGATGGAGAATTTTGGTAACTTCTTGCAAATTAAAAACGATATCGAACAAAACAAAATGAATCAGGATGTCGTTTGATGACTTTATGGAGAATTACACGCAATTGGAAGTGTGCAACTTGTCGGCAGAAGTGATGAACGAGATTTCGGAAATGACTGGTGTGCCAGTGACCGAGCAGCAGAAGCATCATTGGATTGAAAAAATGGATCATGGCGAATGGAGCAGTCGTAATGGAACTGCGGGTGGTTGCCAAAACAACGACACTTATTGCAATAATCCGCAATTCGGAACTTACTTCCACGTGCCAGAAGATTCGGTGGAAAATGATGGAAAATGCACAGTGATTGTTGCGATTATGCAAAAATATCGTCGAGAGTTGCGTTCAAAGAATATGGACAATCTAGCCATCGGATTTTCGGTGTACAAGGTAATTAAGAAATCAAGCACGTGAAATTTTGAATTTAATTTCAGACCGACGGTAACCATTCAATGTCGGCGGATGAAATTCATTCGAAGAAGCCGGTAGCCAAGACTCGCGTGTTCATCAACATGCGCGAGGTAAGGGAACTCGTTAATATTTGATTTCAAGTTTTAATTTAGGTCACCGTTCGCTTCCGTGTTCATCCAGGAAGCTACGTTATCATTCCATGCACGTTCGACCCATATGATGAGGCTGCTTTCCTGCTTCGCGTCTACTCAAATGCCCAATTCGAGCAGACGTTAGTTTTGGCGAATTTCGAAAATACGATTAGAATGGAAATAATCGCAATAATCATATGCATTAATTCGATATTTATAGGGGAAAATTCTAGAGCAGCATTGAATTTTGTTCCCTCACAAAAAAATTCCAGAATTATGCAAGATCCACTTGTGATTCAGCCAAACAATGATTCGTTTTGAAATTAATTATGTAGATAAATAATTAGCGAAAACAATTAAACAAATCTCAAGAGGAAATTATCTACAAAAATGATTCATTTCAGGAGACTTCGCTAAATCGTCCAGAATTAATCATTCCCTGTATCATATCGCGTAATCTACAGCACAAGCCGTTTAATTATGCATAATTATGTTTTCTAATCATTATCCGATAAAGCATTATTCTGTCACTGGCGATTTTCCAATGTTCTGGCAAGACGTTTAGTTGTGAAGGCACAAATATGTATTGGTTGATCGGTTTATAGATCAAATTTGTATCTACATATTGGCATTTGGAAAACATTTGAAATGGGAAAATAGAGCACAGTGGAAATTGGGTGGCTGTTAATTTTTTCCGGCACTAGCAACTTGTTTCGCGGAATTGTGCAGCAAATTTAGTGGGACGTTCTTCAAGGGGACCTTTCGAATATCATTTTCTATTTTCTTCATGCTACCGATGAAAAGATTAGCTTCAAAGACATACTAAATTATTCGTATCGTAAGATTCACCGCCTTTCTCAAAAGGTATATATTAATGAGAAACTTAAATTGATTGAAAGGCTGCTGGAAGTCTCGTGACGATTGTTTTTGGAATTCTCCCACAACAGACGGTGAATTTGCTCCCTGCTCAAAATTACAATCTTGATATTTCATCTGTACACTGAACTCTTCAAGATAAGATCTGATAATGCTCTATGAGCTGAAAATGTTGTGGATTAGCTCAAAATTGAGGCAGACGTATTTTTCTTGAAATATTTGGGTCCATCAATTTAAATAGTCTTTATAGAGATCCATTAGCTTTCTTTTAAACCAAATCACACTATTTTGTATTTCAAACATTTATTCAATCAGCCGCACGTGAAATACAATTCAACATCAATTCAACATCAATTGGTTGGGACAGAATCTCAGATTAAAACATTTAAAATACAAAAAAAAGGTCGAATAATGTGTTGTGATAAATATAAATTTTTAGGGTTTTTCAATTCATTTTTTTCAATTTTTAGGATTTTATGACAATTTTTGCTGGTTTTTTTGTGTTTTTGATATGTTTTCTTATCTGAAATATATGTTTTTGTGTAATTTTTTTTAAATCAAATGAAACTGAAGGAGAAAATAACAAGGTAACATGAATGTTGATTTCTCTTCCATGTGTCATTTCAATAATGTGCAAAGGAGTTGCAGCAAATTATTAATTCCTTTGCAATGAGAAGTGGTTAGAAATTAAAAAAAAAAACAATTAAAGTGGGCCGTTTCAGTCCCACTGCACAATATTCTTCTTGGCGGCTCTCGCGTCCGCAATCTGCTTACGCTCTTCACGCCGTTTGTCCGCTGATACATTTGATTTCTGTCCCAATATGTTTTCAACCATTCGGCGAGCGACCGAAGCATTCGTCTGCGCTCGCTTTCTGAAAATGTTGCTGTAATTGAATAACCAGTTGATAAAGTTATGCTCCTACTTTGGTGCCGTCAATGTCGCCGCATTGGCAATCGCAGCCTCCTGAACGCACTTCGGTGAATACTTTAAAGCTCTGAATCTCAGCCATTCATGATTCATCACATTAATGCATTGCTTGGCTGTAAAGAAAACAATTGCCATAAGAAGCTTAAAGGTGTTACTGTACCTCGATTATTGCTATCAAAAGAGGCTAAAACAATCTTGCGCTCAATCCACTTCAGCTTCGCGTCGCCATACCCAATCGATTCTAATGCACGCACAACATCATCTTGCATTTTGTAGTCCGGAATTCCGTAGACCTCAATAACATTCGGCAACTCTGCAAAATGTTCCCTCATTTTCAATCATCTTGTACTTGTCTTGATGGATTCTTTTTTTCAGAAAAAAAATCAACAACAACTGTTATCACTCACTATTTGGATCCCAGTCGGATGTTGATGGAACGCTTTCCATCTTTCGAATCTCCTCCGTTCGTTTGTCATTCTGTTTTACGTCATGAAGTAGCTTCTCCATTCTTGACGTCAGCTCTTCATCATCAGCTGTCTCCCAATCATCGACAACATTGTCGTCAGGCTTTTTAGCATCCATGGTAGCTACCGGAACGCAAAGTTTTTTTGTTGGCGGTCGTGTGGATTGCTGAGAAATGCAACAATCTGGCGATTGCGCCGGTTTTGGCGGCAAACAATCAGGCAGCTGCGCTAGTGTGAGCTTGCCGACTTGGCTCTCTTCAAATTCCAAATCTGAAAAGACTGGAACCTCTTCTGAAAGTTGGTATGATGAGTACAACAACGGGAGAAAAATGTGAATTCACCTGCAACAGGATGAATATCCCTAGGAAGTTGATTATGACGATGCGCCCTTTTTCGTTCAGGGGCGTCGATTCGTTTCTGATCAGCAGTGAAATTGAAATAATCACAAAGTCTTTCAATTGCAATTGGCTCTGCTTGACAATCCTTGTACTTCTGTTCGATTCTCGCAGGCAGCAGGGGCTTCTTGAACAGAAGACCTATAATTAATAATAATTAGTTGAATGATAAATTATAATAATAAATACATACAATCTGAAATTTGATATGGTTCCCTACGAGGTGTAATATTTGATTCAAAATGTGGATAAGCAGTCGCTTCGCTCAGTTTCTTCTGCAGAAGCTCGTTGGATTTTGGCGTCAACACTGCAAAAAAACCAAATGGCTCATTATCATTTCCATTAGCTAATTTGTTTTATGAAAACTCACGAGGTGTGAAGCCTGTCGGATCAAGAGACGTTTGCAGGAACAATGGCGATGTGACGCTTGGAGGGATATCGACTGAATTCGTTTTCTGCACCGACGCCGATAATTTTTTGGCGTACGCCGGTCGTTCCGATGGCGTCGGATTGCTGCCGCTGCTTTCCGAATAGGTAGTACACTGAAAATTGACAATGTCACGTCACATGTGCGCTCTATTGCACTTCAGACGCGTCTGTGAGCACGCGGAAAAAACTAAATTTTACAACACCGCATGTGGCCCCCATCCCGTGCGGAAAAAAAACAGGTTGAACGAATGGAACTACAATAGTAAATAAACAAAAAAAACAGAAGCTGAAGGGGAAGAAAACTCGATTTCATCGGAAGACACTTGCGTTCTAATTGAATTACCGATTTTATACAAGGAATGAAATCAAATGGAAAAGCACACGGACACATAGACATTGGTTGTTCGACAGGGCAAGAGAAAGAGAGAGAGAGAGCGCGTGTTATGATGAGTGACTGCCGCGTACCAGAGAGGCGCGACAAAAAGGCAAAAAGTTTCCGAATGGATGAATTGACGCGTCCTTCAAACATCGCACCAAAGTGATACGCCCGATAGAGATGAAAACGAGGGCCACATCGAGATGTGATGAGACGCGTTCGCGTTGTGCAATAATCGCGCGACACGAACAACATACCTCTGACGACCGGAATTCATTGTCCGACGTGCCGGCGCGCAAAAAAATTTCAATGCCTTCGGGTAGCTCGCGTTGCGGCTCGCAAATTGCCGTATTGATGAGCTCAACCTGTAAAACGAAGAAAAAATAATAATAAAGTTTGCGGGTTGAGAAATAATGGAGGTCTTGCTAAAAAAAATTTCTAGTCTTTTTTTTCTTATTCCACACATTGCCATTACACTTCTAAACGGCATAGATAATATTGTTGTTCAAACACATGTTGCTTAGTCCCGTCCGTACAACTCACGTTTCTCGCTGCTGGCTCTTCCTGTTCTTTCAGCCTCGCTGAGTGCATAGTGTGTTTTTTTTTAGTTGTGTGTGTGCTCGCTGGTTCCTCAATTCTTCCGATGTTCTTTCCCTTCTTCTGGCTCCCCCCCCCCTCACTCTTTCCTCAAGCCGGCAGCGACGTAAACAACAATAAATTTTGTGGTACTATATATACTTTGTCTCCTTTGGCAAAACAAAACGGTGGAATAGATTTTAGCTTCATCAATGGGTTGTTGAGCGTTTGCATTTTTTTTGAATGCTCACCTCAAGATCTTCCTCTTCGGCATTTGTTGTTGACGTTGTTGGAGCGAACGAATGGACGGAAAACGTTGGCGACGCCAGCTCACGCATTGGACTCGGACCAAGCGAGATCATGTCCGGCGGCAAGTACATCGCCTGAGACGACTCAATGGACTCGTTGCACAAAAACATTTGCACTTACGTGGTTCTCAAACGGCGTCATCGCCTGCTCCAGCGACGACGTTGACGGATAGCAATAGTCGCTGGAAGCTGCAAGCATGTTTCCGTCCATTGGCGAATATGATGGGAAAAAGTCTAAAAATTGGCAATTGGTGAAATGAAAATTGTTGACCCTCGTGCCAATGAACCAAAATGCAATTAACCCAGAGAAAAAAAAAAAGAATTCATCCGGAGCACAGAAAAAAAACAATATATATTTAATGAGATTTTTCAATTCCCATTCTCTTATAGTGCTTTGCACCGTGCTATCCATAAATAAATCTATAGTGCATTTGTATTCGATCAACAACTATATTCTGCACTTGTATGGAACTTCAAAATAGGCGAAATTGCGCAATTTCCGTGTAGGCCACCGCTTCGAATTATTATCTCACAAAAATATACTTATCTTTTTTTTGTTTTGATAAGATAACATTGTACATGACCTCGACTAACAAAACTGGATCCGACCGTTTGTGTTACCTTTGGAATTTTGCCTGTGATGGTTGTTTGTACTTGTAGTAGGCACGATTGGAGAAATATTGAGCGCTTCATACAATTCCTCATCGGTGATCGAGATGTGCGCCGGCGCGTTCTCGACTTTTGTACCCTCAGCAATTGGCATATTGTATCGTGGGCTTGCCGCGTAGCTTCCTGTTGATGCGAACACATTGGCAGTAGTTGTGAGATCGAGTCCGGTGAAGAATTGATGGGAACCACAATTATCCGACAATCTGAAATCTCACAATAAACCTTGTTGAAGACAATTTCAAATTACCCTGGAAACAATGATTGTGCTCCAGCATTTCCAAATCCAGTCATCATATTGATTTCGTGTGCTCCGTGTGCTTTTTGGTTTTCTAACCTGTTAGAGGAGTCCGGCTGTGACAACCTGCAAAAAAGAAAGAAACTTTATGAAATACCGTTAACAGTGTTGGAGGGCGATTGGCGCTAGAATAAATAAGAAGGGAAGCATGCGAATGGAGAAACACACACACAAAAAAGAGAGAACGACCAAATAGTAATGCTTTTTTGTTCTCAAAAACTTGATGGGAACGAATGGCGGGGAGGAAAGGATGTAGAGAAAAATGGAAGAGGCGTGGCTTTGGGTAGGAGCGTGCGGAACCAGTGAGCAGCATGACTATGTGTCCAAGCGAACGTTGTGGGCTCAAAGGGGGGAACATATGTATATATATACATTTATGATGAATAATAGGTAGGTAAATGTGACATATTTAGCACCTGAACAGGTGTATAACACCTCGCTAGATACCCAAAAAATCTCATTAATCCGCTAGACAAGTGATAATACCATCAAGGGAAGTAATCCGATTGAATGCAAACTGGATTTAATGATAAATTTCAACAACTGGCCGACATTTGAGCGAATGAATCAAGAAGGTGCGAAATATCTCATAAATACGATATCAAATTGAGTGCCGCTACCAAATTGGCGTCGGGCGAGCGGTAGAACCCGCAACAAATAAAATATGTTGCACAACCGCCTATCAATTGTGTTTGATAAGATTAGCGGACATGGCAAAAAAAATTTTTATTGGAAAAATGATTAACCAAGTCCAAGAATTTTCGTCATCAATTTTGCGGCTGCGGCTGTTGTTGTTGATGCCATGTTCCGTGTCGCCTCGTACATAGACATTTTTGCACAACAACACAAACAACTCGCCAAGTACAATAATAATAATAATAATAACTTTGAGTTGTTGTTTTATTTTCCTCTTCTTGAAAAACAGCCTCACTTAAAGAAAAAGGAGGAGAGGGGGGTTACTTCAAAAAGCGGTGCTGCGAGAAAGCCCATTAATTTTGGCGTCGAGTTCGGTGGAGATGAAAGAAGTTCATTTTGCAAAATCCTTTTTGCTTTTCTTGCATAGTTTGCAATTTTCACTTATCAGCCATCCGCCGAGACAGACTTCATTGTTAATCGGCTTTTGAAAATAATAATAAGAAAATTTGACTATGATCAGAGATGCGATGCCGAAATTAGCAACGAACATTAAAGCATATGCACCTCGACATTGGGTGGGGAAGAAAAAAACGGAAAGGAATGAATGACGCGCAGTGTTTGGTACGCGTTGACCACACGCAAAAAGACCATTGTGCGGCGAGAGAGGTCAGCGGCGAGAGCGTCTGGCGAGATTATATCGACATCATAACGCATAACGAGGTGACCAATCGCGGCGACGCTACTGGTCGAGAGGAATGGGTCCGGCCTTCGCGGACGGCCTAGGCAACTCTCGGCCGCCTCGCGAACCGCCACGCGTCTTTGCAAAAACCGCACACACACACACACACTCTCGGGCAGCGATTTGAGGCCGACCCCGTCCCGCGACCCCGACATTTTAACCACTCTCGCACTCCCACTCATTTGTTTGATGATTGGTGTAGTGCTGGGCAAAAGCAGCGGCGGCGGCAGCGGCAGCAGCAGTCTCATCATCTTATATCAAAATCTTCCCGCCGGCGATCGGTTTTGACATGCTAGCTGCTTTTGCTGTGTGGTACAGTTACAAGTGAAAGTGGCGAAACACCGAATTGGAGACAAATCATAATACGCATTTGATTGCATTATTAGACAATTGATGATAGCGCGAAATAGGAGAAGTGAGAAGCTTTACAAAAAAATAATAATAAACGACGAATAACATTTCGATGTTTACTTATATTGGCGTCTAGAAAACTGACCCAACACCCTTAAAGGAGAAACTCAATATCTTGGCATGGAATCATTATTAAAGATGTTTGAGGTGTCGGAATATGATATCCCATTGCCGCCCAATTAATTAGTAATTATCTTGCTATATATGTAACAGCCACACTTAGTATCAAGATAAGATTGCCGCATAAGAGATTAGCTACGGTAGGAATTTATCGAAGCGATTGTACATGTGTCCCATTTTCATTAATCTGCCAAACGCCCTTGAAAGTGCATCACATTAAAAACAAGAGGTATTTCTACAAAAGCTGAACTGGAAATTGTGAACTACAAACAGTTCCTTGAAATGTCAATCCGTTGATTAGAAATCGCATATTAACCTGATAAAACAATTTCATTATTATTATTGCTGGTAATCAATTAGATATAACGTTTCTGATCCTTATTAATCAGCGAAAATAGGGACACGATTTGAAAACTAATAAAAATATAATTAGAAAATTGTTCATGTTTGCCAACTGAAAACGAATACCCTCCCGGCAACAGGCGCGTTTTTCTTTGATTCCTCTTCTCCTCCAATCCACGACAAGGAAAAAGTTCATTGACGGAAGCCGCGGCGAACTTTGCACACGCCAATCCTCTTTACAATAGTAAATACATATTGAAAGCGAGTGATTAAAAAGAAAAGAGCAAAACTAGCGGTGCGAGTCCAAAAATCGCAAAAATTGTGTCTTAGTAGAAGCGGGAGCAAAAAAACAACTGGAGAAAAATGGCCGAATAAAAAAAACAACGGATAAGGAGAAGAAAAGTGCAGAATGGTCTTTTCCGACGATTGTTGGCACAGAAAGAGCAATCCATTTAAGAGCAAAGTGCAACAGTGGAGTGCACAAATATGAACAAGATGATTTTTGGGCGAAGCGCGTTAATTTAAATAACGAGGAATGTGAGTCAGAACTTTTTGTTGTGGTAGACCTTCCCAAATATTGATGTTTGTTTGTGTATATATTCTTTTTAATACAAAATTTGGCAAATGTTTGATTTGTCAGCGTTCACAAATTAAATTACAAAATTTGCGTTTCTCATCGAACGCGAGGATGGGATGTGTTTTGACCGACGAAAAACATTTCTGCCCTCCTCATTCCACTTTTGGCAAGCATTTCGCGGCATAGTAACGACAACGAGGAAGACGGCGAGTGAATTAGTTTTGAAAAGCGAATCAACAGATGCAAATCGAAACCCGAAGAATCATTCTCTAGGGAGCATTGAAGATATGTCGTTCATTTGTGCAAGAATGACGAGTGTGCACTCACAAACAAATTGGGTGCAATTACTATTGCCTTATTAGGCGAAGTAATGATATCGAAGTACACTTGTGTGCGATATAATCAAACATTGCATTATTTGGGATAAATGACGTTGTGCTCAATTGGAACACGTTCAACGTTCTATGAAATGACATCAGCAGGAAACAACCCAGACCTTCGATCTAATTTCAGCAAAACATGACAAACGAAATTCCACCTCGTCAGGAGAACAACACACTGATTGTTCGCCATTACGTCAAGAATTAATCGAAGGACGCGTTTTTTTCTTGTTGGATTAAATTTAGGATTGAAATTGGAAAAATTGGGCTAGACAGTTACAAAGTTGAAACAGTCAATAATACAAAATTTCGACGCCGGCTGTCGGAGGCGAATGGGTTTCGCAATAGTTTCGACGATAGCGAAAAAAAATAGACGAGAACAGCTGGCCGGAAAGTAAATAGTGACATCAGCGGCGAGGTTAAAAAGAGCATCAATACTATTGAAAGGACACGAAACTGTTAGTTATTTGCATTGGAACACCCACAAATGTGCACTTCTAGAAATTTCTTTCCGGAATGTGCTCCATTGAGATCAAACTTCGAGAACCTCCGGCTGATAAACAAAAATGCCCAAGAAATTGTCGAATATTGAAAAATTGGCGGGAGAATTGGGCTGAGGAATTCGTTTCTATCTTTATAGCAATGCAACCTGTAGAGAATTTCGAATTCTCTAGAACACTGCATATCTTTTAAATAGAATCTTTGTGGTTTGGGCGTTCATGAAAATACGACGAGGTTCACTGCAATAGATCACAATACGAAGTGATGAAATCTGATGGAATTTTTGTTTTCAATTTGAGAAATTTCTAGATATTTTTACCAAGTGGATAATATAGGATCTTATGATGAACATTGATGCTTCAAAATAATGAGTGTTTAGAATACCACTAGAAGAAAACATGTTTCTGGCGAATAGTAGTATAGGTAGTGAATACGAAAATTATAGGAAAGAAATGTAAGGTACAGCAGCGTTCTGACCAGAAATCAGTTGGCTCAAAAGCATAAACAATTTTTTTTCTTGACTAGCACGCGATGTGTTTTGAAATGAATGAGTTAATCATGCTTCAAAAAAATTTAATTTTTCCCAATTTTTTTTCCGGTGATAAGAAAAAGGCTAACAATCAAAATGAGAGAACGGAGAAAACGGGCGAGGCTAGATGGGCAAAAAATCGAAAGCGAAGAGGGGGGGGGGTAGCTTTTTTTATTGCAAAGCTGCAGCGCAGCGAGGCACAGTATCTTAACTCGATATGTGTATGTCCATCCATCCATCCAGTTTTGACTGTTTCTTCACGATGGCTTGCTTGCTTGCTGCTTGCTGATGATGGTAGCGAAAGCGAGAGGAAAAGAGGTTTAATAACATGAAAAAAAAAACACACACACAAATGTGTGGAGGAAGAATGAAAGAGAAAAACGATTTCGACCAGAAACTATGTGAATATATAATGCGCACATATACTACAGTGTTTTCCAATAGCTATTTGAAAACGAATCAACGCTGCAAGTTCTACGAAATTAATGAAAGTTGAGAATCATAGATGTTGAAGTTTGGTAACATTTGCCTGCTAAGATGTTCGCGATAATGTGAGGAGATTTAAAAACGATTTTGTTTAAATAGCAACCAAGCGAAGAAGGGGGGGGGGGAATGACCTTTAGCAGATTCGGCGGCTAAATTTCAAGGCCAATTGTTGTTTCAAAGGTACGCAATTCATTTCGAATAAAAAATATGAGATGAAAAAGCTGTTGGCGGGTTGGAGCTTTAAGCGGCAGGTGTCATGTATTTACTGCAATCTTGACTGTTTTTTGGCGTCCTAATGAACGGGCACGTCTGAAACAAAATGGAATGTGCAATTGAGCTTTTTTTTCGCATTTTCTTACAGCGTCGGGGCATGCGAGATCCGCGGCCGGCGCTGAAATGTTGGCCGTTGTCGCTTTACCGCCAACCGGTTCGAGAAGGTTATTCCATAAATGGGTGCTCACGACGGCATGACCCCATTGCGAGAAATGGAAGCAGTCCGGCGCAAAGAACGTTTGGTCAGGCTTGCCATTCTGCAAAACGTGCATACGATTTTCACCTTGCGTCACTTTTATCATTTTCGAAATTGTTTCGAAACACACTTGTCACATTGTGTTCATATCATTAATGCATACCGATTAGAATGAAGGACATTTGCAAATTTTTGATTGTGGCGATGAGGGGGGGGGGTTTGGTGATACTAAATTTCGCGACGAGAAGACGGGCAAAAATAAGAGATTTATGATCATGGAAATAAATATTTGGAATGCCTCTAATCTATTTAAAAGCAAATCAAACGAAATTTCGGCTTTTTGGATTTTTTTTTTTGAAAAAATTTGACAATTGTAGGATTTTTTAAAAATAATTTTTGAATTTTTTTTTCATTATTGTGGGCAGAGGAATTAAAGATTATGCACGAAACACTTGCTGAAATGTTGCAAGTTGAAATGTTTATTAATTTACAAACAATTTAATGCGATCAAATTTCCCAAACAAATATTTACTAATCGAAAATGAAAATAAACTTTTCATCATTTGGGACGGCAAAAACACCCACGCGCTTTTTTTTAATGCTTCAGAGAACCATTAGAAGTAGAAATAAGTTTATCAAAAAAAAAATTAGTTTTGCCGCCATTTTTTTTAATACTCTCAAAATTTATTGACGTCAACTGAAACTGGAACCGGCCCCCCTAATTTAATATGAGTTTTTCATTTCGCAATTTTATTATGTGATTTTGATAGCTCTTGCCGGTTCGAACACAATTTTCGAAAATGAAAACGATGAAAGAAGAATGGCACGGTGTTTGATTGTTTAAACGCGAACAACTAGTTTTTCAGCCATCCCCCGAAAAACGTCTGACCTTTAGATTATTTAGAGATGAGCGAAACCGGTTGCGCATACACCTTTCATTTTTGGGAAAAAAGTGGATATACATCCGATGGCATTGACTGATAAATATCAATTACCTTCATTGGCGGCACGACAGTTTTGCTGAAAAATGGTTGAACGACATAGGTGAAATCGTCCTTCTCGAACGTTCCATCCGTTTCAATCTGCTTCTCATATTTGTTGTAGTCGTCGCAAGCTTGCGCGATCTCAGCGTTTGTAAAGTTTTTGTTTCCCTCGCATCCGCACTCGTCCCTTAAAATCGAAACGGTCGAGAAACTCGTTCCAATTTCGTCGAACAGACAAAACATATAAACAATTTCATGTTATTTACAAGTGTTTACTTCACTAAATTTGTTGGTTGGGGAAGAAAAGACAACATACTTGTGAAGCCTTTTACAGAAATAGTGACCTTCATCGGTTGTCCGAAGCATTTCCAAATGGAGCATTCCCGTTAAGGAAACAATTACTCGTGGAACATTGTCATAAATGATCTGAACCGCTTCCTTAATCTTCTGCCCGCAGTTGTATGGATTATAATCCTAAACCCATTTATTTATGAATATCCCATTAAATCTTAAGCACCTCATGCCTGCAGAATCCGCAAATGTCATTTCCGCCGATAAATATATTTAAAAGCTTCCAATCGTTGTTGAAATCCACTGACTGAAATATGATTTTCAATAAACCATTCTAGAGGTTTTTAGAAACCTCTTTGTGCTCATGGAGCAGTGAGACCAACGTTCTTGCTTGACCTGGAAGATCTTTCGCATTTGCGCCTGGCATTGCAACATTGAGTTTTGCAACTTCCCAAACATTTGGCGAACCAATTCCGTTTGAGTATCCGAATAAATTGGGATTGTACTTTTTCAGAATGTCTATAAATATATTCTAATAGTACTCTTATGCTATTTTTCGACTCACTTGGAATAGTGACATGATTTTCTAAGCCTTTATCCCCGCCAGCTTGAAATGCCAAACCTCGATATTGCAGAATTACTGCCAGAGGATCTTCTGCTCCAGCTCCATTGGCTGCCTAATTTTGAAAAAAAAATTGGCTGTATTATTTCAACCCATATTTCCTACAGTTAAAGAATCTCCAAGTGCCATCACTACTTTAATATCTGCCGGCCTCACAGAGTTCACATTCTTCGGAACATGCTTCGATTTTTTCATAAGCTCTTCTGGACACGAATAATTAGAAATTCCATAATCTGGAAGCGTCGAGAAAGTGCAGCTCACTAATAGAGCAAGAGCTGTAACCCGTATATTCAATGCTATAATTTGGCTATGTTTAATTATACCTGTTAATTTAACCAGCATTTAAGGCTATTTATAGTTCTGGAATTTTCAGGCAAACTGCAAGAAAATTCAGTGTTTGATAAATTCCACAAGAAAATGGCTGAGAGATAAAAATCAAAAATGCTGATGCGATACTTATAATCATAAAATTAAGGCTCTTAAAATTACAAAAATAAAATAAATGATAACCTTTGCATATGAACAGCTTGAAAATAAAATTTAATAATTATTAATCTCAATTTCTATTTGATGTATCACATTATAATTTAACAAAATTAAAGTAATATAAAACATTCAAAACTAACAAAACACTTTATTACCATTTATTGAACGCTGGCTACAGTTTCAAATTGTGCAATACCGGAAAAAAGATTAATTGATAGCACACAACGTGTTGATAAGAGTCGATATCACAAAATAGTGCCAACCACGTGATCATGTGGAATTTGTGTGCGCAATTATCGTATTAATTACTGTGTGTACTTCTTACAATCAGCACTGTTGAGTTTCGTTCGAATGTATGGGCATTCCTGAAACAAAAGGTCAACATTGCACTTTAAAAATTGTGAAATAGGCGAGTTCAAAGTGAGCGCTTATTTAAAATTCCTGACGACACTTGTTACCTTGTCGGGACATGCCAATGGTACCGCGGGCATACTGAAATCAGCTTGTGTTGATTTCCGACCAACCGGCTGCATTAAATTCTTCCATAGATGGGTTGAGATCACCGCGTGGCCTTTTTGCGAGAAATGAAAGCAATCAGGAGCGAAAAATGAGAGGTCCGGAATGCCATCCTGAAAAATAAAATGCCAAAAACCTCGGCGCATTTTTTTTTTCATATCTTTTTAAGGCATCGCCCACGCCCTAACAAATTTAAAACGCAGGCTCAAAGACACAAGGAAAAAACGTGTCAACGTCATTAATTAAAAATTCTATGGTGTTGTTTCTCTCAAGTGTTTCAAGGGTTCGTTTTACCTTCAATGGCGGTTGGGTGCTGTTGGCGAAAAACGGCTGAATAACGACCGTAAAGTCATCCTTCTCGAATTCGCCGCTTTCCATTAATCGGCGTTCCAACGTATTGTAATTGCCGATCGTCTGAAACTTATTATGCGCATGATGTTTGAACATTTGCCAGGCGTCTTATTTCCAAGGAGTCGAATGAATAAATTCTGTCATCCTCGTTTTTAACCTCGTTATCAAGAAGGCCCCTTCCACCCCCCACACTCAAAAACTTGTTGGTATTCACATTATTGAATCGACTCACTAATGTTTCAATTTGGTGTCTGCCATTTCGCCAAAATATCAAATTGCAAGAGTTTTGATAGTTAAGCCTTTAAAATTATTTAATAAGACTTTCAATAATCGTAGGAAATTCATGAAATCATAATTTCAAGAATGGAATTAGGTAGTTATGGCTCCTAATTTTCAAAAAAATTAAATAGTTAAAAATATTTTGAAGACATATAACTACAGTAATTTCAATTTCAAGACTTGAAAGCTCAGACGTTCTAGTTCATAAAAAGAATTTTGAGAAAAAAAAACAAATAAACGAGTCGGGCATGGAATAATTACGGTAGCCACTTTTTTTGGGGAAACATACTACAATTTGCCATTCTAAATTCCCACAAAAATATTCCCACGTTTCCGTCAGCTTCTTCTTTTCATTTTTCACAGCGGTAGGTTAAGCCTTCTCACCTGTGTGATATTGCTAACCGGTGTGTCCATTTTATTGACACAATCGCACTCTTGCCTAAAACAAAATAATTCTGAAAAATTTTGTTAAAATTTAAAAACGAACCGGTGGACTTGCTTAGAGGTATTGCTGTGTTCTTCAAGTTTTCTCAACATTTCCAAATGTAATACATTAGAGACCGAAACGAGAACGCGTGGCACATTTTCGTAGAAAATTCGAATTGCCGCTTCAATCTCTTCGACACAATTTGTCGGCGTGTCATTCTGAATTCAAGTTTTCCAATTGAGACCAATTAATCTACCGCGTTACAGTATTGATACAGTAATCGCATATATCATTCGCGCCGACAAATATGTGGAGGAGCTTCCAATCGTTTTGCATATCGACTATCTATGTAAACAGATCATTGAACTTTCTCGTGGAGTAATAAATAAAGAATCACATGGATTGAAAGTAGTTGCATTTTCTTTCCGAAAACAGACTTATTATTTGCACTTCAGCTTCATTGCAGAAGAGAAAATTTGCTATTAAGAAAACAGACTTCGATTAAAAAAAAGTGAGTATTCAAATTTCATTTTATCTTTGAACTTTCTTGGGTAAATTTGGCATACTGTAGTATGTGTCTGATTATTTTTTTTAATTAGCTTAAAACTTACATCGATATGTGCTTGTAGTAATGCGATAACAGATCTTGCTTGTTGCGATAACATGCTCGCGTGGGCTCCAGGAATTGCTCCATTGAAATGTGCAACATTCCAAACATTCTGTGATCCTATACCATTTGAATAGCCAAAAAGATCCGGATTGAATTTTTTAAGAATATCTGATTGTAAAAAAAACATCATATGAAAACCTCTTTGTTTTTTGAATGACTCTATACTTGGCAATGTTGCATGCTGCTCCAAACTCTTGTCTCCGCCAGCTCCAAACGAAAGCCCGCGATACTGCAATTTGACGTCGCTCAGCTCGGTGGCAGCTGCTCCATTCCCAGCCTAATACAAAATGAGCACATTGAGGACAACAAAAAAATGAATGGCGTTATAAACGAACTGTTAATGAGTCGCCAAGGGCCATTATAATTTTAATGTCTGCTGGCCGGACAGCGTTCACATTGTTGGGAACCGCTGCACTTTTTCTCATTAGCTCTTCCGGGCAGGAGAAGTCCGGAACACTAAAATCCGGCAATTGTTGGCATTTTAGAAATGTCGAGAAATAGAGGATGCCTAAAAATGTCGAAAACAAAAGTTTTGACTTATTGCCTTATATTGTTGCTATATTATTAATAATCAAATTCTACAGTATGTTAGTTTACTTCTTATTCTTTGATGAAAAAGAAACTTAACCCGGTTTGCCGTTTTGTCATCAAAATTCATTCTCACTTTATATAAAAATATTTTTCGACATAGTCATGTCATCATCTTATTACATCAAAAAGTATTTGTATTAAATTTCTAAGGTCAACGAACTTATATAAACCCACGAGCATGTTCAAAATATGGGATTATATAGGTTACGCTTACGCAAAAACATTGAAGTTCTTTGAATATGAGCAGATAAAATCATAGATGTGTTAAAAAGTTAATTTTGAAATTAAATTTTTGGTTATTTTCAATCCCGAAAAAACAGAAAACGTGAGTCTTGATTGAATGACGTTATGAATTACTTATTTCCAATTGAATGAGTTTAATGATGAAGCACATAATTAGGCATAGTAAGGGGAGGAAACGTGCACATAATGAGAACGCCTGCTAAATGGCATGCGCGCCAAAAATAGAGAAGTTCGAATATTTCACCTGATTTGTTTGTTTTTCTAAACAAAAATTATGTATTCTCCCCATTTTTTACTTTTTTTCTCGAAATCAAACGTTCTAACTCAAAAAAATATTTCTTACCAATAATTCTGAGCAGCATTGGTATTCGTAAGTCGTCGAATAAGAATCTTTATCAGAACTGATTTCTTTGAGATGTTTGCGATAAGAGAAAAAAAGTCGCATTCTTTAAACAACTATGCGATGAAAAATTGCAACGAGATTTTGTGAATATTTTCAAGAAAAGAAATTTGAGTGGTTTTGCCCGAATAGATAATCGAATTTCAGGAAAATTCTGATATATTTGTTTGATTATGATGTAACTTTTTTATTTGTCCTAGAATTATTTGAGTCTGATGTCTGCAAAAACATATTAGAGAATAATTGAACATTGGTGGCGTCTAGGATACCCTTCTTCCTCCATTCAGCAAAACTACTGTTACGGTAATATAAGCGTTCCCAACCTTTAACCTTATATGTGTGATTGATTATTGTGCCCGTCTGATTCTCTCCTCCTCTTCCTCTTCGATAATATCATATTTTGAAATTTTGACGAAAAAAATTATCCCTGATAAATATCCAACAAACACAAAAGACATTTCGCATCAAGATACGAAATATTTGATGGTCAAAATATTGGTTCCATTCTTCTAATCTCCTCCTCCCCCCACTCCTTATAGGCTTTTCCTCGCGCTGCTCATTTGCTCTTTAATCATTCCAATAGAAAACAGATCGTCTGTCATTGATAATCCACTGTTTTTTTATAGATTTGGGATTTGGGGAGTGGTTGCCTGTGTAATAATATGTATATATCATTATAAGCCATGATTATGCACAAATGAAAGCAAATATTAAAATGACAGTAGTCTTGCGGACACCAGTCATTACTAAATATGTAATAGTAGTGGGGTGTTGAGACGGGTAACATCTCATTAGCCACTTTTTTTGTCTTCCTAATGCGGTAGCGGGAGAAAAAAATTAATGAATTTTTCCAGCTTCAATGATCGCTACAATTTAATATATTTACCAACACCAATAATTGATGTGTTCCAGTTACACATACATTGTCCCAAGGTTGTCACATAAATATAATACCGGTCATTAATTAATTAATTAATTGCATTGCCCTGGACAGAAAAATTCCTTTCTTTGTAGCTTAACCTTTCATTTATATTTACTGTAGTTCGCGTGTAGCGTAACCCCCCTTACACGCAAGTAAATACTAATGCTATTCTGAGCAGTTTATATTTACTATATAATTGTTTGAGAATAACTTATAGCCTAATTAAGCCATAGGACAATCAACGTCAGATGTTGACTATACTCTTATAGTTATTAATTTTTGGTTTTTTAAACCATATCAGAATAGAGGATAGAGCCTTTGCTAATATTGAGGAAAACGTCTCAACAAAACTCTCCCGCCTCTCAACTTCCGGATTTTGCATATTTCATTAAAACGTCAGAATTGAAGGAATTTGGTTCCACTACTTTGATTTGTCACGAACATCTTGTCTAAAATGCTCTTGTTTCGAATAAAATTCATCCCAAAAATTTCTTTATTTTTGCTATGTACATACAAAAACACGTCATGATTTGTTGATATACTCAATACTTCGCGGTAGGTCTTTGAAAAATTTTTTTTTCACCACTCCGAAATAAACTATGCAAACGTCTGCCAGCCGGCAACTGGTTTGTCGATGGGGGCTCATTGCTTGATGGCATTCCGAACATTTCTTTTTATTTGCGCAAAGTTTTCACGTTTTACGTGAACACTGGCCCCGCGTGTGCAAACAGATAAACTAGATATCCGGAAACGGTTTTATTTGCGCATGGGGCGTTCCAGAATTTTGAAAACTCGCGCTGGTGGAGTCAACATCTGATCAGCACACCCAGTTCAGATTCGCCTTTCCAAACCCCTCCCCCTTCCATTACTCTTATTCGTCAAAAATTTGCTTTGCTAATTATGACGTTTTCTTGTTTAATGTGATGCAAAAACCGCAAGCCCCAAAAACCTGAAGCATGCTATTTTTTACTTTGTTTTTTTTGGCTCGGAACACCGTTCGATGAATTCAAATCGCCAAGAAAATTCAAATTCCGCGCTAGGAATGGCCAAAAAACAAAAAAAAAAGCCAACTCAAGATCCAGGTGGTCCTATTCAATGAATGGTGCTTTTTGACATTCGAGAAATGGTCTCTATAAAAAATTTTTCAATTTTTGTTTGGCAAGATGAAATTAGGATATTTTTTGGCTATCCAGTTTTCATTTCATACTACTAGTACGCTCTGAAATTCCACCTTTCCTTTAATCGTACTGACGATTTTTGAGTGAGCATTTGTGAAAAAGCAACTGTTTGTGTCGCGCTCTTCTCCAAACAAGGTGTTGTGTCCTTCAATGATAGCGCTTAAGATCTATGTGTGTACGTCACTCATTATTCCGCGACGGTTCGTATATTTAGAACAAACAGCTGTTCAACGCAAACAAGCTTTCTAAGGGATCACTCGCCTAATCATTTGCGCTGCGTTTTCGTTTCATGTTGAACTTGCCTCGTGTTCGATTCTCGATAATGGCAAAACCCAACGGCGATGGTTGGGTGGATTTCAGCTGTAGTGTACTACACATTCCTACAGCTGAAAATTGTTTGACGATGATTGTTCGATTAATTCATTCAGTCAGAAGCGCAAAATTATTTTGTTAGGGTTTCGTATTGCGCAAGGCCCGCAGATTCCGGCAAAACTGTAACGCCTTCAATGAGTTCATCGACGCGTTCATGAACTTTGGCGATTTTTGAGATTCCAAAGATGGTAAACATCAATCTAATGAAACTTGCGTCGCGGCCAACCATGTTTTTGAAGGTGGGTATTTTTAAACGAAAAAACGCTGACGTGCGAATTGTTTTTCAATTCATTGTCGCCGTTGCATCATTGCGTTGATTTCGAAATTTGTGCGAACTTCAAAGAGACATTGGTTGATCAAAATCTTGGTCCATTCCGATCTTCTAGAACGTTTGATGAATTTTTACAATATAAATAAACGTTGCAAATGTGAACAACACAGCGTGTTGTTCACATTTCCTTAAAAGATAATCCAAAGGAACCAGTTTGGATCACTGTTATTCAGCATTAATACGGTAGGCAAATTTTCGAATTTTGAAAAATTAACACATTTTGCGCCGCCAAATTTCTGTCATCATACTGAAATTTGGCGCCATATGTGGGCTGGGAGAGGAAGTCATATAAAATTTCAAAAGTCAAAAGATCACCGCCCTCCCACGATTAAACATTGTGGAGGTCAGTGTTACCAAAGAACGTGAATTTTTTGTGCTCGAACAAATTTGATTCCAATTAATTTGAAACGCTTCCAAATTTGGCAATTCGAGATCCATTGGATTTCGAAAAAAATACGCGCAATGTTTTGTTTTTCTGAAATGGATGACGCATAAAAGATCATTGGTATCTGCTTCGAAAAGGTCGACGTATTTGCTTCGAGTACTCCTCTTCTCCGTGCGTGAGTACACGTTTGAGCATCGCACTTGTTTTACGTAGACGGCCACCTCAATTAAGGCAACTGACTCAATTTGGGACCAATGCCTTACGAACCATTGCGATTCTATTGTTGAATTGACGTCGGTGCTTTTCGAAATCTGATTAGAAAATGGGGCGAATAGATAGAATAAAATGAAGTGCTTCTCTTTCATTTGGAACAGAAATTTATTCACGCTTTAGCGCTCTCAGCGAAAACAACATTTCATTATTGTTTGCGAGTTTTTGTGTTTTTGGCTCCTCTGAACTTCCCTAGTACGTTGCTTCCTCAATAAGTTTCCCCCTCCTCCTAACACGTGGGTCTCACGTGGTTTCAAAGAACCAATATGTTCACTTTTTCCTCTATTTCATCCAATGCGGATCTTATATGAAAAAAAACATGATAACTTAAAGATAAGGTGCGAAATGGAATCATAATCAGTGTTACTTTGACCTCATCATTCCTCCCGCAGATATTAGCGAGGAACTGCTTTCAGCGAGTCAAAATTTTTGATATGAAATGACAATAAAAATGTGTGTGCTTCGTTGTTGGAAGCTAGGGAAATTGAGGAGCAATGTTCACACACACTTAAAGTGAAATAAGTGCCTTTCAAAAACGGGGGGGGGGCTCAATTGATGCTTAAACAAGTTTTGCATTACTCAAACTCTGTTAGCAAAAAAAAGAAATTCTATTTTTATCGCTTGGCATTCTTTTTTCGGCTCCTACGTAGATACAACGTTTATTATTTAATAATTGTCTCAAGAACCACCAATGACACTTGAATTTGATACATCGCTTTACAAGTAGCCATGTAAATTGATCTATTTTCAATTAGACATTTCTGAACTGCGTTGTCTCGTAGTATTACTATCACGAAAAAAAAATGGGAATATGTGGGCCTGAAACCTGAGCGTTTTTGTCGTTTCGGTTGCCATTTCTTTGTTTCATAAATTTTCGCGCCCACCAAAAAAACTACTATTACATCTCAAAAGTCACCAACATTTCAAAACATGCACATTTTCTCGAAAATTGCTCGTAATTTTTTGATGAGCATTTCACGCGTTATCAGCGTTTTGACGTTTAATTTTGATATTATCAGAGACCCACGCAATTAGTCGAAAAAAAAAACACACACAGTCACAACGCAATTTTTCCTTATATTTCATGGTCCCCTTCACTTAATCATCGGCAACATATATGCAATGGCTACGGTAGATCAACTCTTTTTTTTTTCTTCGGATCGCCGTATCAATCAATCCTGCCGCGTCCGCACGTTTTCATCACTAAAACTTTTAGAAAATAAACGAGGGGCGTCTACAACGGTGATAACAATTTTCATCGAAATAGGCCTCTCTTTTGAGAAGAGCCATCCGATAAATGAGAGTACTGTAGTTGAAATTTTTGCTCGACAGCCTATGAGATTAATCAGCTTATTTGTTATGTATTTTCGCATTCTTTCAAGTTCTCGACCATTTCTAGCAACCGCATAAAACCGCATAGTTAAACCCAGCTTCGTTTCACTTCCTTGTGTCATCCCTTCCCCCCCCCCCTTCATTAAACAAAGGTGGGACAATGCGTACTTGAATGTTACAATATCAGAATCGTTATATGCGTTTTTTTCTCATTTGACCTGACCCCAGAAAATGCTACGGTAACTTTCATTGTTCATTGCCGAAAGACACCGCCCATTCACAATAAAAAGACGACGAGGCAAACTGGGGTCAGATGGCTTGAGGTTGTGAAGCTTCTTCTCCATCGCCACCTACTTTGTTGAAATTGAATATTCTCAATTATCCTATTTGTATTTTTTTTTCAGCGTTTGCGATCTCAACATGAGGGTACTCACATTTTTGCTCATTACTCTCATAGTATTGATCAATGCTGTTCAATCAATGCGCTACGACAAGGAAATCTATGAGGCACTTCTCGAGTGAGTTTCAACTTCTATTATTCCACAAGGGCGGGGGCTTGAATATTAATTGAAACTTCAAAGATGTCTCATAATCATTTTTTGCAAATTGAAACTTCCACTTGCGACAACATTTTGATTGATTGAAATTCATAGTCATTTATTTTATAGCCACGGAATTTTCAATTTTTCAAATTGCTCGCATTTTAATGCAATCAGACTGAAAAATCTCATTAATAGCGGCGGTACGCATTTGGCGGATTGCTGCCATGGCGAAATCCAATTCTTCATCTTCCTCATTCAATAAAGTGCAAAACAAGGGCTAGATGAGTTTTTTTGGAAGTTCGACAAGGCACTGTATCATAGGAAATTGTAGATCAGAGTCGATCGATTGTATTACAACACTTAACATTTTACCGCAATTCATCAAGATAGAGAAATATAACAAAAAAGTTCACGAACGAAATTTCTTGTTACACAAAATCAAAACAAAAGCGAAATTCGATTTACTAGTTTCATTGTAATGTATGTGGTTTTATAATTTTCAGCGATCTTAAAAGAGAATACGTCGAACGCGAATTGGCGAATCGTGTGCTCGCCAAACGCCAGCTACGCGCCATCAACGTTGACGCCGGCGAGCAGCGAGTGCGTCGAGCCTCCGAGAAGAAGTCGTATCCAAGGAACTGCTACTTCTCGCCGATTCAGTGTCTGTTCACGAGAAACTAGACGAGGGGCTGGATGAATGCAGATTGTTGAATCCGGACCGTCACTGATTTAATTCTTTCTATTTCTTCATAGAAACATCGCCCTTAAGCCCTTCCTCTCCCTCCCTTTCTTCCCAAAAAAAAAAAACCGAACCACCATGATCTCGATTGCGGCTGATGCCAATTTGCGGGTCGCAATAACATCCACCAAAGCATATAAACATTTCCCTCCCAATCTGTATCTGCACATATTCTGACACTCCAAATTTAGTAGCTCCGTGTAGTATTCTACTTGTAATAACTCCCAACCAACCCCCCCCTCCCATAAACTATTAAACACCTGATATTCTCCAATGGCTGAAGGTGAGGATGGTGATTATTGATTTCAAATTTAACAATATTTAAATAAAATGAATTGTGATGAATTCACGTCGAAAGAATCCATATACAACACACACATACACAAAATACTATATAAATTATTCCCCAATGCTGCTGGTGATGTTATGCTAGTGAACAGATATCCGAATTTGAATTCCGGCCTTGAGTCATGAATAAAGCATTTGTTAACATCCTGTGCATCGTTTCTTATTAATTTTCAAGGTTATGAAACGCTAGTTGGAAGCGAAAGTTGATTACGGAAGTACGAACATGATGGCAATATTTTTGAGAATCATTGATCAATGATTATAGGGAACCAATCTCTTTTAATAAAATCGACTGGAAGTGGATTCGAGATGCGACATTTGTTGACTAATTCATCAGATTTAAGACAAAAATAAACAAATCTAATGTTGGATGTGTGTTTTACAAAATTCATCCTTGAAAACTTTTTTATTGAAATTCTGAAATTTTTACTTTTCAAACCAAAAATTCGATACGTTCGAAGTTTATGTAAATTATAATGCTTGAGGAAAGGATTCCGTAAATATGTTAAATTCAGACATTGAAAAATTTGAACAAGACTGCGAAAATTCAAATTGCTAGCCATGGTGGAAGAATTTGATGTAAATTTCATCGAATAAATTCTTAGAGAATATTGAATGTTATGATTTTCAGAAAATTTGAGAAACTATACAATTTCGATTTCAAAAACTTTTTTTGCTTTTTGAAAAAAAAACTGTTTCTTAGATGTCTAAACTGCAATTAACCGTCCTTCTAACTTACTTTATTCTCATACTTCCAGCCATTTCAACAGAACTTTCTGATTTTAAAGAATTCCTGACAAACTTGAAATTTTTTTCATTCATTCATTAAATAATCAGGTGAAGCCATTGAGTGTAATCCAATTCATCGTACTGTTCAGTTGTCTTTGTGTTCATCGAGAAAACTGACCTCAGTCACGTCATAACCCTTCCCGCCATACAAATTATTGATTTTCAAAGTTTTCGGTATTACACCTGACACGGCGATTCTCTGAAAATAGCAAAACGAAATCAAGTTTCTCTTCGACGTCATAATGAATGACTAGTAGAATACGCTACGAAAAAAACTTTATAGTAAACATGCGAATAGAAGGGGTTTGTCTAAAAAACATTTTGAGAAATTCGTGGAAAATCATTTTCTACTCGTATGTGCTTGACAGAGAAAACGTTGAATTGCGATGTTTGCTTCTTTAATATCTCTCAGACGAAGACTATTTTCCATTATTTTTTTTCCCTAGTGCACAAAATCGAATATTGCGAAACCTCGGCGTTCGCTGCGATCGGCTCGCCGTCCATTGACCGTTTGCGCGTCTGCGTCTCTCGACGACAGGCGGCAACATTGTTATTTCAAATAATAATATTTTCGGGCCCGGTTTAGTGCGACACGCGCCGTCGTTGGACTTTCCTTGTTGCCCTTATCGATTGATTCATGACGACAACATCGACGTGTTGCTTGTTATCTGCGACAATCCGCGGTCCAAAAAAATCGCGTTTGGTTTGATGACGAACAGATAGCCAACGGCACGTCGATTACTTGTTTGTTAGTGATTCGCGTATTCTCCCTTGTTTCATTTCATTTTTATTTTTCTATAATTTTCAGGCGATGTCTTCGGTCGTTGACACACTGAAGGAAGGCGGAAGGCAGATTGTTGCCGGAGGATCTGCTGGTTGAGAAGCTTGAAAAAAAAAAGCAGCAAAATGCATTCTTTTGCAGGTCTCGCAGAGGTTTTGGTAATGTATCCTTTAGATGTCATCAAGACTCGTTTACAAGTTGGGCAGCATGACAAGGGAATGGTGGATTGCGTACTGAAAACATACCGTAATGAAGGGATTGGAGGATTTTACAAGGTAATTTTTTAGATATTTAGATATTTGCAATTGATGTCAACTAGTTTTGACGATGAGCTGACGCAATCCCATCAATGGAAACGTTCAATGAACTTTATTGATAAAGTGCGCAATATTTGATACGCTTTAAGAGGAAAATTGAAGTTGAACTAGCAAAATCATCAAAATTTGAATCGATTGTGCTATCACTGATGACCCGATATCGTTATCTATTATGCCAATACAAATCACCGACTAATCATTAGTTTTCGAAGCATATTCTCGATGTTTGTGTTATAAACAAGCAAACAACAGAATTTTGAAATGAATGCTATAAGAATCGACACATAACTTTCATTTAATTGCTGGAGGCTTATAATTCATGAAGGATTCTTAATTTCGCGTTTCTTAAATTATATCTTAAGTGGGACTCTTAAATTACTCTCTCAGAATCAATCGAATCCGACAAAATTCGGTTTTGGAATCAATCGGATCCGATTGGCAATTTTACGGATTAGATTGTCAACTTGTCAGATTCCATTTGGTAATTTGCTAGATCCGATTGATTTTTGTTCGAATCCGTTTTGTGTTAATTTTTCAATTTGAATCGGATCCGAAAATACCCAAGAAACCAACACGGTTGATTCCGGAGCCGAATTTTGTCGGATCCGATAGGTTTTGAGTTACTAGAATAGTATACTTGGATTTTAATGTCTAAAATGCAGAATTGAAGCAGAATATATTAAGAAGGAAGAATTTTAAAATGCCTTCTTAATTTTGTTATTTAGATTCTAGGGAGGACTCGTTCTAGGCTTTTTGTTGACTAAAAAATTAATCTCTATTCGGTTCTGGCTTTAATTCCAGTAATATTATGTTGATTATTCGGCTTAAAAGAACACCATATCAAATGTTAATAAAATGTTTCCCAAAAATGATTTAAATAATTTTAAACCGCTATTCTCTTTGGAATGTACCCGGAAATTGACTGAAACAGGCTTGGGTAACCCAATGCTAAAAATTTACAGAATTCGAATTTCCAGTGTTACTCGTTGTTCTTTCAATACATTCAAATATGCGCATTCCTCGAAATATCGTGAAACTTCAAAATCTTTCATTTTTAAGGGTATTCTTCCTCCAATTTTGGCCGAAACTCCAAAACGCGCCACAAAATTCTTCACATTCGAGCAGTACAAAAACCTTTTCACTCACAACGACGTTCCGATGCCAGTTACCATGTCGATCGCCGGCTTGTTTTCCGGATTGACCGAAGCCGTTGTCATTTGTCCGTTCGAGGTTGTCAAAGTTTGCCTGCAAGCTGATCGAAACACGTCGATTTCGCAGGTAAAATTCGATATATGTACATATCAATATTTTGATTGGATTGATTTGAGCAACGCTCAACTGCTTCAATGGCTCGAGAGATTATTAAAAATGAGGGCATTGGAAGGCACGGCCTGTACAGAGGTTCATTTTTTTATATCGTTTGCCTAATCTACAAGATTTTACAGGCTTTGGAGCAACTCTTGGACGACACGGTTACTGGAATATGGTGTACTTTGGCTTGTATCATAGTTACAAAGATATGCTTCCGGATGCGAAGGCAACATTCATTAACCCAAAGTGGGTATTAATAAGCTAAATGCTTTTAGGAGAATCCCAGCCAGCATATGATGGGTCGAATCGCTCTCGGGTTCACTGCTGGATCGCTCGCATCCGTCTTCAACATTCCATTTGATGTCGCGAAAAGCCGAATTCAAGGTTGCTTTGACAGAATTGGAGAATGTGAAATTCTATTGTTGCAGGTCCTCAACCAGATCCAAATGTTCGAAAATACTACGGGGCAATTCAGACTATTAGTCTTGTCTACAAGGAGGAAGGGTAATTCATCGAATCATTTCGATAATCTATTAATTTTGTTTAGATTTGCCGCACTTTACAAGGGACTCCTTCCAAAAGTTATGCGTCTCGGTCCAGGCGGAGCAATAATGCTCATTGTCTATGATGAAGTCTACAAATGGCTTAAAGTGAACACATAACTTGTCTATTCATTGTAGTTTCCAAGGTTCAATAAAGCTCGGTTCTTACTAATTGATTTAAAAAACACATTTATTTGAAATAATTATGTTTTTATTGGCTAGTCTTCTTTGTGTATATTTCAGATCATTCACTTATTCTTGAACGCTGAGATTGTGCTTTAAAACTTTGAAAATAATTTAGATCAATCATTAATGCATCTCGCAGATTCAAAAAGATACTGATCAAATGCAAGGTAGTATTCAAATAGAAATTAAATATTACTATAACGTTTTTTACCAAAATGGATATTCAACTTCATTTACTGATAGTTACACCATTATGAAGTAGTCTTTAAATGTTTCGAGTAATGATATCATTTTTATTGTCAGTTAATAATAATCGATTTTTCTCTCCACTGAAACTTTTTCATTATGAATCCAACATCAATTGGCTCATTGTGCTTTGGATAACCAATTTGGAAAAAAGATACCTCGATAAGGTTTTTTAATTATTTTGCTCTCTTTTCTGAAATCAATTATTTTTTTTTTTGATATCTCATCTTTATTAGGATGTCACTGTTAGATATATATATATATATATAATATACAAATGAACTCGTAATGTGTGTGTGTGGGGGGGATTATAACAATCGATTTCAATCTTCTTCCAAAAATTAACACCACCTTTTTTAATTTCTTGATTTGGCTCACATATCTTTGCCAGCAATTTTGCGTTAATCATCTGATAAAGATGTTGATTTTAATTCCAAACCGAAAAATTGGATCATGAATTACAGATCAATTATTTCACTAATTGGTATATTAGTGAATAAACAAGCACGCTAAACGTGAGGAAAATTTCCAAATACATATCGACGCACATAAAGCTTTGATGGGCAGCTAAATGTGTTTCAAGTTCGTAGTTTAGATTATTTTGTGTTAGATATATTTTATATGTCGAAGAATTTACCTTTACTTCTTCAATGTATTCACAAACTCAACGCAAATTCGACAGGAATATTTGATTTTTGAATTGATTTAAATTTATTGAATTGAAAATTGAATGGTTTTACAAAAATGGAGCAGTATTTATTTTGATTCATAATAATAATTATATCATTCTCGCACTGCAACGATGATTTTATCGGTAGAGCGGACATGTTCGCCGTTCATCCGGTTAAATGTAGTTGAAAATTTTTGGTTGAAAACGGCGAGATATAAGGGCATACATGAATGATTCCGATTTTTTTAAGCAAATATGGAATTAAAAATAAGAGAATTTTAACCGTTAATCTAATAATTCATTAATTTGTGTGAATTGAAATTAATAGCGATGTACAATAACTAATTTTCAGTACCGACTTTTAGCAAAACGTTTTTACTTCTACATGCTTCATTTTTGTCTGAAACCATGGGCAACAAACAATCAGTTTTCTCAATTGAATTTTGTAGTCTTCCGGTTGAACCATGTCGCCGTAATTACAGATTTTTGGTGTTCAATTCGTGTTTCCTTCAATAATTCAATTGATAACGTTGAATGTTTTTGACAGAAAGGTTTGGTCAGTTTCAGTTTTCTGAGACCGTACTCATTGATACCGTTTCAAATTTCAACGGATAGCACGTAGCAATTCGATCCGAGATCAAACATGGGTAGAAGACGGTAATTGTTGATCGAATCTCGTGAGGTGGATGGTTTTAAAATTCCATCAAAATTGACAAATTTACGCATAGAAAACCAGAAAGTGGTTAGAAGATTACAAAAATATCATTTTCAGAACATTTTTCAGCAAGTCCGAAAAGATGTCACATTCGAATATTGCATAGGTCAATGCAACCCCCCCCCCTTCCTCCCAGCCAACTGAGATTATCAGATTGGCGATAGCAAAGCTTCATCTCCTAGAAAGCTATTCGATATCTCTTTGTAGACCAGTTCTTTTTTTCCCGATCAACCTCTTCCCTTTTTTGCCGTATTCTCCATCTCCATCCCCATCATCTTCATCATCATCGACTTCAACAACATCATCCTCATCTTCATCATTATCGTTGTTTGTTTATCCGCTACTTTTGAACAAATGTTCGCAATTCTTACGGTCCTTTCTATTTTCATTCGATTAAACTTTTCTGATTCATATATCGCCATCATCATGAAATAGAACTCAATTTTTGTATGATTATAAAGGTTTATATAAGAGGTGGTTCAGACAATTTAAAAATTGCTGGAGCAATTTGAGACTTAAAGACTCATTAAGTTAAAGTCCAGACCAGTTTTGCTTAAAAAAATAATGCCAAAATTTTCGTATAGTTTTCAAATAGAAGATTTTCGGCATTGCATTTCCATAAGAATCAATTCAAACTTGACGCGATATTACACTTTGTGTAAATGATCTGAGATAGTAAGATAATAAAATGGGATAGGTTGTTCGCTATCAATGTCTTAAATTTGAGATATCAAGAACTTTGTTGAAACTGATAAGAATAGACGTTTTGCTAGAATTTGAGGTACAGTAAACCACTCTAATTTCGGTACATTCGATCCCATTAAAAACATGACAAATTGCCTTTGCATTTATGATAAGTTCCACGTAGGCCAGCGACTAGCTACGTCAGATAGTCATTATTTCAAATTTATTGAGAATTTGTTTGGTGACAGCCGAATATTGGAGGATATAAAACCCATTATTAATGAATCAATCTTGCGTCGTCGATCGGTGTTCTGTCTGGCCCGATTTCAACTAGTTCCCATGCATTAATCAAAAATTACTGTTTGATGTTCAGCGATGATATTTTATCAACGCGCTCGCCATCCCTCCCACCGACGCGCGATTGCTGTCAATTGAAAAAAAAAACAAGTCCGAAGCTGTTGGGGCGGTGCTCGCTGAAAATGCGATGGTCAGTGAGCGCAGAGTAGTAGTGGGTTGTCCCTTCATATCGGTTTTGAACGACGTTCATCACCCGACTGCAAATTAACATTATCTTAACTGGAGCGCCATCGTCTCGCACGAAAACGTTTTCAGTTTTCCGTTAGCCAATATTACACCAATCTCTCTTCTTTCATTCCTCACTTCCACTCCAACTGATTTAGCCTCGCGCGGTACGGTCAGCAACACAATATGGTCATTCTTGTTGGCTGCTGCCTACTCCAATATCCGCCGGCTTGTTATGCTAGTTCAAAAAAGGATAATAAACATTTATCCCTTATCAGCTGATTATCGATGGGGGGAGGCTGAACCCGTTTCCCAATACATCGTATTGATAATTTTTCGCTTTTGTGTGAATCCAGCCTCAATGACAATATATTTTTTTCATTGCAGGGACATGGAGAAGAAATTGATGAACTGTACTCGATGCGAGATCTGCGGCACCGCATCGATGATCTACACCAATCCGTTCGTTGAGTATTCAATTCTCTATCGTCTTCTCGCCGCGCCGTTGGCTTCAATGGGTGTGTCGCTGCTGTGTGCCGCTGTGCTCAAATCGCCGGGAATTCACACCAATTCGAAAATACTACTCGTCGCAATGTCGATAGCAGCGATTGTTTGTAATATCGGTAAATTCATTTCGACGACTACCTTCAACGAATAGAACTGACACCAACGAAACGGAGATTGTCTTCGTATCCCTCCAAAAAATGTTAAAGTTGAGATCAGATACATGCATATATCTTATCGGCGTTTCGATATTCTCAACTATCTGGGCGTGGGGGGAATGGTTTTGTTGATCCCACAAGTGCATAGCTATAAAATATTGTCAATTTGTTTCTGGTAGACCGGTTCGAAATCAGGTATAAGTTTTAACGATTTTCAAACGCTGTTGGATACAATGGATCTAGCATTGAAATAACTCGCGCGTATCAACCAGCAACGGTCAAGGTTACGCTATCATTTAAGGCAAAAAAATTTGTCAAATTTTATTAACTGAAATTTGCCGCGGAACACATTATCTTATCAACAAGAAATGTTTTATTATACCCGGAACTGTCGCTAAAATTGAACGCTGTAACATCGATTTTTGCACTTGGCCCACGGAATCAATTGAACGTGATTTGTAGGCATTCTTGGAGACGCTTTATACAAGTTCTTGATTTCCAATGTTTTGCCCGACATAATGCAATGCGATTATCAAGTCTTCTACCCTCAATATTTCATTGGTAACTGCCTTTCATCGTTCTGACCTTGATGTGTTCTCGAAATTCCAGCGATTCGGAATGTTCAAGAAGTTGGCTGCTCGGGTTTCGCGGTTTCCGGTATCATTCTAGCCATCGAGCGAACAATCGCTACCGTATTCTACCGCAATTATGGCAAAACATCGGAGCTTCCCATTCTTGGATTGGTTCTTGTTATCATACAGGTGATTTCTTTGGTATTTCAATGCCACCCATCTTTGATCATTTATTTTTTTTCTAAATGGTGATGATAAGAGATATGAGCGCGTTTCGCGCGATACCGCTGCTAAAGATAGAATTCAACTGATAGCCAATTTTCTTCATCTCAACCTAATCATATCCATTGTCAGCTATTGTGTTGCATCATTCCTGTGATCCACATCAAGGTGCCGAAACAAATGTACCCATACTCACCGCCAGAGGTTCGATCGGAATCGATCGATTCGCTTACGATGCCATCATTCTTTCAGATCCAGAATTACAGCGTTTCGCACTACTTCTCAATGTTCCTCACTCTCACCACTCTATTGGCAGTATTGATGTTCGCGATCCTTTGGATTGTTAATCGCTATCGTGCGGTAGGGGTTTCATGGTGTGACCCTCGTCTAATCATATTAACCGAAACAGTCGTTTTTTTTTGGTTTCTCGCATCAAAATCATGTGACCATTAATGGAACGTGGTACACAAGGAAGAAATATGAAACGGATAGATTGATGTTCTAAAAAAAGATGTTTGGCAAGAAACCGAAAATGGAATGCGTAATATTTTTTGATGTGAGATTGCGGGGAAACTAGAAAATAAAACAATGATGTGAACAAGGTTCATATAGACATTTCAAAAGCTTTTATTGTTCTTCAATAAATGAATTTCTAAAAGAGGATCTCTCAATAAAATTTACTAGTCAAAACCTTAACTGGAAATATTCGAAAATTTACCAATTAAATGAAAAATTGTTTGTCGCGAGAATTTTCAAAGAAATCAAATTTATTAAATTCTTTGATTTTTCTCAACTGAGCGATAAAATTCACAGAATGAGAGATACAAATTCCTACCTTTATCTTATACATAAATCGAAAAATTCGAACAGCAATATTCCAGAAGCTCATCGGCACCAGTCATCTGCAAATCGTCCTAGCTCGCTATGAACTAGCCGACAACATATCAACAACCCGTTTAATGGTAATAATATTTTTTCTTGCGATTCCATGCCAGTCGTCGTTTGAGATTAGTTTGATTTGGAACGCGCCACACCCAAAAAAAATGGGTCTCGAATGCATACCCCCTCTAAGCGAGAGTCTATTTTTCAGGCACCCGTAATTGTCATCATTTCACTGATGGTCTTCTCATCGGAATTTGTAAGTGTTCGCTAGACGTTCGATAAAACTGATATGAATTTAGATATACGCGCTTTTCATGCCTCAATATGATTCGAGTACTGTGGTTAATCACGACGTTCTCAATGAGTTGGTGGATTATGCGCCTATCGCCGAATATCAGGTAGACGATCCATTGACTCACACCAGCTTAACACCCTATTGATATTCCAGCTCTCTTTGATTTCAACACTTTCGATAATATTGGTTATCATGATGCCCGCTTGTTGCGAGAAGCTCAAGGAATCATTCCTCTGCGTCTCCCATCTCTCCATTTGTTTCCGTAAACCTCCAACCGATTCGCGTTCGAGCAGCGAGTCCTCCGATGTCTACTTCGCAAAATATTGGAACAAAAAACGATCAGAAGACTCGCAAACCCCAGATATCAATTATTATTAACCAATAACATTATGTAAAAAATTAATGTTCAGGAAACGTTTTTTCTTCTACTTGCCCCGTTTCGCATTTGTTTTTCTCCTCTATAATGTATTTGAAATCCTTGTCATGTAGAATATAATTCTTTCAGTTAAACGCTTTCCCAGTTTTGTGATCTCTATAATAAATGGGTTTTTGAATACGATTTATTGAACCCGCGCTTGAAGTATAAAGGACCTATTGTGAATTTGATTTGATCCCATAATTGGTGTCGAGATGAGTTCAAAGGTGCCCTCCATATTAGTGACGCCCAATTAATTTCGTCAAGGCTTAAATGGAGCCATCTACAAATTGTCATTATCAAGCAGGTGCTCTTAATAGAGGCGCGTTGCCTTTCACTGGTTGCGTATTATAAGTTATCTGGTCGTGAAGCTTTTGTTTCCGGTATCCATATTTATGCTATATCGAGTGCACTCAAGATTCATTAGTTGGCCAAATCATATCATTCAAATATTATTTCCTTTAAGACGATATTAGGAAAAATGAAATATTGATCAACGACTCATAGTTGGGTCTTGTCAAAACTAATTCAGGCAGTTACTCTTCAAGAAAAAACATTTTTCAGGAAATGTTCGATTTTTTAAACTAATTATGAATTCTCGTTTTTTTTTTATATAAAATGAAAGCCACTGCTTTTAATAAAATATTCCACAGCTTTCACTTTAAAAAATATATTTGAAGACGATTGAAAGAAAAAATGAATCTAATGCACTTTAAAAGTAACTGTTTTCTTGGCATTACTAATTAAATATTACTTCCACTTGGAATATTTTTTGCGACTTTAAATTTGACGCTCGCTAATCACTACGTTCAATGCATCGTGATTTCTGCCTTGATTAGTCACCTCGCGCTTATTCATTCAAGCATAATTAACAATTAAAAAGATATTAAATAAATTCTCAGAACATTCTTTATTATCTGATTCATTCGCTGAAACCGTCGTCCCGTTGACGTCCCTTGAGAATCCGTTTCCGTGACAACCCGATGATAACCGCTTAAAACGCCATTATTCTTCATTCGAGCTATTCAATCTTCACCTACTCCCACTATCATCATGCTCTTGGAGAACGTATTCGACAAGAATTTTGGCGAAGAGACTCGTCTCGACAAATCCGACGCCCTCATCGCGCATCTCGAGGTTTGCAAAATCACCAGCACTTGATTGCATATTGAGCATGATGTTGTAGGAGTGGCACCACAGATTCCCACATCGCATCGATCCGACCATCGACGATGTAAATCGAACATTGCTAACGCTGCCACAAAACATTCCTTTTAGGGTATCCATCAAAATATGAAGAATGAGGCATCGTCGGAATATGTTGATCCTATCGAGCAGCTGTTCGCTTCACTCAATCTTGAGCCGATCGAGTTTGAGGTAACAAGCCCACCAATGGAAGAATAGCGAAAAATTATTCAGCGCGATACTCCAATCTATATAAGCCATCATTTGGTGGCCGCTATGCGCACCTCGGGCGCTGCTGTCTGCAGATATCACAAGAAGCCAGCTCTTGCTGCGTTCATCGTCACGAAAACTGAAGCGGGCGCAGGATTTGAGACAATTCTGGTCTGCATAAAGTGCACCAGAGACCACACGCTCATCAAACCGCGATTGCAGATCGATCAAGATCTTAGTTTCGCGATTCGCAACACATATCCATTTAGGGCATACTTTAATTAACAACCACCCTAGTTTATAGAAAACTTCCAGGTCAAGTTCACTTCTGAGAACCTATTCAGATCGATTTGGCGGTTGGCTCTCAAGGTGGAAAACAACAAAATCAAACATGGTATATAATACTTGAAATACCTTATCCATTCCATATAACACAGGATGCCAAGGATTGAAGCTTGTGCGCTTTTTCAATCGCATGCGTAGCTGTGACCACACGAACCTAAACGATGAAAAAGCGGTAAAGCCCTTAATGGGTTGTACAAAATGTAAACCAACCAGCTTGCAGTTGGTGAAGGAAATCGCCGGGTTGCCGCTGCTCGAGAGACAAGTCCAATTCCATTTCGCGTTGTTCACCGTCACATTCGACGATTCGCCGCATATTTGCTCGTGGCACGGGCAGAATATCAAATGTTGCGTGATTCTGAATCAGCGCAAAATTAGTACTTGCGTCACATTGCCATTCTGCGAGAGTTGCATGCAGGCCGAGACGAATCAGCGCGGCAATTTGCCAGGCGACATTTTTCCGGTTCTACGCAGCACCTATGAGGCCAAGGTTGAATGCAACGATGAGCTTCAAACAAATTCAATTTCAGAATCCCAAGGATCTTCAGGATTGGTGGAAGTTGAGACAATTGGCAGCTGTATAGAGATTCTGTTTAATCTCGACTGTCGTTCAGATGTCTTCAATTTTACCTGACCAAGTTTTTATCAAGATTATTCGAATGCTGCATATACATATATAAATATTATAACCAATATATAACCAATATATAAACCAATATATACAATAACCAATATAGTAACCAATCCAAAATAATTGTAACGTTTCTCTACTGCAATAAATATTTTTTAACTTGATTTTTTCTGTCTATTTCTGTAAAATCTCAGCCCTCAAAAATATTCCTCTCACAATATTTTTTAAACCTCCAATTATCAAACAATCGCAAAATCAAGTCATGTGCTCATAATTATGACTCAATGAGGAACAGGTGAAGGTTTGTGGAAAAGCCAACGACGAATATAAAATTTCTACAATGCATTTTTATAAACGATAAAGGATTTTACGAATTTCAAGAAGATTTTTATATTTACATTCAGAACATACCTTCTACTCTAAAATTTATACAACTGTTACTATTGCCAGATTTCTCATACCCAATGCCAATGCTGTAATGCTTAAATGGCTATGGTCTATGAGTACTTGATATCCATCTGAAAATTAGGTACGAGCTTAGGTGAAAAATGAAATTTTGAACAAACAAGCAAAAATTAAATTCAGCTAGCGGGTTCACTCTCAGAATCGCATATTTTGGGTAATTCTGACAACCTTTAAATCTCAAAAATTCACATTTATGAGCGACAAGAAAATCAAAACGAATAGTTGAGGTTCTCAATATTGGACTGCAAAAAGTTGTGCATTATTGCGTGGCCGAATTTGAAGGAATCTGCGGCCACGAAATTAGTTTAAATAAAATTTTCGAATTTAAATAAATCAAAACATCATGTAGAGAAAAACAAATTAAAATTGGCACCTTTGGAAATGTCCACGTACATGTAATCAGTTTCAACAAGGTGGACAATATTTTTCAATAAAAAATTTAAGGTTCTTTTGATACCACAATCTTGTCCAAAAAATGGATTTCTTGGAAAAATTGGATTTTTTACCTGGAAAGGAGATACCCATTTCAGTGGATTATTTTTTTATATCAAAATTTTCATAAATAGAGGTTATCCAAGCTATTTTATTTCGCAACAGGCTTTCAGAGCGGTCACTTTTAGCGGATTGAGCAGTTTCTAGAAGATTCTCGATGTTCATCCCAGCTGAATATGATTTTGTGTTTGGTGGAGATGCCCTTCATTCATATTTCAGACATCGTCATTTTACTCGTGCTTGAACTCAATTGCCGTCACAAAATCCCTAAAAAATAAGTTAATGTTTGGCGAATTCAACAATTCTCTCACCTATGTCGATTATTACAGAGCATGATAATAGTCAATGATCGATTATTATAAAAATCCGTCGAAGTAAAAGAATTTTCCTGCAATTTATTAATATATGAAAATGATTTTTAAAAAATAAAAATTCCTTTTTCTTCTTTTTTAAACCAGTTTGTCCAAGATTTCATTAATAAATTTATCACTATGACTTTTTTTTCATTATTACTGAGGTCTGAAAATCAATTTTAATTAAATGATTATATCGAAATTTTTGAATTTCTCAATTAATTCTTAAAATAATGAATAATTTATCCACATGCATGTAACGAAAATTATGTTGAAGATGGTAATACATATGGGACTTGCTTACCTTTATCGATATTGATCATTTAAGCAACATCTGAATCAACTAGATCACATCTCACATTTGAATTAATCTATATGAAATGATTAAATATTATCTAATTGGCAAAAATAATCAAACCTTTAGGTAATGGAATAACTATTTCATTATTCTCAGCGTTTGCAAACTTTCTGAGCATTGGATAAATTGTTTTCTGGAGCTCTTTGTCTTCACAAACTCAAAATAAATCTCTAAAAAACTTTTAATAGTTAAGAAAACAAAACAACTGTGAGCTTACGCTAGTGTTATTGCTATTCGCAGCGTTTTGCCACCTCGACAGTTTTCCTTTTGAAACGATATCCGTAGAGCGAGTTTGTACACAGCCCTTTACAAGTTTGGACTATTAATTGAAACATCACACAATAATTTGGCTTAAATATAATTTGGCTTATATCATTTTTTAGCAATTTCGCTAAAAACTCGGTTGATTTCACCATCTGCAATTTTCAGTTCCAGCTGAAAATCAATTAATTATTAAAAACAGGTCAAGAACACATACTGGTCCTTGAAAGCTTTCACAAATGATAATTGCATTTAATTGTCAAAGAGAAAAGTAAGACAATGTTGAGAATATTATATTAAACAATCGTTAAATTAAAATAAACTATTTTTGAATTATTTTTTTAATTTTACATGTTTTTTTCATTAAATAGTTACTAAACCATAAAGAAGTTAAAAATACAGGTTGTTTTATTACCTTTATCGTTAATGTTCAATTCGATAAAAATATATGTTGAGCGAATAATCTCTTATATGGAAGACCTCTGAATTGTGCACCTTAAAGATACAAAAAGTATTACGATTGAAATGAAATAAAAAAATAGTCTAACAAATGCCGATTGATGTTTAGGTTATCTGAAGCCATCCACTCTTCATATCTTCACAATTTCCGCAGTCTTCATTCAAATATCCTCGGAAGTGTTTCATAATGCGTATTGCTTCTTAAAGTTGAAACATATCTGAAAAACGTAAAATTTGTGTTTTAGCAGCTTTAAAATAATAAAAGAGTGGACATACGAATGTTGTTATAATAAATAATTGTATATGAAAGTGCATATATGTAAATGTGTTTGACTGAAAAAAAACCGTTGCTGAATCATGTTAAACAAAACAATTCCCATTAATATTAGCGATTAATAAAACCTCAATTCGGCGTGGAAAAATAAACATTAAAATAAAATATTTTTAATGTTCAAGGATGACGGTGAACAATAAAACTAATACGGATAACGAGAGAACGTAATTCATAGATAAATTATTGAGTTTTTCTACATTTAAAAGTTTTAAAAATGTATGCACTATTGCGTGGCCGCGGCCTCAAACAATATTTTTAAAAACGTCCACGGTCATGTTGTTGTGTAGTCCACGCGGAGAAAATACATTTTTTTGATTTTGTAGAAATAAATGTTTTATTAATATACAATTGCTTCATACATTTGAATACAGGAAAATTAATAAGTGAATATTTAATTTTCAAAATGTTTTGTGTTTCCAAAAATAAGAAGTGTACTAAAGCTGATAATTTGCATTGATTTCGAATCCGCGTCCAAAATGTAATATTCATAAATGGGTAAAATATTGTATCCGTATTTTGTAGGTGATTTCTTTAGGAAATACCTTAATACTTCGCCTTTCTCGTGGACGAGAAATATATTCTAGTCCACCACTATAGAGATGAAAACGCCCTGCTATTTTGTGCGATCACCCTCGTCGTCTATTGCGGTTCCTTGATGCGGCTGCTTTCCACAGACAACGAATGAGAAGAGAAGCTGGTTAGTTGATTGTATATGCCTGCGATTCGCAATTTAAATGTGGCCGAATGGTCTAGTGGTATGATTCTCGCTTTGGGTGCGAGAGGTCCCGGGTTCAATCCCCGGTTCGGCCCATTGTTTTTCAATTTCAATAACTGATCGTCGAATAGTATGGCCACAATAAAGACAAACAAGTTAAATAAAAATAGCTGACTTGTATAGAATTAAACTATTTTTTGAAATCGTTCTATCATTCCTAATGGTTACGACATCGAACTTTTCTTAAACAATGATATATATATAATAATGAAAGATCTCATTCGATAATATATATATATAACAGTGCTATGAGGTCTAGAAGAACTCTCGAAGTCGAGTATTGCCCAATTTTTATTGAAGATGAACGTTGCGAACATTATAAATTAGATGTGGTGCGATGTTGGTGCATCCATGGTTGAGGGTGATGGTGCAGCTCATGTCCTTGTGTACTTTCCTGGCCATGGAGAATCAGCTCGTGGTGGTTTTTCGCGCTTCCGAGCGCGTTCCCTTTCTTTTTCTCTTTCGATCTCCCTTTCTCGCTGGCGTTGTTCCTCTTGGTTTCGATCGGACATGTCGACGGCTTTGCTGAAAAATTTGAATAATTAGAGGACTGTGTATAGGAGGAAGAAAACAAATATGGAAAAGTGAAGAATTATGAATTTTCGTCCTCTTTTATACAATTTTTTGGCCCATTAAACGGTCCGTTAAACAAAAAAATTATTTGCCTAATTATTATTTTTTATTTTTTTGTAATCGAATTATAGTGTTTAATTGAAAACATACAAAAATGAAAATCTATTATTAAACATGGAATTTTTTTCATCCAAAACCAAAAAACGTCATTTGAAATTCCTTAAATAAAAAAATGAAATTGATACAATGCAGAATCTGCATTAGAATCAAAAAAATTAATCACAAAAAAATAAATAGGCAATTAATTTTTTTGTTTAACGACCGTTTAATGAGCCAAAATTTGTATAAAAGAGGACGAAAATTCATAATTCTTCACTTTTCCATATTTGTTTTCTTCCTCCTATACACAGTCCTCTAATTATTCAAATTTTTCAGCAAAGCCGTCGATATGTCCGATCGAAACCAAGAGGAACAACGCCAGCGAGAAAGGGAGATCGAAAGAGAAAAAGAAAGGGAACGCGCTCGGGAGCGCGAAAAACCACCACGAGCTGATTCTCCATGGCCAGGAAAGTACACAAGGACATGAGCTGCACCATCACCCTCAACCATGGATGCACCAACATCGCACCACATCTAATTTATAATGTTCGCAACGTTCATCTTCAATAAAAATTGGGCAATACTCGACTTCGAGAGTTCTTCTAGACCTCATAGCACTGTTATATATATATATTATCGAATGAGATCTTTCATTATTATATATATATCATTGTTTAAGAAAAGTTCGATGTCGTAACCATTAGGAAAGATAGAACGATTTCAAAAAATAGTTTAATTCTATACAAGTCAGCTATTTTTATTTAACTTGTTTGTCTTTATTGTGGCCATACTATTCGACGACCAGTTATTCAATTTGCAAAACAATGGGCCGAACCAGGGATTGAACCCGGGACCTCTCGCACCCAAAGCGAGAATCATACCACTAGACCATTCGGCCACATTTAAATTGCGAATCGCAGGCATATACAATCAACTAACCAGCTTCTCTTCTCATTCGTTGTCTGTGGAAAGCAGCCGCATCAAGGAACCGCAATAGACGACGAGGGTGATCGCACAAAATAGCAGGGCGTTTTCATCTCTATAGTGGTGGACTAGAATATATTTCTCTTCCACGAGAAAGGCGAAGTATTAAGGTATTTCCTAAAGAAATCACCTACAAAATACGGATACAATATTTTACCCATTTATGAATATTACATTTTGGACGCGGATTCGAAATCAATGCAAATTATCAGCTTTAGTACACTTCTTATTTTTGGAAACACAAAACATTTTGAAAATTAAATATTCACTTATTAATTTTCCTGTATTCAAATGTATGAAGCAATTGTATATTAATAAAACATTTATTTCTACAAAATCAAAAAAATGTATTTTCTCCGCGTGGACTACACAACAACATGACCGTGGACGTTTTTAAAAATATTGTTTGAGGCCGCGGCCACGCAATAGTGCATACATTTTTAAAACTTTTAAATGTAGAAAAACTCAATAATTTATCTATGAATTACGTTCTCTCGTTATCCGTATTAGTTTTATTGTTCACCGTCATCCTTGAACATTAAAAATATTTTATTTTAATGTTTATTTTTCCACGCCGAATTGAGGTTTTATTAATCGCTAATATTAATGGAAATTGTTTTGTTTAACATTATTCAGCAACGGTTTTTTTCAGTCGAACACAAATATATTCACTTTCATATAATTATTTATTTTATCCTTTCACACATCAACATTTGTATGCGCACTGTAAAAAACGAAGTGTATTTCAATTTTGCAGTTCCAATCAAAATCTAAAATCACATTATTTAAACACATTTGCCTACTTATTTGAAAGTGTTTGCTATTAATTTTTCAAGTTCATATTTGATTTTTCAGGAACTTTATTAGTTTTACTTGACAATGATTTCAATTCTTTATAAGTTTTCATATCTTAATGAAATTCTCATATTTGAAAAAAAATAAATATTTAAGAATTTTACTTTGAAACGTCCATTTGTATCGTTGCAATGGGATCATCAAACCTCGCAGCGCGTTTGTTCGAATAGTGGTCGCGTTTGATCATCACTTTCCCAGCGCCCTTATAGCTCAGTGGCAGAGCGTTGGTCTTGTAAACCAAAGGTCCGTAGTTCAATCCTGCGTGGGGGCATACATTTTTGCGATTTGTCAGAAACAAATACAAATAATATTTATAATATCTTGAAGTGTAGGCCGCAAATTTATTTTAATTTTATAAAAATGCTTTTAAAACAGTAACTTAGCTTACTCAAAGTTTTGAATTTCAAAAAAAATCCCAATTTTTAAAAAGCACTTATTGCTTCTCGTTCTTTTTGTTTCATTAAGATCGAATGCCATTCGTTGATAAGAATTTGATATCGCTTTCGCTCCAATCCTGATCTCATTTTTATTCAAATCCGATGACAACTTTCCACATACAATTAAAGAAACAGGATTTGTTTTTGAATAATGGGAATTTCACAGAAATAAAATAGTTGGATAACGATTTTGTTACATATTATGTTGATTATTATAGGTTCTCAATATGAGAATAGAAAATAAATAGAAGGATAAAATGATAATAATTTTTGATACAAGAGAAACAAATATACATATGGTTAATATATATTTGTCGTTTCAGAGAAATGTTTACTCTGAAACTTACATCACCGGGGGTTATCCACAATCATTGGTTATATGATTAAAAAGGGTTATGCAGTTATATATGGATATAATTAAATGATATAAAACGTTATTTTAAAAATTGCCGCCGAAAAATATATTTAGTAAGATTATGAATGTTTCAAGTTCATTAAAATTTTCAGTTTCTGCTATTTCATAAATTTTGAAAATTCTGTGCTTCCATTAAATAATTAATATCGTAAAGTTTCTTTAAGAAATTCTGTCCAAAATTTTAGTTTTTGAAAGCAGGTTATAAATAAAAATATAATTAATATATTGCAAATGTGGCTGTATACAAATTAATTTATAAATTAATTTTTTCGAAATGAATGTAGTTTTTTTCTAAATCTGGAGTGCTCTTGTTATTTCTGGAAGAGCAATCAAAATTTATGGTTCGAAAAGTAAGTTCGGTATCCCAAACGAAGTGTAGAAGAGGCTTAATCTGGCGACGCTGGTTCAATCCCATCCCAGAGAAAAACTAATTTTGCAATATTCCTACTTTGCAATCATAAATTCGGGATGTATATAAGACTGAATTTTTGGTTTTAAGCAGCTTATTATAATTAGGTTGACTTTGAAGTGTCCACTAAATATTCCATGCACGTTTTCATCTATTCGGCCTTCTTCACAACCTTCCCGTATATCTCTTTGTATGCTGGTGGCCATTTGCAATAGTAGCCAATGTGCAGATAATTCTAGAAAAAAAATTATGATCTCCTGGACTTATTCAAGAATATGATCATATACGTCTTTTTTCATGGCTATCTCAACAGCATATAGAAGATCTTCGGTGTAATCCGGACGTTTGTTTTTCTCCTTCCTGACGCAGTCCTCGCAAAATGGTACCAGCACCCATGAATCATAGGTACGATCAAGAGTGGTGATGGCGCATTCAATCGGCTCATCATGCCAAGCGCAAAACGATTTCCCACACAGCGAATAGCACATTCGGTCAAAATAAAATTTGCGAAGAAGTGCATTTGGGTGATACTCCTTAAAAAAAAAATATTACCCCATTAAAAATTTGTTCTACAAAATTTCCAACCATTTTCTCTTTTGGCTTCAAATTTTTGCGATCCTCGTCGACTTTCTTTTTAGCTTCGTCCCAATCAAACTCAGGGGCGACGTCTAAACTTATGTAATTTCAGAAGTCATGGCTTTAATTTCACCTTCCGCGAGATAATTATGCGCTTTCTTTTTCCAAAATGTCCATACAACGTCTAAAATTGTGTCCTGTCTTGCTTTCACCTGAAAATCAATTGGTCTACCAATGGCAGGTGTCAATTAATTGGTCTTCGCAACACTTATTTGCACTGGGTTCATTATTATAAATCACCGCCTCATTTTTATGTGCGGGTGGCATCAAAAACCGTTTTGTAATTGGCCAATTAAAATTGATGCGCTTTTGCATGGTTAATTTGAGCCATATTCATTCTGAGAGCAGCTGTTAATGACATATAATAACCCTATAAAAGGTAATAAGCAAATTTGAGCTCAATAGCGTATATTGAAATTCGATAACCCGCTCATTAGGGCGTCTAGACATCATGATATGTGAAAATTAATTGAAATTTGAATAAACTTACAGTGTCGAACGGATAGAGAATCTTGACAGCTTTGTGAAAATCGGAGTAGAATGGAACTCGAAGGTCGTACATAAACGGATATTTGAGGCAGACATCACAGTACGATATGTAGGATTGACGACCGTAGAATGAGTGCTTAATGAAGACGACACCCTTGACTGGGAACGTTTTGTGAAATGGGCACATCATTTCACCGCACACTTTGCCGGCTCCATCGAAATTGTGTGTTTTTGGAAGAATTATATTCTAAATAGCAAAAAAATGAATTCCAATTATATTGTCATCACAGAAAAATGAGCACCCTGGGTGTTTTTAAACTCTTCAGACTTTTTTCAGATTGATAACTCAAATTACCAAAAAGAAGCAGTGGAAATTCATGAACTCTACATTAAACTCGCGAACATTTATAAATTACAGTAGTCAGGTGGATCGTGATTTTGCAAACCTCTTTTCCCCAGCAGAGCCCATCGTCAGGAACGACGTTGTGACGATTTGAGGTCCAGGAAAAACAATTTTGATCTTGCATTGCCGTACCTGAAAAATCTAATTTGTTCGGAAGATGCAAATTTGGAAGCGAGCTAGCGGAGCAGCCCAAAAATATGAGGCGATGCGGTCTGAGCCCTGCTTCCGAAACAGAGAAAGATAGAGAGAGTGCCAGACACTCATACAAAACACTCATATGAGTACTGGGTAAGTAAGCTCATAATAGGCAAGTAGAGAAAAGTGCTCAATTTTGAATATTGCTCATCAAGTCCCCAAGGTAATAATGATTATAAGAATAATTACAGTAATTATAAGCATCGAGAAAAACAAAATAGAATGATGTGGTGGAAGATCAATACACAAAGTACAAAATATGTAGTTGTAAAGGAAATTGTATTTCAATTATTGATAACGTGGAACTCTAACATTAATGGAATCACGTAATTGGGAAATGTGTGCTGATTTCACACGTCAAATTGACATACATAAATATTGGTGACGACGCCATACATTTCTTCAAATAGTTTTCAATATTCAATGATTTTTCCCAACGCTCTGAGAGCAATACGAAATCGCGAAAATGAGTTATGCTCAATTTTTATCGAAGATGAACGTTGCGAACATAAAAAATTAGATGTGATGCGATGTTGGTGCAGCCATGGTTGAGGGTGCTGGTGCAGCTCATGTCCTTGTGTACTTTCCTGGCCATGGAGAATCAGCTCGTGGTGGTTTTTCGCGCTCTTTTTCTCTCTCGATCTCTCTTTCACGTTGACGTTGTTCCTCTTGGTTTCGATCGGACATATCGACGACTTTGCTGAAAAATTTTAACAATTAGAGGACTGTTAATAGTAGGAAGAAAAGAAATATGGAAAAGTGAAGAATTCTGAATTTTCGTCCTTTTTATACAAATTTTTGGCCCATTAAATGGACGTTAAACAAAAAAATTAATTGCCTAATTATTTTTATTTTTTTTGCGATTAATTTTTTTGATTTTAACACAGATTCTGCACTGTATTAATTTCATTTTTTAAAATTTAATTTAAGGCATTTTTAATGACGTTTCTGGGTTTTTGCGAAAAAAATTCCACGTTTAATAATAGATTTTCATTTTTTTGTATGCTTTCAATTAAATACTATAATTCGATTACAAAAATATAAAAAAAATAATTTGGCAATTAATTTTTTTGTTTAACGACCGTTTAATGGGTCAAAAATTTATATAAAAGAGGACGAAAATTCAGAATTCTTCACTTTTCCATATTTGTTTTCTTCCTCCTATTCAAATTCCTCTCATTGTTAAAATTTTTCAGCAAAACCATCGATATGTCCGATCGAAACCAAGAGGAACAACGCCAACGAGAAAGAGAGATCGAGAGAGAAAAAGAAAGGGAACGCGCTCGGGAGCGCGAAAAACCACCACGAGCTGATTCTCCATGGCCAGGAAAGTACACAAGGACATGAGCTGCACCAGCACCCTTAACCATGGATGCACCAACATCGCACCATTTCTAATTTATAATGTTCGCAACGTTCATCTTCAATAAAAATTGCTCAATAACTCGACTTCGAGAGTTCTTCTAGCCCTCTTAGCACTGGGAAAATATCATCAAATGAGATCTTTTATTATATATATATATATATATCATTATTTAAAAAAAAAGTTCGATGTCGTAACCATTAGGAAAGGTAGAACGATTTCAAAAATTAATTTAGTTCGATACAAGTCAGCTATTTATATTTAACTTGTTTGTCTTTATCGTGGCAGTACAATTCGACGATCAGTTATTGAAATTGAAAAACAATGGGCCGAACCGGGGATTGAACCCGGGACCTCTCGCACCCAAAGCGAGAATCATACCACTAGACCATTCGGCCACATTTAAATTGCGAATCGCAGGCATATACAATCAACTAACCAGCTTCTCTTCTTATTCGTTGTCCGTGGAAAGCAGCCGCATCAAGGAACCGCAATAGACGACGAGGGTGATCGCACAAAATAGCAGGGCGTTTTCATCTCTATAGTGGTGGACTAGAATATATTTCTCGTCCACGAGAAAGTCGAATTATAAAGGTATTTCCTAAAGAAATCACCTACAAAATACGGATACAATATTTTACCCATTTATGAATATTACATTTTGGACGCGGATTCGAAATCAATGCAAATTTTCAGCTTTAAAGCGCACTTCTTATTTTTGAAAACACAAAATATTTTGAAAATTAAATATTCACTTATTCATTATCCAATATTCCCGTATTCACATTTGTGAAACAATTGTATATTAATATTCGATGTTTGTGATAATATCCACATTACATTTCTCTTCTCGACGCGTGTGTTCGATCCACAGGTCCAGGGTACGCCGTTTCAATTCAAAATTGAATTGCCGCCTCGGAAAAGTGTGCGATGGTTCACAATTGTCATTCTTTTTTTTTCGATTCTAATTCTTTTTGAGTTCAAATTTTAATTAAAACATGACATTTTCATTTGTTTTTATTAACGAATAGAAACTTAGCAAGGGAATCAGAATATTTAGAACATTATGCAACTACTATGAATAAATTTGTCATGAAAAGGTGAACATTGCCAGTCAACATAGGTTAGAAAAAAATCAGTTCACATTTCGAGTCGCCTAGTTATTTCAATTTTTGAAATCGCCTTTTGCGCGGAAAATCCGCCACACTTTTTAAAAAGTTTATATCATCATTGCAAAAATGCGCTTTGCACAGTTGTGGACCATCGCACTTTTTCGAGGCGGTAATTCAAATTCCAATTTAATATCGCAGAAAGAGATGGTCCGAAACTGAAATACAAGATCTCAAGAATGTTTCACAATTCATACAATTTTATATATTTTGTGATTTATCTAAATATATACTTATGTCAACAAAATAAACAATCAATTCGAAAATTTTGCATAATAGAATGTCGATGGTTTTGAACCCCGTCGAGTGGAACTTTTTTCCACAATTTCCATTTTTTTTTAATTCAAATTCCAATTTAAAGAATTCAACAGATTCTAAGCATCATGCATCTTCGTGTATTCAGAATGACATGAACGATTTGGCCTAAAGGTGCAACTCGGTATATAAAATTAATATAGATATATATTAAACTTTTTAAGGTGGACAAATACACACCGCTCAGCGTTGATCAGCCGACAAAACGGCATTCGTCGAACTGTTCCACATGGGCTTCGACCAATTACCGATGTTTTATTTCTTTGCGAACCTTTATTTTAATTATATTCTTACAGATGAACTTCAAGCTAATCGAAGTCGCAGAGATCGCCAATCTTCCGGCGCTCCTCGACACGATCGGCCTACTAGTGGTGCAGGGCAATAACGCCCAGTTTTTGTCAGCCTCGATTATTATTTCGGGGTGATTATAGTCCTCTCGTTTTCTTTTTATTTTTTATATTTTCAGCCTAACATCAGATGCGCCCATACCGGATTGTTCATTTAGATGGACAATCCGTGAATTTCAGTGACGGCGGTAAGAATCAATAACCTATTTCCTAAGTCAATCAACTTTTGTGAATTGCAGTCACGGCCGAATGAGAAGATTTTACAGGCGTAGAATACCTCTTTTTGCCGTCCGCCTGTATAGTTCGAAGGTTGCCGCAATATTAATTTTAATTGTTTATTCAAATAAATTGTTTTTATTTTCTTCATGGATTTTATATTTAAGAAATGGAAATAACCCTTTGAAGAACCTTCTAGTCGTTTTACATCCCGTTAGCATCGCTAACAACACATCAAATTAAAAAAACTGATTCACTTGAAATAAAAATTAAAAAATTGAAAAATTAATAAAGATTAATTTTTCAAACATTCAAAGGTTGCTATCTTATTGCCCAATTTTATCGAAGATGAACGTTGCGAACATTATAAATTAGATGTGGTGCGATGTTGGTGCAGCCATGGTTGAGGGTGGTGGTGCAGCTCATGTCCTTGTGTACTTTCCTGGCCATGGAGAATCAGCTCGTGGTGGTTTTTCGCGCTCCCGAGCGCGTTCCCTCTCTTTTTCTCTCTCGATCTCTCTTTCTCGTTGGCGTTGTTCCTCTTGGTTTCGATCGGACATATCGATGGCTTTGCTGAAAATTTTAAAAATGAGAAGACTTTGAATAGGAGGAAGAAAACAAATATGGAAAAGTGAAGAATTATGAATTGTCGTCATCTTTTATACAAATTTTTGGCCCATTAAACGATCGTTAAATAAAAAAATTAATTGCCTAATTATTTTTTTTAAATTTTTTGTAATCGAATTATAGTGTTTAATTGAAAACATATAAAAAATGAAAATCTATTATTAAACATGGAATTTTTTCTCAAAAACCACGTCATTTAAAATGCCTTAAATTTAATTTTTAAAAAATAAATTAAATTAATACAGTGCAAAATCTGTGTGAAAATCGAAAAAATTAATAGCAAAAAAAATTTAAAAAAATAATTAGGCAATTAATTTTTTTATTTAACGATCGTTTAATGGGCCAAAAAATTGTATAAAAGAGGACGAAAATTCATTATTTTTCACTTTTATACATTTGTTTTCTTCTTCCTATTCAAAGTCCTCTAATTGTTAAAATTTTTCAGCAAAGCCGTCGATATGTCCGATCGAAACCAAGAGGAACAGCGACAACGTGAAAGAGAGATCGAGAGAGAAAAAGAGAGGGAACGTGCTCGGGAGCGCGAGAAACCACCAAGAGCTGATTCCCCATGGCCAGGAAAGTACACAAGGACATGAGCTGCACCAGCACCGTCAACCATGGATGCACCAACATCGCATCACATCTAATTTATAATGTTCGCAACGTTCATCTTTAATAAAAATTTAAAAAAAAATGTATAAGATAGAAACGTTTAAATGTTCGTTCATATTTGCCTACCAAAAAAGAAGTCCGGAAGACGAGTGGATAGCAAATTAATCTCTCAGTTTCATCGTTCCCAAGACGAAATTCTTTTTTATTTCACGTGACTCAATTTTTTTTTTAATTTTAATTGTTGTTGTTGTAATAATTTGTCACTTAACTGCTATTCTAGCGTCACCGAACCTTAAAAACTTAATTATACAGTGAATATATGAGATCGGGAGATTACAATTTCAATAGGAAAACCTTAAAATTTTCTATATCTAAATTCTCTTATTTATAAACCATATTGTTTGTTGTCAAAAAAATGCGCGCCAAACACAAACATTCGACTGATTAGGAAAACGTGGACTACCGCACACCACCAGAAAAAAACGCTTTACAAATAGGATTGTGGCTCTCCTCACTGGGACTCATTTTTTTTCAAATTTTTTTTTTACATTGTTTCCGAATCGCTCATATTGTAATATTAAATTTTCAGCTGACATGACTGGTTGTCTCGATAAAACTTATGGATGTGGTATGGAGATGTCTTTCCTTTCGGTATGGACTAGAATGATAATCAAAAACAACAACCATTTACAGAAAAGTCTTCTGAATACCTCGATCAGTTCCCGACGTTTCAAATCCGCACAGAAATGGCTCGGATACATTTTCCGAAATGTAGTTATTTGTTTTTTTTTTTGGTAATTATTGCGAATTATGTATTTCAGTATGAATACTGTGAAAACGATCGACCAGAAAGGAGGAAAACTTCAAGAGCGAATAAAACAGTTCCACAAAATAATTTAGTTGAAAAGCAAGAATGGCGATACCGAGATGATGGATTTGCTGAAGCGTTATTGGACATCGCTCGAACGTCATCAGGGAAGCAATTAAGAAAAACGAAAAGTTGCCAGAATCTCTTCGAAAAGCATGAGGTAAATTTTCTTTAAAAAAATATATAAATATCTTTCACCAAATTTCAGAAATCAATAATCAATTGTGACAAACCATTTTCCTGGTATCCTGAGCTGATGGTTTATTACGAACTTCTCGAAGAACCTGCTAATGTCGCCGCCACGAACAGACAACCGACGAATATTGATGAAGCGCGCGTCATGTTAATTCAAATTTCAGACCAATTGAAAGCGGTAATAGAGATGATACAAACCGATAATAAAAATTGCCGTTTAGAAGAAACACGTCAAATTGGAACGTCGTGAAAAAAGCAAAAGCTGTGGCAGGAAAACAGAAGACAAGTTTGCAGAATTTATGAACCTTTTTCAAAATGTAATTTCAATGTTACCCTTCAAGATCGACAAGGTTTTTCATACAGTTTGAAGTAATTGAATCACGTAGGGATCGAATTGCCCGAATTAAACATGCGCTGCAAGTTATACGCATTTTTGACAGAAGGATTCGATGCTTGAAGATGATGACTCGCATATATCGATTTTCAAAAAAATTAGTTTAAAACTGGAAGGATTGTTACATTTGTACTGTTTTATTGAGAATTGTATACTATATTGAAAAGGGGTCTTAGAATATTTCGATAAACTTATGATATGCCGCAATTTAACAGCAGCTTAAACTTTTTGATTGATTTGTTCAAAGGCTTTATGACTGTATTTTATTCATTTTGCAATGCTTAGCTTTTTCTGTATCTCATAATTTTGTAATTGAATTCAATTCCCGACGTCTATTTACATGTTCTGTTATTTGCTAATATCTGAAATTTCTAGTAATCATTATTCTGTGATTCTGTGTCTTATCATTTCTACAATTTTTTGCTGAATTTCGTCTTTTTAAATGCCTTGTATTTTTTTTTCAACAATTTAATTATCAAATTTTGTTCAAACTTCTGTAATTTTGGAATAAAAATCTGTCAAAAGTTCTGGATTTTGATTGTTTTGTTTTCGATATTTGATTTTTCTAAAATTCCCTTAAATTAACTTCCATCTATGTTTTGTAATTTTTAGCGGACACCAATGCCACCTAATTAAGAGACGAGAGATTGTGAGGAAATGGGAGAGTGTAGGCAACACTACTTGGGTGCGATAAGAGAGGGGGAGGGGAGGGGCAAGTGTGGACCACCGTACACTACATGGCATTTTTGAATGTTTTCGCGTTTCAGTGTTTGTTTCTTTGTATCGCATCGTTCATTTATTTTCTGTTTTTGTTATTAGCCGTTTTTTTCAATTTTTCTTATTTTTAGAGTTAATCAGAATGAATCCTGACGAGAATCCACCCATCGATGAATTTTATCCGTATGAGCAAGGTGTGCTAGAGGAACCAATGTACGCTGCCTATGGGATGGAAGCACAAGTCGATTATCAGGTAAGAAAATACTAGTAAAGAAAGTTGACTTGTTCAGTTTATATGATAATTTTTTGATTTTTTGAATACAACAATTATTTAAACTTCAAAAAAAAGCTCAATAACTCAAAGCAGATAACGAAAAAAAACAAGGCTTTATAATTTTCTCCAAAGTCTGCACAGAAATTTGATTTTTAATAAAAGAGATGTTTGAATTATTTAATTAAATTCTTAAAAATTATTTAAAAAATTTCTAGTTCTAAGAAATCAAAAAAAAATATATATATAGAAGCGCAATATTCCAGGCAGATGTTATCATGTTCCCCTGCATAGCGCCAACCGTTTTTGTTGAAGTCACAGTTTATCCCGATGGAACACGCACTGTCTCAACTCAAATGGTTCCCAACACTGACATTCATTCCAATGAAATGGTAGAAAAATCAAAATATGACCAAAATGTGAATTATTATTCTTGATTTTGAACAGAATAACATTGAAGGCGCTTGCAATGTTCCAGTGGCATACAATCACGAGCCTCCTGTGGTCACGATGACAGAACTCGGCGAGATGAACGCAACTCATGTATTTCAAGTGGGCGGAACAGATGTGTTGTCGCTCGTCTTGATGAATGTTATGGTGAGCTATTCAAGCCAAAGTTTTTTTTTAACAATCTTTAATAATTCAAGGCGCCACAACAACCGTTCTTAAAATACGATCCGAATAATAATGAATCGCAGTACAATCATGATCCACAACAAATCCAAAATGATCCTAGCATTCGCTCTGCGGTAAATCTGCTAAAATTCAATTCAGTTTTCAATATATGTTTTCAGCACATTTCACTAGCGGTATTTGATTATGAAATGACCGCCCGCGTTGCATCAGATGTTGTTTGCAATTGGCATCTTAAAGATGCTGAAACTGCGCTTATCTTTTTGCATAAAGAAAACCAGCGTCGATACAGCGCGTATCTCTGCAAGTATTGCTTAAAAGCATTCTACATTTGGACATCGCGTGGAAATAATGAGGTTTATGAGCAGATGAGTCGCCTCTTGAGAAATCATTTCCCATATACGGTATGAATAAATTTTTGACATGTTGAATTTGAATTTCATAGGTCATTCAATATGAAGCTTTTCGTAAAGCTTTCGCAAACGGATCGAGCATTGTGCATTCGCTGATTGAAAATTTTGAAAATTGCCAGGAAGGCATTTACCTTGAGCAGTTCTTCCAGTCAATTCCGCCAACTCGATTGTTTGCTGACGTGCTGAAACACCGCGCGGAGAGCAATAAATTGGACGTCTTGAACCGAATTCGTGAGAATGTGCTTCATCTCAAAAGCTATTTGCCGCTTCATGAGTATTACAAATACTTCATGACGACTCTCCCATCCATTGTTTATGTTTGCTGTAAGCATCCCTACGACGTCATCCAGCTCAATATCATTGTCATCGATGATTTCGGATTCTACTATTCGCTTCCATTCTGTTATCAGTGCATGCTTGAGGAAGAATACAACGAGCGTGAAATATCCGTCGAGCTACAAGCAGCTTTGTTGAAATATTACCGTACAGCTGTAAGACAAAAAAAAGAGCAATTTGAATATGAATGCATGGTAAAATTTTTTTCAGGATGACGGTCTTCTGAGAGAGGTGTTCAATGGACCCATGAAGCCAGAACCGGTAATGATTTATCTCGTCATATTTAAAATATGTTTGGAATGTTTCAGGTGGCGCGTGTACGCCGAAACAGTATCTAATCGCTGGTCTCTAGTCAAATCTTCTACAAGCACTCATTCTGCAAACTGTTGCCTCGCGATTTGTTATCATTCATCGAGTCCCTTGTAATTTTTTTTGTTTACCTGTTGTAGTAGTTTTATTTTAGTTTTCTTCCTTTCATCCCGTTTTGGTTAATTTATATATCGGTTCAACAAGTAAATACCGGGTGTTCTTTCACAATTGTCCCTGCTGGAATGTTACAATAATTTTTCCATTTGTATCTTTTCCTTCTTTAGTCATCTTGTTTCTTGAATTGTTTCTCATTAATCAAATATTTGTCGCAAATCAAACAATGACAGCCTCAAAGGCCTATCCAGAATCTATTAATGCTATCCATCTTTCTAATTTAACCCCCTAAATTGTGATTCTAAATTGAAAGGAATAAATGCAGTACGGGAAAAATGTGTGAGCATTTTCTTGAATGATCAAAAGCTGTAAAAACTAGAATATGAAATGTCAGAAACGGATTTTTTATGGCATTATCGAAGGCAAATTGCTTCAAAATATTATTTGGATTGGTGATTGGCTAACAAATAGAAAATTGTGGTATACATCAGAAGGGCTTCAAAAAAATTTGTTTTAATTACTTAATTTTCATGTCTGCATTGGAAACCACATATTCTCATGTTGTGCTTAATTGAAATTGTCTAATAGGCTCTGCACGGTTTCAAAAATTAAAAATTCGATGCATTTTAATTACATGATCATTGCGCAAAAGAGCACCACGCGTGCAAAATTTTCAGGGCGGTAGTTCAAATTTGAATTTCAATTTTAGTGAATTGTTGCCCGGAAAACTTGATAATCCAATTCATCCTAAATCTACTACTTTCCATATTTTCGCGATTTTAATAATATGGTCGTTCATTATTTAGTGCGAGTGGTACACTTGGAGGGTGCTCGACAAAAAAGACAAATTTGAATATACTCGCGGGGTGCGCGCTGGTACACGTTTGACCGCGTCGCGGACCGCGTTGCGCGAGTTCACCACTTGTGCCTTATATTCATAATTCATTCGTGTTCATTCTCGTTGTCAACTTGCTAGTATTTCTTCTGATTATTGTTGTAAACTTCTATTTTTTCAGCCATGTCCTCCTCAAGCCCTTCCAGTGACAATGGGATCGCTCCGACTGCGATCAACTCAACTCCAACTCGATCGGTTATTTTATACAATCCAGAATTCCATTATTTGGCTAATATTACAGGGAGAGTTTGATTCTGCTTACACTTCACCACAAAGCGATTCCAGCGGCTATTTCATGTCACCAAATGAAGATTCATCTGAGATCGACAGCGCCGGCGAAGTTTTGGAGAGAAAGTATCCACAATACAAACATAACAAAGTCCTATTATAATTTCTCTCAATTCCAAATTGCAGCTTATTTTAGAATTGGCTACTTGAATATGAATTCGTTCGGGGTGTTCGCATTTTTGGTTTAGTCGCTTGTGTGCAGCATCAGATGAATACCCGATTTGGTTTTGTCTTCAAATCAAAATCCACTGGCAAATTGTTTTGCTATACCGTCTGCCTCTTCTGCACTCACGACTCGTATTTGATGCCTTCGAGTGAGCCCGTGTATGATCAATTTAATTTCATTTTGAAACGATTCGGTCAGCATTTGGTAAATACTATAGAAATAAGCGCATTGAAACATTGCATTTTGAAGGTCGTCAATCAGGAGCTCAGCGGCGAATTGATCAAGTCGGTGCAAGAACAAATTCCTTTAAAGGAAATCACCAGTAAGTTTCTTTCAATTGGTAATTGATATTTAAAAGTTAATTTTTGAAGGCAGGCATCCGTCAATTGAAAAAATTAAAAAATTCCTGAAGAAATGTGTCGCAAAAAGCGTTGTAATTAAGAACGACGACAAATTCTTTGAATTTCTTGCAACTAATCCGAGCAACAAACTCTCCACTCATTACAATTTTGTCGGAATCGCAGCACCAAGTGATGGCGTCTGGTGTCGTGAGCACACCAAATATATGAAGTTGGCGGTTATTGTCGAAGACAAACGCTATCAATTGAGTTTTGCAATAATGTTTTGCGAGCAGTGCGTCAGAACGAACGAAGTTCTCTCCAAGGAAATGTTGGCTGCGGTGGGCGAGGCGATGCGCACATTGGTTTGGTTCTTATTGGGTTGCTTCACACCCTATGTTGCAAATTTCAGGACGATGAGCCTATCAGTGCGGCTTTCAAAAATGGATATTAATCACTCCTTGCAATGACGTCTCATTGATCTTTCTCAGAGGATTTCCAACATTTTGTGTTTAATTTTGTGCATTTATTTGATTTCTTTCTAGTTTTATCCTCCGACAACCACAAAAAATTATGTTGTTAATCCCGAGTTACCAAAATTCAACGTTTTTTTCTTCAATTTTTGAACCATCATTTTTCTATATATTGATATTTTCATTTTCAAATGATACTCCTCTATCATTGTGAAATTAATTATTCCTCCAGTCTCATTAAATTTTCAATTTAATTTTTTTTAATTGATGTTCAAAAAATATCCAGAATTAATAAAGGATGATGAAGATCTTTATTCATATTCGTGAGTCGAGTTTCCATTTGTCATATGTGAACTTTCTGCGAGAATTAACACGTAGTAGATGTCTGTAACTAAATGATAGGCACAGGCGAGAGACTTGCTTTTAATTATTCCATTTAAGGAAATTGCCAATGTAAATAATACGCTGGAAAGTGAATCCTCTGTTAATTTCCACTTCATCAAATATCCAAACAGCTTAACCATGTACTGAAATTATCCAGTAAAAATTTTAATTATGAACAAACACAAAAAAAATCCATTTGTTCGTCTCCTTTTTTTTAATTTCGAGAAGGACAAAATCTCGACACAAATATCTAGTCAACGAAATCAAGTTAGTTTTCACATAAAATGTCAAATACAGAACCAAATCAGAATTCACATAAGCTTCATTTATCCTATTAGCAAAAATATTAATATTTTGAAATCGGGCCTTCAAAAATATTTGAGAACCAACAAAACCAATCTCCGCCATTCAAACGACGGATTTATATTTTTAAATTGGCTATATGCCAAATGACTCAAGGCGATAAAATGAGCGCGTGTTGGTATGATATAAATGTACAATAGAATGTATTTAGATATTTGTTCATATCGGCAAAGTCCTGGCGGATGATTATGAAAATTAATGACCACTTGAAGCCTGCAACGGAAACCTGTGGACCATGCAAAAAATTAGCGAGCCACTTTGAACAGCTCCTCGACTGTTATTTGCTTTCCAGAAATTGCAGTTTCGGCAGTTTTTCTTTGCGATTTCACGCGATCTTTTTCCCAACAAGCTGTATGCTGATTGTGAGGTGCATTCTACAAACGACTATTCATTAAAGAGAAAGCTATTTGTTGAGATACCACCTCAAACAAGACGTTGACTCCATGAAATATTGCCTGATTATTAGGTGCTTTCGAGTTGACTTGTTGCTCGGTTTTCGCCGCGTTGAACTCTTTCGGCGGCACGAAACGTGCTTTCTTTTAATAAAAATTTGTACTTACATACAAGAGGGTTAAAAAGTACCTTGAAGAGCTCATCGATTGCATTTGACGTTGATGGGACAGCATGACTGGAGCGGTGAGCATTCTGAACATTTTCAATATTTCCATAGACTTTGACGTCAAAATTACCCGAAACAGTTCTTCGAGTCGCTTTTTGTCATGATCCTGTCGGTCGGACGAGGATTGTCGATGTGATAGCTGGTCCTGAAGCAATTAGAATTGGTATTGAAAAAATTTCAGCGGTATACCTTTGAGGTTGGCACGAATTTCTTTTCATCGGCAGCCATATCTGAAAAACGAGACACGACTGAAAATAATTGGCACAATTTGCATCGTTTTGGTCGTTATAAAAATTCGTTTTCTATGGGAGGGAGGTGGGCAATTCAGTGACATTTGGAAACGAAATTGGGGGAGTGGGGGACGTTTAGTGTTTAGCTTATCGACTGTTCATCAAAACAAGACTGAATTAATTTTTTTTGCATTTCCAGCTCGCATAATTGGCATAAATGATTATGCTGAAAACGCTGGAAAGAAAAAGAGAGAAGAGGAACGCTTCGAAAAAAAAAACGCACCAACGATGGAAAAATGTGGGCGCGCGCAAAGGCGAGGCAAATGTGTGGTAGAAGGGGGGAGTGGGGAGGGTTTCCTTTGAGAAACAAAAAAACATGAAGAGGGTCAGAGATCGGTTTAATGAATGCTCCGGAAGCGGCGCTAGAAATCTGCGGCTCAGTTTGTTTTTAATGGCATCTCGGAGCCATTGGAATGCAATGGAGCCGCCTCAATTTTCTTATTGCCGCGCGCCGATGAAAATTGGATTATAATGATGTGGACGATGAAAAAAAAATGAATGGAGTTGAAGCGGCAAAGAAATAAAAATGAATTGAATTCGCTCCACGAAATGCGGTTCTCTCAGAGAATGTTGCAAAAGAACGTGCTTTTCTATGTATCATTTAATCATATGCTTCAAAATTGCCATAGAAACGATGTGTAAACACTCGTTTTCTCAATATTTAGCACTTTGATTCTTGCATTCCTGTATGATTCACAATTTGCAAAATAAAGTATATAATTAAAGAAATTTTTATATTCTAGAATGCTAAATCTTCAATGGTATAAAAACGTTTAATTGCACTTGGAACCTCGTCTGAGAAATAACAAAACGTCATGCTGAAAATGATATACATTTAATTCGAATTTTCCTTAATATGGTCTGGATAATCGATTATGTTAATTAATATATACATAGATTATAACATCTCTAAAAAATGAATTGTTTTTTTTTCGAGTCGATTGATTTCCTTCTTCTTGAGAAGGAAATCAATACAGAAATTATTTTGAAAAATTTTTAAATTGGCATTTAATACTCATGGTAATTTTTTGTAAGTTTAAAAACATAAACATGTATTACTGTAAAAAAGCAAAGAACTGATGAATACCGAGCTTGAAAATGGACAAATATTACTGAAAACTTTCACTTTTTCAAAATTCTATGTAAATTAGCCAAATATTCTGGGAAAATTTTTTTAAAATTACCATTTTCAGGATTTACAGCAATTGCAGATAATTTTAAATGCTAAAAACATTCAAAAAGCACCATAAACTAAATATCCGACAATTGTTAGAAATTCTTGAAAATTTGTTAACATTTATGTGTAAATTAGCTAAATCCTCATCAAAATCATATTGAGTTACTTGAGTCTTAAACGACATTCCGCAATATTGCCTGTTTAGCGCGTTGGCAAATAGCCAATTCGGTGTAAATTTACGAGGTAAACCGATTGATATCATAAAAGCGTTCAATTTTCACTAATATCTACTGAAAATGATATCTAGGTGATCTCAAAAATGAACCCCGAAAAATTTGTTTCAAAAATGAATCAAAATTTAACAATTTTAGTCAATAATAAGCAATAATTCATCATTTTCGTCAATAATTTTTCACGTTTCAAATAAATTTTGAAACGTATTTTTTGAGCAGCCACATTTCAAATTATTTTGATCAAAACATTTATGGATTTTAATAATTCGAAAGTGATAAAACAAGTTTCGTTCTCAATTTGCGACGACAACTCAAAGTGCTAATTATCAGAGTATTTTAGTTATTTATGCCGCAACGACGCGCCGCTATATTGCCCGCGGTTTAGCGCCTTGGCAAATAGCCAAGTCGGTGTTGATTTAGGAGACAACACAAGTTTACATATAAAATCGTTTAATTTTTAATGATATCTTATAAATGGGAATAAAAAATGAACAACCCCCAAAAAATTAGATTTCGAAATGAATCAAGATTTCGAAAATATTATTATTTTTGTCAAAAATTAAGCGATTTCGGATAAACTGAAGCAATATTCGTTTTCGAGTTGCGCTGATCCAGTTATCAACGCTTTTGTGTTATTTATGCCACAACGACGCGTCAATATTGCCCCCGATTTAGCGTTTTTGGCAAATTGCCAATTTGTACATTTACAAAACAAAAGAGTTTCCTACATTATTTTACTCAACGCATTTTTTTCAATCAGTTGTGCGCCTGAGAATCCCACATAATTGATGATTGAAGTTAAGAAGACCAATTATTGCTGCCTACTCAGCTATTTTACAACGTTTCAATGAAAATCTTCAATTTCGCAACATGTGCCATATCCACGTCAGAGTAACTTCTTGTTTTCGAAAATCATTGCGAAAATCCTATGCGCATTGTTTTCTCTCTCATTTTTTTCTCATGTTTCGCATGTTCATCGCTTCCATTTCAATTCCATTATTTCATTCAGATTATGGAGGCAGCGTCATATCTTCACCACGTGCTTCAATATGCTCAGAAAAATCATGTTTGAATAATCCGATAATTGTATATCAATTTCGCGTTGAATTTTATAGAATCTCAGAAATACCTTGAGTGGAATTTTGAAACAAGGTGGTTATGCTGCCGCCGGAGCAGGAATCGGAGGAGCTGCCGGTGGACCTTTAGGAGCATTGATTGGAACGTTGGCTGCTGCGATTATTGGATACAGTGAAACCGACGATTACGAAGTAAGTTTCTGAAATTTTTTATCAATTATTTGAGTTCATATCAAGTTCTTTTTTTTCAATGAAAATGTTGAAAAAACATGAAAATTTTGTACTCGGTCTAGAATATCAAAAGTGTGTTGTTTTAGAGCATCTTATCCTTGCTTCGAGATTTGACACCCGAAGAAAAAAACAATTTGGCGAATGAAGTAAAGAGTATGGTCGGAAGCAGCACATTGTCAGATTTTGAAGAATGGTTCAAAAATTTCAATCATCAGGAAATGCTGTTTAAATTGTTCTCAGCGTTTGCCATGCACCAACTCTCTTCAAAATAAGTTAATTTATTTTTGAGACTTTGTTATATATATATAATTGTATTCAAAAAAAGCTCACATTTCAACACTTTGTATAAAATATATTCTGTGAAATAAGCATAATTTATTTTCAATATTTCAAGCTTTTATGGTTACAATCGGTTTTCCTCGTAAATTTACAGCGAATTGCCTATTTGCCAAGGCGCTAAACCGCGGGCAATATAGCGGAATGTCGTTGCGGCATAAATAACTCAAATACGCTGATAACTATCACTTCGTGTTTCCGGGGCTAATTGAAAACGAAAGTTGCTTCAGCTTATCCGAAATTGCTAAATGTCACAATTTTTCAATTTTTTGATACTGAAAAAATAAAAATGAAGCTGAATTAGAATAAAAATTTCACTAAAACATTAACATTTTCAAATTTTTGATTAATTTCTAAAGCAATTTTTTCGAGGTCGTTCATTTTTTGTTCCCATTTATTAGATATCATTAAAAATTAAACGATTTTTTATATAAATTCGTGTTGTATCGTAAATCTACACCGACTTGGCTATTTGCCAAAGCGCTAAACCGCGGGCAATATAGCGGCGCGTCGTTGCGGCATAAATAACTCAAATACTCTGATAACTAGCACTTCGAGTTGTCATCGCAAATTGAGAACGAAACTTGTTTTATCACTTTCGAAATTATTAAAATCCATAAATGTTTTGATCAAAATAATTAAAAATGTGGCTGCTCAAAAAATACGTTTCAATATATATTTGAAACTTGAATAATTATTGACGAAAATGATGAATTATTGCTTATTATTGACCAAATTTGTTAAATTTTGATTCATTTTTGAAACTAATTTTTCGGGGTTCATTTTTGAGATCACCTAGATATCATTTTCAGTAGATATCAGTGAAAATTGAACGCTTTTATGATATCAATCGGTTTACCTCGTAAATTTACACCGAATTGGCTATTTGCCAACGCGCTAAACAGCCGGCAATTTTGCGGAATGTCGTTTAAGACTCAAGTAACTCAATATGATTTTGATGAGGATTTAGCTAATTTACAAATAAATGTTAACAAATTTTCAAAAATTTCTAACAATTGTCAGATATTTAGTTTATTGTGCTTTTTCAATGTTTCTTTTTGTATTTAAAATTATCTGAAATTGCTATAAATACTGAAATTGCTAATTTACTAAAATTTACACAAAAGTCCTCAAATATTTGGTAGCTGCTGCAGCAAACATTCGCCTTTTTAAATCATTATGAATCGATCTTAGCAAAGAAATTCAAATTTCGCAATTTCAATTAATCTTCCCATGACCTCATGATAAGTTATCTATGTAAGGAGATATATTGTAAATACTATAACGAATCACTGATGTCTCAGCATGTCCAGATGGCTCAAGCTTTTTGCTAACACATTTTTCTGTACAGATTGTTCTTGCGGTTTGTCAAGTGCATACTATCAACAAAAGAAGTCAATTTATTGTTGATTCCTTGGGATGAATTATGCGGACAAAATGAAATTATGATTAAAAATAATTGAAGGGTCGAACAAGACAAAAATAAGTTAATTGATTTTTTAAAATGAAACTCACAACAAAGGAAAAAATTCGGTAGTATTAAAATAATGTCAAATATCAAAAAAGATTTGAAGGCCAGGCAAAGCGTTTTAAGCTGCGGCAACGAGGACATCGATGATATCCTCATTGGGCTCTTCATCGCTCTCCTCTTGGGTCTCATCTTCCTCCATCTCCATCTCCTCTTCCTCATCCTCGTCAGTAAGATCAAACTCACCCTCACTTTCTTCATCGTCTTCCCCTTCGGTTTCATCCTGCTCCTCATATTCAAGCTTAATTTTTTTCATCGGCACTGGACCATCGTCAATCCAGTCATCGCGGCATAATGGGCATCCAGGATACTCTTGTTTGCGAAGTCGCGCCATTCGTTTCCAACGGTTAACGCAACTGAATGCATAATAAATAATAAATAGTAATCTGATTAAACGCATACCGACGACAACCAACGAAGTTACGACACTTTGGGCATCCCACCGGTTCACGGGACACTACAGTGCACATCGGACATGGCCCATATTTTGATTTAATTACGGGTCTCTCAGGTATGACAAGATTATCATCTTTCACGAGCATTCCCTGATATTCCAAAATATCGATACGAGCATAGATGTCTGAAAATAAATATATTATAAAATAAGGACAGCAAATGAACTCCGAACCAAAGTCATCAATGCCGCAATCACTTCCGGTAAAGCTATCCGTTTCGTCGCTTACTGGCGTTCGTTCACCACGATACCAATTTTCACTCTCATCATCGCTGGAAGTTAATGAAGTTTCTTCGCGTTCAGCAGAATCAAAATCACATCGAGCTTCTAGCTTGCCATTTGGCGCATCATCCTCTTGAATTTCGAAGGTCCTAGCGATTGCTGTAATTCGCACCTATGAACGAAATCTTTGTGCCAAATTACCGGGACTTGAGCTGCGAGAGCGATTCTTTCGTGGAGTCAAGACATCAACATTATTACTGTCCTTCTGTTTAGTCATAAAATTGCCCATCTTGTCGTTATTGCCTTTTCAGGAAAATTCTCCCTATCTGCAATCGGAATAAAAGAAATACCAAATGTAATAAAAGGTTAAAAAAAATACCTATTAGCACTATTGCTATGTCTAAACTTCCGGTTACCTGAATTTCCTGATTATTAAAATAAGAAAAGTGTTAAAATATATGTAGATATTAAATATTGGTTTGAAACCGAAGAAAAAGTAAAAATGAAGTGAAGAAATGTAATATGAATTTTTTTTTTAGTAATCGAACGAATTGATTCATTATTGATACGAATCCACATTCATTACTGCTACTATTGCTTCGATCTGAAAACAATTATTTTTAAAGTTTTTTCCTGCAAAATTGATCAAAATAATGGGTAGTTTGTTCAAAGGGAGCTAGGTTTGGTCAGTGTAACATTGGTTTTTCGATAGAACAGATTGATAAGATATGACCATGCGAATCATAATTGCAAGGGTGAAATTGGCGTAGATGGCGAATGATATTTGTCAGCGATGCCGGATTACTTTAATTTTGATATTATTAAGTACCTTTAGATGGATATTTTTGAAACTTCGATGTTTAAATATTGGGAAAATACAAAATTTCTCCGCATAACGGGATTTGGGTTCCGCGATTGCTGAATTAGGAAGTACTTTCGTTTAATAGAAGCGTGTTATCGCTTTTGACCATTTTCACCTGCTTTCCGAAGTTTTTAATTAATATTTATTTCATTTTACTAGTTCTCCACGAGTTTCTCATTCCGATTTCTCATTTTCAAGAGAAATGGGAATGAGAAACAAATAGTAAAATTTGAAGGTATTTCACCGAATCGTCTAAAAATTTTTTGTATCGAAATTTGAAATTTTTTCCATTCTCTACGTGCCAAATGACTTTCAATATCAAAAGATTTTTAATATGTAAAAATTATTTAAAACTTTCTCCCATTATTTGGTCGGAGTGGATTCGGAAAGGGATCACCACAAGAACAACTGACGGAGCCGTAATCATACCAAAAAGCTTGAAATTCTGTGGTTCGCCTCTCAAAAGCCGAACGAGAAACCGACAAAGTGAATAAGTGACTAATTGAGTACTATAATGGGTTGTTTTGATACATGTTATCAATTTTTGTGAGGGAAGAAAACGTTTGTAATTTCTCGAAACTGTTTGGCTTGAACTACCAAATTTTTTTCACATCTAACATATTTTTTACAATTTTCAAATTATAAATGAGTACCTCTAGTTTAGTGAAATTTAAAGGAGATGTATAGATACCGTATTCCTCTGTTTAAAAAGAGCAAACAAGTTGAACTCCGCACTTGGTCAATTTAACACATTAAAATGGCTATATTCCTGCAAAAGTGTCTTACTTTTCATGAATACCAATCTCACCTGAATCATATAGTGCAATCCAGAAGTTGATGGACCAGAATAATTCCCAATGGCTTCATTTCGATTTGTAATTTCCTTCTGTGCTGCATTCATTATCAAAAAATGATCTGAATATTTTCCAAAATGGATTTAAAAAAATAAATTCGTTACGTACATACACTCAACAGCAGCAGCTTATCAATATATTCACAAATTCATTAGGTTTTTTTAAGAGTGGCAAATTTCACTCTATTGCTTTTCTTGCTGCTGTAGCAAGTCCAGGCGTAGTGGCGGCTTTCTGAGCTACGTTTCCTAGTGCATTCGGACCAACGACCCAGGGCATCTTCGGACCGTCGTCGACTCTCATTGCTTCTGTGATCGTATTGCCTTCGTGGCGAGTCGTTTCCATCGCAACGATATTTCCGAGTGAAATTTCACAGTAACCATCGATGTCATAACCAGCATCTGCTGCTATAAGTCACAGCAAGTTGTAGAGATCCTTTTGGGCTCTACATATGTATCTTCAGAGTCCGCACGTCGTCAAAGAGGGTTGGAGGTGGAGCAGACGGCTCGCTTCCTGCAAAATAATTATTTTTGAGACGGATGACTTCAAAATGCTTAAGATTTTTACCTTCTTCATTCTCGATTCCGTCACGATCGGACAATTTTGCATTCTTAATATTTGAGAAATTGTCCAACATCCCTAAAATAGAGATTCGAATAACATGGGTGGAATGTAGGAATGGGGATATACAAAATACACGATAGTATGCCAAAAAGTGTTATCCGGGGGTTTATGACACCCAATCGAGAGGGGCTAATGGCAAAGACGCAGAGTAGGCTCTGTGTATCTGCAATACCTGTTGTTAGATGGCAAAGTAATGATAAAAAAAATGAGTCCGATATGAGCAGGGGGTGACAGACCTCACGTCGTCGGAGAAATCACCTAAGTGCAGATGAGAGCGAAAGAGAGAAAGAGAGAGATCAGAGGAAACAGTAATATGCTTGTGTTGGGGTCTGGCCAAAGAAAATGCAGCTCATCGAACGTGTGGTAGGTTATTGTGACGATTCTAGGAGATTGCTTTCTTCGGATTATTGAGTTGAATTCCATTTATTTGTTGATCTTCGAGTCAGACGATGATCCTCTTCCGAATTGGCGCGCGGGGACGAGAACGCTTTTGGCACGCTGCCCAAATCTAGCGCGGGACATTTGTGCCCTCATATATTTTTTAGGACGCCCCTATGACAAAAAACGTCACTAGCGCGATGTCTTCTTGATTCGCCCATGCGACGCGGCGCAACCCGAAGAACGTGTGTTGGATGACCCCCCCCCCTGCGACTCCTGTCGATGCCATACGTTGAGAGTTGGCACGCGTCGCCACGAGGGCGTGGATTGTGCGCGCGCCTTCCCCAGATGACGAGAATGTCGATATTTGTACTTATGACGTTACACTGGGAAAACCGAGAAATTATTCGAGTCGATTTTTATTCTTTGTATTACTATCGAAGAATGGACAATAAAAGAAAATAATTGGAAAATTTGAAAACAATGCTTTAATAAATTGAAAATGACGATGGATATGGAAACAAAGGTTATAAAAGAATCCCGTTGCGTTTTTTTTGCTGGGTTATTGAAATCTCGAGAATCAGATCTGATGAAAGGATGTGGCTTTACTAAATAAATTATGGAGATAAAATGAATATAAGATGAAACAATTGCACGGAAGATTCTGTAGAACGACTTATACACGGGAAAACAATCGATAAATTGACATTTGTTAAAAAAAACTTCATTGTCGGCCAACTTTCGCGCAGTTCGAGAAGTATGCTTGCATCTCCTCTTTCAATTTCAGCAACTCCGCCATTTGCTTCTTCTCGGTCACTAAAAAATTTCGAATATTGCCAGGATGAGTAAATCTCAAAAATTTACCAGTTTGAATTCTTCGAAAGACGTTTTGATACTGTCTGTAGCCCGAATATTTTTTCAGCAAAGGAATTGCTATAAATGGTTAAATATCAAAGATGCAAAGAATAATCAATACTTACTAATGGTGCTGTTGTTGAGAATGTCATACATGGTCTTCAATGACTCATCGTGTTCTGAAAATTTCTTCCAAAATATCAAGAATAATTATCGCTCAGCTTACTCTCAATATCCATGAGCAAATCACAGTTCATTTGAAGAAAATTGCAAGCGGAAACGGTCTCATCATAAACTTTCTCGAAACCGTCAAATTCGAATCTCATTCCTTTGACGGCTTTCTCGGTCTCATTTTGAATGCTCAGAATCCATTTTTTGGCAAACGCCACCGCCACTGTAACAGATCCAATATTTATTGTCACATAACTGACTTTAACATACAAATGGTTTTGAAAAAATCCTGAACGACTGCGTATTGTGTGTGTGATGGCACTGAAACCAAATTTTGTCAAAAATTCAACAAGCAGAAAAAAATTGATTACATGACTCGATGAACTTGAAAATCGATGAGCATGTTGTTGCTTCCGAATTATTGTCGAATGGCAGTTTTCTACAGAGCAACATCTTTGAAATGTTGGCTTGCGATAGCTCGTAATTTGGAAGTAGCATCGAGAAGCTCAAAATTTGAAAAAGGCTCAACGCTGAAACATTATTTTTTGATTCAAGATTCATTCGCATCTCACTTTGCACTTGACGGGCGCTCATTCTCATAAAGTTTGGTGTCATTCCGGTGATGTCGGGAACAATGGCAAGACGAATCGCATGTTTTGAAATGTCCGGAAGTGAGACAATATCTTGAAAATTGTTTAATCTCATTGACATGAAGCTGCCTCTTATTACCTGGTAATGGAGATGCTTCTAACGCGTCCACTTTCACCGTTTGGAAAATACGCGCTTGCGATAAAGCCATGGATAAATTGTCCCATTCTAAATGCATAATTTTGAGATGAAGATAAGCTTAACGAAAATCATTTACCTTTGGCGGCTTTTTCTTTGTCAATTGACTCGCTAGGCAAGCGTCTTTTTTGAATTTCAAAAAGTAGATTCGAAGTGTGCTGATCAACATCAAGCAATGGGCAATGAGCTAAATCGATGCGCATATTTTGTTGAAAATTTCAAAAAAAAAAAACCTTTTAGTCCATATCTGCTCTGAGTAGAAGGCAACGGAGTTACCGTAATATAATGATCTTGTTGAAACATGGAATCTACAAAATTGGTATACGGATTGAAGTTTAATGGAACATCACTTACTCATTTTCTTTTGAATCCTTGGTACGACAGTGCCACGGCGCGCGCTTTTGTTGCTGGGCATCGCTAAAAAGTGACAAATGTTGATTGAACAATGAAATAGGAGGGGGCGGGATGTGTTAAGCACGCGTGCACACGATGGTGGTATATCTCGAAAAGGCTGAGGGGGAGGAGACGCGAGCGTCCGAGAAGTTTCGAACAATTGGCCGTCAGTGGCGAGGCGATGCCAGGCACAATTGACAATTTCACGTTTTCAACAATAAAATTGACGCGATGAGATATATGAAAAAGTTGGTGAATGGGAGCGTTGCCAAATTCGTGAGCCTCGTCGCAAGGAAGGCGGTGCCAACTGCCACCGTTTCTTTCCTCCCTACATAAGTAAACATCGATGGAGGCACCGAAATATGGTGAATCATTTCTCGACCATCGGCCCATCGAAACACCGGGGAAATAGTGTCGTTTCAAGAAGAGTGAGCAGAGAATCGCTTCATCGATCATCAGCGAGCCATAATCTCCAATTAAGTTATGATGCAGGCATTTGAGGGGCTTTCAATCGTGATAAATTTAATTTTCATGCTTTACAAAGTGCAAACTCATTTTGGCGTGGGGTTATATTAATTTATTCGAGATATTATAATAACAAAATTGTTAGTTCAAATTATCATTCTCCAATTCATGCATATCTCGGTTAGCGGTGTCATTCTCAACTAGGCGACCAACGGGAACCATGCCGCCATCATTTTGTGTCGGTTGCGGAATTTCGTTGCGAAACGCGATGCATTTCCGGCGGCTTTCAAACTCCATAATCGCCAAATGTCTCTTGATATTACTCAAATAGGTCAACTGCTGAGCCAAATTGTTGGTTGGATACGCATAAGAGTCAACAATTTTGAGGACGATTCGCTCGAGAACTCGCATGTTTTTGGTGGTGACGTCGCGCGAAATATTCGCAACCGGCAAAATTTTCAGCATATCGATAGTGCCTGAAAATGCTCGAAATGCGCTATCAGAAAATGCCATTTACCTTTGATCGAGCTGTGAAAATCATCGATGTCGATGGTGTTTTCCGGTGTGCGCTTCTCTGAAATACGGAATTTCAGCAAAAAAAAATGGTTGATAATAGGTTCATACCCCTGCCAAGATACTCATCGACGACGCATTGAAGTGTATGGAAGCCAAATTGGTGGGCTTTCACAAGATCATATTTTGATTGCGCGTTGAGAATCACAAAATCCACATCATTATAGAAATCTTCGACGCGCTCAAGCACGCTGAGCAGTTCGCGCCTCAAATTTGCGCCGAGCGGGAATTCTTCGGCGTTCGGCGATCGCAGCACATTCGACACAGTTTCCAATGAGCTGAGAAGCTGATTGTAAGAAACAAGCGTATGACGATTTTCGAAATATTCGGCATGGATGCCGTATCTCGAATTCGAATCGTCTTCCTCGTGCATCGCTTCCAATTGGCACGCCTTATACCATTAATCTATTGGAAACATACCATGGAAAAACACGGAATAGCAATGAACAATGTGCTCGTGGTAGCGAAAAATAGGCGGAGACCCAGAGCGGCAGACAGTTGTCGCTGCGGCGTTAGCTTGTGGCAAAGAGCTTCAACACCCAGCGAGCATACTGTAGGTCATGTGTGGCAATAGCAAGTGTTGCTCAAGCGACTCGCCAAAATCAATCTCCAATTTTTGAGCCCTCTCCTTTTCTGTCACCATCCTTGGAGCTTTTTTTTAAAATTGTCCGCAGATGCAAAAATACCAATTCAAAGACGGATTTGAATCAATTGAAGGGTGGTTTGAAAAGACATCAATGGCTATCAAACTTGAATTGTTCAAAAATCCCCAAAAATGCCAAAAGCGTGTCAAAAGATGCCGACAAACGCAAGTTCTCCTACGGCAGGTTGTTTATACAATTTTAGTGAATAGGCGCATTCCTTTTGAGCTGCCGATAAGCATGCGCAAGGCGGCGATATCAAAGATTCTCGATATGGCGCAACAATGAAATAATTTTCGAGATTTTCCAAGCGAGATTGAAACCTCTGACACACGATTTAAAAGGAGTTTGGCAATAGGCAAACCTTTTATTGTGAGACAAAATTTAGTTAGAAATCTCATTGTTCTTGACACCAATTTGTTTCTTGAGAGTTTCGATGAGACTTCGTTTCTCGAATAGCCAACGCTTAAGTGCGATAATATTGTACTGCGAGTACTCTCTTTGCTCCTTCGCTTGTGACAATAACCGTCTCAAAATATTCATAAAGATTGCCTTCAAACTTGTCGAATATTTTCGCGCAATCGCTCTTTTAATTTCATCAGTGGAACCTAAAAATTCAGATTTTAATGAATTATTTCTTTTCTTACGTTCAATATCGTCGTAACATAAAAATGATTCATCATCACCACGCGCCAAGCCCAGGTTGTCATTACCTTAAATCAATAATTATTATTTGAAAGGTTCGCATGATTTTGAGTTATACTGGTGGCGTCTTTGTAGAGCCTCAGAACTCGACCAATCAGGTGTCGACTTTTTGCGGCGGCAACGGCGATTTCCACGTTTAATCGCAAGGGGACCTTATAATTTGCTAAATTGTAATAAAAACTTTCGATAGCTTCAATGGCAATAAGCAAGATCCTCGCTGAAGTCATCTGATGGAGATGCCGAACGTCATCAAAATTTGTTTCAATGGAATTTAAGACAAATAGAACGGCATCATAATCGAGAGTGTTCAATTGTCGATCGGAATCGCGTCGAACAAATGCGACGTTGTGTGGAACTGCAGCGCTAGCGAGCTCGCCAAGATTCCTTATTTCCGGCGTGCTCTTCATTCAACGAATTGCCTAGAAGAAAAAAAAAAGCTCAAGTGGTAAATGTATACGTGCAAAAAAAAAACGCGACACGTTGGTTATCAAAATCTAGTGGCAGCAATGAGCATGACACATTATTGAATCATCAGAGAAGACAGTACTCATTTCGGAGAGACAATACTACTAGCAGGAAGTAGAACACAGTTTTTCCGCGTGTGGGTGGTTGTTATATTTTTTGGCACGGCGATCAATTCGCAAGCGCCGACGGGGACCGCTGTCTGGTGAGCTGTAAATCGAAATACCGAAGAATGATGAGAGCCGAGCAGAGAAGCAGAATCGAGAGGGTGCGATTTTCGATGACTAATATCTTCCGTGTTTTTCACATTTTCTCCAAATGTTTCTAATTTTAGATTTCATTTGACACTGGCAAAATATGTATTCGTTTTATGATATAAATTAAAAGGAACATCAATTAGACTTGTTGAGCTCCCAATCCGCAATTCGTTCTTTTCAGCTTCCAGGCGACCATCGCCTGCAAATTTCGGACGATCCACTTGATAACTTTGATCAACTCGTCTTCATTGAGAGTGGTAAATTGCAATTCGCCGAACGTCACACGATCCACAATGCCGACGAGTCTCTCTGCTTCGGCGCCTGTGAAGCGCGTGTTGATTTGAATTTTGAGAACGCGTGCAATCACTAAATAAATTAGATGAAAAAAAAAGAGTTCCAAAAGAAAAATGCGGGATACCTGAGATGGTGTTCTTCAATGCGTCACAATTCAGCTGCTTCAACTGGGTCTTTGTAAGCTTCGAAAAAAGTGCAGGATCGTATCGGTAAAAGAACATCCAAAATGGGATCCCCTTAATATAAATCGTAGAGATGTCATCTGGCATTAATGTCGATGTGTGATGTGTCCGAGACATTGGCGCTAGCAATGGAGCAGGCTGTATCGCTGGCCCTTCGACAATTGTGCTACTGCCAGCAATGGTCATGTTCGGAAATCCAGGATTTCCGCTGGCCATGTTCATTGATTGTCGGCTTTCTTGTTCAATTATCTGAAAATCAAAATTGCAGTGAAACCTTGTGATTTGTGGAAATGGCGCCACTCGGCGACTCAGGCGAACCAATTCCCCATCGGTGTTATGTTTGGGCGGGGCATTTTCACTCTAGCAGTTGCAAGCTGATGAAACGCAGGCTGGCAGGGCGGCAGAGCATGGTAAACAACTTTGGAGGCGCCGGTAGAGAAGAAAAACAAATTGCCGTTGAAGCTCACCATACCCGACAACATGGTATTCGATGAGAATTGTTCGGCATGGTTTGAAGTTTGATTCCACGCGGCGAGCTCTTCAAATGCTTCAACAACCATTTGAAGCACACCGTAAAACATGTGGTCGGAAGACAAAGCGATATCCAAGTTTACAACATTGCGCCAGATATTTTAATTATAAACAATAGTTGATTAACAATAGCAACAGCTGAAGAATATATGTATGTGTTAGGGGGTTTAGAAATGTATTGACAGGAATCAACAAATTGAGTTTAAGTTTTATTCATTAAAAAAAAATACAGAAAAATACGCATTCATAAAAACATTTTTGCTGAATTTATTATCTGTAGCTAAAATTATATTTTGACGGCTTGAGTGATGGCGGCCATGTTAATAAGCGGATAATAAATCTGGAAAAAAGGATTGTGTAATTTAAATATTTTTACAGTTTCACTTTCGTCTAGTTCAATCATGTCACTCTTGAGGGGGGGGGGTCGAAAAATCATAATGCTTTTAGACTCAACGCCCCCGCATTTTTCATTTTATTATGGTTCACACTTTTCACTGTCAATGTTTCCATATTAAATCGCGATGCAACCGCTTTGCCTTAACGTCTTTCATTGATACTACTAGCGTGAAGAGTTGATGAGTTCGATGTCTGGTGGGTTAAACAGTTGGTTTGTGTTAAATGATCACGTTGGAGGGCGGATTATCTGATACCGAAATTTTGTGAAATCATCTTGATCAACCAGCACAAAGAGATGTTGAATGATTTATGGCAGGAACTGGGTTGAAAAAAATTGAGTCGATTTATTCAGAGAACAATTCGAAGTTTGGGAAAAACTTGAATGCGGATCATGATATTTGTCAGAAGAACAAAAAGGAGAATTTCAAATTTTGTTTCAATTAGCTCCGATTTGGTTATCCTCTCTGGTTCTCATCTTGTTTGATTTCCTGTACGGGTAGTTGCAAGTCGACTGGCTCTTCTTGCTCATTATCCGGCTCTTCCTCTACAATGAGTTGGATTAGTAAAAAAAAATGAATGTTCATCAATACCCCTGATGTCATTATGAGAAACATTTTGTCCGCGATTGGAATACAAGCCAATAAACTCAAATGGTGACATATTCAAATTGCTCGCTGAAAACCCATCAAGATTCGATTATAAAAATATGCCCTAACCTTGATATCCATTTTCATCGGGTGGTTGCCACATGCCGCCCGTTGGGTCCACTCCATTCACAGCGCCGATATTTCCAATCTCAACTGAATGATTGCGATTAAACTCAATAACCTAATGATGAATTATACCCCAACGCCAAGGATTGAAATCGGTCTGTATTCCCATGCATTCCGACTCGATAAATCGATTGACTTCTGCCATGTAATCCAGTCGCTTGACCATTATATCGGGAAGTTCGAGTGTTGGATCATCAATTTGCTCAGCTTAAGAACGAATTTTGAACAAGAATATAGCAATAATCTTACCATCTGCATTTCGAGGCTCTTGTCCACCGAAATTATGTTGCTGCTCAGCCATGTCAACTACCAATCGCCGGCAAAACTAAACAAAATGACGATGAGACGATCAAACGGCAGATTAAATACGATCACTTATCAATTCTCAAGTCGTCGAAGGACACACAGAAAAAAAAATTAAAACGAATGTGCGAACGAGTTGACACAAGGTGAACGAGTCGCAAATAGTTGTCTGATCGAAAATTTGAATTTATTGCGAGAACGCTGAACCTAATTTGTCAAGGCAATCTTCAAGGTAATCGAAAATTCTGAACATGCTAACATTTGCACTTCTATTATGGAGAGAGAGAGGGGAGGGGATGGGCGGGCGCGGTTCACTATATGAATTTACCAAGTGGATAGGAATTTCGGCGGAATTGAATGAAATATCGCACTTGTGGGCGCAAAATCGGCCACCGTCCGACAGCGATATCTCATCTTCATCGAAAAAAAAGAACTGACTGCAAAGTTATGCGAGTTGAAGTAAGACGTAACATCAATATTCCCAATACCATAATTCATTCAAGCAGTATAAAGCATTAATCAAACAATAGTCATTTACTCTTCCTTTTTGTCGCGAAGCCAATTCAAGTGCAAACGAGGATCGTAAGCTGGCGGAACACGAGCAAGAGCTTGTTCCAAATCCACCTCCCGCAAAACAGAACGAAGATTATTGATGGCGTCCAGCACAATAGTACGCCTCTGCGACAAGTAATGGCCTTCCAATTCGGCCAAAATTTTCGCTGGAAATTATTAATTCTAATTGGAAAGAGTTGAATGAATCGAAAACTTACCCAACTCGATGTAAATGTTAGAGAAAATATGTCGGGATCGAGAAATGAAGATTTCCGGACTTTCATGTCGGTCTTTTTTTGCGGGTGTGGCTCCGTCATCGAGTTCATCATTGCGTCTTTTGTTCGGTCTTTCGATTTCAGGATCGCTGATAGTTAATCTCGCAACGCGTTGAACCGAAACAGGCATTTTGCAGAAATTTTCAGCGACTTCGGGTTGCTCCTCTCCCATTCGTTTGGCGAAGTGAGAGATAAACTTCATGATTTGTTTGTTGGTTTCACGAGGTATCATTGCCTTGAGTAAGATTTGAAGAGCTTGCGCTTCCTTTGGCTCAGATGGCGCGATTTCGTTGTCGATTTTTTTCTTTAAAATACGTATGCGATCCGTTAAAATTTCCAAGCTCTTTTTATCCTCCGGAAGACCATCCACGGTATCATCTAAATTTATCGGTTTCTCGATTCGAACGAAATGTTTTAATCATACCGTCACCATCAGAATTATCCGGTGTATCGTTAAACAACCCGTGGAACATCTTATTTGCATATTCTTCAGAATTTTGAACATCTCTCTCGTAAGCGGTGTAAGTATACTTTGGAGAATGTTTGACAGGCTGCGACAAGCATTCAGGAGTCATGTTCATTTCTGAAAATTAAAGTGAGATGGAATTAAAACGAAAACGATAAGTTGATGTCAGTATAATATAGAGTAATAAAAGAATCAATTCGCAATTCCAAGGTTATCAAAAAACATAAATACAGGTCCCTTTTCAAACTACATATTCATATATGATTAATCCCAATAGCGCGATGAAATTTAGAATAAAGAGACCAACCACGTACGTGCATTGCGTTGCGTTTCGTCGCTTGCAGGTGCGCGATTCGTATTTTTCAAAACTTTTGTTTAAAACTGCATTGTGTTTAGACAATGAAACGCATTGAATAGGGCTAATTAAGGATATCGTTTGAAGTTTGCTCTGGCATTCGAGACAAGCGCATGGTAAAATTCGGCCAGCAAGAAAGTTATGATGATGGATAAAAGAAAGGCATGTTCAAATTGCCTTCGTCAATTTTAGCACTCGAAAAAAGAATAAATGAAACATTTGACAATGCATATACAGTATAAACAAAAAATTGCGGCTGCTTGCGGCGACGTCTTCTCACGCAAATGAGCCGAATTTGCAAAAACAAAGTACGCTTATTATTTTTGTGGACATGCATGGAATAGAAGAAAACAGTCGAGACAATTGAGTTAGAGATAGTGCAACCTGTGCCGCAGAGGCTTGTTATTGAAGAGACATGTGGGCGATGGAAAAATTTTTGTCTCCGACTCGCGCGCGCGCGTGAGTGACCGCACAAAAATTTTGACAATGCCGTGTCAACAACATTTGTTTATAGGCAGAAAGGCGGTGCCATCATATTGCTAAGTTGGCAGACTTGCTACCGCAATATCACAGAGACCGGGGGGAGGGGGCAAAAAATCGCGGTGTCCTCGGAACGTGAGTGAAACAGAGGAAGTGATCAATAAAACAGCACACAAAATAATCGACAGTGAAGCATTTATTTAAATGATTTCCCATAATGGCGATAATAAAAAGGGGGAGGGGAAGGCGGCGGAGGGGAGTCTCGCGAATAAGTGCAATTTTGTTTTGCTAGCCGAACGTATGAAGTGAATAACAAATGTTTTGTCAATGTGCCATTATATCCATTGTTGATATTAACACAGCCGAGGCCAACGAGTTTGATGTTGCGGTTTCCATGTGAACACCCCTTGCCGGTAAGTCGGCGATAAATTTTCGATAGCTCCTCTCTTTCCATTTGAAGACAATAAAGATTGTTGTAGTCGAACAATAGGCCAATATATTTACGATATTTAATTTTTCTTTGTTTATATGTAATTGGTTAAAACGTTTTAGTTGCCGCAGGATTATCGCGATTAACTTATTACGCCCGCCAACAAGAAGATTGTTGTCTTCTACAGTACCCCCCCCCCCTACTCCGGCCAACCACCTATCTCAAACAGATGAGTGGTTATACGGTAGCTGTCGGTAAAGACAAATGTCTCTATTTCGGCATAGTCACCGCGCGTAGGCCTTGAATTGTAGCAAATCGCCAAAATCGTGGAAAATATTGATCTGACTCACACGAACACCATCCTCTCTCTTCCCTCCCATTCATCGTTTACTACCGTCGTCTTTTATTTTTTTTTTGCTTTTTTCAATTATATTTCTCTCCTATGCTTCAATGTCTCCATTGCACTTGCACTATTTTTCGGCGCTGATGATTAGAAATGGGCGGGCCGCTTCAGCGCCCCTCTCCGCTCGAAAAGCAAAGCTAGCTATGACTGACACATCTTCACATACGCTTACTTACAATTAGTCTTTTCATTCATTTCATCATGCTTTTCATTTACACCAGAACGCTTTCTCGCATCTTCTTTTATCGTCATTTTATGAAATTTTGCTACTAGTCATATATTTTTTTTTCTCAAGTTTTTTATTCTCTATTGTAGGAAACTCGAACAATGCCTGACAACTTGTCATGTCCTATTCCAATGACTACGGTCTACACGCCACCAGATGATGCTCAATATTTGGAGCTCACTCCGCCTATTGCTCCTGAAGGTATATCGGCCGGTGTGATTAATCCGACTTGTTCATCGGCGTCATTGTCTTCTTCTTCGGGGGTTCCTCAATTCATGGGACCCGTTCCTCCATTCGGATTTACATCATGCCCGCCACCTACTGGATCTATTCAAGCTGATTGGTCCACGAGCGCCGCGATATCAATGGATCCTCCGTCAACCTTCTCTCCATCTCCGACAACAGCCATCACATCCAACACTAGACTATTGGATCTGTCACTGGCAACAGCGTCGAACGACACTTATTCCTTGCCAGTTGCTGCTCAACAGAAGACCATTCCACCAGGGGATGCTAAATCCAATGGAGTCCTAACGCTTCAAGAAATATTGGCAGTATACAACGAAATAATTAAGAAAGGGAATGCCACTCAGCATCATATTGGAACTGGTGAGTTATGCCTACGATTCTCAAACCACAGTTTTATTTCTTTTTTCGTTTCAGTCATTACGAATAGCATGGACCTCTTAAAAATTCTAAACCCCCACACAGAAATTATGGAAAGTAATAGGCGTTTTGGGTATTTCGATTCCAATTTTTATTATTTGAAGCATGCCTCCGTCTCACTAGCATTGCAATGCGCTATGAAGCATTCATCAGCGGGAAGGATGTTCCGATAGTCACAATGAGAAGTTTATGGATCAATTTCGAGCGAGATTTAGCTTTTAAAAAAGAGGATATGTATTTTTTGACCCTAGGTAAGATTTCGTGTAACTTCGTGATTATTGCTCTTCACGTAGACCTAAAAACAATTATAACGCGGAAGGATCTGTGGCAGCTTGCTGACAACTTCTATGAAAAAAGTAAGCTTTTTGGTTTGATCGTTATCATAATAATAAGTGCATATTTAGTTATCGAAAGCGGCTATGAAATTTTGCATACATTTGCCGAGAATCCTCTGAAGTTGTATAGTACGTAAATTGAATCGAAAAGCTTAATATTAATAATGATTTTTTTACAGCATTTGAGGAGCTCCTTCATTTTGCGGAGAATCATCTTAGAGATAGACGCTACCAGCATTTGGAATATCTCGCAAAAATGCATCGCAATGGCCGCCGAATTGTACGCGATATGAACAAATTGTATGAGGAGATACCAAGAGAGCAAAAGAATGATCTCGAAGGCCAATTACTTTGCGATCGACTGAATCAGCAGCGTCAAAAGCAACTCAAGATTATCGACGAAATTCGGGTTGTTCATGAGAAAATCACGCATACCGTCGAAGTCAATTATCCAAAGCAATGGAAGAAAATATCGGAGATCAGAGAAAGATGTAGAAGGCCCGAGTGCAAAGGCCGAAAGTGCTATCCATATGAACGCCTTAAAGATTCGGAAGAGGAGCGTGCTCGATTGGAAACGATAATTAAAGAAATCGGTATCGATATACAAATGAAGGCGCAACTGGCACATGGCGCGCCGCGCTATCGAGAAATCTTGCAAGCTCACGCCGAAAGTCCAATTGACACGAAGAATTCGATTCTGTCTTCGCTGATCAATGAACCCGATGAAGGAAAATGTGATAAGAGATTATCAGAAGCACCGCAATATGGCATGCTCGTTCACTCGTCTCCCCAATCTTCGATTCAGACGTTTCCAATTACTGAAGAGGCGAAATCTCTTGGATCGTCGACGTCGACAACAATTTTTTCGCCAACGTCGGCGTTTACGCATATTCAACCAAAGTTTACCACAGCGGTGAATTATGATTCCTCCTCTTCGACCGGCATGCCTTCTTTCCCGTTCGATTCAACCGGCTTCATGAATCATCCGGTTTGTCATTTGTTTTTCCTTTGAGCTGTTTTAACATAATTGAATTTTAGAATCATTCATTCAATTCGAATGAGGAAATTGTTAAAATGGTGCAACATCAAATCGCTGAGCAGAAATCATATTACGACAGTCTTAAGTATCAACAGCAGCCGATGCAAGCGAGGAGGGCGATCGAGGAAATGACAAGAGGGCAGGCGCCACAGATCAACATGGTTCAGAACATGTCGACAATGCATGGAAACAATCCTCAGCCATTGATGCAATCGGCCCCAGTTTTAAGACCGACGGCGAGATACCCTTGCGTTCCCCCAAGTCAACAGCAATTTGTGCATGATGCGCCGGTGCGTCCGATGCAAGCAATGGAGCAGCAGCGAGCTCAAGAAATGCCTAACATGGACTCAATTCACCCGGCAAGTCAGATGATGCCATTGACTCCGCTGTATCCGATGCATTTCATGCCGCCAACGGAAGACCAACATTCCATGAGAGAGCTCCAGCAACATTTTGCGGCACAAGCTCAGTACCAAGATAGAATGGACCATGCCCGTCAGCAGTTTTTAATGCCGCAGTTTCATTTCCGCCATCCACTGAATTCGATGCTGCGTGTTCGACAGCAGTTCCAAATGCCGAATATGCGTCGAGCTCAGCCGAGACCGCCAAATCGTAGACAGTAGGAAATGCCAAGCTAAGACCCCCCCCAATAAGTTTAATATAATATTGTAATCAAACCTATTTATTCAATAAAATATTGTACGTCTTGCGTGCGGAGGTGTTATCTACAAGAACAAAAATATTGCTATTCCATTAAACACATTAAATAAAATAAAGTGTCTCTCGTAAAAATAGGAAAGCGCAGGTCAAACTAATTCGCACATGCACATTCGCGTTCCCATTTTTTTCCCGTTTTCTGCGCCCTGTAATGCGCCGATTCGGTGTGCACGCAAACCATTGATCGTTGTCGGATTCAGACATCTAATATATGAATATTCCCATCTCGACACAAAATTCGCTGGGAATGCTAGCGGGCGTTTTACCAGCCGCCCTCATGTTTTTGGATTGCGTGTTTTTGCATCCGCTTGCTTGTAGCCATGCATCTATTTTTTTTTCATTCGTCGAACAATACCCTCCCAATTTTCATGCAACGCTCCTTCAACTTGTATTAATATGATGAAAAATCGATGACACGTGTCTCTCGAAAGGGTTTTCAAATCATTTTCGAAATTCGCAAACAAAAGAAATCATTGTTATATAGGGATGTCTTATTTCATTATATTGTGTTCCAAATTTTTTCATCCATTTTCCAAAAATAACATTCTATTTTAGATGGACTCTTTCAATCAAGGCGACGATAACCTAGGTAGGCTAGTGAAATTTAATTTTTTGAATGTTGTATTCAAAAATTTAGACACTGACAATGACGATTCGAGACGAGATGACATCGTCGAATATGCCAGCCGACGAAATCGCCGAGCAATGCGTTGGGTGGCTATTTTGGATCCCAGCTATGTTCCATCAGGTATTTCATTCTTACTACTCTGTCTGAAATTTAAGCAGACTGTTTTTGATATTCAGATGACGATTCTCTGAGTTCAACGCCGATCTCCTCCCCACAACATCAATTAGAAGATGTTCAAGGTTCATTTTGTTGTCCTTATAAATGCATGCAATAGTAGGTGGGGAGGGGGGGCACCAAATTTGAAATTTCGCTAACAATTCGGTTTCCTATTAAGCTGTTCTTTTTCGTTGATAAAAAATTTTTGACATTTTCATTTACCAAAAAAAAAACAAATATATATATCGCATCGATTGTCTTCCGAAATGACAATTCTCGTAATCTATTGCCGCATTTTTTTTTTGAATCGCCAACAATCTTTCAACATATTATCTAGAGGTCTTTTACTTTATTGAAAACACGGGTTACGCATATTGTTGTCTGCAGGTTATTCAAATTTTATGTGAGAATTGCGTCGTTTTCTGATCGACATGGCGTAATACGTTACTCGACCTGTCAAATACATATACGCTTATTGGCGTTCCCAATTTTTTTTGCACTAACACAACTTACCTCATGACTTAATATTATGATTTCAGAGCCAACAACACAAGAGGATGATCAGAGAAGGTCATTGGCGGAGTTCTTCAGTAGTTTCGATCGCCCACTGCCAATATCTACGCCACCATTGCTTTCACTTTCAATGGGGCCATCACCGACTCCAGTGCGATCTAGAGTTCATTCTCCGTCTCCACCATTCTTACCAGCTGAAACTCCTATTCATTCCCGAGATTCTTCTCCTTCTCCGGACATCAAGCAAGTTCGGTATTCTGTCGAATCCAGAGTTCCGACCCCATCTCCGCAAATCGTACAAGCTCAGACTGCTTTGGAATCCAGAGATTCTTCCTCTTTTTCACAAGTCGAACAAGTTCAGGTTCCTCTGGAATTTAGCGAGAGCCCTTCTCCACAAAACGTCAAAGCTCCGGATCCGATAGAATCCAGAGATCATTTTCGTTCCTCACAACTCGAGCCAGACGGCGTTCAGGAAACTCGCGCAATCACCGATAATTATCCACGACTTCTCATCGAACTCAAAAACACCGAAATTGTAATCAGATTGGTGACCACGGGCGAGAGAAAGCGCAAGAGCGACAAGGAATTATTCGCCGATTACAAGATAAGCGGATGGAAACTGAAAGAAGAGCCGAATACGCAACCCGGCTGGTGCTGGGAATGCTTCTATTGGCAAGGTGTTCACTGAATTCACTTACCACTTTTAATTCATTTACTCTTGAATTTCTTACTCTTCATTTTTTCAGCGTTCGGCCCGAAACTCTATGCTCGCTCATACCCTCTATACCCGCCTTTTCCAATCGCCGAGGAAGACGCAGAGGAAGACAACGAAGAAGCCGAGCAGGAGGATGATTGTGACCAGAACGACTGCCAAGACGATTCTCAATAAATTTAGGCTACAATTTTTCAATGCTTCACGCTTGCCTTTCGGCGTCTTTTGTTTCGCTTTAATTCAATTCCATCTACACGCATTTCCTCCTTATTTATTACTTTATCGACAAAAAAATCTAACGAATTCAAAATTAACTCATCCTTTGTTCCTTTATCCACTCCGATTTTGACCTTTTAAGGGACCACTCATGCGCAACATCGCTCACGAAGCTTTAACACTTTTCTAACCTTTAATATAACTTTTAATTAACCAGTTTAATAAATTGGAAAAATTTTAAAATCCACTTTTTTCAATTTTTTTTGGTTACCTTTAATGATGACAAAACTAATAAAATCCCAAAACAAGACTTCAGATAATGCCTCATCTGGCTGATTCTTGGCGACTGAAAGACACACCTAAAGTAAAATTGAAACTTCCAAGACTTTCAAGTTCAAACCCCCAAATTTGAAACAAATAAGCCAAAATGAGAGATCTAGAATTGTGTATCCACAAGGTGTTTCGAGCATTGTACTTCAAACAATGCGACCGACAGAGATTCCAGATGGATGCCACATGCTGGTATTGAATTTGTTGATAATTCAAAAGAACAGATGCTCTTCTATGCGCGGGATACAAGATATCATTTCACAAAGTTAGGTCAACTTGTTCTAAACAAATTCGATTAGCGTGACCTCTTATCGGATAGTACGACTGCTCCAGAATGTTTATGTTATAGTACATAGATTGATTTACATTTATTACATTAAGAATGAGAACCTCAAATTACAATACCGTAGTTCGTTTTTGGAAATAGAATTATTTTTTTCCATTATGCATTGTTTACGCTCATTTTCGAAAGATTCACAGGCGTAATATAAAGTTTTCGCTAATTTGTTGAATTGTCGGCGATGTCGCCTCTATACACCATTTTCACACGCACGTAGATCGTCAATTGGCAGAATCAACCATTAAATTGACAGTTTTCAAAGTTCCTCTGATTACGTTTCAATAATCATCACTAAATCAGACAGAAATGAGATTTGTTCGATATTCTTACTTTTTTATTCCTTCTCATTTCCAATTTTTCAAATTTTTTTCAATCGTTTTCATTGTCTTATTGTGAATATTATCTGACGTCAGTGTTCGGTGATCCTCGCGCATATTGAATCTTCCAACAACAAAGCGTTTGTCGTCTAAAAGGCGTATCAGAAGGCATTTTCCGACGAACGTCGCGCCCAAACCACGTCATAAATTGACGCCACGCATGCATCGTGAGGCTCAAACACACGTCGCGCGCCCTGTGGAAGAAATCGCGGACGATTTTGACGCGTCGCGCTCAATTCGCAGCCCGCCAATGCCCTTTTAAAGTGCACCATTGCTCACGATCACCACGGCGCTCATCGCGCCTCACACCATCGAATTGCGTCATTTTACTGTGTGGCGGCCGGAATACGCTCATTGTGCCGAGCGCACTGATTGCTTCTAGACCTCACCCAACCATTATCATCTCATTGTCTCATATGCTATTTCGTGCGCCTTATTGATCAAGCATGATGTACATGTGGGAGAGGAGGTTCAACACCGACGCTGGCGCTCGAATGGCGAGCGTGCCGGCTGATTTGTCCGCTTACCATAATGTCAGCGCTCTTCAACTCGCCTTATATTTCATTGGCGAACTATTGCAGGACGGGAGTGCGCATGGGCCTCATCTCGGAATCATCGCGGCATATTCCCTCTGCATCTATCACCCCTGGCGGCACATCGGCGACTCAACCTACCGCCGGAATCTGCGTCTCGTGTGTGCGCCCCACCCTCCCACCCTCATGTCACACGCGACGCTCCACCCCTTTTGGCGATCAACACCTGCCAGCTTTTTTCCGGCCCTCCTCACTATTTCTCATCGTCTCGGCACAAAGCGACGTGTGTCCACCGTAGGACGCGGTTTGACTCGAGCGACTCCTCCTGAGAGTGTGTGCCGACAGTATCCCAACGTCGCCAGCGTGAGTTGTGTGATTTTAATTAAATGACTAATCATATTTTTTCTAGAGGTCCTTCTCTGCAAACAACATCACGAGATGATAAACGCGCCCAATCGGGGGATCGGCAAAAATGTTGGAATGGTTCAAAACGAAGGTACGCGAGACTTCCCTTTTTGGCAATCTCTAATATTCATCGAACGTTCCAACCGCAAAACGTGTAGATAACATATTTGGAGGGTGGCTGCAAATAGGTAATCTGGACGCAAGTCATTATTACCGGATTAAAGGCAGCCCACTCGCGTGCATGCTGAGCGAGACAAAATAATATGCTTATTCCCTTAGCAACGAAATCTTCAAATAATGTTTGCTACAAACCGCCAGAATCTTTGACTATAAAATATCGGCTGCTCATTTCTATTAACAGTCTACCCCGAAGATATTCGAATTGAACTCGTTGCTCAATTAGTCCTTCAAATGAGTAAGTGCATGCGATGCGAAAAATGTCAGAATCGAATTTTGGGTGAATCACTCGCATTACCCATAATCAAAATTACAAAGGGTGAAAAAAACAAAATTCGTTCTCGAAACTCGCTAATTATTGCTTATTCGTGCATAACAGCGCAAATTTCGATAACAAATTTTTTTTTGATCGAATGAATCATAACTCTCTTTTTTGTTTACGACGCTCATTCAAACATTCATAGTTCTCCTACAAATCTCGGCGGTTGTCTCAGCGCTATTCTCTTTCGTTTTCGAGCTTAACATTCGAAAATGCGAGCGTGTTGTGAGCCACCGGCGGTTGCTAGGCACTTATCCGAAGGGGTTAATTTCGTACGTTTCAAGCAATGTTGTTTCTCGTGTGATTTCGAGAGAGAGAGAGAGAGAGAGAGAGAGAGAGAATGAAATGACACGCATTAAGCCGGATAAATTCGGCGCGAGGTGATGGCGAAAAATGAGGCGCTTAATTGGATGAGTGGACCTCAGCTCGCGGAGTCTTGATTCAAGATGGCGGGTTTAAAACATATTTGGTTGAGGAGGAGAAAAAAATAGTAATAATTGAATCCACGATTTTTCTCACACACTAGCTAACGTGTATTATCAAGGATGGGTCACAGTGAGACGGTCACACTTCAATATGGTGATCTGGCGGTAATCGGACATATAGTGTCTCGCTGAAATTGCGTCACAATAATGTTGCGCGGTTAAACGTGATTTCTGACAATTGTGTGAAGCAAGACAATCCACATAGTTCGTGAAAATTATTTTCGCAAATTTGCCAAAATTTTCCGCCTTTAGAGAAGATTTGTGAAATTTCGCTATAAAATTTATTATAAAAAATGGTAATTTTAAAACTAAACGCCATCGTTGAATTTCCAAATTTAGAAAAACGAAATAAAGCAGAGACACTACAAATCGAAGTTTGTGTGTTGTTGAGCTGCCTCTCAAAAATTTCAAACTTTTATCGTAATTCGTTTAAACACACATTCTTCAACCAGAAAACAGGATTTTAAGGCTTCTTTATACCGTAAACAAAATATTCCTAAAATAATACAGTATCCAAGGAATAAACTTATAACGGGTATTGTCGAAATCGCGCAATTGTTACAAATTGGCATAATGCCAGAAATGGTCTTGTGACGACGAGACGCACAATGTGTACTCCATACGGATAATGCACATATTGACAACGTGATAAAAATATCTCCTCGCGTAAATCGACAATCATGTTGCAAGACCCAACATTCTACAGTAGACCTCGCAATTAGATTTTTTTTACGGGTAGATTTACGCGCGTGCGCCTTGAAAAGGTCTCGCCACGTGTGAACGCTTATTTTGCTGTTTTCGCGTAAACGGTTAATTTTTTCTTGATGACTTTCTCATTTCCTTGAATTTCTGGCGTCGTTCGATTTAGGAATTATCGAACGGACCCAAAAAAGGGTAATAACCAGTAATTTCGTACGAGACCAAGAGAAAAAAGCATCCCCGTAAATCTACCCGCGTACATCAGTCGCCGGACGCCGACCATAACTATTTTGTTTTTCTCGCCGATGAGGATGATTTGAGAGTATGGCGATTTTATTTTCTGGCTGAAATACGTTTAAGAAAAATTCGAAAACAATTCGAATGTGTCACGGTATCCCATCACACACTCACCAAAACTGTTTTCAGATATTTTACCGAAAAGAATGCACGCGAGGGCTGACAAAAAAAAATAAAGGCGAAACATTGAAGATGATGATAACGTCGCCTCTCGCGAAGACAATTGGGAACTTGCGCATCGGCCAGTCGAGAATGATCATGTTTTAATTGAAATACGACATTTCAACGACACTCTTACAATCAAATTGAATACTCGGTTTCCACCTAAAATTAATGAAGACACCACGCTCGGAGATTTATGGCTGAAAAAGCCAACACTCGATGGTTTGAAGAAACAATTGTGGTTGATAGCGAAACGTTCGTTATCAAGATTCCACAAAGTTGAACTTCTTCTCGTATTTTTGTTTGTTCTCTGGTTTATCATTTTCTCAATTTTATTAAATTAAATTCTCCCATCAATTTTTTTTTGATATTAAGTCGGTGTATCTTCAATTTTCCGTGTCTATTTCAAACCCATTTGTCATTTTCCCATCTCGTCTCGCTGTTTTTTTTTTCTTATCATTCATCATCGATTCTCTCTTATGACCAATTTTACATCAATCGTTCCATTTTGTTGGCAATTTCTTTGAAACCGTTCATTTCAGCATGAAATGAATCCAGCGCAACAGGAAAACGAGCAGGTTGATGATCTCCAGCAACGTAAAATGATGTATTTGTTGTCGAGATTGTTTGTTGATTTCAGTTGTTCGAAACTACATCGAGTCGATGGATGGAATATTCGCTCAGCCCGATGAAGAGAATTCCGAATTTCGAAATTTCCTTTACAATATTGATGCTTATGACCAAATAGATCGAATTTACATTCAAGTCCCGGACGTAGCTAGACCGAGAGACGATGAGAATGTAGAGGAGGCGCAGCAGGTGCAAGAACCGGAGCAATTACCGGAACCGGAGCCAGAGCAGGCGGCAGAGCAGGAGACGGAGCAGGCACCGCAGCAAGAGCCGGAACGTCAGCCGAAGCTGGAGCAGGCACAGCTACATGAGCAGGAGCCTGCCGATCATGTGATCATCGGTAAAAACGAATGTAATGGTACAATGCAGATTTCGCAAAAAAAAAACTCAAAATGCCGACTAAAAAACCATAAAAATCCTTATGCAGATTGCAGAAAAAAATTTCTAAATGTCCACGGCCAGGTTCTTTGAACGTTACAGTACTCCCGGGTTTTATTTAATAGCTACATGAATAATTTAAGTCAGTTTTCAACCGTAACAATTTTTTATATCTAAGTTAGTCGAAACGGTTGCTATTTTTCTATTCCAGTTAAAGGCGCGAATAACATAAATTTACGATTCTTGAAGCCGTTTAAAAAAAAACTGTGGTACTGTAGGAATCGAAGAACCTGGCCGTGGCCGAGGTTTTTAGAGTTTTCTGTTTTGCAATCTGCATAATCATTGTTACGGTTTTCTCATCGATTTTTTAAAAAATTTTTTTGCGTAATCTGCATAGTATCATAAATTAGAAAATCACATTGCAGAATATCCAATTCTGAATGACTCCGAGCTGGAGGAAGTGCACTATCTAAATGCGATGCAAATGTTAAACATTGTCGCAGAAAACGCGGAAGTCGATGGGCCGATCCTTTTCCGAAATTTTGTCAACCTATCGGTTGGATTTGCCAGCGGTATGCATTGAGAACAATAGAGCATTTCAGTTGTGCTCAACCAAAAACAAACTAGCAGAATTTGGTATTTCAGTGGAGATTCGTAATCGAGTTATGACGTCGAGACAAAACGATGGTAATCATGCCGATTCCGATGACGATCAAGTTTTGACCGACGACAATGAGGAGGACCCGAGAGAATCGAGGTTCTCTCTTACAAATCATTTTTTAAAACCATTTCAACGAATTTCAGATGCAAATGCTCGGTGTGCAAGACGAGCCGCATTCGCTCGCCACAGCGTTGCCGTCACTGCCATCAAATCATTGGCTGTAAAAGGTTAATATTGGCCGATTCAATTAATTACCTTGACTTCGATTTGTAGATGCCTACGCCTCTGGATGGATTGTGACCGCTATCTCGCCAACCCGCGATGCCTTGTTTGCTCCATCAGTTGGCCGATTGAAGGAAATTTTGAAGACGCTGAACAGGAATCAATGCTGTAATTATTGAAAAATTGACTTTAAATGTTCTCCCCCATCCCCCCCCTCAAAATATGATTTTTTTCTGGTATTCTTTCGCTTTAATAAGTCCAATATTTCGTTCCGATTGGGTACTAAGTTTCTTTTGAAAATGTTTTAATTCGGCATTATAATCACCATTGTTCATTTGAGCTTTTGTACTTTTTTGCTGATATATCAATTTTGTTTTTAAATATTTATTGGAAATTAGATTTTGCTATTTTTACATTCGATCGGTTTAACACCCGAATTATTATTTGTATTGTTTTAATTGCGCTTTTTTTGAGATCACTGAAACACATCAAGTTTCTTTCGATTTCAAAATTTTAATTGCAATCAAATTCAATTCATTTATCCAGTTTCAGGTTCAATGTCCGATCCGCCAACATCGGGTGAGCATCCGTCTAGCGACACGTCCGACAAGTCGAATGACGACCGCCAAACTCTATCCAACATTTCTTCAAATTTGGAATCATCAGCTGAAAACGAAAAGAATGTGGAGAACGAGCTGAACACGATTTTCCAAACGTTGGAATTAGGTAATCAAGAATTTTTTTAAACAAAAGAAAACATTGGATGATATTCCAGACACTTCTGAAAACACCAATACGTTGGAAAATCCAGAAATTCCACCACACTCGGACGCGCCGACTATCACCAATCCATCCAAGCGTTTGAATTCGTCAATCTATCTGATTGAAAATCTATTGCGTCCGGAATCGCCGGCAAAAACGGAAAAGGATTACGAGCTTATGATGGACTTCTTTTTGAGTACGCTAATTGATATAGTCCTAATACTCTTCAAAATTTTATAGATTCCCAATTTCTTCCACGCCTTTGTAAAAATGGCCATCTCAAAGACCGAGAGCTTCAAGATATGGAAACAGGTGTAGATTTCTTTGGCAATTTTTGCTTATCAAAAATCATAGTTCAGACAATGCCAGCGAATTTCAACCCGAAATTTGGAATTTCGATTTGCAGAGATGGGACCGAATTGAAACGCGTAAGGTGTTTGAGTCAAAGTTTTTGGCAAAAAAATGAATTTTAGCGGAGTTCGATGCCGAAATGTTTGATCGCCGTAGATTGGACACCGGATATGATTATGGCTATGGGTTTGGGTTCAGTTTCGGGCTTGCGCAAGATGAGTTCGATATAAATCGTAAAATGGGCTATCGATCGCTTGCGTTTGCAACACAAGACTCAAATAATCGTATGCTAGACTGAAATTTGATTTTAAACGGCTTTTTTTTTCAGCTGACGAATGGTCGTCATTCCTCCCACCACGTCCAGAAGATTTTGAATTTTGCTATTCGATCACTGAGGAAGAGGAAGTCAACCCATCTGCGCATTCTCATGATAACGAGGAACACGTCGGAATTCCAAATGGTAAATAGTTCAGTATCACGTTTCTGTCTAAATTTAAATGAAGGAAAAGGACTAGAGCTTAAATGATTTCAAAATTACACTACAATGAAATATTTGATTTTTCATTAATGGTTAAAAATAACATAATTGTAGATCACGACTCGTCTGCGGATGATCAATATGAAGAGATAATGGAAGAGGATGGAGTTAAGAAAGCTGCAAAAGAAGAAGCTGAAGAAGATGATGATGATGAAGCTGGAGAAGATAAGGAATAAGTTGGCCATTGCACACCGAAGAAGGCAATGAAAATCGTTTCAACACATCATTTATTTTTTACAGCTCTGAGCTTCAATAATGTTAAAATGGTAAAATTTGAAGATTTTTAGAATTGTTAACAAGTTGTTACAGATAATGCTTTTGTTATCACTACATAATTACGAAAAACGAATAGTTCTGAAAATTGGGACAAATGTGTATTCGCCCATCGATATCCAAAAATTGTAAAACATTGAAAATTGGAATTGGCAAAAAAATGAAACAATCTCCACTCGAATTATTTGTTCCATGTTGTATAATTCCCTTAATTGTGCATAATAATCTCAAGTGCTCATTTCTACTAATAATGATCCCAAAATCTACTTCTCTTCTAAATAATTTGAATTCACTTTTTGAAAAAAAAAACCTCCTTTTTGATTTTTTTATCTATTTCTTTCATTTATTTCCATTATAATTCACTTAAGCAAACATGATGGCCTTAATTTTGTTTTTCATTTAGCTGATCTCAGCCTCGTTTTTTCCATACCAAAAGCTATTACGAACCTTTGATGCCTTAAATGATCTTAATTGCCTTGCTGATTTGTTGCCTTTGCTTTATATATGTGGCTTTCAGAAAATTATTGCATTTTTTTATCAATCTATTTAATTCCTTTCCACAATTATTATATAATCCTCAATAACTTGAATTTTTCCGTTATCCATGGTTCGCAAACCTTATATAACCGATTTTTCATTCTATGCCTTGCGAAATGCTTTAGAAACATTTTGCAATATCTGTAATATTTTTCCATGTATTCGTGCTTCTTACAATTTATTTAGAAAGATAGTTTTTGCAATTTAATATTTATTTTTATCGGTTTAACACCCGAATAATTACTTATATATATATATATTTGTGTTAATTTTGCTTAATTTCGGTTAGCATCGAGACCCTAAATTATTGAAATCTTTTGTGAAAAGTTATAAGGTCTCAGTGTTAACCTTATTTCGATTTAAATTCGATTAATTTCCCTGATTTCAGGAATAATGGAGGATGAACCACCCGCCAGTGAACATCAATCACTTGATGATATAATTGAAAGTATTCTGGATGGTAGGAAGCCAATTTAGTCAAACATTATTTTGTGCTATTCTTTCTTTAGGTGAATCCTCGCGGAATAATTCAAGTGAAGTACCATTAAACGAAGGAATCCCAATCAACGATAACAAAGAAAATGGTATATTAAAGCGGAAAACGTGAATTTCATTCAAATTTCAGATATCGAGCAAATCGCCGCACTGGTTTGCGAGCAGGATTGTTGTGGAGCTCTTCATGAACATATGCCAGAATCAGTATTGAATGACGGCACATGTTGTTGCGCAGAATTTAATGAACGTACATATAGAGGGTTTCTGACATGGCAAGATGGTATGATTCATTTTGCTATTAAGATTGTTCACGATATTTTTTAGATCTTGACCCATCCGAACCACGTTGTATCTGCATTGAACCATTAATGGATAATTCAACCCGGGGTAAGCTAAAGCTGGTATTTTTTTCAATAAGGAATTTAAAGGAATAATAGCAATGAGATGTGAATAGCGAAACAATTTCCAACATTGAAAATCAATCATAAGGCAATCAATATTTGAACAAAATTTATTTTCAGGATTTTCGGTTAAAAAAGTGTCGGAATTCTTTGAGCGAGTGAAACAGAATCGAGGCGATATTTGTCCGTCGTGTCGTCCCAGAAACGGTGTCGACGATGGTTGAAAAATGTCACGCCTATGGCGAATTATTTATTATTTATTTCAGCGGACAACGACACAAGAACACCGATAACACGCCTCCGCTTTTTGCTGTGCATCGGTGATATTTTCAACGAAGGAGTGCAGGAAGTATATCCAAATGGTGATTATATATTAATACCATCATTTCGACTTAAAAATTTGCAGGCGCCGATTATGAGCAGCATCTCCAAGCGAATGAGTATAAAGATAGCGATACGGATATATCTGATGAAGATGGCTGTCTGAATTAGCAAAAAACAATTTGAAATGTTAAATCATAAACGGTAAAAAAAATTAATAAGCACATTTCTTAAACCAAGTTTATTACAGATCCTGACTGATCTCATTAAATCAATAACCGGAATCTCAACAATTTAATGAAAAGCTTTTTGTTTTCCACCCAGCTTTTTTCAAATGTTTCTGGAAACAACCATTACAAATTAGTCAGATAACTTCAAATTAAAAAAAAACTCAATACATTATTTTAAAACCAGAATTGTTTGCATTTTGCCAAAAATTTACCATATCTCTCAGCTAATCTTTATTTATTTACCCTGCGCTTTTTCATTTTATTTTTCTTTGTTGCTTTACTATCTGGAATTGTACTATTAACAGAATATTTAAGATATTTGCCATTTTGTTCAATTTTATCGGTTTAACACCCGAATTATTATTTTTATTCATTTTAATTGATTTTCTTCGATTGCTGCTCACATTGAGATAACGATAGGTAGAAGCATTTTTTCATCCAATCGTTAACACCTCAATGCCAACTGCAATTTTTGGTTCTTTTAATCTACTTTATATCAGGTGCAATGGCGGATCAATGGGGTGATTTTCTACCAAACAATCTGCTTTTCAATTTGAATGCAAATGCGCAAGACGCTCAAGATGATCAAGGTCTACCTGCATTCGTCGCAGGTTCGCGATTTTCTGAAAATTTCGAGTCGAGTAATATTGCAGATCAACCAGCCTTGATTATGCAGGCATCAGACAACTCGATTCAACAGCATGCGGCTCAAAACAATTTAGCAAATTTCAATGGTCAGGAGCAGAATGTTGAAGCTCCAGAAATCGGCGCCAATTTTGACAATATGGAAGAAGGTGCTTTATTTATATTCAAATCTTCAACTAAATATATGAATGTTTTTTAGATGATTTTCCGGAATTTGATGAGATGCTTGCAAATATGGGTTTCATGGGCGATGGCCAATGTGGCGACGTTTTGAACAACATCAATGGCTCATGCGTTGGGCACGCCAATCCCGATCTTCCGTGCTACTGCTGGACTCGTTTAGTTGGGAATCAGGATATCGTTCCAATGGCTGTCAGCCAAAACCTCGGTATATTTCCATAATTGTTCACGTTGAATTTATAAATGATTTTCAGGAAACATGGTAGCAGTGGAAGCAATAAACGGAGAGCAATTCAACAACCGAGTGAAAATGTGTGACAGCTCAAATGGATGTTGGTTGAATTCAATTTTTTTGTTGAAAAGCTCTCAATAATTTCCAGCGTTGACTCCCAACAATTTAGCGCCGATTTTTAATAATTTGACACTCAATGACACCGACAAGTATTCATTCTCCACTTCTGGATTGGAGAATATGTCAAATATGATGGAACCAAATGAATGGGCCGATTATGAGAACGGCATCAAAATTGGAAATGGTACCTATTTCCACTATTTTTAAAAAATTTTAAGTGCAGTAGAATTGAAGTTTCAAACTCTCAAAAATTCTCTGAAAATGCAATATTTCAAAATATTCATTCAGACAGTATAACATTTTCAGACGATGGTTTTTCGGCGAAGAACCAGCTTGAAATATCTAAAAGCAACCATGCTGAAATGGCCCAAAAAGAAGCAGCTGAAATGGCCGAAGACGCAGAACATATGGAATGAATCCATTCTCGAATTAGTGTAGCCGGCACTTATATGAAAAAATGGCCAGCAAGTAACTTAATCTGGTAAAGGAAATGACTAACTTCATCTGAATACCGCAAAAATTGTTTTCAGATCTTGTCGTAATCTTCATTTGCTTCGTTTCTTCCCATCATTTGGGAAGATTCAAATTATTCCGCACTTTTAATAACACATTGTGAAAAAAAATTAATTGCAATTTCCGATAATTAAGCAAATTTACATTTGATCTCGATCTAATTTTCGATACTTTCCAACTACATCAAAACCATTGAATAATTTTCATTCATTACAATTAAGCAATCTAATATACAATTAAGTAATCAGCAATATCAGAACTGTGCAATATCAATCTCATTCTTCCCATTTTTTGCCCGATTTTTAGCAATGATCATAATATTTGTATGATCTCAAATCTGTCTCAATTGTATCTATTGTATCCATTGTTTGCAATTTCTATAATAATTTACCTGTTTCCCAAATCAATCGATAACTCACTGATTTCATTTATTGCATCTATGATTTAAAGAAAATTGATTCGGAAGGCAAATGCCATTTTGATTTGCAAATTTTATCGGTTTCACACCCGACTTATTATTTCTATTAATTTCCAAATCATTTTTGTTCAATTTCATTTTAGGTCCATAGAATATTGATAAGATTACCTTGAAAATCTTTCTACCTTGATTCAGGGATGCCGAATCAGCCAACAGTGCGCCAAAACTCATCAAACATTGCGAATGGCAATCGGAATGCTAGTTCGAATCCGAATGGCCGCGTTGAGTTTTTTATTGTACGCGAAGGATCTCAAGCTCTTGAAGGTATGACTAAAATTTTTGAAATTACAATACCTTTTTGGATTTTCCCCTTGAGGCGATAGAAGAATAATTATTGTGCTCCGTATAAACAGCAATTTTCAGATCGTCGAGCAATGTATAGCAGACATCTAAATGATAGCAGTGATGAGAATGAGGGTAAGTTGTAAAACCAAAACTTGGTTGTTTAATTGGGTTTGGCAAGAATAAAAAAAAAACGACATTTTGGCCAATTTTAGATCTTTCTTGGTGGCCAAGAAGAAGAAATTCCAATGATGTAAGCGATGCACCAAACTATTTTAATCATATTTTTGAGAATCCGAATAGAGGTAACATAATGGATTAAACACTCTAGTTAATAAAAAAAACCGTTTAATTTTTAGATGGCCTCGATGAGGGTCATGACGATTACGCGATTCCAGTAAGAGAATCCGAACGTCTCGAAGAAATTCTTCAAACTCTGCTAGAAAGCACGAATAGAACGGAAATTAGGGTGAAACTCGAAGATCAATTTTTGGGTGAGAAATTTTAAAATCCACCTAATTTTTTTGAGAATAAATTTTGCGTTTTGTTTTTCAGAGCCTGGAGAGATATCTGAAAATGAGCGAGGTCATGAAGCCGGGCAAAATGTTCATGAGAAGTATTTGTGTTCAATTTTCGATTAAAAAAAAATTGACGCATTGTATTACAGCACTCAATGCTCGATCTGCTTGGGGGATGTTATGACGGAGCCTCAGCGCTGTGGAATGTGCCGCATGATAGTTGGCTGCAAGCCGTATGAAATTGATGGAACCAACTAGTTCAATGAGCATTATTTTCAGATGCATCACGGAATTAATTCTTTCGGAATTATTTCAAACGCGCCGTTGTTGCCCACTCTGCAATATGAAATGCCCAAATAAGAACTTCCGAAATGCTTAAAACCAAGTGGAAGTATCTAAAATATGGCCAATTATTTTTGCAGTTCCTTATTTAGCGTATACTCTCCGTTCTTCTATGTTACAGCGATTTCCGAATCACTCATGGGAAAAAATTGACAAAAGCATAAAAAGAAATTTTTAAAAAATTTGCACTATTTATCTAGTTGCCTCAAAAGTGGGCCACGTTTCATCAAATTGTAGAGCCAATGTATTTATGCTGAAAATTTGCTAAAAATTTAATCACGATTTAATGAATACCACTTTTCTTAGTCATTCGCCTAAATTTTCCCCCTGGTTTCAGTTTTAATTTCAAATATATCAACCAAATTTCAACTATTTTAATCAACATGCAAAAATGTGCCAATAGATTAAAAAAAAATCCTCCTGAAACTATAATCCTCAAAACCTGGTTTATCAGGATTAGTTTCATCGATTTTTTATTCTGCCTGAAACATTTCAATATTGAGAAATTCTCAAATTTGCTCTATTAAATAATGTCTTTTCGAATCAGTCCAGTTTTTTGTGAGTTTAGAATAAAGATGTTTGATAGAGTTTTAATATATTTTTTGACGTTTTTCACCGGTTCAACACCTGATTTCATTATTTCACTAATGTGTTTACGTTTTTTTATTTCTTGACTAACCCAATTTTGCAGATCAAATTTCAATATGGATGGGTATGATGATGAAGATATTGTGATTTCTAGAAAATTGATCTCATCGGGAATCAAAAATGGAGAAAAATTGCCTAGGAAAACCAAAAAGGTAAAATTTGAACAATTTTTCCTGGCAAAATTAACTTTAAGGAATAGTGCTGAAATCGTCCAGAGAAGAAACACGTCATTTCTCTAGTTCTGTTCGTAATGCTAAGGATTACGGAATTTGGTATTGAATTCATGAGCCGGTAGCTTGCAGAAGATACGATAATATTTCAAGATAATTAAATCCCCTTGATATTTTTTTTTACAGATGGTTGTATCCCGACTGATCTCCTCCCCATCGTTTACAGATCATTGCTTCCAGAGCACCTCATTATCCATCGTTTCCAGATCATGATGGTGCAAAATTTTAAAATTCGACTACTTCACACCAAAAATTAACAGACAAAAAAATGAAGAATCTTAAATTTTGAGCGACTAAAATCAATATTTTCAAAGTTCTTAAATAATCCAGCTAATTAATTTAATAGTGTTTCATCTTCTACAGCTTCATCCTTTTTTCATAATTTACTCATGATCGTTAACACTTCTATTATATTCCTTATTTTGTTTCGTGAAAAAGAAGACAAAAATCGAATTTGCTCTTTAGCTAGAGGCACTAGCGGTAAAGTTTATGTACAATAGGGCGCATTTGCAGTTTGCCACCATTCATTTTTTACAATTATATTTCAGCTGCTATGATCACTGAAATTAACAACGCTCCTCTCTCGATTAATCAAAAGTCTTTCTATAGATTCAATTTCGGAATCGGCCTAGTGTTTTGCTTTTCTATTATTCAATTCACTCGGTTTAACTTCAGAATTCGAATTCGTTGTTCGCTTCCTTATCCTTCTATTGTCTTTTGTTTTTCAATAGCTGAACCGAATAATTTTCTTGCTCTCGTTTCAGGAATAATGGCTGATAGTCAACGTGAAAATCCGCAGTCGAAATCAAACCAGCCAACTAGCATTGAATCACCAGTTGGACATGGCATACACTCAAATGCTCAAAATGTAGATGCAGGTATATTACTTTGTTACTTAAAAATTTCACCCAACGTACTTTCACAGATGAAAATGCTTCTGGCCTTGTTCGAGCGGTCGCTGCGCCAGTGGCGATTCAAAATGATATAAGTGATGATATGGCAGATCAAGCAATCGCCAATCAGCCGCGAACAAACCCCCCGGTGACTGATTTGAATCAAAAGGGGACAGGGGAATCAAGCAATGTGCCGAATCAGGAACTGGCAAATGGTGATGCACCGAATTCGGATTTGAACGTTGTAATCAACATGATGGAAAATTTGGATCTCAGTAATTGCTGTACTCAAAATAGAATATTTTCTATGATATTTTAGACATGCGCCTCGAAGAGGATTCGCCTTCAAGCCAACAAGATGAGGAGAGTGAACAAACGGATTCTCCACATCACGAAGGTATGATTTTTCCGAATAAGGTTTTCATAAGAGAACTGAAAATCGACAATAAAAAATGTTTAAAAGAATAAAAATAAACATTTTCAACCAATATTATCGATTGTGCAAACTTATCTTGTTTCAGAAGTGCCGCCAATTCGAGCAAATTCGACGGCAAATGAGCGCGGGCGGCGAAGTTTTCCATCGCCAAATCCATCGCATATCGCACGTAATTTTTGCTGGGAAATTGAAAAAAAATATCGCATAAATTATTTTTCAGACGCACGCGAACTTTTGCGTCGCAGTGTTGAAAATGCAGCAATACTATTGCAAGTGGTTGGCGGTAAGTAAACTAAAATTTTTTTTTGGTTAAAAATTGTATATTTATGAAAATTATTTCAGGAGATGTGGCGGCTTTTAGAAATACACGTGCGGCCCGGGTCGAACAAGGTATTCAAAGTCGTGATTTCCAGACAAATCTATTAATTGCAGACATGGATCTTGTTCTCAGTATTGTTGAAAGATTAAATATCATGCCAACCTTCCACGACGAAGTCACACCAGAAGAGCAATTCCTCGGTTGGTTTTTCATTTATCTTTGCACACTTTATCTTATACTTTATTTCAGAGTCTGATGAGGATTCAGAAGCTCACGAAGTTGAAGAAGCCATCAATGATCCAGATGTGCAAGAGAAGTGAATATTATAGTGATTGAAAATGGGAGGTTCACTCAATTAATTACAGTACTCAATGCTCGATCTGCTTGTCTGAGACGATGGTCCAACCACAGCGCTGCCGAATGTGCCGTATGATCGTTGGATGCAAGCAGTAAGATCTGCGAATAGAAATTAGTTGAACGTAAAATATTTTCAGTTGCGTTTCGGATTTGATTCAATCGGATTTATTCCAAAAACGCCGCCGTTGTCCTCTCTGCAACCGGACATGCGCAAGCAAGAATTTTCGAAACGCTTAAAATCGAGAGGAATTAAAAAATGGCAAATTATTTACTCAGTCCCCCTGTGCAGTTCAACCACTCGGTCACCTTATATTATACTGCCTACACCTCGATTTACAAATTATTTATAAGAAAAAAAAACACAAAATCGTTAAAAAAAATGAAACCAAAAATTTTCTCTAGCTATTGTCGGCATCAAAACGATTAATGTGAGGCTTGAGCTTCGATGTCGCGAAATCTGAGAAGCTTTAAATTTCGGCGTTGACTTTATATTAAATGCTCGTACGTTAAAATGCATTGTACGTAGTCTCGCGTACTTCTCGCTATGACACACTTTTCAGATACTCAATATATTTAATTTTCCAATTTAGATAATAATTTGACCCCAACAATTTCAAATTTCTTAAAAATACAGCAATGGTCAATTATTTTCTTTGCTCTTTTCTCCCATCGTTTATTCTTATACACACCCAACTTGAAGCTTTAGCTTCTCCCCGTATCTTAATAATTTAGTATAATTAATCAAAATTTTAACACAATTACTCCCAATTCTCCCTGAAATATCATAGTAAGAAAAATTGTTTAATCCCATATTTTAATGCAGTTATTACAAATTAAAAATTTGCAAAGGACCCGCCATTTGAATAAAAATTCATATTTTGGCTACCTTCTGCATAATTATAAATGATTATACTTCATTTAAACAATTATTCTAATTCCAAAACTCTACATTTTAATTGTATTGTTCGTTTCAAAACTATTTATGTTTGCTGGAACTTTTTATGACATCTGGAATATGCTCCATAAACCCTCTTAAATTGATATATACCTTTTCGCTAAACCTGATTCTCCCATATTTGTAAACTAGAGAGTTTGTTGTATTTTTTTATTGGTTTCCAAAATTTGTCTTTATAATAAACTTTTTCCTGCATAATATTTTTTTTCAAATGGATTAGACAACACAACTACCAGACCATTTCCATAATCAAACTGAGAACAGTCGCTGTCTTAGACTGTTCTCAGTTTGAGTTTAGTCGCTCAGCACATATGTATATCGAATTCACTATAATACATATAACTTCGCCTTGAAGTTTTTTATGTTATTTTTAGTATTGAAAAAAAAGTTATTGGTAAGAGGATCTGCTACTATTAATTTTCATCAGTTTAACATCCTTCGGCAATTCGGCAATTTGAAAGAAAATGAGAAATTTCGATTATCAGCGATCCCATTACCGCTGATTCCTGATGTGAATCAACAAAAAAAATATTGTTAAAATTTATGAATTCATGGACTCTCATTAAAATGCATTATTAAAAGTAACATTATGGTTTTCAATAATATCGAAATTGGACTATGAAGTAGTCTATTTTTTTTGCAAAATTCTCACGTTTTGCCTGTTCTGTCGTCTACAAATATAAGCAACACAAAGGAAAGGGAAGATCCATGTGTAGTCAATAAAAATACAATTTTATTAATGCTGAATGTGTCTTTTCCACCCCTTTGCCCCTATAATAGTTTTTCGTTATATTTACATTAATTTTTATTATTGTTTTGAAATTGACCAATTCCTATTTTTGCATAGCCATTGTTTCAAAATTGATTTTCTTCTCTCCACAAAATATTCGAATATCTATTATACATACATACATTCCGCATATTCACTTAATTGCTTATCATAGGCTTGAATTTTCCTCTCGATTCACTTTTTTCTGAATCATAAAATCTGCTGCTTTAATGTGCATTATTTTCAGTGAATTAATTTAATGAAACCATAAGCATTTTTAAAATTACTATCATCGAGATACATTTTTTTAATTCCATTTATTTATGAAAATTACTTTTTATATTACATATTTTGGACCAATTTACAATTCTTAATAATCTAAAAATCAGCCATTTTAGGGCAAAGAGAATGAAGTCAAAATAATTTTCTGCACAGTCTGCCTAAGATTTTTAAAATTTTAAATGGTTTTTTTTACAGATAACCTGCAAATAAAACTCCCCTGAGCAGGGTGCTCCTATTTTTGTCATTGTAATATTATGGAAATATAATGAAAACTGTGGATATCATATAAATTTGATATGCTAACTATATGAAATCATAATGGAAGCCTTTCAATGAGTTTCTTCAATAGCATTAGTCTAATATTTTCTTCATAAACTGTTCAACATTCTGAGCAAATTTGGTGTTTTTGCTATAAAATATTTAACTCAAATTGGCACTCTTGCTCGTAAAATCTTGCCATTTTCTTTTAAAAAAAGGTAATTTACTTTGAAAATGTTGTTTTTATTGCTGAAGATGCGAATACTATCAATCCGCATGGTTCGGCACTCCCACGCCATTGTTGACCAAGACTTCTTGTAGAGGAGGAATCCCCTTTTTCTTTATCTTCCTGGTCCAATTTTTTTACATTTGAGCCTAACAAAATTGGTGGCGTAATATTTGAAAAATCACTTTCCTTTACCCATTAATTAATCCCTATGAAACTTATTTTCTAATCAAGCACACCCACTCAACAGCTGTTGCTAGGTAACGATGAGACATCAAACTGCTCAAGAGTGCCAATTATATCGCTTTCAAGCAAATAATACGCGTGTCTCTCTTTGCTCGCTCAATAATTATATTTGTCTCAAATGCGTTAAATTTCACGTTTATCGCCAATTTCAGATAAAATTGCAACATTTTAGTTGTAGAAATTTTCAAAGTCCATGGCTAAAGGCGCTACCACAATGATGTGATTTGTTTTCGTATAAATCTATATACATACTCTCCAAAATTATTATATTTATTTATCTATACGGCAGCTGTTATTATGCTAGTTAATAACATTTCCCTTTGAGGTAACAGAAATAGTTTAAGATGATGAACTACAATAATCTGATATCGAATGGTCAAACTGCAGGAAATCAAAGCGCCATGGATCAGATTCAAGGTAACTTCAAGATTTCAGGGATTCTCAAAAATGTTGTATTCTGGTATTTCAGGCTTGTTTGAATCGTTGTCACTTTCAAATTCATCTCAAGGTCCGAGACTCCGCGCTGAAGACAATACCTCAGTAATAAGACGTTAGTCAAGATTTGATCCCTTCTGAAATATATGTCGGTTTTCAGAAGGTGTTCTAAGCGAATTGCCAGCGCTTACGTCGGAATACAAACGCATCATTGAAAGTAATTGAATCATCGGAATTCCAACATTGAACTCTATTACTTTCAGTTGCAAACATCCTTGGAAGTTTGAAACACGACGAAATTGCTGTAATTCGCACGAAATCAGCTGAACGTATATGAAAATCCCCCTTATAAATCTGAACAATTCGTTTAGATCCACCTCCTGAAAGTATGGAGCAGCTGATGGCGCAAATGGAAATGGTGGTTGGCGTCGTTGAGAAAATGAGAGCGGAAAAAAGACAGGAGCATTGAAGGGAATACATGATTAATTATAATCCGAAACCACATAATATTAAAATTTGTTTGGATAAATTCTTCATGCTTCCGACACAAATTCTTCAAGTACTGAACCCAGGATTATATAAGAGAATTTTAAATTCTAAGTATTTTTTGCAAATAGGCATTATTTTGCTAACAACCATACCAGATAAAATTCAATATTGTATTTATTCAAAAAGCTTCAACCATTTTGGGAGAAAACCAATTTTATTTTTAGGCATACAAAAACTATCGGATTTGTCAACTATTGGATTTGTCTAGGACTAAAAACTGCTTATACTTCGATGACCTTTGAGAGAGTTGAGAAATGTCCAGCCTTTCCCCTATATATATTTTTTTAATACAAAAATAAATTAGAAATTTTGGTTATTACTATCAATTAGAAAGTATTTGATGTTTCATCACCTATTCCGATCCTTAGGCTTCGATTGACATAAAAATATCATGTTAAAACTCTAAAACTGATCCTTCTAAAGTCTTAATAGGAGTGACCTGCCACCAGTACTTCAAATTTGCCGAGGACCGGCAAATGTCTTTCATTATGATCATATTATTTCATAGGAAATTTGAAGATGCTTTTTAAAACACCCTTGATTGCATTAAGTAATATGAACAATTATAAATTATCCTTTAATAAGAATCTTCTTCCCCTAAAATATTTGATCTTTCGGGAATATGCATAGCATAATGAAAATATTGAAAATTCGCATAGTTATGCTTTGCAGTTTCGTTAGTTGAGGTGTGAGAACAAATGGTATAAGGAGTATGTTCATTTTGATGTCTGTCTGTTCGCTGTCTGCGTTCTAAACTATAATGTATTTCTCGGTTCTCGATGAAATAACGGGATGGGTCACTCATTCGCTCATATGTCAAACTGAGCAACTATTTGTCTTAAATTTCGTTTTAATGCATTATAAGGCATTTCAGAAAAGGTTTGCATTATGAATTCAGTAAAATAACTGTCTATGTTAACCAAGCTCACAAATTTAATTTATTTTCTCATTTTCACTGATTTTTAATGAGGAATTCACACAAGCTTACTCAGAGCATATTCGTGAACATTGTCTTCTGTCTACATTAACATATTTACATATTAACGTTTATATATGGAATTAAAACCATATCTCGTGAAAATTATTTCGTCTGCCCAAAAATTTAAGATTATCGCAATGGCATGATTATGAAGACATTTTTTGACCACGACATTGCTAATTGGTTTTAAATCTCTGAATATATTTGGAACCTTTTGAATATGGAATTTTAATTGTTTTTTTCTAAATTCTCTCACTACACTTTACAGTATTTCCTGTATAAAAAATTTAGATTTATGTTAACTATAATAAAATTATTATAATTTTGTCTCATTTCTGTAGCTTTCATGCTGAATTGTTATATTATAATACTGGAAAAAATAACACAATCACCGAGTTCCTTCATTTTTTTAATGATTTCCGAGCCTGCTTATAACACCAATTTTTTTCTATACATTAACATCTGGACATGTGTCAAAAACAATACGCACGTGTTGATCACCCGATGCCGTGCTGATTGCTTGGCAATTTTTTTTTGAAAAAATAGCACGCTAATCAGAGAGAGGGCGTGGAGGCGACGCGCGTCGGCGCGAGATTGTGCGAAAATGGTAGAGGCCGACTGTTCGCTCAATCAATGGCTGGCATAGCGAGAGCCGCGGCCGGCGGCTGCGAAAATTTGAATTCGCGACCGCCACACGCACGCGCTGCCATTCACTTATCATTGTTGTCATTGATTCACTCATTTTGTACGCGCATAAATCGTATTTTTTACGGATTTTCATGGCGATTTGAAAAATGCAAACTTTTGATTCCAATTCATTCACGTAAAAAAAACTTATTTAACTATTTTCATTTTTTTCGTTCAAGTTTTAGTTTCCTTAAATTGAGGAAATCTGTTAACCGTGTCGAGAAACATTTTCTTTAGGAGTTCTAAAGTGAAGCGAGTAGACGTGTGCGCGTTTGACTTTGATTATCAAAAATATTCACATCATATCAAATGCATTCTCTATTCATTTTTTAGAGCAATAACCTCTCTTCCGTGTTTTCAATTCTTAATTTTCAGATATCATGTCGCAGAAGATCGCCAAAACTTCATCGGTAGTTCCGCAACAGGAATCTCTAACTTGCATTCAAGCGACTTGCCACGTGGATGGTAAGAATTTATTTGAACACTCTAAAAACCACCAGCAAACATTGTGGGGCGATTTTTCTTATTTTTCGAATCAAAAATTCTCTTTGGTTTGACTGTTTTTGATAACTTATAACGAAAACTCATTTTCAGTTGATATGCCGATTCCAATGGTACCTCTTGACGATATGAAGTATTTCAACAAAATCGCCAGTTGTGAACTTCCAATGGATATGACTAGACCAAAAATGGATTTTCCCAAAATTAGAAAATGGTCGGAAGGTAATTTTTATTTGTATTCTTATTAACGAAGTATGCGATAATTAGTATTAATACTCCTGAAATATATTTCAATTTGTTTCGCTCTTAAACTTTTTTAATATTATTATTTTTTAATGAAATGGAAGCCAGATGAGAATTTTTATAGTATTACTGACATCAAAGTCGACAAAACTAATCATCATTAACGAAAATAATTCTCAACACATATTTAGTATAGTAATTATTACATGTTTATAATAATCATTGAAAAAGCTTAATTCATAAAACAAAATCGGCTATATTTTATGTAACTTTTATGTTGTTTAGAATCTGTTATTCTATTAATAGTGACATTGGAATCCTTTATCTAAATCTGTTGAATCTACTATCAGCCACAAGCCATTAATCGCATCTATTTTTTCAATTCGTTTAGTGGTTTTTTACAGATTCACATAAAAATTAGACAATTGATTATTAAAAGTATTTGAGCATTCCAACACAAAACTGAGCATGCCAGCACATGCGAACCAACGAAATCACACACACTAATTATCCTGTATAGTATTAATTCATATTCAGAGGAGGTTCGCATGATTATCGAAAAGTCAAAGTCGCTTTGCGAATATAAAGATTATGAGAGCCTCAGCGAGTTCTTTGAAGCCGAGTCCGGCATTCATGATCTAGCGCTGTCTTTTGATGGAAAATCGCGTAACATGTTTCTCGATATCATGGAACCACACTTGTGCGAATTAATCGCTAAGACGTTTGGTAATATAATTTTTTTTCTTTTGGCCTTCAAAGAAATTATTCATTTTAGAAGAGCGAATCGAAATTTCCTGGTCGCCGGAGAACAAAGACGATGAAACGATGAACTATGAAAGATCGATTGTGATCGATATGATCAACAAGAAGCAGTGTTATTTTGTAAGTATTTTTATAACTATAAACTAGGTTTTAAAAATTTCGAATTATTCTACAATATTGAATAGGGTGTCTGAATTTCAAGACTTTGATAGTCATAATGATTTGCATTTCCGAAAATGAGATATTTGGATTATTTACTTTCTTTTAAGCGCTTTTTCGGCGAAGTTGAAGATGTCTCATCGCTGAATCGTGTGTTCTTGTTCGCCAGAGATGGCTGCTTTGACAGCGGGTGGATTCAATGTATGGTCTGCTGTAAGCTTATCCATTCGACAAGTACCACCATCAAACAGCATGCGAAATCCTGCGAAACACACGCGTGGAAATTGAGTAAGTTTGCGAAGAAAATATTAGAAAAAAAAACCTTCATGTTTTCAGACCAGTCAAACTCTATAAGGACCACGTGTAACTATTATTTTCCACCGCGTCCACATGAAGAATTCACCAGTCGCAAATTGGATTGAAATTAGGTTGCTTGTTCTGTTAGTTCGTTGAGGGTTTCCATGAAGTTGCCACTGGAGCCCATACCATTTTTTGGCTACTCGCTCAAATCTTTGCTCAACATTTTTCGAATCCTCAGGTCATATTGAGACGAAGTAAAATATGATTATGTAATTCCATTAGAAACCCCCTATTTTGAAAAATTGCCGGTTTTAAGTGATCGCGATATTTTCAAGAAATTTACGCATTTTTTGGGCATTTTTCAAAATTTGAAGAAATGTGTAAATTACGTGAAACACGTGAAAAAAGGATTACGTGAAAATTAGTGAAACAACATTGAAACTTGAAGAAAACTGAAATTCTGCAAATATGGAAACACAAAATATGCCGACCTCAAGCTTTAAAACAAATTACAAAATCATTTTTAAGTCGTCTCAAAATTAAATTTATTCTAAGCTTTGTCATTATGTGAAATGTCATAATTGTTTTAAAGCATGTTACTGTGCTAGCGTTTCCCCTTTTTTTATTACTATGGCTTAATTACGGTTTTTCATTTCCGATTATTTCTGACCTGTCATTTAATTTTTATATGTTGCTATATTGATATAATTATCTACCTAATTTAAAGCCTCGTTCCAGCAGTTATCCCTCAAGCTGTCTTCGAAAATGCACACTTCCCCCCCCTCCCATATTATTATTTTTACTTATTAAATTAAATAATATTAATTTATAAATATATTAACATCTATTATTGCTTGTATAATGAAGATTTGTTTTATACAACTATCAATGTGTGAAGTGACGATCTAGAATAATTTTCAGCTATTTGCTCTTGGATTCGAATTCGACTATAAAATGACTTTTAATTGAATGAAAAATTATGACATGAGAGTTTCTATAAAACGGCTCAAGATTCTCGATATGGATGTTCTTCCGATTAATTGAAAATCATCAAACTTCCATTTTATGACAAATAAATATTAGTTTTTGCTTACAAGGAATGTCGTTTGGGCGAGCAACTGAGGTTTTTTTTCACCCATATATAAATATGGATCTGAAGACTGGATTCTACAAATTTCGGCCGTCAAGGGCTCCACGTGGCGAAACGGATGCTCAAAGTTTTGCGCCGCGCAACTCTACCCACTGACATTTTTCTCATTTCGTCGTAATCGTAGTAGAGTGGTAAAAGTCTCTACTCACGTTTTGAAGGTCCGAGGTTCAATCCCCGCACTTTGCCAAGATTTTTTTGTTGGCATGAAATCAAAGATTTTTGTGAATGTTAGAGTCGAGCGTTTCAAATCAGGTTATGCTCATTTTCTATCCAAAAATCTTTTTACCGAGACGAAATTTGAATTCAATAATGTTAAAAAGAGATATCTATGTGACTCCAATGAGGAAAAACCATTTTTATTCTAATTATTCGTTTCGATACGCCCATGTTCTTGAGAAGGACAGTTATTTAAACATTTTCTTGTGAGTATGATCGACTTTTGCCAATTAGCAGCCTCGGAAATTTTTCTCAACATTGATGATTCAGCATGAGCAAGATGCCATTTATTTTTTTTTTTGCGATGTCTGTACTACACTATTTTTACTTCTACTGTAGCGCCACGCCTCTTTGTGATTCGAGGGTATTCGGAAGCAACATTCGATAAACAGTGTGATGGTTTTGTTGCTTCTTGGTTTATGCTTTTTAATTATTTTTTATTTAGAGTCCAGACATTATTTAAAAAAACCATACTTTTGCATATTCGTCGCCAGAAAAACCAATTTACTAACTTATTTCAAAGCTAATCTTTTCGTTTGATTATTTCTCGATTTTTTCTGTAACGGTTCATTGATATTTCCAGAGGAAACTCGCTCAAAATGAGCGGGTCGAAGCGAGTTAAATATTTGACGGAAAGCTGCCCAATAGATCGAATCCCCCGACCATTCGTCCCACTACCAAAAACTGTCAATTGGAAACCAGGTGATTCTATTTTTCAATTGATATTCTTATATAATTGTGTTCAGAAGATCTTCGCGATGTCATCAATATGACAAAAGAAATGTGCGTGAAATTCAATTACCAGAGTCTTTCGGAATTAATGGAATATCAAAATGGTCTTCATGAATTCGCTCTGACATTTGATAAGAATTCACGAGCATTGTTCCTAAAGCAAATTGAGCCGATATTGATTCAAAACGTTGCTGACCGTTTTAGTAAGTATTGTCTAAAATTAGAAAATTAAGCTAAGCTATTGGGTTAGGTGAGAGAATCGAAATCCCATGGACATCGGAGTATAAAGACGTTGAGTCGTTGGATCGAGAAAAAAGCATTGTAGCCGAGCACATTAACAACAATCAATACTATCCAGTAGGTTTTTTTTCAATGAGGCAGTAGGCATCGATCTTTACTATGCTTTTCGATAAGAGAAACACAATTTCATAAAATTGTTAAAAAACGAACCAAAAATAAAATATTATAAGCACGGACTAAAAATAATTATCAATTCACATCATCATTATTTTAGCGTGTCTACGATGATCCCAACGACGTCGCCTCAATGAATCACATTTTTTTGCTCAAAAAAGGTGACGGACTATTCGACAGCGGTTGGCTTCAGTGTATGGTGTGCTGCCAATTGATACACGCCAAATGTCCAATGATCAATGGGCATGCTAAGTCTTGCGAAGAACGATCCTGGCAAATGAGTCAGTTTAGATAAATCGTGAAAAATTATAGAAAGATATTCAATTTTTCTTTCAGACCAGTGCACCTCTGATGAATCTGAACGCTCTTTCATCTTTCCGTTGAGACCATGTGAGAGTTTCCTACACCGAAAATTGGAATAATTTAATTGTTTTGGTTATGTTGTTTGATGATAATATATCTATTACATTTTCTTAGTCGTTTTCTGTTCACACTGACAGGCGTGCGAAACAGCGACAGTTTTTCGGCAAAATCGAGGGAGGAATCCATAGAAAAATAAATAAAAGTCCTTTTTTTCCCGAATAATAAAATGAGGGTAATGATTGGGGCGTTGAGAATTTCGAATTATTTCGATATTCATTTTCTGGAGTTCTATAGCGTATTTCTTTTATTTCTTTTTTAATATAATTTTTAACAGATTGAGTGGGCGTTATTAAACGCGAACTCTTTATCCACTGTTTACGGTATTATTAATTAAGCAACATATCTTAAGAGAGTGCTACCGATCTACATATATTAATTCTTGTTGTTCCACTACCAAAATTGGTCGTTTGGAAACACCAAACTGAAACGTGGTATCAATTTGAAGAAAAGGTGATTTATATGCTTTTAGGACAGATTTTCAGTCGGTATTTTTCTTAATTTGGGTCAAAAGTGAAAATCAACATAATTTATTTTCCGATGAAAGGAATATGCCATTACTATTTAATTTCCACAGTTATAAATAAGTTTTTAGATTGTAAATTTCGAAACATTTAAAGTAAAATGTGAGAACATATATTTTTAATACAACGTGCAAATCATCATTAAAAACTTATTGAATTGTGGACGCTTCAGATGATTCACTTAAAATACAATTAGCTTTTACAATAAACATTAAAATTTTTAATATAATTTCAACTATTTGATATTACTTTATTTATTTCCTTGTTTAAAAAAATGTTTCTTCGGCTTTCTTTTGAATTATCATAGTAGCTCGTTTGAAGTGCACATTAGAAAAAGTCCCTTGTTATCAAGAAGTGATCATTTCCAAATAATCAACCCCCGCCACGTGCCTATTGTTTGAAATAAGCAATCCTGTTGTCACGTTGCTGCAGACGCCAAGATAGATTGTAGCCTGACAATGGTGGCTTGACATTACACCAATGAACGAGCATTGAATTCAAATTGCACTTTGACCATTTTGAAAAAATAAATTATTTATTCTAAAGTTGCAACACATTTCACTGATAAGACATCATAATCGAACAAAGACCATTTGAACAAAAAATCTAGCCAGACTAATAATATTTTAGTCAAAAAAGAAAAAATATATATAATGATATAAGTATGTTTTGCTATTTCCAATTAAATCGGTTACTTGCGGCAAGTTCTTTGAATTTAAAAATTTGTGTTGAATTTCCAATAGTTTCGTGACTATTGCCAGGTTAGATAACAATAATATTAGATTTAAAAGGAAAACCATTAAAGCGTATTATAAACTTCCTGACTTTTAAAAAATTTAGTTATACCGCATAGTTTCTTTTTTTTCAAATTTAAACCCCCACTCTTTTGTTTAATTATGCCAAATTCAGAATATTTATATCACTCAAATTGTTACATACGTTCCATTAGAACAAGTCGGCACACACAATCAGTCCCCGCATTCAAATCTGATGAAATAATATTGCAAATCGATCAGCGCCGCGTCACCTGTCAATGAAATACGCAATCTCAAGGCATTAACCCGAATCTTTATCACCCACATGGGTCCCCCAAATGAATCAACGGATCAAAGAATAGGCAGGAACTTTCTTACTTATCTGGGCACCTCTTTCTCTCTACCGGTGACATCACTGTACGAAAACAAGAGGTCAGTGCGTTTTTCTCTCCAGCCTCTTTCGCTATCTCTACTTTTTTTTTTAACGAGGCGCGTCCCATCTGCTGTTTCCGACGACGAGCCGCGACGCTCCGCCCATTTATTGTTTAGGCTTGCGTTTCTGGTATAAAAGGGTCTCGGGAAGACAGTCTCAACATCGGTTTCAAGTATCAATATGTCCTCGCAAAAAGTTGTCCGCGCTGCAAAGAATCTGATCTTCAATCCATTCATGACCAAGGAAGCGTAAGCACTTTTTTGCAATTTTTGACCTATTCATATTCCCATCCTTTCAGAATCAGCTCCGCTTCATTCCGTCCACCAGCTGCCATTGAAATCGTCGAGGAAGAGGCAAAGCCAAATATTCGCCTTCACGACGAAACCACTCATCTCAAATTTGGCTTCCCAATGACCGACAAATCCAAGAAGATGGCGCCATCAAGTGACAGCAATTGAAGATCTCAACTGACTTGTAAATAATTTATCTAGTAATTTTATTGTACATAGAAACGATGCAATAAACAGATTTTGCAAGAGTTACGGTGCACTCCACAACACACCACACATCAGAAAAACAGAAAAATTAAAATGGAAGGGTCTACGATTGATCTACAGTTGTTTGCCCGCGAATGCACTTTGTCCTTTGCTAACGATCGCAGGAAAACATTAGACGCTACAAAATATCTGATCGATAACAAAATCATTTTGATGTTATGTATATTATTTTGTACAGTGTGCACGTGACAACGAATGTATAATAAAGTTGGAGATAACGACTGAAAAGTAAAGACACACAAAAAGTGAGGAACACGGGTTGCCGTTTTTTTTCGAACCCCATTCTACAGTTTTGATGCAAATTGATAAATCAAGGAAGTTTGCTAAAACTTCCTGGATAATCAAGGAAGAAAATTATGTGGAAGAATTCGCTGAATTCCAAATTAGGTATTATCCAATTCAATTTGAATTTGGAAGAATATGAAGTCATTCTACGCTTTGAAAGCATTGCGATAGTTTGAAATTACAGAGTAATCCAGATTGTATACATTACACATATTTTTCAATGCTGGAATTGACATGAATTTTTCTTTGACCTCTCCCAAAGAAAAACAACCTGTTTTGGCACTTTTCAATAAATACACTTTGTACCCATGCGTAAACATTGCTATGGACGCCCAGCCTTTGGCATAGCAATGCCTGTGAAGTAAAATTTAAACAAAACAATTCTAGAAATGTTTTAAACTTTTGGCAACATTTTTAAAGTCGAAACTTCAAATTTTAAATTACTAATGAATTTCGGGGAAGTGTCGAAAATAATGGAGCCGAAGAAAACATGCAATATTTCCATATACGTCGCTTGAAGTTTGGTCCGCATCATATACAACGTCGGTCTTCCCACGTGCGTTTGCCATAAAAGACGTTCCAATGAAAATAGCTGATCATTTGATTCCATCAGATATCGTTTTCTTTTTCTCCATCGCTATCCTTTTGTCATCAAAATTAAAACCGCACTGCAAGATTTTGAACGTCTCGATCATCATCTGATAGCCAGTGTCGGGGGTTCGAATAAAAGAACTATCGAAACCGGTACTCAACTGTTTATAATTTCGAATTAATTTCCTGAACTCAGGGCCAGAGGGCACACTAGTTTCATTGAAAATTGATAAAAAATTGTTTATTTGTTATTAAAGGCGCCATCACCCCACTCGAAATCAGACGATCATGTTGATAGGCCGCGCTATGCAAATTCGCCGCTGATCAACATGATAAGCAAATTTTGATTGGGTGCCGCATTTTCATATGTTTGCCAAATTTAGAAATGAGCGAGTACAATGTACAAATTGGGTGAGCGGCTATTTCGGTAGTGGGCAAATAACATTATCAGCGATAAATCGTCTAGAATATTCTCCAAGGAAGTAGAATTCGATGTCCTGGTTTGAACAAGTATCATCAATGGGAATTTCAAATCGATCGACCATGCAAATACACGTAGACATATTGGCACCAAGCTCGTGGAAGTTGATGAATAATTTTTTTTCAATTATATACTTTTTAAATAGTTTTGTTTAATATATTTCAAAAGAAATGTAATCATTTTTAATGTTCATGGATAAAAACTCAAATTTCGCATTTCATACATACATTCCCTCATTAGAAAAATAGTTTTCAATAATAATTTTATATACATATAGTCGGCGTCCGGCGACTGCTGTACGCTGGTAGATTTACGGAAGTGCGTCTTTCCTAATGGTCTCGCAAGGACTAATAGGTTATTTCAAATTTTATGGACCGGTTCGATAATTTTTTAATCGAATGACTTTGGAAATTCAAGAAAATGCGAAACTCATCAAAAAATTAAAGCCGTTCACGTGAAAATAGCAAAATAAGCATTCACGCATGGCGAGACCTTTTCATGGAGCATGCGCGTAAATCTACCCGCGTAGAACAGTCGCCGGACGACTACGGTACAGGTACTTAAGTAATAATATTCATCAACTTTTGAGCACATTATTTAAATATTAGTCTTTTTGCGTGATTTCTAATCATCATGGCATAAGTTGATTTGCGATTTGAAGTAACATTTCTAATAGCGCAATAATCAAATTTTACAAGGAAAATGCATCATTGCATTGGCCTAGGTTTTTTTTCTAAATATAATACAAATATCTCCTAAAGAAGGGTCGATTTTTCAATCTTTAATGATTCTATACATATTTTGAAAAAAAAATTACTCGAAATTATTGAAAATTTTGACAAATAATTGATACTGAGTTTTTTTTTATGTAGCGCTATTGTAAAAGTTTTGTTCAATGAACACAAATTCCAATTCATTTGGTAACTGCAAAATGTTTTTGAGTGTGTAAATTTATATTGTTCTAGTATTTTCCAATTATACTGCTTAAATTTGCCGCGGGAAAAAGTTTTTGACAACGATAATTGCTAAGAGGGTTCTATGAAAAAAAAAATAAATCTATAAAAACTGATTTAAACTTTTGAAAAAAAATCTAAACTGGGTTTAACATTTTGAAGAAGTTACTGTGTTTTTTCCCCGAAATTTTCATAATGCCATAAAAGAATTTCAATTGAAAACTTTTTCCCGGCAGACAGACTATTCACTTTTAAATGTCTCAATAAATCTGTCACAATTATGCACCTTTTAAATATCATCTGAATATGCTTAATGAACCATTTATTCGCGATTCATTATACATTCAGTGATGTCTGCATTTTTCCATGTGTATATCTTTCAATATTTGATTGAATGAAAAAAAATGAAAAAATTTGCTATCATTTTTTGTCAGTTGTTCACGTGAATTTCCTTTTGTGTGATTCCCTGAACCAAAAATGGTCTTGTGAGTTTCACATGCGATTGAACGAGTGTTTGAACATTTTCAAAATTGTTATAATTACCGCAATTAGAAAAAAAAACAATGCTGTAACATATATGTTATTAATTACCAAAAAATCGCTGGACGAATAATTCTACAAATAATAGACCCCTCTTCCTATTCGGCAAACATCGTTTCCACAAAATCTGAAGTACTTATTGCTAATCTATTTAACATACATCATATAATTAATATAGTCAGAATAACAATAGTTAAATTTTTTTGAATAACAATTTTTGCATTAATCGAAAATTCACATATTTGCTCATAATCAAATATGCCACCTGAATGCATGAAGAATCCAATTTAGTCGAATTTCAAAGACGCTAATAATCCTAATTCAATTGAAGAAAATCAAGAATGACGTTATTTTTTTTTGCAATCTACACCAAATAATTGCACTTTTAGCGAGGATGAGATGATAATTTTCTATTCATGCATAATTAATTTTTTTTGGATGTTCGAGTTCTATCCAACTTCCTTCTTTGCATTATTGAGACATTTGAATAGTTAAAAGCTAACTATATATTCGCTTGTAACATGGCATATACCTTTTTTGACTAATTCAAGGTCCACCTGCAACTATTGAAATTGTTCTCGTTTAAAAATAGTAATGGCTATTCGTTTTTATTGGTTTTATTCTGTTTCGAAGCCAGCACCCCGTTATTGACTTCTCTCAACACTATAAAACATATATATATTTTAAACTATACATTTAGTATTACTTTTTAATACCTACTTGCTTGCTTAGAGAATATCTAATAAGTGATTCTGGATTATCGGATTATTAAACTTGCACGGCAACATTTGAAAATCCACCTGCGGACAAATTTCGGCAAAACAAAGAAAAAGTTTAAAATTGATTATTCCAATTTTCAATTTTTTTATATAATGAGTGCACAATTTCATTTTTTCACAGATATGTATCAAAGAAATTTGTTGATGACATCAAAGTTCTCATTTTTTTTTATAAAAATCACACACAAATTACTTGTTAAGTTTTTTTTAACTAAAATTTTTCTCATAGTTAAACCCCTTCCCCCGAAATTTCAACATTTGTCTGACTTTTCTTTATGCCTGCTTAACCAAAGAAGATCTTTGGTGCCACAAAAAATCAACAGCAAAAAAGGGAAGTGTTTCCGTTGTTTTTGTTGCAAAAATCGCACTCAACTCAAAAAAGACGTCTAAATGTGTGATGGAGGGGGGGGGATTCAGAAGTTTCGATATCTTTTTTTTTGACGTGGCCTCTTTTCTTTTTTAGGAAGAAGCGTGACATTTTCCTATTGTCGCATTTTCGCCGAGCAATTGTTGAATAGTTTTGAATTACGCGGATTCCGACAATTTTATTGTAGATTTACGAGGCAATTAAAACCACTATCGGTTGTGAGGGTGGGGCAAATGAATTTACTACAGTACCAAAACCTCATTTAATAACAGTATATTGCAATTATATGTATATAATCCCTTATGTGATACAATAGTTAACCCATCCATAACTGCTATTCATATGCACATAATCCCTAGCGCTTTCTTAATCCTACATATCGTGTTGTTTTTGTTTTTTTTTATGCCTATTGTCTTGTTATTTCAAACCATCGATCATTCCCGTTGCTAATTTCAAAACTGGCTCTATTTCAAGGTCCAATAAGTTCTGGCGGATTTCCGTCGTCAATGCCTTCAATGATGTTTGAACTAGGCAGTCATAAGAGAGCAAAAAAAGAAAAGAAGATAACAACTTGAAAATTCGTTCATTCCTTTGTTATCTGCACATGTTCTATTTTTATCCATTATTATTTATTCAAGAAAAAATGTCTAATGGAAAAAAAACGTAATATTCTTGTTCGAACAAGATACACACATTTTCCCACAAAAATAAAAATTACATAGTAGACCTGAAGTAGGAAAAGGGATCAAAAATTGGCATACACATGTCTCGAAGTTTAAGGACCCTTTCGAATTGTTATTTTGCCATTTTGTTTGAGTGACGTTTTTTCGAAAGAAACAGGCTATTTATGTTCCTTCCAATTTGGTTCAAAAAATAATATTAATACAATTTTCAAATAGGGATTA